TGTATTCAAGCCACTGCATGGAAATCCGGCCTCCTTTCAAGTTAGGGCTTCTCGCTGTATATTCCCCTTGAGGCAGCAAACTCGGGGTCCCTCCCACATACCTATTACTGAGAGAAGCCTCCTCCTGAGGTGCTTCTGGAAAGGTGGCATACGTCTTGAGCCTAAGCCAGGGAATCAGCTCTCATCTCGAGACGATTTGGGGTACACAGATCATTCCTCGAGTTGCTGTGCTGAAGTTGGTGGTCCTCTAGACTTGGGACAGTGTTCTCGGGGCATCTCTGGAGTTGCCTGAAGGAAGTCGAGCCACCGGTCGTGTTGAATGGGGAACAAGGAATGGCTCTGGAGTCAATGCAGGGGAATCCGGCCTCATCTCGAGTTGATTTGGGGCACATGGAGCTGCTTTGCATTGCTGGGTGACCTCAGGGTCCGACTAGACTGGTGACAGTGTTCTTGGGGACTGTCTCGATATCCATTAAGCAAGTCGAAGCTCCTGACTTGTTTGAATGGGATCACGGAATAGCTCTGCATGCACTGCAGGGGAATGGGGCCTCATCTCGCCTCTAGGGGGAAGTCTCATGGTTTTTCTCGAGTTGCGGCGGGGACCTGGGGTATGTTCTCGACTTACGGCGGGGATGGCCCTTCAAAACACGAGTTTCTTCCGTGACGTCAGGACTCCTGTCTAGTAACGAGGGACACCTCAGCAAACTCTTCGAGGCTTGGCAGGGCAAAAGGGACGCTTCTCGAGGTGAGCCAGGGAACCCAAGGACCCTTTCCAGTAGCCACAGGGATTTTGGGATTCCTATCAGTATTCAAGAGGAGTCAGGCATCGTCACCTTTTGAAGCAATGAACTCCGGGTGCCTCTCGAGGTGTCAGCGGGATGTGAGGATTCCGTCAAAATGAGGCAGGGACCTAGGGCTTTCTATATGGTCTCCACAGGGGATTCAGACATCCCTTCATGTTGTGAGATGAAAGACGAGCCTGTATTCAAGCCACTGCAAGGAAATCCGTCCTCCTTTCAAGTTAGGGCTTCTCGCTGTATATTCCCCTTGAGGCAGCAAACTCGGAGTCCCTCCCACATACCTATTGCTGAGAGAAGCCTCCTCCTGAGGTGCTTCTGGAAAGGTGGCATACGTCTTGAGCCTAAGCCAGGGAATCAGCTCTCATCTCGAGACGATTTGGGGTACACGGAGCATTCCTCGAGTTGCTGTGCCGAAGTTGGTGGTCCTCTAGACTTGGGACAGTGTTCTCGGGTCATCTCTGGAGTTGCCTGAAGGAAGTCGAGCCACCGGTCGTGTTGAATGGGGAACAAGGAATGGCTTTGGAGTCAATGCAGGGGAATCCGGCCTCATCTCGAGTTGATTTGGGGCACATGGAGCTGCTTTGCATTGCTGGTTGACCTCAGGGTCCGTCTAGACTGGTGACAGTGTTCTTGGGGACTGTCTCGAGATCCATTAAGCAAGTCGAAGCTCCTGACTTGTTTGAATGGGATCAGGGAATAGCTCTGCATGCACTGCAGGGGAATGGGGCCTCATCTCGCCTCTAGGGGGAAGTCTCATGGTTTTTCTCGAGTTGCGGCGGGGACCTGGGGTATATTCTCGACTTACGGCGGGGATATCCCTTCAAAACACGAGTTTCTTCAGTGACGTCAGGACTCCTGTCTAGTAACGAGGGACACCTCAGCAATCTCTTCGAGGCTTGGCAGGGCAAAAGGGACGCTTCTCGAGGTGAGCCAGGGCACCCAAGGACCCTTTCCAGTAGCCACAGGGATTTTGGGATTCCTATAAGTAATCAAGAGGAGTCATGCATCGTCACCTTTTGAAGCAATGAACTCCGCGTGCCTCTCGACGTGTCAGCGGGATGTGAGTATTCCGTCAAAATGAGGCAGGGACCTAGGGCTTTCTCTAAGGTCTCCACAGGGGATTCAGACATCCCTTCATGTTGTGAGATGAAAGACGAGCCTGTATTCAAGCCACTGCATGGAAATCCGGCCTCCTTTCAAGTTAGGGCTTCTCGCTGTATATTCCCCTTGAGGCAGCAAACTCGGGGTCCCTCCCACATACCTATTACTGAGAGAAGCCTCCTCCTGAGGTGCTTCTGGAAAGGTGGCATACGTCTTGAGCCTAAGCCAGGGAATCAGCTCTCATCTCGAGACGATTTGGGGTACACAGAGCATTCCTCGAGTTGCTGTGCTGAAGTTGGTGGTCCTCTAGACTTGGGACAGTGTTCTCGGGGCATCTCTGGAGTTGCCTGAAGGAAGTCGAGCCACCGGTCGTGTTGAATGGGGAACAAGGAATGGCTCTGGAGTCAATGCAGGGGAATCCGGCCTCATCTCGAGTTGATTTGGGGCACATGGAGCTGCTTTGCATTGCTGGGTGACCTCAGGGTCCGTCTAGACTGGTAACAGTGTTCTTGGGGACTGTGTCGAGATCCATTAAGCAAGTCGAAGCTCCTGACTTGTTTGAATGGGATCACGGAATAGCTCTGCATGCACTGCAGAGGAATGGGGCCTCATCTCGCCTCTAGGGGGAAGTCTCATGGTTTTTCTCGAGTTGCGGCGGGGACCTGGGGTATGTTCTCGACTTACGGCGGGGATGGCCCTTCAAAATACGAGTTTCTTCAGTGACGTCAGGACTCCTGTCTAGTAACGAGGGACACCTCAGGAATCTCTTCGAGGCTTGGCAGGGCAAAAGGGACGCTTCTTGAGGTGAGCCAGGGCACCCAAGGACCCTTGCCAGTAGCCACAGGGATTTTGGGATTCCTATAAGTAATCAAGAGGAGTCATGCATCGTCACCTTTTGAAGCAATGTACTCCGCGTGCCTCTCGAGGTGTCAGCGGGATGTGAGGCATTCCGTCAAAATGAGGCAGGGACCTAGGGCTTTCTCTAAGGTCTCCACAGGGGATTCAGACATCCCTTCATGTTGTGAGATGAAAGACAAGCCTGTATTCAAGCTACTGCAAGGAAATCCGGCCTCCTTTCAAGTTAGGGCTTCTCGCTGTATATTGCCCTTGAGGCAGCAAACTCGGAGTCCCTCCCACATACCTATTGCTGAGAAGCCTCCTCCTGAGGTGCTTCTGGAAAGTTGGCATACGTCTTGAGCCTAAGCCAGGGAATCAGCTCTCATCTCGAGACGATTTGGGGTACACAGATCATTCCTCGAGTTGCTGTGCTGAAGTTGGTGTTCCTCTAGACTTGGGACAGTGTTCTCGGGGCATCTCTGGAGTTGCCTGAAGGAAGGCGAGCCACCGGTCGTGTTAAATGGGGAATGGGGAATGGCTCTGGAGTCAATGCAGGGGAATCGGGCCTCATCTCGAGTTGATTTGTGGCACCTGGAGCTGCTTTGCGTTGCTGGGGTGACCTCAGGTTCCGTCTAGACTGTTGACAGTGTTCTTGGGGACTGCCTCGAGATCCATTAAGCAAGTCGAAGCTCCTGACTTGTTTGAATGGGATCACGGAATAGCTCTGCATGCACTGCAGGGGAATGGGGCCTCATCTCGCCTCTAGGGGGAAGTCTCATGGTTTTTCTCGAGTTGCGGCGGGGACCTGGGGTATGTTCTCAACTTACGGCGGGGATGGCCCTTCAAAACACGAGTTTCTTCAGTGACGTCAGGACTCCGGCATAGTAACGAGGGACACCTCAGGAATCTCTTCGAGGCTTGGCAGGGCAAAAGGGACGCTTCTCGAGGTGACGCAGGGCACCCAAGGACCCTTTCCAGTAGCCACAGGGATTTTGGGATTCCTATCAGTATTCAAGAGGAGTCAGGCATCCTCACCTTTTGAAGCAATGAACTCCGCGTGCCTCTCGAGGTGTCAGTGGGATGTGAGGATTCCGTCAAAATGAGGCAGGGACCTAGGGCTTTCTCTAAGGTCTCCACAGGGGATTCAGACATCCCTTCATGTTGTGAGATGAAAGACAAGCCTGTATTCAAGCTACTGCAAGGAAATCCGGCCTCCTTTCAAGTTAGGGCTTCTCGCTGTATATTGCCCTTGAGGCAGCAAACTCGGAGTCCCTCCCACATACCTATTGCTGAGAAGCCTCCTCCTGAGGTGCTTCTGGAAAGTTGGCATACGTCTTGAGCCTAAGCCAGGGAATCAGCTCTCATCTCGAGATGATTTGGGGTACACAGAGCATTCCTCGAGTTGCTGTGCTGAAGTTGGTGGTCCTCTAGACTTGGGACAGTGTTCTCGGGGCATCTCTGGAGTTGCCTGAAGGAAGTCGAGCCACCGGTCGTGTTGAATGGGGAACAAGGAATGGCTCTGGAGTCAATGCAGGGGAATCCGGCCTCATCTCGAGTTGATTTGGGGCAAATGGAGCTGCTTTGCATTGCTGGGTGACCTCAGGGTCCGTCTAGACTGGTGACAGTGTTCTTGGGGACTGTCTCGAGATCCATTAAGCAAGTCGAAGCTCCTGACTTGTTTGAATGGGATCACGGAATAGCTCTGCATGCACTGCAGGGGAATGGGGCCTCATCTCGCCTCTAGGGGGAAGTCTCATGGTTTTTCTCGAGTTGCGGCGGAGACCTGGGGTATGTTCTCGACTTACGGCGGGGATGGCCCTTCAAAACACGAGTTTCTTCAGTGACGTCAGGACTCCTGTCTAGTAACGAGGGACACATCAGCAATCTCTTCGAGGCTTGGCAGGAAAAAAGGGACGCTTCTCGAGGTGAGCCAGGGAACCCAAGGACCCTTTCCAGTAGCCACAGGGATTTTGGGATTCCTATCAGTATTCAAGAGGAGTCAGGCATCGTCACCTTTTGAAGCAATGAACTCCGTGTGCCTCTCGAGGTATCAGCGAGATGTGAGGCATTCCGTCAAAATGAGGCAGGGACCTAGGGCTTTCTCTAAGGTCTCCACAGGGGATTCAGACATCCCTTCATGTTGTGAGATGAAAGACAAGCCTGTATTCAAGCTACTGCAAGGAAATCTGGCCTCCTTTCAAGTTAGGGCTTCTCGCTGTATATTCCCCTTGAGGCAGCATAGTCGGAGTCCCTCCCACATACCTATTTCTGAGAAGCCTCCTCCTGAGGTGCTTCTGGAAATTTGGCATACGTCTTGAGCCTAAGCCAGGGAATCAGCTCTCATCTCGAGACGATTTGGGGTACACAGAGCATTCCTCGAGTTGCTGTGCTGAAGTTGGTGTTCCTCTAGACTTGAGACAGTGTTCTCGGGGCATCTCTGGATTTGCCTGAAGGAAGGCGAGCCACCGTTCGTGTTGAACGGGGAACGGGGAATGGCTCTGGAGTCAATGCAGGGGAATCGGGCCTCATCTCGAGTTGATTTGGGGCACATGGAGCTGCTTTGCGTTGCTGAGGTGACCTCAGGGTCCGTCTAGACTGGTGACAGTGTTCTTGGGGACTGTCTCGAGATCCATTAAGCAAGTCGAAGCTCCTGACTTGTTTGAATGGGATCACGGAATAGCTCTGCATGCACTGCAGGGGAATGGGGCCTCATCTCGCCTATAGGGGGAAGTCTCATGGTTTTTCTCGAGTTGCGGCGGGGACCTGGGGTATGTTCTCGACTTACGGCGGGGATGGCCCTTCAAAACACGAGTTTCTTCCGTGACGTCAGGACTCCTGTCTAGAAACGAGGGACACCTCAGCAATCTCTTCGAGGCTTGGCAGGGCAAAAGGGACGCTTCTCGAGGTGAGCCAGGGCACCCAAGGACCCTTTCCAGTAGCCACAGGGATTTTGGGATTAGTATAAGTAATCAAGAGGAGTGATGCATCGTCACCTTTTGAAGCAATGAACTCCGCGTGCCTCTCGACGTGTCAGCGGGATGTGAGGATTCCATCAAAATGAGGCAGGGACCTAGGGCTTTCTCTAAGGTCTCCACAGGGGAATCAGACATCCCTTCATGTTGTGAGATGAAAGACGAGCCTGTATTCAAGCCACTGCATGGAAATCCGGCCTCCTTTCAAGTTAGGGCTTCTCGCTGTATATTCCCCTTGAGGCAGCAAACTCGAGGTCCCTCCCACATACCTATTACTGAGAGAAGCCTCCTCCTGAGGTGCTTCTGGAAAGGTGGTATACGTCTTGAGCCTAAGCCAGGGAATCAGCTCTCATCTCGAGACGATTTGGGATACACAGAGCATTCCTCGAGTTGCTGTGCTGAAGTTGGTGGTCCTCTAGACTTGGGACAGTGTTCTCGGGGCATCTCTGGAGTTGCCTGAAGGAAGTCGAGCCACCGGTCGTGTTGAATGGGGAACAAGGAATGGCTCTGGAGTCAATGCAGGGGAATCCGGCCTCATCTCGAGTTGATTTGGGGCACATGGAGCTGCTTTGCATTGCTGGTTGACCTCAGGGTCCGTCTAGACTGGTGACAGTGTTCTTGGGGACTGTCTCGATATCCATTAAGCAAGTCGAAGCTCCTGACTTGTTTGAATGGGATCAGGGAATAGCTCTGCATGCACTGCAGGGGAATGGGGCCTCATCTCGCCTCTAGGGGGAAGTCTCATGGTTTTTCTCGAGTTGCGGCGGGGACCTGGGGTATATTCTCGACTTACGGCGGGGATGGCCCTTCAAAACACGAGTTTCTTCAGTTACGTCAGGACTCCTGTCTAGTAACGAGGGACACCTCAGCAATCTCTTCGAGGCTTGGCAGGGCAAAAGGGACGCTTCTCGAGGTGAGCCAGGGCACCCAAGGACCCTTTCCAGTAGCCACAGGGATTTTGGGATTCCTATAAGTAATCAAGAGGAGTCATGCATCGTCACCTTTTGAAGCAATGAACTCCGCGTGCCTCTCGACGTGTCAGCGGGATGTGAGGATTCCATCAAAATGAGGCAGGGACCTAGGGCTTTCTCTAAGGTCTCCACAGGGGAATCAGACATCCCTTCATGTTGTGAGATGAAAGACGAGCCTGTATTCAAGCCACTGCATGGAAATCCGGCCTCCTTTCAAGTTAGGGCTTCTCGCTGTATATTCCCCTTGAGGCAGCAAACTCGGGGTCCCTCCCACATACCTATTACTGAGAGAAGCCTCCTCCTGAGGTGCTTCTGGAAAGGTGGCATACGTCTTGAGCCTAAGCCAGGGAATCAGCTCTCATCTCGAGACGATTTGGGGTACACAGATCATTCCTCGAGTTGCTGTGCTGAAGTTGGTGGTCCTCTAGACTTGGGACAGTGTTCTCGGGGCATCTCTGGAGTTGCCTGAAGGAAGTCGAGCCACCGGTCGTGTTGAATGGGGAACAAGGAATGGCTCTGGAGTCAATGCAGGGGAATCCGGCCTCATCTCGAGTTGATTTGGGGCACATGGAGCTGCTTTGCATTGCTGGGTGACCTCAGGGTCCGACTAGACTGGTGACAGTGTTCTTGGGGACTGTCTCGATATCCATTAAGCAAGTCGAAGCTCCTGACTTGTTTGAATGGGATCACGGAATAGCTCTGCATGCACTGCAGGGGAATGGGGCCTCATCTCGCCTCTAGGGGGAAGTCTCATGGTTTTTCTCGAGTTGCGGCGGGGACCTGGGGTATGTTCTCGACTTACGGCGGGGATGGCCCTTCAAAACACGAGTTTCTTCCGTGACGTCAGGACTCCTGTCTAGTAACGAGGGACACCTCAGCAAACTCTTCGAGGCTTGGCAGGGCAAAAGGGACGCTTCTCGATGTGAGCCAGGGCACCCAAGGACCCTTTCCAGTAGCCACAGGGATTTTGGGATTCCTATCAGTATTCAAGAGGAGTCAGGCATCGTCACCTTTTGAAGCAATGAACTCCGGGTGCCTCTCGAGGTGTCAGCGGGATGTGAGGATTCCGTCAAAATGAGGCAGGGACCTAGGGCTTTCTATAAGGTCTCCACAGGGGATTCAGACATCCCTTCATGTTGTGAGATGAAAGACGAGCCTGTATTCAAGCCACTGCAAGGAAATCCGTCCTCCTTTCAAGTTAGGGCTTCTCGCTGTATATTCCCCTTGAGGCAGCAAACTCGGAGTCCCTCCCACATACCTATTGCTGAGAGAAGCCTCCTCCTGAGGTGCTTCTGGAAAGGTGGCATACGTCTTGAGCCTAAGCCAGGGAATCAGCTCTCATCTCGAGACGATTTGGGGTACACGGAGCATTCCTCGAGTTGCTGTGCCGAAGTTGGTGGTCCTCTAGACTTGGGACAGTGTTCTCGGGTCATCTCTGGAGTTGCCTGAAGGAAGTCGAGCCACCGGTCGTGTTGAATGGGGAACAAGGAATGGCTTTGGAGTCAATGCAGGGGAATCCGGCCTCATCTCGAGTTGATTTGGGGCACATGGAGCTGCTTTGCATTGCTGGTTGACCTCAGGGTCCGTCTAGACTGGTGACAGTGTTCTTGGGGACTGTCTCGAGATCCATTAAGCAAGTCGAAGCTCCTGACTTGTTTGAATGGGATCAGGGAATAGCTCTGCATGCACTGCAGGGGAATGGGGCCTCATCTCGCCTCTAGGGGGAAGTCTCATGGTTTTTCTCGAGTTGCGGCGGGGACCTGGGGTATATTCTCGACTTACGGCGGGGATGGCCCTTCAAAACACGAGTTTCTTCAGTGACGTCAGGACTCCTGTCTAGTAACGAGGGACACCTCAGCAATCTCTTCGAGGCTTGGCAGGGCAAAAGGGACGCTTCTCGAGGTGAGCCAGGGCACCCAAGGACCCTTTCCAGTAGCCACAGGGATTTTGGGATTCCTATCAGTATTCAAGAGGAGTCATGCATCGTCACCTTTTGAAGCAATGAACTCCGCGTGCCTCTCGACGTGTCAGCGGGATGTGAGTATTCCGTCAAAATGAGGCAGGGACCTAGGGCTTTCTCTAAGGTCTCCACAGGGGATTCAGACATCCCTTCATGTTGTGAGATGAAAGACGAGCCTGTATTCAAGCCACTGCATGGAAATCCGGCCTCCTTTCAAGTTAGGGCTTCTCGCTGTATATTCCCCTTGAGGCAGCAAACTCGGGGTCCCTCCCACATACCTATTACTGAGAGAAGCCTCCTCCTGAGGTGCTTCTGGAAAGGTGGCATACGTCTTGAGCCTAAGCCAGGGAATCAGCTCTCATCTCGAGACGATTTGGGGTACACAGAGCATTCCTCGAGTTGCTGTGCTGAAGTTGGTGGTCCTCTAGACTTGGGACAGTGTTCTCGGGGCATCTCTGGAGTTGCCTGAAGGAAGTCGAGCCACCGGTCGTGTTGAATGGGGAACAAGGAATGGCTCTGGAGTCAATGCAGGGGAATCCGGCCTCATCTCGAGTTGATTTGGGGCACATGGAGCTGCTTTGCATTGCTGGGTGACCTCAGGGTCCGTCTAGACTGGTAACAGTGTTCTTGGGGACTGTGTCGAGATCCATTAAGCAAGTCGAAGCTCCTGACTTGTTTGAATGGGATCACGGAATAGCTCTGCATGCACTGCAGAGGAATGGGGCCTCATCTCGCCTCTAGGGGGAAGTCTCATGGTTTTTCTCGAGTTGCGGCGGGGACCTGGGGTATGTTCTCGACTTACGGCGGGGATGGCCCTTCAAAATACGAGTTTCTTCAGTGACGTCAGGACTCCTGTCTAGTAACGAGGGACACCTCAGGAATCTCTTCGAGGCTTGGCAGGGCAAAAGGGACGCTTCTTGAGGTGAGCCAGGGCACCCAAGGACCCTTGCCAGTAGCCACAGGGATTTTGGGATTCCTATAAGTAATCAAGAGGAGTCATGCATCGTCACCTTTTGAAGCAATGTACTCCGCGTGCCTCTCGAGGTGTCAGCGGGATGTGAGGCATTCCGTCAAAATGAGGCAGGGACCTAGGGCTTTCTCTAAGGTCTCCACAGGGGATTCAGACATCCCTTCATGTTGTGAGATGAAAGACAAGCCTGTATTCAAGCTACTGCAAGGAAATCCGGCCTCCTTTCAAGTTAGGGCTTCTCGCTGTATATTGCCCTTGAGGCAGCAAACTCGGAGTCCCTCCCACATACCTATTGCTGAGAAGCCTCCTCCTGAGGTGCTTCTGGAAAGTTGGCATACGTCTTGAGCCTAAGCCAGGGAATCAGCTCTCATCTCGAGACGATTTGGGGTACACAGATCATTCCTCGAGTTGCTGTGCTGAAGTTGGTGTTCCTCTAGACTTGGGACAGTGTTCTCGGGGCATCTCTGGAGTTGCCTGAAGGAAGGCGAGCCACCGGTCGTGTTAAATGGGGAATGGGGAATGGCTCTGGAGTCAATGCAGGGGAATCGGGCCTCATCTCGAGTTGATTTGTGGCACCTGGAGCTGCTTTGCGTTGCTGGGGTGACCTCAGGTTCCGTCTAGACTGTTGACAGTGTTCTTGGGGACTGCCTCGAGATCCATTAAGCAAGTCGAAGCTCCTGACTTGTTTGAATGGGATCACGGAATAGCTCTGCATGCACTGCAGGGGAATGGGGCCTCATCTCGCCTCTATGGGGAAGTCTCATGGTTTTTCTCGAGTTGCGGCGGGGACCTGGGGTATGTTCTCAACTTACGGCGGGGATGGCCCTTCAAAACACGAGTTTCTTCAGTGACGTCAGGACTCCGGCATAGTAACGAGGGACACCTCAGGAATCTCTTCGAGGCTTGGCAGGGCAAAAGGGACGCTTCTCGAGGTGACGCAGGGCACCCAAGGACCCTTTCCAGTAGCCACAGGGATTTTGGGATTCCTATCAGTATTCAAGAGGAGTCAGGCATCCTCACCTTTTGAAGCAATGAACTTCGCGTGCCTCTCGAGGTGTCAGTGGGATGTGAGGATTCCGTCAAAATGAGGCAGGGACCTAGGGCTTTCTCTAAGGTCTCCACAGGGGATTCAGACATCCCTTCATGTTGTGAGATGAAAGACAAGCCTGTATTCAAGCTACTGCAAGGAAATCCGGCCTCCTTTCAAGTTAGGGCTTCTCGCTGTATATTGCCCTTGAGGCAGCAAACTCGGAGTCCCTCCCACATACCTATTGCTGAGAAGCCTCCTCCTGAGGTGCTTCTGGAAAGTTGGCATACGTCTTGAGCCTAAGCCAGGGAATCAGCTCTCATCTCGAGATGATTTGGGGTACACAGAGCATTCCTCGAGTTGCTGTGCTGAAGTTGGTGGTCCTCTAGACTTGGGACAGTGTTCTCGGGGCATCTCTGGAGTTGCCTGAAGGAAGTCGAGCCACCGGTCGTGTTGAATGGGGAACAAGGAATGGCTCTGGAGTCAATGCAGGGGAATCCGGCCTCATCTCGAGTTGATTTGGGGCACATGGAACTGCTTTGCATTGCTGGGTGACCTCAGGGTCCGTCTAGACTGGTGACAGTGTTCTTGGGGACTGTCTCGAGATCCATTAAGCAAGTCGAAGCTCCTGACTTGTTTGAATGGGATCACGGAATAGCTCTGCATGCACTGCAGGGGAATGGGGCCTCATCTCGCCTCTAGGGGGAAGTCTCATGGTTTTTCTCGAGTTGCGGCGGAGACCTGGGGTATGTTCTCGACTTACGGCGGGGATGGCCCTTCAAAACACGAGTTTCTTCAGTGACGTCAGGACTCCTGTCTAGTAACGAGGGACACATCAGCAATCTCTTCGAGGCTTGGCAGGGCAAAAGGGACGCTTCTCGAGGTGAGCCAAGGAACCCAAGGACCCTTTCCAGTAGCCACAGGGATTTTGGGATTCCTATCAGTATTCAAGAGGAGTCAGGCCTCGTCACCTTTTGAAGCAATGAACTCCGTGTGCCTCTCGAGGTATCAGCGAGATGTGAGGCATTCCGTCAAAATGAGGCAGGGACCTAGGGCTTTCTCTAAGGTCTCCACAGGGGATTCAGACATCCCTTCATGTTGTGAGATGAAAGACAAGCCTGTATTCTAGCTACTGCAAGGATATCTGGCCTCCTTTCAAGTTAGGGCTTCTCGCTGTATATTCCCCTTGAGGCAGCATAGTCGGAGTCCCTCCCACATACCTATTTCTGAGAAGCCTCCTCCTGAGGTGCTTCTGGAAATTTGGCATACGTCTTGAGCCTAAGCCAGGGAATCAGCTCTCATCTCGAGACGATTTGGGGTACACAGAGCATTCCTCGAGTTGCTGTGCTGAAGTTGGTGTTCCTCTAGACTTGAGACAGTGTTCTCGGGGCATCTCTGGAGTTGCCTGAAGGAAGGCGAGCCACCGTTCGTGTTGAACGGGGAACGGGGAATGGCTCTGGAGTCAATGCAGGGGAATCGGGCCTCATCTCGAGTTGATTTGGGGCACATGGAGCTGCTTTGCGTTGCTGAGGTGACCTCAGGGTCCGTCTAGACTGGTGACAGTGTTCTTGGGGACTGTCTCGAGATCCATTAAGCAAGTCGAAGCTCCTGACTTGTTTGAATGGGATCACGGAATAGCTCTGCATGCACTGCAGGGGAATGGGGCCTCATCTCGCCTATAGGGGGAAGTCTCATGGTTTTTCTCGAGTTGCGGCGGGGACCTGGGGTATGTTCTCGACTTACGGCGGGGATGGCCCTTCAAAACACGAGTTTCTTCCGTGACGTCAGGACTCCTGTCTAGAAACGAGGGACACCTCAGCAATCTCTTCGAGGCTTGGCAGGGCAAAAGGGACGCTTCTCGAGGTGAGCCAGGGCACCCAAGGACCCTTTCCAGTAGCCACAGGGATTTTGGGATTAGTATAAGTAATCAAGAGGAGTGATGCATCGTCACCTTTTGAAGCAATGAACTCCGCGTGCCTCTCGACGTGTCAGCGGGATGTGAGGATTCCATCAAAATGAGGCAGGGACCTAGGGCTTTCTCTAAGGTCTCCACAGGGGAATCAGACATCCCTTCATGTTGTGAGATGAAAGACGAACCTGTATTCAAGCCACTGCATGGAAATCCGGCCTCCTTTCAAGTTAGGGCTTCTCGCTGTATATTCCCCTTGAGGCAGCAAACTCGGGGTCCCTCCCACATACCTATTACTGAGAGAAGCCTCCTCCTGAGGTGCTTCTGGAAAGGTGGCATACGTCTTGAGCCTAAGCCAGGGAATCAGCTCTCATCTCGAGACGATTTGGGGTACACAGATCATTCCTCGAGTTGCTGTGCTGAAGTTGGTGGTCCTCTAGACTTGGGACAGTGTTCTCGGGGCATCTCTGGAGTTGCCTGAAGGAAGTCGAGCCACCGGTCGTGTTGAATGGGGAACAAGGAATGGCTCTGGAGTCAATGCAGGGGAATCCGGCCTCATCTCGAGTTGATTTGGGGCACATGGAGCTGCTTTGCATTGCTGGGTGACCTCAGGGTCCGACTAGACTGGTGACAGTGTTCTTGGGGACTGTCTCGATATCCATTAAGCAAGTCGAAGCTCCTGACTTGTTTGAATGGGATCACGGAATAGCTCTGCATGCACTGCAGGGGAATGGGGCCTCATCTCGCCTCTAGGGGGAAGTCTCATGGTTTTTCTCGAGTTGCGGCGGGGACCTGGGGTATGTTCTCGACTTACGGCGGGGATGGCCCTTCAAAACACGAGTTTCTTCCGTGACGTCAGGACTCCTGTCTAGTAACGAGGGACACCTCAGCAAACTCTTCGAGGCTTGGCAGGGCAAAAGGGACGCTTCTCGAGGTGAGCCAGGGCACCCAAGGACCCTTTCCAGTAGCCACAGGGATTTTGGGATTCCTATCAGTATTCAAGAGGAGTCAGGCATCGTCACCTTTTGAAGCAATGAACTCCGGGTGCCTCTCGAGGTGTCAGCGGGATGTGAGGATTCCGTCAAAATGAGGCAGGGACCTAGGGCTTTCTCTAAGGTCTCCACAGGGGATTCAGACATCCCTTCATGTTGTGAGATGAAAGACGAGCCTGTATTCAAGCCACTGCAAGGAAATCCGGCCTCCTTTCAAGTTAGGGCTTCTCGCTGTATATTCCCCTTGAGGCAGCAAACTCGGAGTCCCTCCCACATACCTATTGCTGAGAGAAGCCTCCTCCTGAGGTGCTTCTGGAAAGGTGGCATACGTCTTGAGCCTAAGCCAGGGAATCAGCTCTCATCTCGAGACTATTTGGGGTACACGGAGCATTCCTCGAGTTGCTGTGCCGAAGTTGGTGGTCCTCTAGACTTGGGACAGTGTTCTCCGGTCATCTCTGGAGTTGCCTGAAGGAAGTCGAGCCACCGGTCGTGTTGAATGGGGAACAAGGAATGGCTCTGGTGTCAATGCAGGGGAATCCGGCCTCATCTCGAGTTGATTTGGGGCACATGGAGCTGCTTTGCATTGCTGGTTGACCTCAGGGTCCGTCTAGACTGGTGACAGTGTTCTTGGGGACTGTCTCGAGATCCATTAAGCAAGTCGAAGCTCCTGACTTGTTTGAATGGGATCACGGAATAGCTCTGCATGCACTGCAGGGGAATGGGGCCTCATCTCGCCTCTAGGGGGAAGTCTCATGGTTTTTCTCGAGTTGCGGCGGGGACCTGGGGTATGTTCTCGACTTACGGCGGGGATGGCCCTTCAAAACACGAGTTTCTTCAGTGACGTCAGGACTCCTGTCTAGTAACGAGGGACACCTCAGCAATCTCTTCGAGGCTTGGCAGGGCAAAAGGGACGCTTCTCGAGGTGAGCCAGGGCACCCAAGGACCCTTTCCAGTAGCCACAGGGATTTTGGGATTCCTATAAGTAATCAAGAGGAGTCATGCATCGTCACCTTTTGAAGCAATGAACTCCGCGTGCCTCTCGACGTGTCAGCGGGATGTGAGGATTCCATCAAAATGAGGCAGGGACCTAGGGCTTTCTCTAAGGTCTCCACAGGGGAATCAGACATCCCTTCATGTTGTGAGATGAAAGACGAGCCTGTATTCAAGCCACTGCATGGAAATCCGGCCTCCTTTCAAGTTAGGGCTTCTCGCTGTATATTCCCCTTGAGGCAGCAAACTCGGGGTCCCTCCCACATACCTATTACTGAGAGAAGCCTCCTCCTGAGGTGCTTCTGGAAAGGTGGCATACGTCTTGAGCCTAAGCCAGGGAATCAGCTCTCATCTCGAGACGATTTGGGGTACACAGAGCATTCCTCGAGTTGCTGTGCTGAAGTTCGTGGTCCTCTAGACTTGGGACAGTGTTCTCGGGGCATCTCTGGAGTTGCCTGAAGGAAGTCGAGCCACCGGTCGTGTTGAATGGGGAACAAGGAATGGCTCTGGAGTCAATGCAGGGGAATCCGGCCTCATCTCGAGTTGATTTGGGGCACATGGAGCTGCTTTGCATTGCTGGGTGACCTCAGGGTCCGTCTAGACTGGTGACAGTGTTCTTGGGGACTGTCTCGAGATCCATTAAGCAAGTCGAAGCTCCTGACTTGTTTGAATGGGATCACGGAATAGCTCTGCATGCACTGCAGGGGAATGGGGCCTCATCTCGCCTCTAGGGGGAAGTCTCATGGTTTTTCTCGAGTTGCGGCGGGGACCTGGGGTATGTTCTCGACTTACGGCCGGGATGGCCCTTCAAAACACGAGTTTCTTCAGTGACGTCAGGACTCCTGCCTAGTAACGAGGGACACCTCAGGAATCTCTTCGAGGCTTGGCAGGGCAAAAGGGACGCTTCTCGAGGTGAGCCAGGGCACCCAAGGACCCTTTCCAGTAGCCACAGGGATTTTGGGATTCCTATAAGTAATCAAGAGGAGTCATGCATCGTCACCTTTTGAAGCAATGAACTTCGCGTGCCTCTCGAGGTGTCAGCGGGATGTGAGGCATTCCGTCAAAATGAGGCAGGGACCTAGGGCTTTCTCTAAGGTCTCCACAGGGGATTCAGACATCCCTTCATGTTGTGAGATGAAAGACAAGCCTGTATTCAAGCTACTGCAAGGAAATCCGGCCTCCTTTCAAGTTAGGGCTTCTCGCTGTATATTGCCCTTGAGGCAGCAAACTCGGAGTCCCTCCCACATACCTATTGCTGAGAAGCCTCCTCCTGAGGTGCTTCTGGAAAGTTGGCATACGTCTTGAGCCTAAGCCAGGGAATCAGCTCTCATCTCGAGACGATTTGGGGTACACAGATCATTCCTCGAGTTGCTGTGCTGAAGTTGGTGTTCCTCTAGACTTGGGACAGTGTTCTCGGGGCATCTCTGGAGTTGCCTGAAGGAAGTCGAGCCACCGGTCGTGTTGAATGGGGAACGGGGAATGGCTCTGGAGTCAATGCAGGGGAATCGGGCCTCATCTCGAGTTGATTTGTGGCACCTGGAGCTGCTTTGCGTTGCTGGGGTGACCTCAGGTTCCGTCTAGACTGGTGACAGTGTTCTTGGGGACTGCCTCGAGATCCATTAAGCAAGTCGAAGCTCCTGACTTGTTTGAATGGGATCACGGAATAGCTCTGCATGCACTGCAGGGGAATGGGGACTCATCTCGCCTCTAGGGGGAAGTCTCATGGTTTTTCTCGAGTTGCGGCGGGGACCTGGGGTATGTTCTCGACTTAAGGCGGGGATGGCCCTTCAAAACACGAGTTTCTTCCGTGACGTCAGGACTCCTGTCTAGTAACGAGGGACACCTCAGCAATCTCTTCGAGGCTTGGCAGGGCAAAAGGGACGCTTCTCGAGGTGAGCCAGGGCACCCAAGGACCCTTTCCAGTAGCAACAGGGATTTTGGGATTCCTATCAGTATTCAAGAGGAGTCAGGCATCGTCACCTTTTGAAGCAATGAACTCCGCGTGCCTCTCGACGTGTCAGCGGGATGTGAGGATTCCGTCAAAATGAGGCAGGGACCTAGGGCTTTCTCTAAGGTCTCCACAGGGGATTCAGACATCCCTTCATGTTGTGAGATGAAAGACGAGCCTGTATTCAAGCCACTGCATGGAAATCCGGCCTCCTTTCAAGTTAGGGCTTCTCGCTGTATATTCCCCTTGAGGCAGCAAACTCGGGGTCCCTCCCACATACCTATTACTGAGAGAAGCCTCCTCCTGAGGTGCTTCTGGAAAGGTGGCATACGTCTTGAGCCTAAGCCAGGGAATCAGCTCTCATCTCGAGACGATTTGGGGTACACAGATCATTCCTCGAGTTGCTGTGCTGAAGTTGGTGGTCCTCTAGACTTGGGACAGTGTTCTCGGGGCATCTCTGGAGTTGCCTGAAGGAAGTCGAGCCACCGGTCGTGTTGAATGGGGAACAAGGAATGGCTCTGGAGTCAATGCAGGGGAATCCGGCCTCATCTCGAGTTGATTTGGGGCACATGGAGCTGCTTTGCATTGCTGGGTGACCTCAGGGTCCGTCTAGACTGGTGACAGTGTTCTTGGGGACTGTCTCGAGATCCATTAAGCAAGTCGAAGCTCCTGACTTGTTTGAATGGGATCACGGAATAGCTCTGCATGCACTGCAGGGGAACGGGGCCTCATCTCGCCTCTAGGGGGAAGTCTCATGGTTTTTCTCGAGTTGCGGCGGGGACCTGGGGTATGTTCTCGACTTACGGCGGGGATGGCCCTTCAAAATACGAGTTTCTTCAGTGACGTCAGGACTCCTGCCTAGTAACGAGGGACACCTCAGGAATCTCTTCGAGGCTTGGCAGGGCAAAAGGGACGCTTCTCGAGGTGAGCCAGGGCACCCAAGGACCGTTTCCAGTAGCCACAGGGATTTTGGGATTCCTATAAGTAATCAAGAGGAGTCATGCATCGTCACCTTTTGAAGCAATGAACTCCGCGTGCCTCTCGAGGTGTCAGCGGGATGTGAGGCATTCCGTCAAATGAGGCAGGGACCTAGGGCTTTCTCTAAGGTCTCCACAGGGGATTCAGACATCCCTTCATGTTGTGAGATGAAAGACAAGCCTGTATTCAAGCTACTGCAAGGAAATCCGGCCTCCTTTCAAGTTAGGGCTTCTCGCTGTATATTGCCCTTGAGGCAGCAAACTCGGAGTCCCTCCCACATACCTATTGCTGAGAAGCCTCCTCCTGAGGTGCTTCTGGAAAGGTGGCATACGTCTTGAGCCTAAGCCAGGGAATCAGCTCTCATCTCGAGACGATTTGGGGTACACGGAGCATTCCTCGAGTTGCTGTGCCGAAGTTGGTGGTCCACTAGACTTGGGACAGTGTTCTCGGGTCATCTCTGGAGTTGCCTGAAGGAAGTCGAGCCACCGGTCGTGTTGAATGGGGAACAAGAAATGGCTCTGGAGTCAATGCAGGGGAATCCGGCCTCATCTCGAGTTGATTTGGGGCACATGGAGCTGCTTTGCATTGCTGGTTGACCTCAGGGTCCGTCTAGACTGGTGACAGTGTTCTTGGGGACTGTCTCGAGATCCATTAAGCAAGTCGAAGCTCCTGACTTGTTTGAATGGGATCAGGGAATAGCTCTGCATGCACTGCAGGGGAATGGGGCCTCATCTCGCCTCTAGGGGGAAGTCTCATGGTTTTTCTCGAGTTGCGGCGGGGACCTGGGGTATATTCTCGACTTACGGCGGGGATGGCCCTTCAAAACACGAGTTTCTTCAGTGACGTCAGGACTCCTGTCTAGTAACGAGGGACACCTCAGCAATCTCTTCGAGGCTTGGCAGGGCAAAAGGGACGCTTCTCGAGGTGAGCCAGGGCACCCAAGGACCCTTTCCAGTAGCCACAGGGATTTTGGGATTCCTATAAGTAATCAAGAGGAGTCATGCATCGTCACCTTTTGAAGCAATGAACTCCGCGTGCCTCTCGACGTGTCAGCGGGATGTGAGGATTCCATCAAAATGAGGCAGGGACCTAGGGCTTTCTCTAAGGTCTCCACAGGGGAATCAGACATCCCTTCATGTTGTGAGATGAAAGACGAGCCTGTATTCAAGCCACTGCATGGAAATCCGGCCTCCTTTCAAGTTAGGGCTTCTCGCTGTATATTCCCCTTGAGGCAGCAAACTCGGGGTCCCTCCCACATACCTATTGCTGAGAGAAGCCTCCTCCTGAGGTGCTTCTGGAAAGGTGGCATACGTCTTGAGCCTAAGCCAGGGAATCAGCTCTCATCTCGAGACGATTTGGGGTACACAGAGCATTCCTCGAGTTGCTGTGCTGAAGTTGGTGGTCCTCTAGACTTGGGACAGTGTTCTCGGGGCATCTCTGGAGTTGCCTGAAGGAAGTCGAGCCACCGGTCGTGTTGAATGGGGAACAAGGAATGGCTCTGGAGTCAATGCAGGGGAATCCGGCCTCATCTCGAGTTGATTTGGGGCACATGGAGTTGCTTTGCATTGCTGGGTGACCTCAGGGTCCGTCTAGACTGGTGACAGTGTTCTTGGGGACTGTCTCGAGATCCATTAAGCAAGTCGAAGCTCCTGACTTGTTTGAATGGGATCACGGAATAGCTCTGCATGCACTGCAGGGGAATGGGGCCTCATCTCGCCTCTAGGGGGAAGTCTCATGGTTTTTCTCGAGTTGCGGCGGGGACCTGGGATATGTTCTCGACTTACGGCGGGGATGGCCCTTCAAAACACGAGTTTCTTCAGTGACGTCAGGACTCCTGCCTAGTAACGAGGGACACCTCAGGAATCTCTTCGAGGCTTGGCAGGGCAAAAGGGACGCTTCTCGAGGTGAGCCAGGGCACCCAAGGACCCTTGCCAGTAGCCACAGGGATTTTGGGATTCCTATAAGTAATCAAGAGGAGTCATGCATCGTCACCTTTTGAAGCAATGAACTCCGCGTGCCTCTCGAGGTGTCAGCGGGATGTGAGGCATTCCGTCAAAATGAGGCAGTGACCTAGGGCTTTCTCTAAGGTCTCCACAGGGGATTCAGACATCCCTTCATGTTGTGAGATGAAAGACAAGCCTGTATTCAAGCTACTGCAAGGAAATCCGGCCTCCTTTCAAGTTAGGGCTTCTCGCTGTATATTGCCCTTGAGGCAGCAAACTCGGAGTCCCTCCCACATACCTATTGCTGAGAAGCCTCCTCCTGAGGTGCTTCTGGAAAGTTGGCATACGTCTTGAGCCTAAGCCAGGGAATCAGCTCTCATCTCGAGACGATTTGGGGTACACAGATCATTCCTCGAGTTGCTGTGCTGAAGTTGGTGTTCCTCTAGACTTGGGACAGTGTTCTCGGGGCATCTCTGGAGTTGCCTGAAAGAAGTCGAGCCACCGGTCGTGTTGAATGGGGAACGGGGAATGGCTCTGGAGTCAATGCAGGGGAATCGGGCCTCATCTCGAGTTGATTTGTGGCACCTGGAGCTGCTTTGCGATGCTGGGGTGACCTCAGGTTCCGTCTAGACTGGTGACAGTGTTCTTGGGGACTGCCTCGAGATCCATTAAGCAAGTCGAAGCTCCTGACTTGTTTGAATGGGGTCACGGAATAGCTCTGCATGCACTGCAGGGGAATGGGGACTCATCTCGCCTCTAGGGGGAAGTCTCATGGTTTTTCTCGAGTTGCGGCGGGGACCTGGGGTATGTTCTCGACTTACGGCGGGGATGGCCCTTCAAAACACGAGTTTCTTCCGTGACGTCAGGACTCCTGTCTAGTAACGAGGGACACCTCAGCAATCTCTTCGAGGCTTGGCAGGGCAAAAGGGACGCTTCTCGAGGTGAGCCAGGGCACCCAAGGACCCTTTCCAGTAGCAACAGGGATTTTGGGATTCCTATCAGTATTCAAGAGGAGTCAGGCATCGTCACCTTTTGAAGCAATGAACTCCGCGTGCCTCTCGACGTGTCAGCGGGATGTGAGGATTCCGTCAAAATGAGGCAGGGACCTAGGGCTTTCTCTAAGGTCTCCACAGGGGATTCAGACATCCCTTCATGTTGTGAGATGAAAGACGAGCCTGTATTCAAGCCACTGCAAGGAAATCCGGCCTCCTTTCAAGTTAGGGCTTCTCGCTGTATATTCCCCTTGAGGCAGCAAACTCGGGGTCCCTCCCACATACCTATTGCTGAGAGAAGCCTCCTCCTGAGGTGCTTCTGGAAAGTTGGCATACGTCTTGAGCCTAAGCCAGGGATTCAGCTCTCATCTCGAGACGATTTGGGGTACACAGAGCATTCCTCGAGTTGCTGTGCTGAAGTTGGTGTTCCTCTAGACTTGGGACAGTGTTCTCTGGGCATCTCCAGAGTTGCATGAAGGAAGTCGAGCCACCGGTCGTGTTGAATGGGGAACGGGGAATGGCTCTGGAGTCAATGCAGGGGAATCGGGCCTCATCTCTAGTTGATTTGTGGCACCTGGAGCTGCTTTGCGTTGCTGGGGTGACCTCAGGGTCCATCTAGACTGGTGACAGTGTTCTTGGGGACTGCCTCGAGATCCATTAAGCAAGTCGAAGCTCCTGACTTGTTTGAATGGGATCACGGAATAGCTCTGCATGCACTGCAGGGGAATGGGGCCTCATCTCGCCTCTAGGGGGAAGTCTCATGGTTTTTCTCGAGTTGCGGCGGGGACCTGGGGTATGTTCTCGACTTACGGCGGGGATGGCCCTTCAAAACACGAGTTTCTTCAGTGACGTCAGGACTCCTGCCTAGTAACGAGGGACACCTCAGCAATCTCCTCGAGGCTTGGCAGGGCAAAAGGGACGCTTCTCGAGGTGAGCCAGGGCACCCAAGGACCCTTTCCAGTAGCCACAGGGATTTTGGGATTCCTATAAGTATTCAAGAGGAGTCAGGCATCGTCACATTTTGAAGCAATGAACACCGCGTGCCTCTCGAGGTGTCAGCGGGATGTGAGGATTCCGTCAAAATGAGGCAGGGACCTAGGGCTTTCTCTAAGGTATCCACAGGGGATTCAGACATCCCTTCATGTTGTGAGATGAAAGACGAGCCTGTATTCAAGACACTGCAAGGAAATCCGGCCTCCTTTCAAGTTAGGGCTTCTCGCTGTATATTCCCCTTGAGGCAGCAAACTCGGGGTCCCTCCCACATACCTATTGCTGAGAGAAGCCTCCTCCTGAGGTGCTTCTGGAAAGGTGGCATACGTCTTGAGCCTAAGCCAGGGAATCAGCTCTCATCTCGAGACGATTTGGGGTACACTGAGCATTCCTCGAGTTGCTGTGCTGAAGTTTGTGGTCCTCTAGACTTGGGACAGTGTTCTCGGGGCATCTCTGGAGTGGCCTGAAGGAAGTCGAGCCACCGGTCGTGTTGAATGGGGAACAAGGAATGGCTCTGGAGTCAATGCAGGGGAATCCGGCCTCATCTCGAGTTGATTTGGGGCACATGGAGCTGCCTTGCATTGCTGGGTGACCTCAGGGTCCGTCTAGACTGGTGACAGTGTTCTTGGGGACTGTCTCGAGATCCATTAAGCAAGTCGAAGCTCCTGACTTGTTTGAATGGGATCACGGAATAGCTCTGCATGCACTGCAGGGGAATGGGGCCTCATCTCGCCTCTAGGGGGAAGTCTCATGGTTTTTCTCGAGTTGCGGCGGAGACCTGGGGTATGTTCTCGACTGAAGGCGGGGATGGCCCTTCAAAACACGAGTTTCTTCAGTGACGTCAGGACTCCTGTCTAGTAACGAGGGACACATCAGCAATCTCTTCGAGGCTTGGCAGGGCAAAAGGGACGCTTCTCGAGGTGAGCCAGGGCACCCAAGGACCCTTTCCAGTAGCCACAGGGATTTTGGGATTCCTATCAGTATTCAAGAGGAGTCATGCATCGTCACCTTTTGAAGCAATGTACTCCGCGTGCCTCTCGAGTTGTCAGCGGGATGTGAGGCATTCCGTCAAAATGAGGCAGGGACCTAGGGCTTTCTCTAAGGTATGCACAGGGGATTCAGACATCCCTTCATGTTGTGAGATGAAAGACGAGCCTGTATTCAAGCCACTGCAAGGAAATCCGGCCTCCTTTCAAGTTAGGGCTTCTCGCTGTATATTGCCCTTGAGGCAGCAAACTCGGGGTCCCTCCCACATACCTATTACTGAGAGAAGCCTCCTCCTGAGGTGCTTCTGGAAAGGTGGCATACGTCTTGAGCCTAAGCCAGGGAATCAGCTCTCATCTCGAGACGATTTGGGGTACACAGAGCATTCCTCGAGTTGCTGTGCTGAAGTTGGTGGTCCTCTAGACTTGGGACAGTGTTCTCGGGGCATCTCTGGAGTTGCCTGAAGGAAGTCGAGCCACCGGTCGTGTTGAATGGGGAACAAGGAATGGCTCTGGAGTCAATGCAGGGGAATCCGGCCTCATCTCGAGTTGATTTGGGGCACATGGAGTTGCTTTGCATTGCTGGGTGACCTCAGGGTCCGACTAGACCGGTGACAGTGTTCTTGGGGACTGTCTCGATATCCATTAAGCAAGTCGAAGCTCCTGACTTGTTTGAATGGGATCACGGAATAGCTCTGCATGCACTGCAGGGGAATGGGGCCTCATCTCGCCTCTAGGGGGAAGTCTCATGGTTTTTCTCGAGTTGCGGCGGGGACCTGGGGTATGTTCTCGACTTACGGCGGGGATAGCCCTTCAAAACACGAGTTTCTTCCGTGACGTCAGGACTCCTGTCTAGTAACGAGGGACACCTCAGCAATCTCTTCGAGGCTTGGCAGGGCAAAAGGGACGCTTCTCGAGGTGAGCCAGGGCACCCAAGGACCCTTTCCAGTAGCCACAGGGATTTTGGGATTCCTATCAGTATTCAAGAGGAGTCAGGCATCGTCACCTTTTGAAGCAATGAACTCCGCGTGCCTCTCGAGGTGTCAGCGGGATGTGAGGATTCCGTCAAAATGAGGCAGGGACCTAGCGCTTTCTCTAAGGTCTCCACAGGGGATTCAGACATCCCTTCATGTTGTGAGATGAAAGACGAGCCTGTATTCAAGCCACTGCAAGGAAATCCGGCCTCCTTTCAAGTTAGGGCTTCTCGCTGTATATTCCCCTTGAGGCAGCAAACTCGGAGTCCCTCCCACATAACTATTGCTGAGAGAAGCCTCCTCCTGAGGTGCTTCTGGAAAGGTGGCATAGGTCTTGAGCCTAAGCCAGGGAATCAGCTCTCATCTCGAGACGATTTGGGGTACACGGAGCATTCCTCGAGTTGCTGTGCTGAAGTTGGTGGTCCTCTAGACTTGGGACAGTGTTCTCGGGTCATCTCTGGAGTTGCCTGAAGGAAGTCGACCACCGGTCGTGTTGAATGGGGAAGAAGGAATGGCTCTGGAGTCAATGCAGGGGAATCCGGCCTCATCTCGAGTTGATTTGGGGCACATGGAGCTGCTTTGCATTGCTGGTTGACCTCAGGGTCCGTCTAGACTGGTGACAGTGTTCTTGGGGACTGTCTCGAGATCCATTAAGCAAGTCGAAGCTCCTGACTTGTTTGAATGGGATCAGGGAATATCTCTGCATGCACTGCAGGGGAATGGGGCCTCATCTCGCCTCTAGGGGGAAGTCTCATGGTTTTTCTCGAGTTGCGGCGGGGACCTGGGGTATGTTCTCGACTTACGGCGGGGATGGCCCTTCAAAACACGAGTTTCTTCAGTGACGTCAGGACTCCTGTCTAGTAACGAGGGACACCTCAGCAATCTCTTCGAGGCTTGGAAGGGCAAAAGGGACGCTTCTCGAGGTGAGCCAGGGCACCCAAGGACCCTTTCCAGTAGCCACAGGGATTTTGGAATTCCTATAAGTAATCAAGAGGAGTCATGCATCATCACCTTTTGAAGCAATGAACTCCGCGTGCCTCTCGACGTGTCAGCGGGATGTGAGGATTCCATCAAAATGAGGCAGGGACCTAGGGCTTTCTCTAAGGTCTCCACAGGGGAATCAGACATCCCTTCATGTTGTGAGATGAAAGACGAGCTTGTATTCAAGCCACTGCATGGAAATCCGGCCTCCTTTCAAGTTAGGGCTTCTCGCTGTATATTCCCCTTGAGGCAGCAAACTCGGGGTCCCTCCCACATAACTATTACTGAGAGAAGCCTCCTCCTGAGGTGCTTTTGGAAAGGTGGCATACGTCTTGAGCCTAAGCCAGGGAATCAGCTCTCATCTCGAGACGATTTGGGGTACACAGAGCATTCCTCGAGTTGCTGTGCTGAAGTTGGTGGTCCTCTAGACTTGGGACAGTGTTCTCTGGGCATCTCTGGAGTTGCCTGAAGGAAGTCGAGCCACCGGTCGTGTTGAATGGGGAACAAGGAATGGCTCTGGAGTCAATGCAGGGGAATCCGGCCTCATCTCGAGTTGATTTGGGGCACATGGAGCTGCTTTGCATTGCTGGGTGACCTCAGGGTCCGTCTAGACTGGTGACAGTGTTCTTGGGGACTGTCTCGAGATCCATTAAGCAAGTCGAAGCTCCTGACTTGTTTGAATGGGATCACGGAATAGCTCTGCATGCACTGCAGGGGAATGGGGCCTCATCTCGCCTCTAGGGGGAAGTCTCATGGTTTTTCTCGAGTTGCGGCGGGGACCTGGGGTATGTTCTCGACTTACGGCGGGGATGGCCCTTCAAAATAAGAGTTTCTTCAGTGACGTCAGGACTCCTGCCTAGTAACGAGGGACACCTCAGGAATCTCTTCGAGGCTTGGCAGGGCAAAAGGGACGCTTCTCGAGGTGAGCCAGGGCACCCAAGGACCCTTGCCAGTAGCCAGAGGGATTTTGGGATTCCTATAAGTAATCAAGAGGAGTCATGCATCGTCACCTTTTGAAACAATGAACTCCGCGTGCCTCTCGAGGTGTCAGCGGGATGTGAGGCATTCCGTCAAAATGAGGCAGGGACCTAGGGCTTTCTCTAAGGTCTCCACAGGGGATTCAGACATCCCTTCATGTTGTGAGATGAAAGACAAGCCTGTATTCAAGCTACTGCAAGGAAATCCGGCCTCCTTTCAAGTTAGGGCTTCTCGCTGTATATTGCCCTTGAGGCAGCAAACTCGGAGTCCCTCCCACATACCTATTGCTGAGAAGCCTCCTCCTGAGGTGCTTCTGGAAAGTTGGCATACGTCTTGAGCCTAAGCCAGGGAATCAGCTCTCATCTCGAGACGATTTGGGGTACACAGATCATTCCTCGAGTTGCTGTGCTGAAGTTGGTGTTCCTCTAGACTTGGGACAGTGTTCTCGGGGCATCTCTGGAGTTGCCTGCAGGAAGTCGAGCCACCGGTCGTGTTGAATGGGGAACGGGGAATGGCTCTGGAGTCAATGCAGGGGAATCGGGCCTCATCTCGAGTTGATTTGTGGCACCTGGAGCTGCTTTGCGTTGCTGGGGTGACCTCAGGGTCCATCTAGACTGGTGACAGTGTTCTTGGGGACTGCCTCGAGATCCATTAAGCAAGTCGAAGCTCCTGACTTGTTTGAATGGGATCACGGAATAGCTCTGCATGCACTGCAGGGGAATGGGGCCTCATCTCGCCTCTAGGGGGAAGTCTCATGGTTTTTCTCGAGTTGCGGCGGGGACCTGGGGTATGTTCTCGACTTACGGCGGGGATGGCCCTTCAAAACACGAGTTTCTTCAGTGACGTGAGGACTCCTGCCTAGTAACGAGGGACACCTCAGCAATCTCTTCGAGGCTTGGCAGGGCAAAAGGGACGCTTCTCGAGGTGAGCCAGGGCACCCAAGGACCCTTTCCAGTAGCCACAGGGATTTTGGGATTCCTATAAGTAATCAAGAGGAGTCATGCATCGTCACCTTTTGAAGCAATGAACTCCGCGTGCCTCTCGACGTGTCAGCGGGATGTGAGGATTCCGTCAAAATGAGGCAGGGACCTAGGGCTTTCTCTAAGGTCTCCACAGGGGATTCAGACATCCCTTCATGTTGTGAGATGAAAGACGAGCCTGTATTCAAGCCACTGTATGGAAATCCGGCCTCCTTTCAAGTTAGGGCTTCTCGCTGTATATTCCCCTTGAGGCAGCAAACTCGGGGTCCCTCCCACATACCTATTACTGAGAGAAGCCTCCTCCGGAGGTGCTTCTGGAAAGGTGGCATACGTCTTGAGCCTAAGCCAGGGAATCAGCTCTCATCTCGAGACGATTTGGGGTACACAGAGCATTCCTCGAGTTGCTGTGCTGAAGTTGGTGGTCCTCTAGACTTGGGACAGTGTTCTCGGGGCATCTCTGGAGTTGCCTGAAGGAAGTCGAGCCACCGGTCGTGTTGAATGGGGAACAAGGAATGGCTCTGGAGTCAATGCAGGGGAATCCGGCCTCATCTCGAGTTGATTTGGGGCACATGGAGCTGCTTTGCATTGCTGGGTGACCTCAGGGTCCGTCTAGACTGGTGACAGTGTTCTTGGGGACTGTCTCGAGATCCATTAAGCAAGTCGAAGCTCCTGACTTGTTTGAATGGGATCACGGAATAGCTCTGCATGCACTGCAGGGGAATGGGGCCTCATCTCGCCTCTAGGGGGAAGTCTCATGGTTTTTCTCGAGTTGCGGCGGGGACCTGGGGTATGTTCTCGACTTACGGCGGGGATGGCCCTTCAAAATACGAGTTTCTTCAGTGACGTCAGGACTCCTGCCTAGTAACGAGGGACACCTCAGGAATCTCGTCGAGGCTTGGCAGGGCAAAAGGGACGCTTCTCGAGGTGAGCAAGGGCACCCAAGGACCCTTGCCAGTAGCCACAGGGATTTTGGGATTCCTATAAGTAATCAAGAGGAGTCATGCATCGTCACCTTTTGAAGCAATGAACTCCGCGTGCCTCTCGAGGTGTCAGCGGGATGTGAGGCATTCCGTCAAAATGAGGCAGGGACCTAGGGCTTTCTCTAAGGTCTCCACAGGGGATTCAGACATCCCTTCATGTTGTGAGATGAAAGACAAGCCTGTATTCAAGCTACTGCAAGGAAATCCGGCCTCCTTTCAAGTTAGGGCTTCTCGCTGTATATTGCCCTTGAGGCAGCAAACTCGGTGTCCCTCCCACATACCTATTGCTGAGAAGCCTCCTCCTGAGGTGCTTCTGGAAAGTTGGCATACGTCTTGAGCCTAAGCCAGGGAATCAGCTCTCATCTCGAGACGATTTGGGGTACACAGATCATTCCTCGAGTTGCTGTGCTGAAGTTGGTGTTACTCTAGACTTGGGACAGTGTTCTCGGGGCATCTCTGGAGTTGCCTGAAGGAAGGCGAGCCACCGGTCGTGTTGAATGGGGAACGGGGAATGGCTCTGGAGTCAATGCAGGGGAATCGGGCCTCATCTCGAGTTGATTTGTGGCACCTGGAGCTGCTTTGCGTTGCTGGGGTGACCTCAGGTTCCGTCTAGACTGGTGACAGTGTTCTTGGGGACTGCCTCGAGATCCATTAAGCAAGTCGAAGCTCCTGACTTGTTTGAATGGGATCACGGAATAGCTCTGCATGCACTGCAGGGGAATGGGGCCTCATCTCGCCTCTAGGGGGAAGTCTCATGGTTTTTCTCGAGTTGCGGCGGGGACCTGGGGTATGTTCTCGACTTACGGCGGGGATGGCCCTTCAAAACACGAGTTTCTTCCGTGACGTCAGGACTCCTGTCTAGTAACGAGGGACACATCAGCAATCTCTTCGAGGCTTGGCAGGGCAAAAGGGACGCTTCTCGAGGTGAGCCAGGGCACCCAAGGACCCTTTCCAGTAGCCACAGGGATTTTGGGATTCCTATCAGTATTCAAGAGGAGTCAGGCATCGTCACCTTTTGAAGCAATGTACTCCGCGTGCCTCTCGAGTTGTCAGCGGGATGTGAGGCATTCCGTCAAAATGAGGCAGGGACCTAGGGCTTTCTCTAAGGTCTTCACAGGGGATTCAGACATCCCTTCATGTTGTGAGATGAAAGACGAGCCTGTATTCAAGCCACTGCAAGGAAATCCGGCCTCCTTTCAAGTTAGGGCTTCTCGCTGTATATTCCCCTTGAGGCAGCAAACTCGGGGTCCCTCCCACATACCTATTGCTGCGAGAAGCCTCCTCCTGAGGTGCTTCTGGAAAGGTGGCATACGTCTTGAGCCTAAGCCAGGGAATCAGCTCTCATCTCGAGACGATTTGGGGTACACAGAGCATTCCTCGAGTTGCTGTGCTGAAGTTGGTGGTCCTCTAGACTTGGGACAGTGTTCCCTGGGCATCTCTGGAGTTGCCTGAAGGAAGTCGAGCCACCGGTCGTGTTGAATGGGGAACAAGGAATGGCTCTGGAGTCAATGCAGGGGAATCCGGCCTCATCTCGAGTTGATTTGGGGCACATGGAGCTGCTTTGCATTGCTGGGTGACCTCAGGGTCCATCTAGACTGGTGACAGTGTTCTTGGGGACTCTCTCGAGATCCATTAAGCAAGTCGAAGCTCCTGACTTGTTTGAATGGGATCACGGAATAGCTCTGCATGCGCTGCAGGGGAATGGGGCCTCATCTCGCCTCTAGGGGGAAGTCTCATGGTTTTTCTCGAGTTGCGGCGGGGACCTGGGGTATGTTCTCGACTTACGGCGGGGATGGCCCTTCAAAACACGAGTTTCTTCCGTGACGTCAGGACTCCTGTCTAGTAACGAGGGACACCTCAGCAATCTCTTCGAGGCTTGGCAGGGCAAAAGGGACGCTTCTCGATGTGAGCCAGGGCACCCAACGACCCTTTCCAGTAGCCACAGGGATTTTGGGATTCCTATAAGTAATCAAGAGGAGTCATGCATCGTCACCTTTTGAAGCAATGAACTCCGCGTGCCTCTCGACGTGTCAGCGGGATGTGAGGATTCCGTCAAAATGAGGCAGGGACCTAGGGCTTTCTCTAAGGTCTCCACAGGGGATTCAGACATCCCTTCATGTTGTGAGATGAAAGACGAGCCTGTATTCAAGCCACTGCATGGAAATCCGGCCTCCTTTCAAGTTAGGGCTTCTCGCTGTATATTCCCCTTGAGGCAGCAAACTCGGGGTCCCATCCACATACCTATTACTGAGAGAAGCCTCCTCCTGAGGTGCTTCTGGAAAGGTGGCATACGTCTTGAGCCTAAGCCAGGGAATCAGCTCTCATCTCGAGACGATTTGGGGTACACAGAGCATTCCTCGAGTTGCTGTGCTGAAGTTGGTGGTCCTCTAGACTTGGGACAGTGTTCTCGGGGCATCTCTGGAGTTGCCTGAAGGAAGTCGAGCCACCGGTCGTGTTGAATGGGGACAAGGAATGGCTCTGGAGTCAATGCAGGGGAATCCGGCCTCATCTCGAGTTGATTTGGGGCACATGGAGCTGCTTTGCATTGCTGGGTGACCTCAGGGTCCGTCTAGACTGGTGACAGTGTTCTTGGGGACTGTCTCGAGATCCATTAATCAAGTCGAAGCTCCTGACTTGTTTGAATGGGATCACGGAATAGCTCTGCATTCACTGCAGGGGAATGGGGCCTCATCTCGCCTCTAGGGGGAAGTCTCATGGTTTTTCTCGAGTTGCGGCGGGGACCTGGGGTATGTTCTCGACTTACGGCGGGGATGGCCCTTCAAAATACGAGTTTCTTCAGTGACGTCAGGACTCCTGCCTATTAACGAGGGACACCTCAGGAATCTCTTCGAGGCTTGGCAGGGCAAAAGGGACGCTTCTCGAGGTGAGCCAGGGCACCCAAGAACCCTTGCCAGTAGCCACAGGGATTTTGGGATTCCTATAAGTAATCAAGAGGAGTCATGCATCGTCACCTTTTGAAGCAATGAACTCCGCGTGCCTCTCGAGGTGTTTGCGGGATGTGAGGCATTCCGTCAAAATGAGGCAGGGAACTAGGGCTTTCTCTAAGGTCTCCACAGGGGATTCAGACATCCCTTCATGTTGTGAGATGAAAGACAAGCCTGTATTCAAGCTACTGCAAGGAAATCCGGCCTCCTTTCAAGTTAGGGCTTCTCGCTGTATATTGCCCTTGAGGCAGCAAACTCGGAGTCCCTCCCACATACCTATTGCTGAGAAGCCTCCTCCTGAGGTGCTTCTGGAAAGTTGGCATACGTCTTGAGCCTAAGCCAGGGAATCAGCTCTCATCTCGAGACGATTTGGGGTACACAGATCATTCCTCGAGTTGCTGTGCTGAAGTTGGTGTTCCTCTAGACTTGGGACAGTGTTCTCGGGTCATCTCTGGAGTTGCCTGAAGGAAGGCGAGCCACCGGTCGTGTTGAATGGGGAACGGGGAATGGCTCTGGAGTCAATGCAGGGGAATCGGGCCTCATCTCGAGTTGATTTGTGGCACCTGGAGCTGCTTTGCGTTGCTGGGGTGACCTCAGGTTCCGTCTAGACTGGTGACAGTGTTCTTGGGGACTGCCTCGAGATCCATTAAGCAAGTCGAAGCTCCTGACTTGTTTGAATGGGATCACGGAATAGCTCTGCATGCACTGCAGGGGAATGGGGCCTCATCTCGCCTCTAGGGGGAAGTCTCATGGTTTTTCTCGAGTTGCGGCGGGGACCTGGCGTATGTTCTCGACTTACGGCGGGGATGGCCCTTCAAAACACGAGTTTCTTCAGTGACGTCAGGACTCCTGTCTAGTAACGAGGGACACATCAGCAATCTCTTCGAGGCTTGGCAGGGCAAAAGGGACGCTTCTCGAGGTGAGCCAGGGCACCCAAGGACCCTTTCCAGTAGCCACAGGGATTTTGGGATTCCTATCAGTATTCAAGAGGAGTCAGGCATCGTCACCTTTTGAAGCAATGTACTCCGCGTGCCTCTCGAGTTGTCAGCGGGATGTGAGGCATTCCGTCTAAATGAGGCAGGGACCTAGGGCTTTCTCTAAGGTATTCACAGGGGATTCTGACATCCCTTCATGTTGTGAGATGAAAGACGAGCCTGTATTCAAGCCACTGCAAGGAAATCCGGCCTCCTTTCAAGTTAGGGCTTCTCGCTGTATATTCCCCTTGAGGCAGCAAACTCGGGGTCCCTCCCACATACCTATTGCTGAGAGAAGCCTCCTCCTGAGGTGCTTCTGGAAAGGTGGCATACGTCTTGAGCCTAAGCCAGGGAATCAGCTCTCATCTCGAGACGATTTGTGGTACACAGAGCATTCCTCGAGTTGCTGTGCTGAAGTTGGTGGTCCTCTAGACTTGGGACAGTGTTCTCGGGGCATCTCTGGAGTTGCCTGAAGGAAGTCGAGCCACCGGTCGTGTTGAATGGGGAACAAGGAATGGCTCTGGAGTCAATGCAGGGGAATCCGGCCTCATCTCGAGTTGATTTGGGGCACATGGAGTTGCTTTGCATTGCTGGGTGACCTCAGGGTCCGACTAGACCGGTGACAGTGTTCTTGGGGACTGTCTCGATATCCATTAAGCAAGTCGAAGCTCCTGACTTGTTTGAATGGGATCACGGAATAGCTCTGCATGCACTGCAGGGGAATGGGGCCTCATCTCGCCTCTAGGGGGAAGTCTCATGGTTTTTCTCGAGTTGCGGCGGGGACCTGGGGTATGTTCTCGACTTACGGCGGGGATGGCCCTTCAAAACACGAGTTTCTTCCGTGACGTCAGGACTCCTGTCTAGTAACGAGGGACACCTCAGCAATCTCTTCGAGGCTTGGCAGGGCAAAAGGGACGCTTCTCGAGGTGAGCCAGGGCACCCAAGGACCCTTTCCAGTAGCCACAGGGATTTTGGGATTCCTATCAGTATTCAAGAGGAGTCAGGCATCGTCACCTTTTGAAGCAATGAACTCCGCGTGCCTCTCGAGGTGTCAGCGGGATGTGAGGATTCCGTCAAAATGAGGCAGGGACCTAGGGCTTTCTCTAAGGTCTCCACAGGGGATTCAGACATCCCTTCATGTTGTGAGATGAAAGACGAGCCTGTATTCAAGCCACTGCAAGGAAATCCGGCCTCCTTTCAAGTTAGGGCTTCTCGCTGTATATTCCCCTTGAGGCAGCAAACTCGGAGTCCCTCCCACATAACTATTGCTGAGAGAAGCCTCCTCCTGAGGTGCTTCTGGAAAGGTGGCATACGTCTTGAGCCTAAGCCAGGGAATCAGCTCTCATCTCGAGACGATTTGGGGTACACGGAGCATTCCTCGAGTTGCTGTGCTGAAGTTGGTGGTCCTCTAGACTTGGGACAGTGTTCTCGGGTCATCTCTGGAGTTGCCTGAAGGAAGTCGACCACCGGTCGTGTTGAATGGGGAAGAAGGAATGGCTCTGGAGTCAATGCAGGGGAATCCGGCCTCATCTCGAGTTGATTTGGGGCACATGGAGCTGCTTTGCATTGCTGGGTGACCTCAGGGTCCGTCTAGACTGGTGACAGTGTTCTTGGGGACTGTCTCGAGATCCATTAAGCAAGTCGAAGCTCCTGACTTGTTTGAATGGGATCACGGAATAGCTCTGCATGCACTGCAGGGGAATGGGGCCTCATCTCGCCTCTAGGGGGAAGTCTCATGGTTTTTCTCGAGTTGCAGCGGGGACCTGGGTTATGTTCTCGACTTACGGCGGGGATGGCCCTTCAAAATACGAGTTTCTTCAGTGACGTCAGGACTCCTGCCTAGTAACGAGGGACACCTCAGGAATCTCGTTGAGGCTTGGCAGGGCAAAAGGGACGCTTCTCGAGGTGAGCCAGGGCACCCAAGGACCCTTGCCAGTAGCCACAGGGATTTTGGGATTCCTATAAGTAATCAAGAGGAGTCATGCATCGTCACCTTTTGAAGCAATGAACTCCGCGTGCCTCTCGAGGTGTCAGCGGGATGTGAGGCATTCCGTCAAAATGAGGCAGGGACCTAGGGCTTTCTCTAAGGTCTCCACAGGGGATTCAGACATCCCTTCATGTTGTGAGATGAAAGACAAGCCTGTATTCAAGCTACTGCAAGGAAATCCGGCCTCCTTTCAAGTTAGGGCTTCTCGCTGTATATTGCCCTTGAGGCAGCAAACTCGGAGTCCCTCCCACATACCTATTGCTGAGAAGCCTCCTCCTGAGGTGCTTCTGGAAAGTTGGCATACGTCTTGAGCCTAAGCCAGGGAATCAGCTCTCATCTCGAGACGATTTGGGGTACACAGATCATTCCTCGAGTTGCTGTGCTGAAGTTGGTGTTACTCTAGACTTGGGACAGTGTTCTCGGGGCATCTCTGGAGTTGCCTGAAGGAAGGCGAGCCACCGGTCGTGTTGAATGGGGAACGGGGAATGGCTCTGGAGTCAATGCAGGGGAATCGGGCCTCATCTCGAGTTGATTTGTGGCACCTGGAGCTGCTTTGCGTTGCTGGGGTGACCTCAGGTTCCGTCTAGACTGGTGACAGTGTTCTTGGGGACTGCCTCGAGATCCATTAAGCAAGTCGAAGCTCCTGACTTGTTTGAATGGGATCACGGAATAGCTCTGCATGCACTGCAGGGGAATGGGGCCTCATCTCGCCTCTAGGGGGAAGTCTCATGGTTTTTCTCGAGTTGCGGCGGGGACCTGGGGTATGTTCTCGACTTACGGCGGGGATGGCCCTTCAAAACACGAGTTTCTTCAGTGACGTCAGGACTCCTGTCTAGTAACGAGGGACACATCAGCAATCTCTTCGAGGCTTGGCAGGGCAAAAGGGACGCTTCTCGAGGTGAGCCAGGGCACCCAAGGACCCTTTCCAGTAGCCACAGGGATTTTGGGATTCCTATCAGTATTCAAGAGGAGTCAGGCATCGTCACCTTTTGAAGCAATGTACTCCGCGTGCCTCTCGAGTTGTCAGCGGGATGTGAGGCATTCCGTCAAAATGAGGCAGGGACCTAGGGCTTTCTCTAAGGTCTTCACAGGGGATTCAGACATCCCTTCATGTTGTGAGATGAAAGACGAGCCTGTATTCAAGCCACTGCAAGGAAATCCGGCCTCCTTTCAAGTTAGGGCTTCTCGCTGTATATTCCCCTTGAGGCAGCAAACTCGGGGTCCCTCCCACATACCTATTGCTGAGAGAAGCCTCCTCCTGAGGTGCTTCTGGAAAGGTGGCATACGTCTTGAGCCTAAGCCAGGGAATCAGCTCTCATCTCGAGACGATTTGGGGTACACAGAGCATTCCTCGAGTTGCTGTGCTGAAGTTGGTGGTCCTCTAGACTTGGGACAGTGTTCTCGGGTCATCTCTGGAGTTGCCTGAAGGAAGTCGAGCCAACGGTCGTGTTGAATGGGGAACAAGGAATGGCTCTGGAGTCAATGCAGGGGAATCCGGCCTCATCTCGAGTTGATTTGGGGCACATGGAGCTGCTTTGCATTGCTGGGTGACCTCAGGGTCCGTCTAGACTGGTGACAGTGTTCTTGGGGACTGTCTCGAGATCCATTAAGCAAGTCGAAGCTCCTGACTTGTTTGAATGGGATCACGGAATAGCTCTGCATGCACTGCAGGGGAATGGGGCCTCATCTCGCCTCTAGGGGGAAGTCTCATGGTTTTTCTCGAGTTGCGGCGGGGACCTGGGGTATGTTCTCGACTTACGGCGGGGATGGCCCTTCAAAACACGAGTTTCTTCCGTGACGTCAGGACTCCTGTCTAGTAACGAGGGGCACCTCAGCAATCTCTTCGAGGCTTGGCAGGGCAAAAGGGACGCTTCTCGAGGTGAGCCAGGGCACCCAAGGACCCTTTCCAGTAGCCACAGGGATTTTGGGATTCCTATAAGTAATCAAGAGGAGTCATGCATCGTCACCTTTTGAAGCAATGAACTCCGCGTGCCTCTCGACGTGTCAGCGGGATGTGAGGATTCCGTCAAAATGAGGCAGGGACCTAGGGCTTTCTCTAAGGTCTCCACAGGGGATTCAGACATCCCTTCATGTTGTGAGATGAAAGACGAGCCTGTATTCAAGCCACTGCATGGAAATCCGGCCTCCTTTCAAGTTAGGGCTTCTCGCTGTATATTCCCCTTGAGGCAGCAAACTCGGGGTCCCTCCCACATACCTATTACTGAGAGAAGCCTCCTCCGGAGGTGCTTCTGGAAAGGTGGCATACGTCTTGAGCCTAAGCCAGGGAATCAGCTCTCATCTCGAGACGATTTGGGGTACACAGAGCATTCCTCGAGTTGCTGTGTTGAAGTTGGTGGTCCTCTAGACTTGGGACAGTGTTCTCGGGGCATCTCTGGAGTTGCCTGAAGGAAGTCGAGCCACCGGTCGTGTTGAATGGGGAACGGGGAATGGCTCTGGAGTCAATGCAGGGGAATCCGGCCTCATCTCGAGTTGATTTGGGGCACATGGAGCTGCTTTGCATTGCTGGGTGACCTCAGGGTCCGTCTAGACTGGTGACAGTGTTCTTGGGGACTGCCTCGAGATCCATTAAGCAAGTCGAAGCTCCTGACTTGTTTGAATGGGATCACGGAATAGCTCTGCATGCACTGCAGGGGAATGGGGCCTCATCTCGCCTCTAGGGGGAAGTCTCATGGTTTTTCTCGAGTTGCGGCGGGGACCTGGCGTATGTTCTCGACTTACGGCGGGGATGGCCCTTCAAAACACGAGTTTCTTCAGTGACGTCAGGACTCCTGTCTAGTAACGAGGGACACATCAGCAATCTCTTCGAGGCTTGGCAGGGCAAAAGGGACGCTTCTCGAGGTGAGCCAGGGCACCCAAGGACCCTTGCCAGTAGCCAGAGGGATTTTGGGATTCCTATAAGTAATCAAGAGGAGTCATGCATCGTCACCTTTTGAAGCAATGAACTCCGCGTGCCTCTCGAGGTGTCAGCGGGATGTGAGGCATTCCGTCAAAATGAGGCAGGGACCTAGGGCAATCTCTAAGGTCTCCACAGGGGATTCAGACATCCCTTCATGTTGTGAGATGAAAGACAAGCCTGTATTCAAGCTACTGCAAGGAAATCCGGCCTCCTTTCAAGTTAGGGCTTCTCGCTGTATATTGCCCTTGAGGCAGCAAACTCGGAGTCCCTCCCACATACCTATTGCTGAGAAGCCTCCTCCTGAGGTGCTTCTGGAAAGTTGGCATACGTCTTGAGCCTAAGCCAGGGAATCAGCTCTCATCTCGAGACGATTTGGGGTACACAGATCATTCCTCGAGTTGCTGTGCTGAAGTTGGTGTTCCTCTAGACTTGGGACAGTGTTCTCGGGGCATCTCTGGAGTTGCCTGCAGGAAGTCGAGCCACCGGTCGTGTTGAATGGGGAACGGGGAATGGCTCTGGAGTCAATGCAGGGGAATCGGGCCTCATCTCGAGTTGATTTGTGGCACCTGGAGCTGCTTTGCGTTGCTGGGGTGACCTCAGGTTCCGTCTAGACTGGTGACAGCGTTCTTGGGGACTGCCTCGAGATCCATTAAGCAAGTCGAAGCTCCTGACTTGTTTGAATGGGATCACGGAATAGCTCTGCATGCACTGCAGGGGAATGGGGCCTCATCTCGCCTCTAGGGGGAAGTCTCATGGTTTTTCTCGAGTTGCGGCGGGGACCTGGGGTATGTTCTCGACTTACGGCGGGGATGGCCCTTCAAAACACGAGTTTCTTCCGTGACGTCAGGACTCCTGTCTAGTAACGAGGGACACCTCAGCAATCTCTTCGAGGCTTGGCAGGGCAAAAGGGACGCTTCTCGAGGTGAGCCAGGGCACCCAAGGACCCTTTCCAGTAGCAACAGGGATTTTGGGATTCCTATCAGTATTCAAGAGGAGTCAGGCATCGTCAACTTTTGAAGCAATGAACTCCGCGTGCCTCTCGAGGTGTCAGCGGGATGTGAGGATTCCGTCAAAATGAGGCAGGGACCTAGGGCTTTCTCTAAGGTCTCCACAGGGGATTCAGACATCCCTTCATGTTGTGAGATGAAAGACGAGCCTGTATTCAAGCCACTGCAAGGAAATCCGGCCTCCTTTCAAGTTAGGGCTTCTCGCTGTATATTCCCCTTGAGGCAGCAAACTCGGCGTCCCTCCCACATACCTATTGCTGAGAGAAGCCTCCTCCTGAGGTGCTTCTGGATAGGTGGCATACGTCTTGAGCCTAAGCCAGGGAATCAGCTCTCATCTCGAGACGATTTGGGGTACACGGAGCATTCCTCGAGTTGCTGTGCCGAAGTTGGTGGTCCTCTAGACTTGGGACAGTGTTCTCGGGTCATCTCTGGAGTTGCCTGAAGGAAGTCGAGCCACCGGTCGTGTTGAATGGGGAACAAGGAATGGCTCTGGAGTCAATGCAGGGGAATTCGGCCTCATCTCGAGTTGATTTGGGGCACATGGAGCTGCTTTGCATTGCTGGTTGACCTCAGGGTCCGTCTAGACTGGTGACAGTGTTCTTGGGGACTGTCTCGAGATCCATTAAGCAAGTCGAAGCTCCTGACTTGTTTGAATGGGATCAGGGAATAGCTCTGCATGCACTGCAGGGGAATGGGGCCTCATCTCGCCTCTAGGGGGAAGTCTCATGGTTTTTCTCGAGTTGCGGCGGGGACCTGGGGTATGTTCTCGACTTACGGCGGGGATGGCCCTTCAAAACACGAGTTTCTTCAGTGACGTCAGGACTCCTGTCTAGTAACGAGGGACACCTCAGCAATCTCTTCGAGGCTTGGCAGGGCAAAAGGGACGCTTCTCGAGGTGAGCCAGGGCACCCAAGGACCCTTGCCAGTAGCCAGAGGGATTTTGGGATTCCTATAAGTAATCAAGAGGAGTCATGCATCGTCACCTTTTGAAGCAATGAACTCCGCGTGCCTCTCGAGGTGTCAGCGGGATGTGAGGCATTCCGTCAAAATGAGGCAGGGACCTAGGGCAATCTCTAAGGTCTCCACAGGGGATTCAGACATCCCTTCATGTTGTGAGATGAAAGACAAGCCTGTATTCAATCTACTGCAAGGAAATCCGGCCTCCTTTCAAGTTAGGGCTTCTCGCTGTATATTGCCCTTGAGGCAGCAAACTCGGAGTCCCTCCCACATACCTATTGCTGAGAAGCCTCCTCCTGAGGTGCTTCTGGAAAGTTGGCATACGTCTTGAGCCTAAGCCAGGGAATCAGCTCTCATCTCGAGACGATTTGGGGTACACAGATCATTCCTCGAGTTGCTGTGCTGAAGTTGGTGTTCCTCTAGACTTGGGACAGTGTTCTCGGGGCATCTCTGGAGTTGCCTGCAGGAAGTCGAGCCACCGGTCGTGTTGAATGGGGAACGGGGAATGGCTCTGGAGTCAATGCAGGGGAATCGGGCCTCATCTCGAGTTGATTTGTGGCACCTGGAGCTGCTTTGCGTTGCTGGGGTGACCTCAGGTTCCGTCTAGACTGGTGACAGTGTTCTTGGGGACTGCCTCGAGATCCATTAAGCAAGTCGAAGCTCCTGACTTGTTTGAATGGGATCACGGAATAGCTCTGCATGCACTGCAGGGGAATGGGGCCTCATCTCGCCTCTAGGGGGAAGTCTCATGGTTTTTCTCGAGTTGCGGCGGGGACCTGGGGTATGTTCTCGACTTACGGCGGGGATGGCCCTTCAAAACACGAGTTTCTTCCGTGACGTCAGGACTCCTGTCTAGTAACGAGGGACACCTCAGCAATCTCTTCGAGGCTTGGCAGGGCAAAAGGGACGCTTCTCGAGGTGAGCCAGGGCACCCAAGGACCCTTTCCAGTAGCAACAGGGATTTTGGGATTCCTATCAGTATTCAAGAGGAGTCAGGCATCGTCACCTTTTGAAGCAATGAACTCCGCGTGCCTCTCGAGGTGTCAGCGGGATGTGAGGATTCCGTCAAAATGAGGCAGGGACCTAGGGCTTTCTCTAAGGTCTCCACAGGGGATTCAGACATCCCTTCATGTTGTGAGATGAAAGACGAGCCTGTATTCAAGCTACTGCAAGGAAATCCGGCCTCCTTTCAAGTTAGGGCTTCTCGCTGTATATTCCCCTTGAGGCAGCAAACTCGGCGTCCCTCCCACATACCTATTGCTGAGAGAAGCCTCCTCCTGAGGTGCTTCTGGAAAGGTGGCATACGTCTTGAGCCTAAGCCAGGGAATCAGCTCTCATCTCGAGACGATTTGGGGTACACGGAGCATTCCTCGAGTTGCTGTGCCGAAGTTGGTGGTCCTCTAGACTTGGGACAGTGTTCTCGGGTCATCTCTGGAGTTGCCTGAAGGAAGTCGAGCCACCGGTCGTGTTGAATGGGGAACAAGGAATGGCTCTGGAGTCAATGCAGGGGAATTCGGCCTCATCTCGAGTTGATTTGGGGCACATGGAGCTGCTTTGCATTGCTGGTTGACCTCAGGGTCCGTCTAGACTGGTGACAGTGTTCTTGGGGACTGTCTCGAGATCCATTAAGCAAGTCGAAGCTCCTGACTTGTTTGAATGGGATCAGGGAATAGCTCTGCATGCACTGCAGGGGAATGGGGCCTCATCTCGCCTCTAGGGTGAAGTCTCATGGTTTTTCTCGAGTTGCGGCGGGGACCTGGGGTATGTTCTCGACTTACGGCGGGGATGGCCCTTCAAAACACGAGTTTCTTCAGTGACGTCAGGACTCCTGTCTAGTAACGAGGGACACCTCAGCAATCTCTTCGAGGCTTGGCAGGGCAAAAGGGACGCTTCTCGAGGTGAGCCAGGGCACCCAAGGACCCTTTCCAGTAGCCACAGGGATTTTGGGATTCCTATAAGTAATCAAGAGGAGTCATGCATCGTCACCTTTCGAAGCAATGAACTCCGCGTGCCTCTCGACGTGTCAGCGGGATGTGAGGATTCCATCAAAATGAGGCAGGGACCTAGGGCTTTCTCTCAGGTCTCCACAGGGGAATCAGACATCCCTTCATGTTGTGAGATGAAAGACGAGCCTGTATTCAAGCCACTGCATGGAAATCCGGCCTCCTTTCAAGTTAGGGCTTCTCGCTGTATATTCCCCTTGAGGCAGCAAACTCGGGGTCCCTCCCACATACCTATTACTGAGAGAAGCCTCCTCCTGAGGTGCTTTTGGAAAGGTGGCATACGTCTTGAGCCTAAGCCAGGGAATCAGCTCTCATCTCGAGACGATTTGGGGTACACAGAGCATTCCTCGAGTTGCTGTGCTGAAGTTGGTGGTCCTCTAGACTTGGGACAGTGTTCTCGGGGCATCTCTGGAGTTGCCTGAAGGAAGTCGAGCCACCGGTCGTGTTGAAAGGGGAACAAGGAATGGCTCTGGAGTCAATGCAGGGGAATCCGGCCTCATCTCGAGTTGATTTGGGGCACATGGAGCTGCTTTGCATTGCTGGGTGACCTCAGGGTCCGTCTAGACTGGTGACAGTGTTCTTGGGGACTGTCTCGAGATCCATTAAGCAAGTCGAAGCTCCTGACTTGTTTGAATGGGATCACGGAATAGCTCTGCATGCACTGCAGGGGAATGGGGCCTCATCTCGCCTCTAGGGGGAAGTCTCATGGTTTTTCTCGAGTTGCGGCGGGGACCTGGGGTATGTTCTCGACTTACGGCGGGGATGACCCTTCAAAATACGAGTTTCTTCAGTGACGTCAGGACTCCTGTCTAGTAACGAGGGACACCTCAGCAATCTCTTCGAGGCTTGGCAGGGCAAAAGGGACGCTTCTCGAGGTGAGCCAGGGCACCCAAGGACCCTTTCCAGTAGCAACAGGGATTTTGGGATTCCTATCAGTATTCAAGAGGAGTCAGGCATCGTCACCTTTTGAAGCAATGAACTCCGCGTGCCTCTCGAGGTGTCAGCGGGATGTGAGGATTCCGTCAAAATGAGGCAGGGACCTAGGGCTTTCTCTAAGGTCTCCACAGGGGATTCAGACATCCCTTCATGTTGTGAGATGAAAGACGAGCCTGTATTCAAGCCACTGCAAGGAAATCCGGCCTCCTTTCAAGTTAGGGCTTCTCGCTGTATATTCCCCTTGAGGCAGCAAACTCGGAGTCCCTCCCACATACCTATTGTTGAGAGAAGCCTCCTCCTGAGATGCTTCTGGAAAGTTGGCATACGTCTTGATCCTAAGCCAGGGATTCAGCTCTCATCTCGAGACGATTTGGGGTACACAGAGCATTCCTCGAGTTGCTGTGCTGAAGTTGGTGTTCCTCTAGACTTGGGACAGTGTTCTCTGGGCATCTCCAGAGTTGCATGAAGGAAGTCGAGCCACCGGTCGTGTTGAATGGGGAACGGGGAATGGCTCTGGAGTCAATGCAGGGGAATCGGGCCTCATCTCGAGTTGATTTGTGGCACCTGGAGCTGCTTTGCGTTGCTGGGGTGACCTCAGGGTCCATCTAGACTGGTGACAGTGTTCTTGGGGACTGCCTCGAGATCCATTAAGCAAGTCGAAGCTCCTGACTTGTTTGAATGGGATCACGGAATAGCTCTGCATGCACTGCAGGGGAATGGGGCCTCATCTCGCCTCTAGGGGGAAGTCTCATGGTTTTTCTCGAGTTGCGGCGGGGACCTGGGGTATGTTCTCGACTTACGGCGGGGATGGCCCTTCAAAACACGAGTTTCTTCAGTGACGTCAGGACTCCTGCCTAGTAACGAGGGACACCTCAGCAATCTCTGCGAGGCTTGGCAGGGCAAAAGGGACGCTTCTCGAGGTGAGCCAGGGCACCCAAGGACCCTTTCCAGTAGCCACAGGGATTTTGGGATTCCTATAAGTATTCAAGAGGAGTCAGGCATCGTCACCTTTTGAAGCAATGAACACCGCGTGCCTCTCGAGGTGTCAGCGGGATGTGAGGATTCCGTCAAAATGAGGCAGGGACGTAGGGCTTTCTCTAAGGTATCCACAGGGGATTCAGACATCCCTTCATGTTGTGAGATGAAAGACGAGCCTGTATTCAAGCCACTGCAAGGAAATCCGGCCTCCTTTCAAGTTAGGGCTTCTCGCTGTATATTCCCCTTGAGGCAGCAAACTCGGGGTCCCTCCCACATACCTATTGCTGAGAGAAGCCTCCTCCTGAGGTGCTTCTGGAAAGGTGGCATACGTCTTGAGCCTAAGCCAGGGAATCAGCTCTCATCTCGAGACGATTTGGGGTACACTGAGCATTCCTCGAGTTGCTGTGCTGAAGTTGGTGGTCCTCTAGACTTGGGACAGTGTTCTCGGGGCATCTCTGGAGTTGCCTGAAGGAAGTCGAGCCACCGGTCGTGTTGAATGGGGAACAAGGAATGGCTCTGGAGTCAATGCAGGGGAATCCGGCCTCATCTCGAGTTGATTTGGGGCACATGGAGCTGCTTTGCATTGCTGGGTGACCTCAGGGTCCGTCTAGACTGGTGACAGTGTTCTTGGGGACTGTCTCGAGATCCATTAAGCAAGTCGAAGCTCCTGACTTGTTTGAATGGGATCACGGAATAGCTCTGCATGCACTGCAGGGGAATGGGGCCTCATCTCGCCTCTAGGGGGAAGTCTCATGGTTTTTCTCGAGTTGCGGCGGGGACCTGGGGTATGTTCTCGACTTACGGCGGGGATGGCCCTTCAAAACACGAGTTTCTTCAGTGACGTCAGGACTCCTGCCTAGTAACGAGGGACACCTCAGCAATCTCTGCGAGGCTTGGCAGGGCAAAAGGGACGCTTCTCGAGGTGAGCCAGGGCACCCAAGGACCCTTTCCAGTAGCCACAGGGATTTTGGGATTCCTATAAGTATTCAAGAGGAGTCAGGCATCGTCACCTTTTGAAGCAATGAACACCGCGTGCCTCTCGAGGTGTCAGCGGGATGTGAGGATTCCGTCAAAATGAGGCAGGGACGTAGGGCTTTCTCTAAGGTATCCACAGGGGATTCAGACATCCCTTCATGTTGTGAGATGAAAGACGAGCCTGTATTCAAGCCACTGCAAGGAAATCCGGCCTCCTTTCAAGTTAGGGCTTCTCGCTGTATATTCCCCTTGAGGCAGCAAACTCGGGGTCCCTCCCACATACCTATTGCTGAGAGAAGCCTCCTCCTGAGGTGCTTCTGGAAAGGTGGCATACGTCTTGAGCCTAAGCCAGGGAATCAGCTCTCATCTCGAGACGATTTGGGGTACACTGAGCATTCCTCGAGTTGCTGTGCTGAAGTTGGTGGTCCTCTAGACTTGGGACAGTGTTCTCGGGGCATCTCTGGAGTTGCCTGAAGGAAGTCGAGCCACCGGTCGTGTTGAATGGGGAACAAGGAATGGCTCTGGAGTCAATGCAGGGGAATCCGGCCTCATCTCGAGTTGATTTGGGGCACATGGAGCTGCTTTGCATTGCTGGGTGACCTCAGGGTCCGTCTAGACTGGTGACAGTGTTCTTGGGGACTGTCTCGAGATCCATTAAGCAAGTCGAAGCTCCTGACTTGTTTGAATGGGATCACGGAATAGCTCTGCATGCACTGCAGGGGAATGGGGCCTCATCTCGCCTCTAGGGGGAAGTCTCATGGTTTTTCTCGAGTTGCGGCGGAGACCTGGGGTATGTTCTCGACTTACGGCGGGGATGGCCCTTCAAAACACGAGTTTCTTCAGTGACGTCAGGACTCCTGTCTAGTAACGAGGGACACATCAGCAATCTCTTCGAGGCTTGGCAGGGCAAAAGGGACGCTTCTCGAGGTGAGCCAGGGCACCCAAGGACCCTTTCCAGTAGCCACAGGGATTTTGGGATTCCTATCAGTATTCAAGAGGAGTCAGGCATCGTCACCTTTTGAAGCAATGTACTCCGCGTGCCTCTCGAGTTGTCAGCGGGATGTGAGGCATTCCGTCAAAATGAGGCAGGGACCTAGGGCTTTCTCTAAGGTCTTCACAGGGGATTCAGACATCCCTTCATGTTGTGAGATGAAAGACGAGCCTGTATTCAAGCCACTGCAAGGAAATCCGGCCTCCTTTCAAGTTAGGGCTTCTCGCTGTATATTCCCCTTGAGGCAGCAAACTCGGGGTCCCTCCCACATACCTATTGCTGAGAGAAGCCTCCTCCTGAGGTGCTTCTGGAAAGGTGGCATACGTCTTGAGCCTAAGCCAGGGAATCAGCTCTCATCTCGAGACGATTTGGGGTACACTGAGCATTCCTCGAGTTGCTGTGCTGAAGTTGGTGGTCCTCTAGACTTGGGACAGTGTTCTCGGGGCATCTCTGGAGTTGCCTGAAGGAAGTCGAGCCACCGGTCGTGTTGAATGGGGAACAAGGAATGGCTCTGGAGTCAATGCAGGGGAATCCGGCCTCATCTCGAGTTGATTTGGGGCACATGGAGCTGCTTTGCATTGCTGGGTGACCTCAGGGTCCGACTAGACTGGTGACAGTGTTCTTGGGGACTGTCTCGATATCCATTAAGCAAGTCGAAGCTCCTGACTTGTTTGAATGGGATCATGGAATAGCTCTGCATGCACTGCAGGGGAATGGGGCCTCATCTCGCCTCTAGGGGGAAGTCTCATGGTTTTTCTCGAGTTGCGGCGGGGACCTGGGGTATGTTCTCGACTTACGGCGGGGATGGCCCTTCAAAACACGAGTTTCTTCCGTGACGTCAGGACTCCTGTCTAGTAACGAGGGACACCTCAGCAATCTCTTCGAGGCTTGGCAGGGCAAAAGGGACGCTTCTCGAGGTGAGCCAGGGCACCCAAGGACCCTTTCCAGTAGCCACAGGGATTTTGGGATTCCTATCAGTATTCAAGAGGAGTCAGGCATCGTCACCTTTTGAAGCAATGAACTCCGCGTGCCTCTCGAGGTGTCAGCGGGATGTTAGGATTCCGTCAAAATGAGGCAGGGACCTAGGGCTTTCTCTAAGGTCTCCACAGGGGATTCAGACATCCCTTCATGTTGTGAGATGAAAGACGAGCCTGTATTCAAGCCACTGCAAGGAAATCCGGCCTCCTTTCAAGTTAGGGCTTCTCGCTGTATATTCCCCTTGAGGCAGCAAACTCGGAGTCCCTCCCACATACCTATTGCTGAGAGAAGCCTCCTCCTGAGGTGCTTCTGGAAAGGTGGCATACGTCTTGAGCCTAAGCCAGGGAATCAGCTCTCATCTCGAGACGATTTGGGGTACACAGAGCATTCCTCGAGTTGCTGTGCTGAAGTTGGTGGTCCTCTAGACTTGGGACAGTGTTCTCGGGGCATCTCTGGAGTTGCCTGAAGGAAGTCGAGCCACCGGTCGTGTTGAATGGGGAACAAGGAATGGCTCTGGAGTCAATGCAGGGGAATCCGGCCTCATCTCGAGTTGATTTGGGGCACATGGAGCTGCTTTGCATTGCTGGGTGACCTCAGGGTCCGACTAGACTGGTGACAGTGTTCTTGGGGACTGCCTCGAGATCCATTAAGCAAGTCGAAGCTCCTGACTTGTTTGAATGGGATCACGGAATAGCTCTGCATGCACTGCAGGGGAATGGGGACTCATCTCGCCTCTAGGGGGAAGTCTCATGGTTTTTCTCGAGTTGCGGCGGGGACCTGGGGTATGTTCTCGACTTACGGCGGGGATGGCCCTTCAAAACACGAGTTTCTTCCGTGACGTCAGGACTCCTGTCTAGTAACGAGGGACACCTCAGCAATCTCTTCGAGGCTTGGCAGGGCAAAAGGGACGCTTCTCGAGGTGAGCCAGGGCACCCAAGGACCCTTTCCAGTAGCAACAGGGATTTTGGGATTCCTATAAGTATTCAAGAGGAGTCAGGCATCGTCACCTTTTGAAGCAATGAACTCCGCGTGCCTCTCGAGGTGTCAGCGGGATGTGAGGATTCCGTCAAAATGAGGCAGGGACCTAGCGCTTTCTCTAAGGTCTCCACAGGGGATTCAGACATCCCTTCATGTTGTGAGATGAAAGACGAGCCTGTATTCAAGCCACTGCAAGGAAATCCGGCCTCCTTTCAAGTTAGGGCTTCTCGCTGTATATTCCCCTTGAGGCAGCAAACTCGGAGTCCCTCCCACATACCTATTGTTGAGAGAAGCCTCCTCCTGAGGTGCTTCTGGAAAGTTGGCATACGTCTTGAGCCTAAGCCAGGGATTCAGCTCTCATCTCGAGACGATTTGGGGTACACAGAGCATTCCTCGAGTTGCTGTGCTGAAGTTGGTGTTCCTCTAGACTTGGGACAGTGTTCTCTGGGCATCTCCAGAGTTGCATGAAGGAAGTCGAGCCACCGGTCGTGTTGAATGGGGAACGGGGAATGGCTCTGGAGTCAATGCAGGGGAATCGGGCCTCATCTCGAGTTGATTTGTGGCACCTGGAGCTGCTTTGCGTTGCTGGGGTGACCTCAGGGTCCATCTAGACTGGTGACAGTGTTCTTGGGGACTGCCTCGAGATCCATTAAGCAAGTCGAAGCTCCTGACTTGTTTGAATGGGATCACGGAATAGCTCTGCATGCACTGCAGGGGAATGGGGCCTCATCTCGCCTCTAGGGGGAAGTCTCATGGTTTTTCTCGAGTTGCGGCGGGGACCTGGGGTATGTTCTCGACTTACGGCGGGGATGGCCCTTCAAAACACGAGTTTCTTCAGTGACGTCAGGACTCCTGCCTAGTAACGAGGGACACCTCAGCAATCTCTTCGAGGCTTGGCAGGGCAAAAGGGACGCTTCTCGAGGTGAGCCAGGGCACCCAAGGACCCTTTCCAGTAGCCACAGGGATTTTGGGATTCCTATAAGTATTCAAGAGGAGTCAGGCATCGTCACCTTTTGAAGCAATGAACACCGCGTGCCTCTCGAGGTGGCAACGGGATGTGAGGATTCCGTCAAAATGAGGCAGGGACCTAGGGCTTTCTCTAAGGTATCCACAGGGTATTCAGACATCCCTTCATGTTGTGAGATGAAAGACGAGCCTGTATTCAAGCCACTGCAAGGAAATCCGGCCTCCTTTCAAGTTAGGGCTTCTCGCTGTATATTGCCCTTGAGGCAGCAAACTCGGGGTCCCTCCCACATACCTATTGCTGAGAGAAGCCTCCTCCTGAGGTGCTTCTGGAAAGGTGGCATACGTCTTGAGCCTAAGCCAGGGAATCAGCTCTCATCTCGAGACGATTTGGTGTACACTGAGCATTCCTCGAGTTGCTGTGCTGAAGTTGGTGGTCCTCTAGACTTGGGACAGTGTTCTCGGGGCATCTCTGGAGTTGCCTGAAGGAAGTCGAGCCACCGGTCGTGTTGAATGGGGAACAAGGAATGGCTCTGGAGTCAATGCAGGGGAATCCCCCTCATCTCGAGTTGATTTGGGGCACATGGAGCTGCTTTGCATTGCTGGGTGACCTCAGGGTCCGTCTAGACTGGTGACAGTGTTCTTGGGGACTGTCTCGAGATCCATTAAGCAAGTCGAAGCTCCTGACTTGTTTGAATGGGATCACGGAATAGCTCTGCATGCACTGCAGGGGAATGGGGCCTCATCTCGCCTCTAGGGGGAAGTCTCATGGTTTTTCTCGAGTTGCGGCGGAGACCTGGGGTATGTTCTCGACTTACGGCGGGGATGGCCCTTCAAAACACGAGTTTCTTCAGTGACGTCAGGACTCCTGTCTAGTAACGAGGGACACATCAGCAATCTCTTCGAGGCTTGGCAGGGCAAAAGGGACGCTTCTCGAGGTGAGCCAGGGCACCCAAGGACCCTTTCCAGTAGCCACAGGGATTTTGGGATTCCTATCAGTATTCAAGAGGAGTCAGGCATCGTCACCTTTTGAAGCAATGTACTCCGCGTGCCTCTCGAGTTGTCAGCGGGATGTGAGGCATTCCGTCAAAATGAGGCAGGGACCTAGGGCTTTCTCTAAGGTCTTCACAGGGGATTCAGACATCCCTTCATGTTGTGAGATGAAAGACGAGCCTGTATTCAAGCCACTGCAACAAATCCGGCCTCCTTTCAAGTTAGGGCTTCTCGCTGTATATTCCCCTTGAGGCAGCAAACTCGGAGTCCCTCCCACATACCTATTGCTGAGAGAAGCCTCCTCCTGAGGTGCTTCTGGAAAGGTGGCATACGTCTTGAGCCTAAGCCAGGGAATCAGCTCTCATCTCGAGACGATTTGGGGTACACAGATCATTCCTCGAGTTGCTGTGCTGAAGTTGGTGGTCCTCTAGACTTGGGACAGTGTTCTCGGGGCATCTCTGGAGTTGCCTGAAGGAAGTCGAGCCACCGGTCGTGTTGAATGGGGAACAAGGAATGGCTCTGGAGTCAATGCAGGGGAATCCGGCCTCATCTCGAGTTGATTTGGGGCACATGGAGCTGCTTTGAATTGCTGGGTGACCTCAGGGTCCGACTAGACTGGTGACAGTGTTCTTGGGGACTGTCTCGAGATCCATTAAGCAAGTCGAAGCTCCTGACTTGTTTGAATGGGATCACGGAATAGCTCTGCATGCACTGCAGGGGAATGGGGCCTCATCTCGCCTCTAGGGGGAAGTCTCATGGTTTTTCTCGAGTTGCGGCGGGGACCTGGGGTAAGTTCTCGACTTACGGCGGGGATGGCCCTTCAAAACACGAGTTTCTTCCGTGACGTCAGGACTCCTGTCTAGTAACGAGGGACACCTCAGCAATCTCTTCGAGGCTTGGCAGGGCAAAAGGGACGCTTCTCGAGGTGAGCCAGGGCACCCAAGGACCCTTTCCAGTAGCAACAGGGATTTTGGGATTCCTATCAGTATTCAAGAGGAGTCAGGCATCGTCACCTTTTGAAGCAATGAAGTCCGCATGCCTCTCGAGGTGTCAGCGGGATGTGAGGATTCCGTCAAAATGAGGCAGGGACCTAGGGCTTTCTCTAAGGTCTCCACAGGGGATTCAGACATCCCTTCATGTTGTGAGATGAAAGACGAGCCTGTATTCAAGCCACTGCAAGGAAATCCGGCCTCCTTTCAAGTTAGGGCTTCTCGCTGTATATTGCCCTTGAGGCAGCAAACTCGGAGTCCCTCCCACATACCTGTTGTTGAGAGACACCTCCTCCTGAGGTGCTTCTGGAAAGTTGGCATACGTCTTGAGCCTAAGCCAGGGATTCAGCTCTCATCTCGAGACGATTTGGGGTACACAGAGCATTCCTCGAGTTGCTGTGCTGAAGTTGGTGTTCCTCTAGACTTGGGACAGTGTTCTCTGGGCATCTCCAGAGTTGCATGAAGGAAGTCGAGCCACCGGTCGTGTTGAATGGGGAACGGGGAATGGCTCTGGAGTCAATGCAGGGGAATCGGGCCTCATCTCGAGTTGATTTGTGGCACCTGGAGCTGCTTTGCGTTGCTGGGGTGACCTCAGGGTCCGTCTAGACTGGTGACAGTGTTCTTGGGGACTGTCTCGAGATCCATTAAGCAAGTCGAAGCTCCTGACTTGTTTGAATGGGATCACGGAATAGCTCTGCATGCACTGCAGGGGAATGGGGCCTCATCTCGCCTCTAGGGGGAAGTCTCATGGTTTTTCTCGAGTTGCGGCGGGGACCTGGGGTATGTTCTCGACTTACGGCGGGGATGGCCCTTCAAAACACGAGTTTCTTCAGTGACGTCAGGACTCCTGCCTAGTAACGAGGGACACCTCAGCAATCTCTTCGAGGCTTGGCAGGGCAAAAGGGACGCTTCTCGAGGTGAGCCAGGGCACCCAAGGACCCTTTCCAGTAGCCACAGGGATTTTGGGATTCCTATAAGTATTCAAGAGGAGTCAGGCATCGTCACCTTTTGAAGCAATGAACACCGCGTGCCTCTCGAGGTGTCAGCGGGATGTGAGGATTCCGTCAAAATGAGGCAGGGACCTAGGGCTTTCTCTAAGGTATCCACAGGGGATTCAGACATCCCTTCATGTTGTGAGATGAAAGACGAGCCTGTATTCAAGCCACTGCAAGGAAATCCGGCCTCCTTTCAAGTTAGGGCTTCTCGCTGTATATTCCCCTTGAGGCAGCAAACTCGGGGTCCCTCCCACATACCTATTGCTGAGAGAAGCCTCCTCCTGAGGTGCTTCTGGAAAGGTGGCATACGTCTTGAGCCTAAGCCAGGGAATCAGCTCTCATCTCGAGACGATTTGGGGTACACTGAGCATTCCTCGAGTTGCTGTGCTGAAGTTGGTGGTCCTCTAGACTTGGGACAGTGTTCTCGGGGCATCTCTGGAGTTGCCTGAAGGAAGTCGAGCCACCGGTCGTGTTGAATGGGGAACAAGGAATGGCTCTGGAGTCAATGCAGGGGAATGGGGCCTCATCTCGAGTTGATTTGTGGCACCTGGAGCTGCTTTGCGTTGCTGGGGTGACTTCAGGGTCCATCTAGACTGGTGACAGTGTTCTTGGGGACTGCCTCGAGATCCATTAAGCAAGTCGAAGCTCCTGACTTGTTTGAATGGGATCACGGAATAGCTCTGCATGCACTGCAGGGGAATGGGGCCTCATCTCGCCTCTAGGGGGAAGTCTCATGGTTTTTCTCGAGTTGCGGCGGGGACCTGGGGTATGTTCTCGACTTACGGCGGGGATGGCCCTTCAAAACACGAGTTTCTTCAGTGACGTCAGGACTCCTGCCTAGTAACGAGGGACACCTCAGCAATCTCTTCGAGGCTTGGCAGGGCAAAAGGGACGCTTCTCGAGGTGAGCCAGGGCACCCAAGGACCCTTTCCAGTAGCCACAGGGATTTTGGGATTCCTATAAGTATTCAAGAGGAGTCAGGCATCGTCACCTTTTGAAGCAATGAACACCGCGTGCCTCTCGAGGTGTCAACGGGATGTGAGGATTCCGACAAAATGAGGCAGGGACCTAGGGCTTTCTCTAAGGTATCCACAGGGGATTCAGACATCCCTTCATGTTGTGAGATGAAAGACGAGCCTGTATTCAACCCACTGCAAGGAAATCCGGCCTCCTTTCAAGTTAGGGCTTCTCGCTGTATATTGCCCTTGAGGCAGCAAACTCGGGGTCCCTCCCACATACCTATTGCTGAGAGAAGCCTCCTCCTGAGGTGCTTCTGGAAAGGTGGCATACGTCTTGAGCCTAAGCCAGGGAATCAGCTCTCATCTCGAGACGATTTGGGGTACACTGAGCATTCCTCGAGTTGCTGTGCTGAAGTTGGTGGTCCTCTAGACTTGGGACAGTGTTCTCGGGGCATCTCTGGAGTTGCCTGAAGGAAGTCGAGCCACCGGTCGTGTTGAATGGGGAACAAGGAATGGCTCTGGAGTCAATGCAGGGGAATCCGCCTCATATCGAGTTGATTTGGGGCACATGGAGCTGCTTTGCATTGCTGGGTGACCTCAGGGTCCGTCTAGACTGGTGACAGTGTTCTTGGGGACTGTCTCGAGATCCATTAAGCAAGTCGAAGCTCCTGACTTGTTTGAATGGGATCACGGAATAGCTCTGCATGCACTGCAGGGGAATGGGGCCTCATCTCGCCTCTAGGGGGAAGTCTCATGGTTTTTCTCGAGTTGCGGCGGAGACCTGGGGTATGTTCTCGACTTACGGCGGGGATGGCCCTTCAAAACACGAGTTTCTTCAGTGACGTCAGGACTCCTGTCTAGTAACGAGGGACACCTCAGCAATCTCTTCGAGGCTTGGCAGGGCAAAAGGGACGCTTCTCGAGGTGAGCCAGGGCACCCAAGGACCCTTTCCAGTAGCCACAGGGATTTTGGGATTCCTATCAGTATTCAAGAGGAGTCAGGCATCGTCACCTTTTGAAGCAATGTACTCCGCGTGCCTCTCGAGTTGTCAGCGGGATGTGAGGCATTCCGTCAAAATGAGGCAGGGACCTAGGGCTTTCTCTAAGGTCTTCACAGGGGATTCAGACATCCCTTCATGTTGTGAGATGAAAGACGAGCCTGTATTCAAGCCACTGCAACAAATCCGGCCTCCTTTCAAGTTAGGGCTTCTCGCTGTATATTCCCCTTGAGGCAGCAAACTCGGAGTCCCTCCCACATACCTATTGCTGAGAGAAGCCTCCTCCTGAGGTGCTTCTGGAAAGGTGGCATACGTCTTGAGCCTAAGCCAGGGAATCAGCTCTCATCTCGAGACGATTTGGGGTACACAGAGCATTCCTCGAGTTGCTGTGCTGAAGTTGGTGGTCCTCTAGACTTGGGACAGTGTTCTCGGGGCATCTCTGGAGTTGCCTGAAGGAAGTCGAGCCACCGGTCGTGTTGAATGGGGAACAAGGAATGGCTCTGGAGTCAATGCAGGGGAATCCGGCCTCATCTCGAGTTGATTTGGGGCACATGGAGCTGCTTTGAATTGCTGGGTGACCTCAGGGTCCGACTAGACTGGTGACAGTGTTCTTGGGGACTGTCTCGAGATCCATTAAGCAAGTCGAAGCTCCTGACTTGTTTGAATGGGATCACGGAATAGCTCTGCATGCACTTCAGGGGAATGGGGCCTCATCTCGCCTCTAGGGGGAAGTCTCATGGTTTTTCTCGAGTTGCGGCGGGGACCTGGGGTATGTTCTCGACTTACGGCGGGGATGGCCCTTCAAAACACGAGTTTCTTCCGTGACGTCAGGACTCCTGCCTAGTAACGAGGGACACCTCAGCAATCTCTTCGAGGCTTGGCAGGGCAAAAGGGACGCTTCTCGAGGTGAGCCAGGGCACCCAAGGACCCTTTCCAGTAGCAACAGGGATTTTGGGATTCCTATCAGTATTCAAGAGGAGTCAGGCATCGTCACCTTTTGAAGCAATGAACTCCGCGTGCCTCTCGAGGTGTCAGCGGGATGTGAGGATTCCGTCAAAATGAGGCAGGGACCTAGGGCTTTCTCTAAGGTCTCCACAGGGGATTCAGACATCCCTTCATGTTGTGAGATGAAAGACGAGCCTGTATTCAAGCCACTGCAAGGAAATCCGGCCTCCTTTCAAGTTAGGGCTTCTCGCTGTATATTCCCCTTGAGGCAGCAAACTCGGAGTCCCTCCCACATACCTATTGCTGAGAGAAGCCTCCTCCTGAGATGCTTCTGGAAAGGTGGCATACGTCTTGAGCCTAAGCCAGGGAATCAGCTCTCATCTCGAGACGATTTGGGGTACACAGAGCATTCCTCGAGTTGCTGTGCTGAAGTTGGTGGTCCTCTAGACTTGGGACAGTGTTCTCGGGGCATCTCCGGAGTTGCCTGAAGGAAGTCGAGCCACCGGTCGTGTTGAATGGGGAACGGGGAATGTCTCTGGAGTCAATGCAGCGGAATCGGGCCTCATCTCGAGTTGATTTGTGGCACCTGGAGCTGCTTTGCGTTGCTGGGGTGACCTCAGGGTCCGTCTAGACTGGTGACAGTGTTCTTGGGGACTGTCTCGAGATCCATTAAGCAAGTCGAAGCTCCTGACTTGTTTGAATGGGATCACGGAATAGCTCTGCATGCACTGCAGGGGAATGGGGCCTCATCACGCCTCTAGGGGGAAGTCTCATGGTTTTTCTCGAGTTGCGGCGGGGACCTGGGGTATGTTCTCGACTTACGGCGGGGATGGCCCTTCAAAACACGAGTTTCTTCAGTGACGTCAGGACTCCTGCCTAGTAACGAGGGACACCTCAGCAATCTCTTCGAGGCTTGGCAGGGCAAAAGGGACGCTTCTCGAGGTGAGCCAGGGCACCCAAGGACCCTTTCCAGTAGCCACAGGGATTTTGGGATTCCTATAAGTATTCAAGAGGAGTCAGGCATCGTCACCTTTTGAAGCAATGAACACCGCGTGCCTCTCGAGGTGTCAGCGGGATGTGAGGATTCCGTCAAAATGAGGCAGGGACCTAGGGCTTTCTCTAAGGTATCCACAGGGGATTCAGACATCCCTTCATGTTGTGAGATGAAAGACGAGCCTGTATTCAAGCCACTGCAAGGAAATCCGGCCTCCTTTCAAGTTAGGGCTTCTCGCTGTATATTGCCCTTGAGGCAGCAAACTCGGGGTCCCTCCCACATACCTATTGCTGAGAGAAGCCTCCTCCTGAGGTGCTTCTGGAAAGGTGGCATACGTCTTGAGCCTAAGCCAGGGAATCAGCTCTCATCTCGAGACGATTTGGGGTACACTGAGCATTCCTCGAGTTGCTGTGCTGAAGTTGGTGGTCCTCTAGACTTGGGACAGTGTTCTCGGGGCATCTCTGGAGTTGCCTGAAGGAAGTCGAGCCACCGGTCGTGTTGAATGGGGAACAAGGAATGGCTCTGGAGTCAATGCAGGGGAATCCGGCCTCATCTCGAATTGATTTGGGGCACATGGAGCTGCTTTGCATTGCTGGGTGACCTCAGGGTCCGACTAGACTGGTGACAGTGTTCTTGGGGACTGTCTCGATATCCATTAAGCAAGTCGAAGCTCCTGACTTGTTTGAATGGGATCACGGAATAGCTCTGCATGCACTGCAGGGGAATGGGGCCTCATCTCGCCTCTAGGGGGAAGTCTCATGGTTTTTCTCGAGTTGCGGCGGGGACCTGGGGTATGTTCTCGACTTACGGCGGGGATGGCCCTTCAAAACACGAGTTTCTTCCGTGACGTCAGGACTCCTGTCTAGTAACGAGGGACACCTCAGCAATCTCTTCGAGGCTTGGCAGGGCAAAAGGGACGCTTCTCGAGGTGAGCCAGGGCACCCAAGGACCCTTTCCAGTAGCCACAGGGATTTTGGGATTCCTATCAGTATTCAAGAGGAGTCAGGCATCGTCACCTTTTGAAGCAATGAACTCCGCGTGCCTCTCGAGGTGTCAGCGGGATGTGAGGATTCCGTCAAAATGAGGCAGGGACCTAGGGCTTTCTCTAAGGTCTCCACAGGGGATTCAGACATCCCTTCATGTTGTGAGATGAAAGACGAGCCTGTATTCAAGCCACTGCAAGGAAATCCGGCCTCCTTTCAAGTTAGGGCTTCTCGCTGTATATTCCCCTTGAGGCAGCAAACTCGGAGTCCCTCCCACATACCTATTGCTGAGAGAAGCCTCCTCCTGAGATGCTTCTGGAAAGGTGGCATACGTCTTGAGCCTAAGCCAGGGAATCAGCTCTCATCTCGAGACGATTTGGGGTACACAGAGCATTCCTCGAGTTGCTGTGCTGAAGTTGGTGGTCCTCTAGACTTGGGACAGTGTTCTCGGGGCATCTCCGGAGTTGCCTGAAGGAAGTCGAGCCACCGGTCGTGTTGAATGGGGAACAAGGAATGGCTCTGGAGTCAATGCAGGGGAATCCGGCCTCATCTCGAGTTGATTTGGGGCACATGGAGCTGCTTTGCGTTGCTCGGGTGACCTCAGGGTCCGACTAGACTGGTGACAGTGTTCTTGGGGACTGTCTCGATATCCATTAAGCAAGTCGAAGCTCCTGACTTGTTTGAATGGGATCACGGAATAGCTCTGCATGCACTGCAGGGGAATGGGGCCTCATCTCGCCTCTAGGGGGAAGTCTCATGGTTTTTCTCGAGTTGCGGCGGGGACCTGGGGTATGTTCTCGACTTACGGCGGGGATGGCCCTTCAAAACACGAGTTTCTTCCGTGACGTCAGGACTCCTGTCTAGTAACGAGGGACACCTCAGCAATCTCTTCGAGGCTTGGCAGGGCAAAAGGGACGCTTCTCGAGGTGAGCCAGGGCACCCAAGGACCCTTTCCAGTAGCCACAGGGATTTTGGGATTCCTATCAGTATTCAAGAGGAGTCAGGCATCGTCACCTTTTGAAGCAATGAACTCCGCGTGCCTCTCGAGGTGTCAGCGGGATGTGAGGATTCCGTCAAAATGAGGCAGGGACCTAGGGCTTTCTCTAAGGTATCCACAGGGGATTCAGACATCCCTTCATGTTGTGAGATGAAAGACGAGCCTGTATTCAAGCCACTGCAAGGAAATCCGGCCTCCTTTCAAGTTAGGGCTTCTCGCTGTATATTCCCCTTGAGGCAGCAAACTCGGGGTCCCTCCCACATTCCTATTGCTGAGAGAAGCCTCCTCCTGAGGTGCTTCTGGAAAGGTGGCATACGTCTTGAGCCTAAGCCAGGGAATCAGCTCTCATCTCGAGACGATTTGGGGTACACTGAGCATTCCTCGAGTTGCTGTGCTGAAGTTGGTGGTCCTCTAGACTTGGGACAGTGTTCTCGGGGCATCTCTGGAGTTGCCTGAAGGAAGTCGAGCCACCGGTCGTGTTGAATGGGGAACAAGGAATGGCTCTGGAGTCAATGCAGGGGAATCCGGCCTCATCTCGAGTTGATTTGGGGCACATGGAGCTGCTTTGCATTGCTGGGTGACCTCAGGGTCCGTCTAGACTGGTGACAGTGTTCTTGGGGACTGTCTCGAGATCCATTAAGCAAGTCGAAGCTCCTGACTTGTTTGAATGGGATCACGGAATAGCTCTGCATGCACTGCAGGGGAATGGGGCCTCATCTCGCCTCTAGGGGGAAGTCTCATGGTTTTTCTCGAGTTGCGGCGGAGACCTGGGGTATGTTCTCGACTTACGGCGGGGATGGCCCTTCAAAACACGAGTTTCTTCCGTGACGTCAGGACTCCTGTCTAGTAACGAGGGACACATCAGCAATCTCTTCGAGGCTTGGCAGGGCAAAAGGGACGCTTCTCGAGGTGAGCCAGGGCACCCAAGGACCCTTTCCAGTAGCCACAGGGATTTTGGGATTCCTATCAGTATTCAAGAGGAGTCAGGCATCGTCACCTTTTGAAGCAATGAACTCCGCGTGCCTCTCGAGGTGTCAGCGGGATGTGAGGATTCCGTCAAAATGAGGCAGGGACCTAGGGCTTTCTCTAAGGTCTCCACAGGGGATTCAGACATCCCTTCATATTGTGAGATGAAAGACGAGCCTGTATTCAAGCCACTGCAAGGAAATCCGGCCTCCTTTCAAGTTAGGGCTTCTCGCTGTATATTCCCCTTGAGGCAGCAATCTCGGAGTCCCTCCCACATACCTATTGTTGAGAGAAGCCTCCTCCTGAGGTGCTTCTGGAAAGTTGGCATACGTCTTGAGCCTAAGCCAGGGATTCAGCTCTCATCTCGAGACGATTTGGGGTACACAGAGCATTCCTCGAGTTGCTGTGCTGAAGTTGGTGTTCCTCTAGACTTGGGACAGTGTTCTCTGGGCATCTCCAGAGTTTCATGAAGGAAGTCGAGCCACCGGTCGTGTTGAATGGGGAACGGGGAATGGCTCTGGAGTCAATGCAGGGGAATCGGGCCTCATCTCGAGTTGATTTGTGGCACCTGGAGCTGCTTTGCGTTGCTGGGGTGACTTCAGGGTCCATCTAGACTGGTGACAGTGTTCTTGGGGACTGCCTCGAGATCCATTAAGCAAGTCGAAGCTCCTGACTTGTTTGAATGGGATCACGGAATAGCTCTGCATGCACTGCAGGGGAATGGGGCCTCATCTCGCCTCTAGGGGGAAGTCTCATGGTTTTTCTCGAGTTGCGGCGGGGACCTGGGGTATGTTCTCGACTTACGGCGGGGATGGCCCTTCAAAACACGAGTTTCTTCAGTGACGTCAGGACTCCTGCCTAGTAACGAGGGACACCTCAGCAATCTCTTCGAGGCTTGGCAGGGCAAAAGGGACGCTTCTCGAGGTGAGCCAGGGCACCCAAGGACCCTTTCCAGTAGCCACAGGGATTTTGGGATTCCTATAAGTATTCAAGAGAAGTCAGGCATCGTCACCTTTTGAAGCAATGAACACCGCGTGCCTCTCGAGGTGTCAGCGGGATGTGAGGATTCCGTCAAAATGAGGCAGGGACCTAGGGCTTTCTCTAAGGTATCCACAGGGGATTCAGACATCCCTTCATGTTGTGAGATGAAAGACGAGCCTGTATTCAAGCCACTGCAAGGAAATCCGGCCTCCTTTCAAGTTAGGGCTTCTCGCTGTATATTCCCCTTGAGGCAGCAAACTCGGGGTCCCTCCCACATTCCTATTGCTGAGAGAAGCCTCCTCCTGAGGTGCTTCTGGAAAGGTGGCATACGTCTTGAGCCTAAGCCAGGGAATCAGCTCTCATCTCGAGACGATTTGGGGTACACTGAGCATTCCTCGAGTTGCTGTGCTGAAGTTGGTGGTCCTCTAGACTTGGGACAGTGTTCTCGGGGCATCTCTGGAGTTGCCTGAAGGAAGTCGAGCCACCGGTCGTGTTGAATGGGGAACAAGGAATGGCTCTGGAGTCAATGCAGGGGAATCCGGCCTCATCTCGAGTTGATTTGGGGCACATGGAGCTGCTTTGCATTGCTGGGTGACCTCAGGGTCCGTCTAGACTGGTGACAGTGTTCTTGGGGACTGTCTCGAGATCCATTAAGCAAGTCGAAGCTCCTGACTTGTTTGAATGGGATCACGGAATAGCTCTGCATGCACTGCAGGGGAATGGGGCCTCATCTCGCCTCTAGGGGGAAGTCTCATGGTTTTTCTCGAGTTGCGGCGGAGACCTGGGGTATGTTCTCGACTTACGGCGGGGATGGCCCTTCAAAACACGAGTTTCTTCCGTGACGTCAGGACTCCTGTCTAGTAACGAGGGACACCTCAGCAATCTCTTCGAGGCTTGGCAGGGCAAAAGGGACGCTTCTCGAGGTGAGCCAGGGCACCCAAGGACCCTTTCCAGTAGCCACAGGGATTTTGGGATTCCTATCAGTATTCAAGAGGAGTCAGGCATCGTCACCTTTTGAAGCAATGAACTCCACGTGCCTCTCGAGGTGTCAGCGGGATGTGAGGATTCCGTCAAAATGAGGCAGGGACCTAGGGCTTTCTCTAAGGTATCCTCAGGGGATTCAGACATCCCTTCATGTTGTGAGATGAAAGACGAGCCTGTATTCAAGCCACTGCAAGGAAATCCGGCCTCCTTTCAAGTTAGGGCTTCTCGCTGTATATTCCCCTTGAGGCAGCAAACTCGGGGTCCCTCCCACATTCCTATTGCTGAGAGAAGCCTCCTCCTGAGGTGCTTCTGGAAAGGTGGCATACGTCTTGAGCCTAAGCCAGGGAATCAGCTCTCATCTCGAGACGATTTGGGGTACACTGAGCATTCCTCGAGTTGCTGTGCTGAAGTTGGTGTTCCTCTAGACTTGGGACAGTGTTCTCGGGGCATCTCTGGAGTTGCCTGAAGGAAGTCGAGCCACCGGTCGTGTTGAATGGGGAACAAGGAATGGCTCTGGAGTCAATGCAGGGGAATCCGGCCTCATCTCGAGTTGATTTGGGGCACATGGAGCTGCTTTGCATTGCTGGGTGACCTCAGGGTCCGTCTAGACTGGTAACAGTGTTCTTGGGGACTGTCTCGAGATCCATTAAGCAAGTCGAAGCTCCTGACTTGTTTGAATGGGATCACGGAATAGCTCTGCATGCACTGCAGGGGAATGGGGCCTCATCTCGCCTCTAGGGGGAAGTCTCATGGTTTTTCTCGAGTTGCGGCGGAGACCTGGGGTATGTTCTCGACTTACGGCGGGGATGGCCCTTCAAAACACGAGTTTCTTCAGTGACGTCAGGACTCCTGTCTAGTAACGAGGGACACCTCAGCAATCTCTTCGAGGCTTGGCAGGGCAAAAGGGACGCTTCTCGAGGTGAGCCAGGGCACCCAAGGACCCTTTCCAGTAGCCACAGGGATTTTGGGATTCCTATCAGTATTCAAGAGGAGTCAGGCATCGTCACCTTTTGAAGCAATGAACTCCGCGTGCCTCTCGAGGTGTCAGCGGGATGTGAGGATTCCGTCAAAATGAGGCAGGGACCTAGGGCTTTCTCTAAGGTCTCCACAGGGGATTCAGACATCCCTTCATGTTGTGAGATGAAAGACGAGCCTGTATTCAAGCCACTGCAAGGAAATCCGGCCTCCTTTCAAGTTAGGGCTTCTCGCTGTATATTCCCCTTGAGGCAGCAAACTCGGAGTCCCTCCCACATACCTATTGTTGAGAGAAGCCTCCTCCTGAGGTGCTTCTGGAAAGTTGGCATACGTCTTGAGCCTAAGCCAGGGATTCAGCTCTCATCTCGAGACGATTTGGGGTACACAGAGCATTCCTCGAGTTGCTGTGCTGAAGTTGGTGTTCCTCTAGACTTGGGACAGTGTTCTCTGGGCATCTCCAGAGTTGCATGAAGGAAGTCGAGCCACCGGTCGTGTTGAATGGGGAACGGGGAATGGCTCTGGAGTCAATGCAGGGGAATCGGGCCTCATCTCGAGTTGATTTGTGGCACCTGGAGCTGCTTTGCGTTGCTGGGGTGACTTCAGGGTCCATCTAGACTGGTGACAGTGTTCTTGGGGACTGCCTCGAGATCCATTAAGCAAGTCGAAGCTCCTGACTTGTTTGAATGGGATCACGGAATAGCTCTGCATGCACTGCAGGGGAATGGGGCCTCATCTCGCCTCTAGGGGGAAGTCTCATGGTTTTTCTCGAGTTGCGGCGGGGACCTGGGGTATGTTCTCGACTTACGGCGGGGATGGCCCTTCAAAACACGAGTTTCTTCAGTGACGTCAGGACTCCTGCCTAGTAACGAGGGACACCTCAGCAATCTCTTCGAGGCTTGGCAGGGCAAAAGGGACGCTTCTCGAGGTGAGCCAGGGCACCCAAGGACCCTTTCCAGTAGCCACAGGGATTTTGGGATTCCTATAAGTATTCAAGAGAAGTCAGGCATCGTCACCTTTTGAAGCAATGAACACCGCGTGCCTCTCGAGGTGTCAGCGGGATGTGAGGATTCCGTCAAAATGAGGCAGGGACCTAGGGCTTTCTCTAAGGTCTCCACAGGGGATTCAGACATCCCTTCATGTTGTGAGATGAAAGACGAGCCTGTATTCAAGCCACTGCAAGGAAATCCGGCCTCCTTTCAAGTTAGGGCTTCTCGCTGTATATTCCCCTTGAGGCAGCAAACTCGGGGTCCCTCCCACATTCCTATTGCTGAGAGAAGCCTCCTCCTGAGGTGCTTCTGGAAAGGTGGCATACGTCTTGAGCCTAAGCCAGGGAATCAGCTCTCATCTCGAGACGATTTGGGGTACACTGAGCATTCCTCGAGTTGCTGTGCTGAAGTTGGTGGTCCTCTAGACTTGGGACAGTGTTCTCGGGGCATCTCTGGAGTTGCCTGAAGGAAGTCGAGCCACCGGTCGTGTTGAATGGGGAACAAGGAATGGCTCTGGAGTCAATGCAGGGGAATCCGGCCTCATCTCGAGTTGATTTGGGGCACATGGAGCTGCTTTGCATTGCTGGGTGACCTCAGGGTCCGTCTAGACTGGTGACAGTGTTCTTGGGGACTGTCTCGAGATCCATTAAGCAAGTCGAAGCTCCTGACTTGTTTGAATGGGATCACGGAATAGCTCTGCATGCACTGCAGGGGAATGGGGCCTCATCTCGCCTCTAGGGGGAAGTCTCATGGTTTTTCTCGAGTTGCGGCGGAGACCTGGGGTATGTTCTCGACTTACGGCGGGGATGGCCCTTCAAAACACGAGTTTCTTCAGTGACGTCAGGACTCCTGTCTAGTAACGAGGGACACCTCAGCAATCTCTTCGAGGCTTGGCAGGGCAAAAGGGACGCTTCTCGAGGTGAGCCAGGGCACCCAAGGACCCTTTCCAGTAGCCACAGGGATTTTGGGATTCCTATCAGTATTCAAGAGGAGTCAGGCATCGTCACCTTTGAAGCAATGAACTCCGCGTGCCTCTCGAGGTGTCAGCGGGATGTGAGGATTCCGTCAAAATGAGGCAGGGACCTAGGGCTTTCTCTAAGGTATCCACAGGGGATTCAGACATCCCTTCATGTTGTGAGATGAAAGACGAGCCTGTATTCAAGCCACTGCAAGGAAATCCGGCCTCCTTTCAAGTTAGGGCTTCTCGCTGTATATTCCCCTTGAGGCAGCAAACTCGGAGTCCCTCCCACATACCTATTGTTGAGAGAAGCCTCCTCCTGAGGTGCTTCTGGAAAGTTGGCATACGTCTTGAGCCTAAGCCAGGGATTCAGCTCTCATCTCGAGACGATTTGGGGTACACAGAGCATTCCTCGAGTTGCTGTGCTGAAGTTGGTGTTCCTCTAGACTTGGGACAGTGTTCTCTGGGCATCTCCAGAGTTGCATGAAGGAAGTCGAGCCACCGGTCGTGTTGAATGGGGAACGGGGAATGGCTCTGGAGTCAATGCAGGGGAATCGGGCCTCATCTCGAGTTGATTTGTGGCACCTGGAGCTGCTTTGCGTTGCTGGGGTGACTTCAGGGTCCATCTAGACTGGTGACAGTGTTCTTGGGGACTGCCTCGAGATCCATTAAGCAAGTCGAAGCTCCTGACTTGTTTGAATGGGATCACGGAATAGCTCTGCATGCACTGCAGGGGAATGGGGCCTCATCTCGCCTCTAGGGGGAAGTCTCATGGTTTTTCTCGAGTTGCGGCGGGGACCTGGGGTATGTTCTCGACTTACGGCGGGGATGGCCCTTCAAAACACGAGTTTCTTCCGTGACGTCAGGACTCCTGTCTAGTAACGAGGGACACCTCAGCAATCTCTTCGAGGCTTGGCAGGGCAAAAGGGACGCTTCTCGAGGTGAGCCAGGGCACCCAAGGACCCTTTCCAGTAGCCACAGGGATTTTGGGATTCCTATCAGTATTCAAGAGGAGTCAGGCATCGTCACCTTTTGAAGCAATGAACTCCGCGTGCCTCTCGAGGTGTCAGCGGGATGTGAGGATTCCGTCAAAATGAGGCAGGGACCTAGGGCTTTCTCTAAGGTCTCCACAGGGGATTCAGACATCCCTTCATGTTGTGAGATGAAAGACGAGCCTGTATTCAAGCCACTGCAAGGAAATCCGGCCTCCTTTCAAGTTAGGGCTTCTCGCTGTATATTCCCCTTGAGGCAGCAAACTCGGAGTCCCTCCCACATACCTATTGCTGAGAGAAGCCTCCTCCTGAGATGCTTCTGGAAAGGTGGCATACGTCTTGAGCCTAAGCCAGGGAATCAGCTCTCATCTCGAGACGATTTGGGGTACACAGAGCATTCCTCGAGTTGCTGTGCTGAAGTTGGTGGTCCTCTAGACTTGGGACAGTGTTCTCGGGGCATCTCCGGAGTTGCCTGAAGGAAGTCGAGCCACCGGTCGTGTTGAATGGGGAACAAGGAATGGCTCTGGAGTCAATGCAGGGGAATCCGGCCTCATCTCGAGTTGATTTGGGGCACATGGAGCTGCTTTGCGTTGCTCGGGTGACCTCAGGGTCCGACTAGACTGGTGACAGTGTTCTTGGGGACTGTCTCGATATCCATTAAGCAAGTCGAAGCTCCTGACTTGTTTGAATGGGATCACGGAATAGCTCTGCATGCACTGCAGGGGAATGGGGCCTCATCTCGCCTCTAGGGGGAAGTCTCATGGTTTTTCTCGAGTTGCGGCGGGCACCTGGGGTATGTTTTCGACTTACGGCGGGGATGGCCCTTCAAAACACGAGTTTCTTCCGTGACGTCAGGACTCCTGTCTAGTAACGAGGGACACCTCAGCAATCTCTTCGAGGCTTGGCAGGGCAAAAGGGACGCTTCTCGAGGTGAGCCAGGGCACCCAAGGACCCTTTCCAGTAGCCACAGGGATTTTGGGATTCCTATCAGTATTCAAGAGGAGTCAGGCATCGTCACCTTTTGAAGCAATGAACTCCGCGTGCCTCTCGAGGTGTCAGCGGGATGTGAGGATTCCGTCAAAATGAGGCAGGGACCTAGGGCTTTCTCTAAGGTATCCACAGGGGATTCAGACATCCCTTCATGTTGTGAGATGAAAGACGAGCCTGTATTCAAGCCACTGCAAGGAAATCCGGCCTCCTTTCAAGTTAGGGCTTCTCGCTGTATATTCCCCTTGAGGCAGCAAACTCGGGGTCCCTCCCACATTCCTATTGCTGAGAGAAGCCTCCTCCTGAGGTGCTTCTGGAAAGGTGGCATACGTCTTGAGCCTAAGCCAGGGAATCAGCTCTCATCTCGAGACGATTTGGGGTACACTGAGCATTCCTCGAGTTGCTGTGCTGAAGTTGGTGTTCCTCTAGACTTGGGACAGTGTTCTCGGGGCATCTCTGGAGTTGCCTGAAGGAAGTCGAGCCACCGGTCGTGTTGAATGGGGAACAAGGAATGGCTCTGGAGTCAATGCAGGGGAATCCGGCCTCATCTCGAGTTGATTTGGGGCACATGGAGCTGCTTTGCATTGCTGGGTGACCTCAGGGTCCGTCTAGACTGGTGACAGTGTTCTTGGGGACTGTCTCGAGATCCATTAAGCAAGTCGAAGCTCCTGACTTGTTTGAATGGGATCACGGAATAGCTCTGCATGCACTGCAGGGGAATGGGGCCTCATCTCGCCTCTAGGGGGAAGTCTCATGGTTTTTCTCGAGTTGCGGCGGAGACCTGGGGTATGTTCTCGACTTACGGCGGGGATGGCCCTTCAAAACACGAGTTTCTTCAGTGACGTCAGGACTCCTGTCTAGTAACGAGGGACACATCAGCAATCTCTTCGAGGCTTGGCAGGGCAAAAGGGACGCTTCTCGAGGTGAGCCAGGGCACCCAAGGACCCTTTCCAGTAGCCACAGGGATTTTGGGATTCCTATCAGTATTCAAGAGGAGTCAGGCATCGTCACCTTTTGAAGCAATGAACTCCGCGTGCCTCTCGAGGTGTCAGCGGGATGTGAGGATTCCGTCAAAATGAGGCAGGGACCTAGGGCTTTCTCTAAGGTCTCCACAGGGGATTCAGACATCCCTTCATGTTGTGAGATGAAAGACGAGCCTGTATTCAAGCCACTGCAAGGAAATCCGGCCTCCTTTCAAGTTAGGGCTTCTCGCTGTATATTCCCCTTGAGGCAGCAAACTCGGAGTCCCTCCCACATACCTATTGTTGAGAGAAGCCTCCTCCTGAGGTGCTTCTGGAAAGTTGGCATACGTCTTGAGCCTAAGCCAGGGATTCAGCTCTCATCTCGAGACGATTTGGGGTACACAGAGCATTCCTCGAGTTGCTGTGCTGAAGTTGGTGTTCCTCTAGACTTGGGACAGTGTTCTCTGGGCATCTCCAGAGTTGCATGAAGGAAGTCGAGCCACCGGTCGTGTTGAATGGGGAACGGGGAATGGCTCTGGAGTCAATGCAGGGGAATCGGGCCTCATCTCGAGTTGATTTGTGGCACCTGGAGCTGCTTTGCGTTGCTGGGGTGACTTCAGGGTCCATCTAGACTGGTGACAGTGTTCTTGGGGACTGCCTCGAGATCCATTAAGCAAGTCGAAGCTCCTGACTTGTTTGAATGGGATCACGGAATAGCTCTGCATGCACTGCAGGGGAATGGGGCCTCATCTCGCCTCTAGGGGGAAGTCTCATGGTTTTTCTCGAGTTGCGGCGGGGACCTGGGGTATGTTCTCGACTTACGGCGGGGATGGCCCTTCAAAACACGAGTTTCTTCAGTGACGTCAGGACTCCTGCCTAGTAACGAGGGACACCTCAGCAATCTCTTCGAGGCTTGGCAGGGCAAAAGGGACGCTTCTCGAGGTGAGCCAGGGCACCCAAGGACCCTTTCCAGTAGCCACAGGGATTTTGGGATTCCTATAAGTATTCAAGAGAAGTCAGGCATCGTCACCTTTTGAAGCAATGAACACCGCGTGCCTCTCGAGGTGTCAGCGGGATGTGAGGATTCCGTCAAAATGAGGCATGGACCTAGGGCTTTCTCTAAGGTCTCCACAGGGGATTCAGACATCCCTTCATGTTGTGAGATGAAAGACGAGCCTGTATTCAAGCCACTGCAAGGAAATCCGGCCTCCTTTCATGTTAGGGCTTCTCGCTGTATATTCCCCTTGAGGCAGCAAACTCGGGGTCCCTCCCACATTCCTATTGCTGAGAGAAGCCTCCTCCTGAGGTGCTTCTGGAAAGGTGGCATACGTCTTGAGCCTAAGCCAGGGAATCAGCTCTCATCTCGAGACGATTTGGGGTACACTGAGCATTCCTCGAGTTGCTGTGCTGAAGTTGGTGGTCCTCTAGACTTGGGACAGTGTTCTCGGGGCATCTCTGGAGTTGCCTGAAGGAAGTCGAGCCACCGGTCGTGTTGAATGGGGAACAAGGAATGGCTCTGGAGTCAATGCAGGGGAATCCGGCCTCATCTCGAGTTGATTTGGGGCACATGGAGCTGCTTTGCATTGCTGGGTGACCTCAGGGTCCGTCTAGACTGGTGACAGTGTTCTTGGGGACTGTCTCGAGATCCATTAAGCAAGTCGAAGCTCCTGACTTGTTTGAATGGGATCACGGAATAGCTCTGCATGCACTGCAGGGGAATGGGGCCTCATCTCGCCTCTAGGGGGAAGTCTCATGGTTTTTCTCGAGTTGCGGCGGAGACCTGGGGTATGTTCTCGACTTACGGCGGGGATGGCCCTTCAAAACACGAGTTTCTTCAGTGACGTCAGGACTCCTGTCTAGTAACGAGGGACACCTCAGCAATCTCTTCGAGGCTTGGCAGGGCAAAAGGGACGCTTCTCGAGGTGAGCCAGGGCACCCAAGGACCCTTTCCAGTAGCCACAGGGATTTTGGGATTCCTATCAGTATTCAAGAGGAGTCAGGCATCGTCACCTTTGAAGCAATGAACTCCGCGTGCCTCTCGAGGTGTCAGCGGGATGTGAGGATTCCGTCAAAATGAGGCAGGGACCTAGGGCTTTCTCTAAGGTATCCACAGGGGATTCAGACATCCCTTCATGTTGTGAGATGAAAGACGAGCCTGTATTCAAGCCACTGCAAGGAAATCCGGCCTCCTTTCAAGTTAGGGCTTCTCGCTGTATATTCCCCTTGAGGCAGCAAACTCGGAGTCCCTCCCACATACCTATTGTTGAGAGAAGCCTCCTCCTGAGGTGCTTCTGGAAAGTTGGCATACGTCTTGAGCCTAAGCCAGGGATTCAGCTCTCATCTCGAGACGATTTGGGGTACACAGAGCATTCCTCGAGTTGCTGTGCTGAAGTTGGTGTTCCTCTAGACTTGGGACAGTGTTCTCTGGGCATCTCCAGAGTTGCATGAAGGAAGTCGAGCCACCGGTCGTGTTGAATGGGGAACGGGGAATGGCTCTGGAGTCAATGCAGGGGAATCGGGCCTCATCTCGAGTTGATTTGTGGCACCTGGAGCTGCTTTGCGTTGCTGGGGTGACTTCAGGGTCCATCTAGACTGGTGACAGTGTTCTTGGGGACTGCCTCGAGATCCATTAAGCAAGTCGAAGCTCCTGACTTGTTTGAATGGGATCACGGAATAGCTCTGCATGCACTGCAGGGGAATGGGGCCTCATCTCGCCTCTAGGGGGAAGTCTCATGGTTTTTCTCGAGTTGCGGCGGGGACCTGGGGTATGTTCTCGACTTACGGCGGGGATGGCCCTTCAAAACACGAGTTTCTTCCGTGACGTCAGGACTCCTGTCTAGTAACGAGGGACACCTCAGCAATCTCTTCGAGGCTTGGCAGGGCAAAAGGGACGCTTCTCGAGGTGAGCCAGGGCACCCAAGGACCCTTTCCAGTAGCCACAGGGATTTTGGGATTCCTATCAGTATTCAAGAGGAGTCAGGCATCGTCACCTTTTGAAGCAATGAACTCCGCGTGCCTCTCGAGGTGTCAGCGGGATGTGAGGATTCCGTCAAAATGAGGCAGGGACCTAGGGCTTTCTCTAAGGTCTCCACAGGGGATTCAGACATCCCTTCATGTTGTGAGATGAAAGACGAGCCTGTATTCAAGCCACTGCAAGGAAATCCGGCCTCCTTTCAAGTTAGGGCTTCTCGCTGTATATTCCCCTTGAGGCAGCAAACTCGGAGTCCCTCCCACATACCTATTGTTGAGAGAAGCCTCCTCCTGAGGTGCTTCTGGAAAGGTGGCATACGTCTTGAGCCTAAGCCAGGGATTCAGCTCTCATCTCGAGACGATTTGGGGTACACAGAGCATTCCTCGAGTTGCTGTGCTGAAGTTGGTGTTCCTCTAGACTTGGGACAGTGTTCTCTGGGCATCTCCAGAGTTGCATGAAGGAAGTCGAGCCACCGGTCGTGTTGAATGGGGAACGGGGAATGGCTCTGGAGTCAATGCAGGGGAATCGGGCCTCATCTCGAGTTGATTTGTGGCACCTGGAGCTGCTTTGCGTTGCTGGGGTGACTTCAGGGTCCATCTAGACTGGTGACAGTGTTCTTGGGGACTGCCTCGAGATCCATTAAGCAAGTCGAAGCTCCTGACTTGTTTGAATGGGATCACGGAATAGCTCTGCATGCACTGCAGGGGAATGGAGCCTCATCTCGCCTCTAGGGGGAAGTCTCATGGTTTTTCTCGAGTTGCGGCGGGGACCTGGGGTATGTTCTCGACTTACGGCGGGGATGGCCCTTCAAAACACGAGTTTCTTCAGTGACGTCAGGACTCCTGCCTAGTAACGAGGGACACCTCAGCAATCTCTTCGAGGCTTGGCAGGGCAAAAGGGACGCTTCTCGAGGTGAGCCAGGGCACCCAAGGACCCTTTCCAGTAGCCACAGGGATTTTGGGATTCCTATAAGTATTCAAGAGGAGTCAGGCATCGTCACCTTTTGAAGCAATGAACACCGCGTGCCTCTCGAGGTGTCAGCGGGATGTGAGGATTCCGTCAAAATGAGGCAGGGACCTAGGGCTTTCTCTAAGGTATCCACAGGGGATTCAGACATCCCTTCATGTTGTGAGATGAAAGACGAGCCTGTATTCAAGCCACTGCAAGGAAATCCGGCCTCCTTTCAAGTTAGGGCTTCTCGCTGTATATTCCCCTTGAGGCAGCAAACTCGGGGTCCCTCCCACATTCCTATTGCTGAGAGAAGCCTCCTCCTGAGGTGCTTCTGGAAAGGTGGCATACGTCTTGAGCCTAAGCCAGGGAATCAGCTCTCATCTCGAGACGATTTGGGGTACACTGAGCATTCCTCGAGTTGCTGTGCTGAAGTTGGTGGTCCTCTAGACTTGGGACAGTGTTCTCGGGGCATCTCTGGAGTTGCCTGAAGGAAGTCGAGCCACCGGTCGTGTTGAATGGGGAACAAGGAATGGCTCTGGAGTCAATGCAGGGGAATCCGGCCTCATCTCGAGTTGATTTGGGGCACATGGAGCTGCTTTGCATTGCTGGGTGACCTCAGGGTCCGTCTAGAGTGGTGACAGTGTTCTTGGGGACTGTCTCGAGATCCATTAAGCAAGTCGAAGCTCCTGACTTTTTTGAATGGGATCACGGAATAGCTCTGCATGCACTGCAGGGGAATGGGGCCTCATCTCGCCTCTAGGGGGAAGTCTCATGGTTTTTCTCGAGTTCCGGCGGAGACCTGGGGTATGTTCTCGACTTACGGCGGGGATGGCCCTTCAAAACACGAGTTTCTTCAGTGACGTCAGGACTCCTGTCTAGTAACGAGGGACACATCAGCAATCTCTTCGAGGCTTGGCAGGGCAAAAGGGACGCTTCTCGAGGTGAGCCAGGGCACCCAAGGACCCTTTCCAGTAGCCACAGGGATTTTGGGATTCCTATCAGTATTCAAGAGGAGTCAGGCATCGTCACCTTTTGAAGCAATGTACTCCGCGTGCCTCTCGAGGTGTCAGCGGGATGTGAGGCATTCCGTCAAAATGAGGCAGGGACCTAGGGCTTTCTCTAAGGTCTTCACAGGGGATTCAGACATCCCTTCATGTTGTGAGATGAAAGACGAGCCTGTATTCAAGCCACTGCAAGGAAATCCGGCCTCCTTTCAAGTTAGGGCTTCTCGCTGTATATTCCCCTTGAGGCAGCAAACTCGGGGTCCCTCCCACATACCTATTGCTGAGAGAAGCCTCCTCCTGAGGTGCTTCTGGAAAGGTGGCATATGTCTTGAGCCTAAGCCAGGGAATCAGCTCTCATCTCGAGACGTTTTGGGGTACACAGAGCATTCCTCGAGTTGCTGTGCTGAAGTTGGTGGTCCTCTAGACTTGGGACAGTGTTCTCGGGGCATCTCTGGAGTTGCCTGAAGGAAGTCGAGCCACCGGTCGTGTTGAATGGGGAACAAGGAATGGCTCTGGAGTCAATGCAGGGGAATCCGGCCTCATCTCGAGTTGATTTGGGGCACATGGAGCTGCTTTGCATTGCTGGGTGACCTCAGGTTCCGACTAGACTGGTGACAGTGTTCTTGGGGACTGTCTCGATATCCATTAAGCAAGTCGAAGCTCCTGACTTGTTTGAATGGGATCACGGAATAGCTCTGCATGCACTGCAGGGGAATGGGGCCTCATCTCGCCTCTAGGGTGAAGTCTCATGGTTTTTCTCGAGTTGCGGCGGGGACCTGGGGTATGTTCTCGACTTACGGCGGGGATGGCCCTTCAAAACACGAGTTTCTTCCGTGACGTCAGGACTCCTGTCTAGTAACGAGGGACACCTCAGCAATCTCTTCGAGGCTTGGCAGGGCAAAAGGGACGCTTCTCGAGGTGAGCCAGGGCACCCAAGGACCCTTTCCAGTAGCCACAGGGATTTTGGGATTCCTATCAGTATTCAAGAGGAGTCAGGCATCGTCACCTTTTGAAGCAATGAACTCCGCGTGCCTCTCGAGGTGTCAGCGGGATGTGAGGATTCCGTCAAAATGAGGCAGGGACCTAGGGCTTTCTCTAAGGTCTCCACAGGGGATTCAGACATCCCTTCATGTTGTGAGATGAAAGACGAGCCTGTATTCAAGCCCCTGCAAGGAAATCCGGCCTCCTTTCAAGTTAGGGCTTCTCGCTGTATATTCCCCTTGAGGCAGCAAACTCGGAGTCCCTCCCACATACCTATTGTTGAGAGAAGCCTCCTCCTGAGGTGCTTCTGGAAAGGTGGCATACGTCTTGAGCCTAAGCCAGGTATTCAGCTCTCATCTCGAGACGATTTGGGGTACACAGAGCATTCCTCGAGTTGCTGTGCTGAAGTTGGTGTTCCTCTAGACTTGGGACAGTGTTCTCGGGTCATCTCCAGAGTTGCATGAAGGAAGTCTAGCCACCGGTCGTGTTGAATGGGGAACAGGGAATGGCTCTGGAGTCAATGCAGGGGAATCGGGCCTCATCTCGAGTTGATTTGGGGCACATGGAGCTGCTTTGCATTGCTGGGGTGACCTCAGGGTCCATCTAGACTGGTGACAGTGTTCTTGGGGACTGCCTCGAGATCCATTAAGCAAGTCGAAGCTCCTGACTTGTTTGAATGGGATCACGGAATAGCTCTGCATGCACTGCAGGGGAATGGGGCCTCATCTCGCCTCTAGGGGGAAGTCTCATGGTTTTTCTCGAGTTGCGGCGGGGACCTGGGGTATGTTCTCGACTTACGGCGGGGATGGCCCTTCAAAACACGAGTTTCTTCAGTGACGTCAGGACTCCTGTCTAGTAACGAGGGACACCTCAGCAATCTCTTCGAGGCTTGGCAGGGCAAAAGGGACGCTTCTCGAGGTGAGCCAGGGCACCCAAGGACCCTTTCCAGTAGCCACAGGGATTTTGGGATTCCTATAAGTATTCAAGAGGAGTCATGCATCGTCACTTTTGAAGCAATGAACTCCGCGTGCCTCTCGAGGTGTCAGCGGGATGTGAGGATTCCGTCAAAATGAGGCAGGGACCTAAGGCTTTCTCTAAGGTATCCACAGGGGATTCAGACATCCCTTCATGTTGTGAGATGAAAGATGAGCCTGTATTCAAGCCACTGCATGGAAATCCGGCCTCCTTTCAAGTTAGGGCTTCTCGCTGTATATTCCCCTTGAGGCAGCAAACTCGGGGTCCCTCCCACATACCTATTGCTGAGAGAAGCCTCCTCCTGAGGTGCTTCTGGAAAGGTGGCATACGTCTTGAGCCTAAGCCAGGGAATCAGCTCTCATCTCGAGACGATTTGGGGTACACTGAGCATTCCTCGAGTTGCTGTGCTGAAGTTGGTGGTCCTCTAGACTTGGGACAGTGTTCTCGGGGCATCTCTGGAGTTGCCTGAAGGAAGTCGAGCCACCGGTCGTGTTGAATGGGGAACAAGGAATGGCTCTGGAGTCAATGCAGGGGAATCCGGCCTCATCTCGAGTTGATTTGGGGCACATGGAGCTGCTTTGCATTGCTGGGTGACCTCAGGGTCCGACTAGACTGGTGACAGTGTTCTTGGGGACTGTCTCGATATCCATTAAGCAAGTCGAAGCTCCTGACTTGTTTGAATGGGATCACGGAATAGCTCTGCATGCACTGCAGGGGAATGGGGCCTCATCTCGCCTCTAGGGGGAAGTCTCATGGTTTTTCTCGAGTTGCGGCGGGGACCTGGGGTATGTTCTCGACTTACGGCGGGGATGGCCCTTCAAAACACGAGTTTCTTCCGTGACGTCAGGACTCCTGTCTAGTAACGAGGGACACCTCAGCAATCTCTTCGAGGCTTGGCAGGGCAAAAGGGACGCTTCTCGAGGTGAGCCAGGGCACCCAAGGACCCTTTCCAGTAGCAACAGGGATTTTGGGATTCCTATCACTATTCAAGAGGAGTCAGGCATCGTCACCTTTTGAAGCAATGAACTCCGCGTGCCTCTCGAGGTGTCAGCGGGATGTGAGGATTCCGTCAAAATGAGGCAGGGACCTAGGGCTTTCTCTAAGGTCTCCACAGGGGATTCAGACATCCCTTCATGTTGTGAGATGAAAGACGAGCCTGTATTCAAGCCACTGCAAGGAAATCCGGCCTCCTTTCAAGTTAGGGCTTCTCGCTGTATATTCCCCTTGAGGCAGCAAACTCGGAGTCCCTCCCACATACCTATTGTTGAGAGAAGCCTCCTCCTGAGGTGCTTCTGGAAAGGTGGCATACGTCTTGAGCCTAAGCCAGGGATTCAGCTCTCATCTCGAGACGATTTGGGGTACACAGAGCATTCCTCGAGTTGCTGTGCTGAAGTTGGTGTTCCTCTAGACTTGGGACAGTGTTCTCTGGGCATCTCCAGAGTTGCATGAAGGAAGTCGAGCCACCGGTCCTGTTGAATGGGGAACGGGGAATGGCTCTGGAGTCAATGCAGGGGAATCGGGCCTCATCTCGAGTTGATTTGTGGCACCTGGAGCTGCTTTGCGTTGCTGGGGTGACTTCAGGGTCCATCTAGACTGGTGACAGTGTTCTTGGGGACTGCCTCGAGATCCATTAAGCAAGTCGAAGCTCCTGACTTGTTTGAATGGGATCACGGAATAGCTCTGCATGCACTGCAGGGGAATGGGGCCTCATCTCGCCTCTAGGGGGAAGTCTCATGGTTTTTCTCGAGTTGCGGCGGGGACCTGGGGTATGTTCTCGACTTACGGCGGGGATGGCCCTTCAAAACACGAGTTTCTTCAGTGACGTCAGGACTCCTGCCTAGTAACGAGGGACACCTCAGCAATCTCTTCGAGGCTTGGCAGGGCAAAAGGGACGCTTCTCGAGGTGAGCCAGGGCACCCAAGGACCCTTTCCAGTAGCCACAGGGATTTTGGGATTCCTATAAGTATTCAAGAGAAGTCAGGCATCGTCACCTTTTGAAGCAATGAACACCGCGTGCCTCTCGAGGTGTCAGCGGGATGTGAGGATTCCGTCAAAATGAGGCAGGGACCTAGGGCTTTCTCTAAGGTCTCCACAGGGGATTCAGACATCCCTTCATGTTGTGAGATGAAAGACGAGCCTGTATTCAAGCCACTGCAAGGAAATCCGGCCTCCTTTCAAGTTAGGGCTTCTCGCTGTATATTCCCCTTGAGGCAGCAAACTCGGGGTCCCTCCCACATTCCTATTGCTGAGAGAAGCCTCCTCCTGAGGTGCTTCTGGAAAGGTGGCATACGTCTTGAGCCTAAGCCAGGGAATCAGCTCTCATCTCGAGACGATTTGGGGTACACTGAGCATTCCTCGAGTTGCTGTGCTGAAGTTGGTGGTCCTCTAGACTTGGGACAGTGTTCTCGGGGCATCTCTGGAGTTGCCTGAAGGAAGTCGAGCCACCGGTCGTGTTGAATGGGGAACAAGGAATGGCTCTGGAGTCAATGCAGGGGAATCCGGCCTCATCTCGAGTTGATTTGGGGCACATGGAGCTGCTTTGCATTGCTGGGTGACCTCAGGGTCCGTCTAGACTGGTGACAGTGTTCTTGGGGACTGTCTCGAGATCCATTAAGCAAGTCGAAGCTCCTGACTTGTTTGAATGGGATCACGGAATAGCTCTGCATGCACTGCAGGGGAATGGGGCCTCATCTCGCCTCTAGGGGGAAGTCTCATGGTTTTTCTCGAGTTGCGGCGGAGACCTGGGGTATGTTCTCGACTTACGGCGGGGATGGCCCTTCAAAACACGAGTTTCTTAGGTGACGTCAGGACTCCTGTCTAGTAACGAGGGACACCTCAGCAATCTCTTCGAGGCTTGGCAGGGCAAAAGGGACGCTTCTCGAGGTGAGCCAGGGCACTCAAGGACCCTTTCCAGTAGCCACAGGGATTTTGGGATTCCTATCAGTATTCAAGAGGAGTCAGGCATCGTCACCTTTTGAAGCAATGAACTCCGCGTGCCTCTCGAGGTGTCAGCGGGATGTGAGGATTCCGTCAAAATGAGGCAGGGACCTAGGGCTTTCTCTAAGGTATCCACAGGGGATTCAGACATCCCTTCATGTTGTGAGATGAAAGACGAGCCTGTATTCAAGCCACTGCAAGGAAATCCGGCCTCCTTTCAAGTTAGGGCTTCTCGCTGTATATTCCCCTTGAGGCAGCAAACTCGGAGTCCCTCCCACATACCTATTGTTGAGAGAAGCCTCCTCCTGAGGTGCTTCTGGAAACTTGGCATACGTCTTGAGCCTAAGCCAGGGATTCAGCTCTCATCTCGAGACGATTTGGGGTACACAAAGCATTCCTCGAGTTGCTGTGCTGAAGTTGGTGTTCCTCTAGACTTGGGACAGTGTTCTCTGGGCATCTCCAGAGTTGCATGAAGGAAGTCGAGCCACCGGTCGTGTTGAATGGGGAACGGGGAATGGCTCTGGAGTCAATGCAGGGGAATCGGGCCTCATCTCGAGTTGATTTGTGGCACCTGGAGCTGCTTTGCGTTGCTGGGGTGACTTCAGGGTCCATCTAGACTGGTGACAGTGTTCTTGGGGACTGCCTCGAGATCCATTAAGCAAGTCGAAGCTCCTGACTTGTTTGAATGGGATCACGGAATAGCTCTGCATGCACTGCAGGGGAATGGGGCCTCATCTCGCCTCTAGGGGGAAGTCTCATGGTTTTTCTCGAGTTGCGGCGGGGACCTGGGGTATGTTCTCGACTTACGGCGGGGATGGCCCTTCAAAACACGAGTTTCTTCCGTGACGTCAGGACTCCTGTCTAGTAACGAGGGACACCTCAGCAATCTCTTCGAGGCTTGGCAGGGCAAAAGGGACGCTTCTCGAGGTGAGCCAGGGCACCCAAGGACCCTTTCCAGTAGCCACAGGGATTTTGGGATTCCTATCAGTATTCAAGAGGAGTCAGGCATCGTCACCTTTTGAAGCAATGAACTCCGCGTGCCTCTCGAGGTGTCAGCGGGATGTGAGGATTCCGTCAAAATGAGGCAGGAACCTAGGGCTTTCTCTAAGGTCTCCACAGGGGATTCAGACATCCCTTCATGTTGTGAGATGAAAGACGAGCCTGTATTCAAGCCACTGCAAGGAAATCCGGCCTCCTTTCAAGTTAGGGCTTCTCGCTGTATATTCCCCTTGAGGCAGCAAACTCGGAGTCCCTCCCACATACCTATTGCTGAGAGAAGCCTCCTCCTGAGATGCTTCTGGAAAGGTGGCATACGTCTTGAGCCTAAGCCAGGGAATCAGCTCTCATCTCGAGACGATTTGGGGTACACAGAGCATTCCTCGAGTTGCTGTGCTGAAGTTGGTGGTCCTCTAGACTTGGGACAGTGTTCTCGGGGCATCTCCGGAGTTGCCTGAAGGAAGTCGAGCCACCGGTCGTGTTGAATGGGGAACAAGGAATGGCTCTGGAGTCAATGCAGGGGAATCCGGCCTCATCTCGAGTTGATTTGGGGCACATGGAGCTGCTTTGCGTTGCTCGGGTGACCTCAGGGTCCGACTAGACTGGTGACAGTGTTCTTGGGGACTGTCTCGATATCCATTAAGCAAGTCGAAGCTCCTGACTTGTTTGAATGGGATCACGGAATAGCTCTGCATGCACTGCAGGGGAATGGGGCCTCATCTCGCCTCTAGGGGGAAGTCTCATGGTTTTTCTCGAGTTGCGGCGGGGACCTGGGGTATGTTCTCGACTTACGGCGGGGATGGCCCTTCAAAACACGAGTTTCTTCCGTGACGTCAGGACTCCTGTCTAGTAACGAGGGACACCTCAGCAATCTCTTCGAGGCTTGGCAGGGCAAAAGGGACGCTTCTCGAGGTGAGCCAGGGCACCCAAGGACCCTTTCCAGTAGCCACAGGGATTTTGGGATTCCTATCAGTATTCAAGAGGAGTCAGGCATCGTCACCTTTTGAAGCAATGAACTCCGCGTGCCTCTCGAGGTGTCAGCGGGATGTGAGGATTCCGTCAAAATGAGGCAGGGACCTAGGGCTTTCTCTAAGGTATCCACAGGGGATTCAGACATCCCTTCATGTTGTGAGATGAAAGACGAGCCTGTATTCAAGCCACTGCAAGGAAATCCGGCCTCCTTTCAAGTTAGGGCTTCTCGCTGTATATTCCCCTTGAGGCAGCAAACTCGGGGTCCCTCCCACATTCCTATTGCTGAGAGAAGCCTCCTCCTGAGGTGCTTCTGGAAAGGTGGCATACGTCTTGAGCCTAAGCCAGGGAATCAGCTCTCATCTCGAGACGATTTGGGGTACACTGAGCATTCCTCGAGTTGCTGTGCTGAAGTTGGTGGTCCTCTAGACTTGGGACAGTGTTCTCAGGGCATCTCTGGAGTTGCCTGAAGGAAGTCGAGCCACCGGTCGTGTTGAATGGGGAACAAGGAATGGCTCTGGAGTCAATGCAGGGGAATCCGGCCTCATCTCGAGTTGATTTGGGGCACATGGAGCTGCTTTGCATTGCTGGGTGACCTCAGGGTCCGTCTAGACTGGTAACAGTGTTCTTGGGGACTGTCTCGAGATCCATTAAGCAAGTCGAAGCTCCTGACTTGTTTGAATGGGATCACGGAATAGCTCTGCATGCACTGCAGGGGAATGGGGCCTCATCTCGCCTCTAGGGGGAAGTCTCATGGTTTTTCTCGAGTTGCGGCGGAGACCTGGGGTATGTTCTCGACTTACGGCGGGGATGGCCCTTCAAAACACGAGTTTCTTCAGTGACGTCAGGACTCCTGTCTAGTAACGAGGGACACCTCAGCAATCTCTTCGAGGCTTGGCAGGGCAAAAGGGACGCTTCTCGAGGTGAGCCAGGGCACCCAAGGACCCTTTCCAGTAGCCACAGGGATTTTGGGATTCCTATCAGTATTCAAGAGGAGTCAGGCATCGTCACCTTTGAAGCAATGAACTCCGCGTGCCTCTCGAGGTGTCAGCGGGATGTGAGGATTCCGTCAAAATGAGGCAGGGACCTAGGGCTTTCTCTAAGGTATCCACAGGGGATTCAGACATCCCTTCATGTTGTGAGATGAAAGACGAGCCTGTATTCAAGCCACTGCAAGGAAATCCGGCCTCCTTTCAAGTTAGGGCTTCTCGCTGTATATTCCCCTTGAGGCAGCAAACTCGGAGTCCCTCCCACATACCTATTGTTGAGAGAAGCCTCCTCCTGAGGTGCTTCTGGAAAGTTGGCATACGTCTTGAGCCTAAGCCAGGGATTCAGCTCTCATCTCGAGACGATTTGGGGTACACAGAGCATTCCTCGAGTTGCTGTGCTGAAGTTGGTGTTCCTCTAGACTTGGGACAGTGTTCTCTGGGCATCTCCAGAGTTGCATGAAGGAAGTCGAGCCACCGGTCGTGTTGAATGGGGAACGGGGAATGGCTCTGGAGTCAGTGCAGGGGAATCGGGCCTCATCTCGAGTTGATTTGTGGCACCTGGAGCTGCTTTGCGTTGCTGGGGTGACTTCAGGGTCCATCTAGACTGGTGACAGTGTTCTTGGGGACTGCCTCGAGATCCATTAAGCAAGTCGAAGCTCCTGACTTGTTTGAATGGGATCACGGAATAGCTCTGCATGCACTGCAGGGGAATGGGGCCTCATCTCGCCTCTAGGGGGAAGTCTCATGGTTTTTCTCGAGTTGCGGCGGGGACCTGGGGTATGTTCTCGACTTACGGCGGGGATGGCCCTTCAAAACACGAGTTTCTTCCGTGACGTCAGGACTCCTGTCTAGTAACGAGGGACACCTCAGCAATCTCTTCGAGGCTTGGCAGGGCAAAAGGGACGCTTCTCGAGGTGAGCCAGGGCACCCAAGGACCCTTTCCAGTAGCCACAGGGATTTTGGGATTCCTATCAGTATTCAAGAGGAGTCAGGCATCGTCACCTTTTGAAGCAATGAACTCCGCGTGCCTCTCGAGGTGTCAGCGGGATGTGAGGATTCCGTCAAAATGAGGCAGGAACCTAGGGCTTTCTCTAAGGTCTCCACAGGGGATTCAGACATCCCTTCATGTTGTGAGATGAAAGACGAGCCTGTATTCAAGCCACTGCAAGGAAATCCGGCCTCCTTTCAAGTTAGGGCTTCTCGCTGTATATTCCCCTTGAGGCAGCAAACTCGGAGTCCCTCCCACATACCTATTGCTGAGAGAAGCCTCCTCCTGAGATGCTTCTGGAAAGGTGGCATACGTCTTGAGCCTAAGCCAGGGAATCAGCTCTCATCTCGAGACGATTTGGGGTACACAGAGCATTCCTCGAGTTGCTGTGCTGAAGTTGGTGGTCCTCTAGACTTGGGACAGTGTTCTCGGGGCATCTCCGGAGTTGCCTGAAGGAAGTCGAGCCACCGGTCGTGTTGAATGGGGAACAAGGAATGGCTCTGGAGTCAATGCAGGGGAATCCGGCCTCATCTCGAGTTGATTTGGGGCACATGGAGCTGCTTTGCGTTGCTCGGGTGACCTCAGGGTCCGACTAGACTGGTGACAGTGTTCTTGGGGACTGTCTCGATATCCATTAAGCAAGTCGAAGCTCCTGACTTGTTTGAATGGGATCACGGAATAGCTCTGCATGCACTGCAGGGGAATGGGGCCTCATCTCGCCTCTAGGGGGAAGTCTCATGGTTTTTCTCGAGTTGCGGCGGGGACCTGGGGTATGTTCTCGACTTACGGCGGGGATGGCCCTTCAAAACACGAGTTTCTTCCGTGACGTCAGGACTCCTGTCTAGTAACGAGGGACACCTCAGCAATCTCTTCGAGGCTTGGCAGGGCAAAAGGGACGCTTCTCGAGGTGAGCCAGGGCACCCAAGGACCCTTTCCAGTAGCCACAGGGATTTTGGGATTCCTATCAGTATTCAAGAGGAGTCAGGCATCGTCACCTTTTGAAGCAATGAACTCCGCGTGCCTCTCGAGGTGTCAGCGGGATGTGAGGATTCCGTCAAAATGAGGCAGGGACCTAGGGCTTTCTCTAAGGTATCCACAGGGGATTCAGACATCCCTTCATGTTGTGAGATGAAAGACGAGCCTGTATTCAAGCCACTGCAAGGAAATCCGGCCTCCTTTCAAGTTAGGGCTTCTCGCTGTATATTCCCCTTGAGGCAGCAAACTCGGGGTCCCTCCCACATTCCTATTGCTGAGAGAAGCCTCCTCCTGAGGTGCTTCTGGAAAGGTGGCATACGTCTTGAGCCTAAGCCAGGGAATCAGCTCTCATCTCGAGACGATTTGGGGTACACTGAGCATTCCTCGAGTTGCTGTGCTGAAGTTGGTGGTCCTCTAGACTTGGGACAGTGTTCTCGGGGCATCTCTGGAGTTGCCTGAAGGAAGTCGAGCCACCGGTCGTGTTGAATGGGGAACAAGGAATGGCTCTGGAGTCAATGCAGGGGAATCCGGCCTCATCTCGAGTTGATTTGGGGCACATGGAGCTGCTTTGCATTGCTGGGTGACCTCAGGGTCCGTCTAGACTGGTGACAGTGTTCTTGGGGACTGTCTCGAGATCCATTAAGCAAGTCGAAGCTCCTGACTTGTTTGAATGGGATCACGGAATAGCTCTGCATGCACTGCAGGGGAATGGGGCCTCATCTCGCCTCTAGGGGGAAGTCTCATGGTTTTTCTCGAGTTGCGGCGGAGACCTGGGGTATGTTCTCGACTTACGGCGGGGATGGCCCTTCAAAACACGAGTTTCTTCAGTGACGTCAGGACTCCTGTCTAGTAACGAGGGACACATCAGCAATCTCTTCGAGGCTTGGCAGGGCAAAAGGGACGCTTCTCGAGGTGAGCCAGGGCACCCAAGGACCCTTTCCAGTAGCCACAGGGATTTTGGGATTCCTATCAGTATTCAAGAGGAGTCAGGCATCGTCACCTTTTGAAGCAATGAACTCCGCGTGCCTCTCGAGGTGTCAGCGGGATGTGAGGATTCCGTCAAAATGAGGCAGGGACCTAGGGCTTTCTCTAAGGTATCCACAGGGGATTCAGACATCCCTTCATGTTGTGAGATGAAAGACGAGCCTGTATTCAAGCCACTGCAAGGAAATCCGGCCTCCTTTCAAGTTAGGGCTTCTCGCTGTATATTCCCCTTGAGGCAGCAAACTCGGGGTCCCTCCCACATTCCTATTGCTGAGAGAAGCCTCCTCCTGAGGTGCTTCTGGAAAGGTGGCATACGTCTTGAGCCTAAGCCAGGGAATCAGCTCTCATCTCGAGACGATTTGGGGTACACTGAGCATTCCTCGAGTTGCTGTGCTGAAGTTGGTGGTCCTCTAGACTTGGGACAGTGTTCTCGGGGCATCTCTGGAGTTGCCTGAAGGAAGTCGAGCCACCGGTCGTGTTGAATGGGGAACAAGGAATGGCTCTGGAGTCAATGCAGGGGAATCCGGCCTCATCTCGAGTTGATTTGGGGCACATGGAGCTGCTTTGCATTGCTGGGTGACCTCAGGGTCCGTCTAGACTGGTAACAGTGTTCTTGGGGACTGTCTCGAGATCCATTAAGCAAGTCGAAGCTCCTGACTTGTTTGAATGGGATCACGGAATAGCTCTGCATGCACTGCAGGGGAATGGGGCCTCATCTCGCCTCTAGGGGGAAGTCTCATGGTTTTTCTCGAGTTGCGGCGGAGACCTGGGGTATGTTCTCGACTTACGGCGGGGATGGCCCTTCAAAACACGAGTTTCTTCAGTGACGTCAGGACTCCTGTCTAGTAACGAGGGACACCTCAGCAATCTCTTCGAGGCTTGGCAGGGCAAAAGGGACGCTTCTCGAGGTGAGCCAGGGCACCCAAGGACCCTTTCCAGTAGCCACAGGGATTTTGGGATTCCTATCAGTATTCAAGAGGAGTCAGGCATCGTCACCTTTGAAGCAATGAACTCCGCGTGCCTCTCGAGGTGTCAGCGGGATGTGAGGATTCCGTCAAAATGAGGCAGGGACCTAGGGCTTTCTCTAAGGTATCCACAGGGGATTCAGACATCCCTTCATGTTGTGAGATGAAAGACGAGCCTGTATTCAAGCCACTGCAAGGAAATCCGGCCTCCTTTCAAGTTAGGGCTTCTCGCTGTATATTCCCCTTGAGGCAGCAAACTCGGAGTCCCTCCCACATACCTATTGTTGAGAGAAGCCTCCTCCTGAGGTGCTTCTGGAAAGTTGGCATACGTCTTGAGCCTAAGCCAGGGATTCAGCTCTCATCTCGAGACGATTTGGGGTACACAGAGCATTCCTCGAGTTGCTGTGCTGAAGTTGGTGTTCCTCTAGACTTGGGACAGTGTTCTCTGGGCATCTCCAGAGTTGCATGAAGGAAGTCGAGCCACCGGTCGTGTTGAATGGGGAACGGGGAATGGCTCTGGAGTCAATGCAGGGGAATCGGGCCTCATCTCGAGTTGATTTGTGGCACCTGGAGCTGCTTTGCGTTGCTGGGGTGACTTCAGGGTCCATCTAGACTGGTGACAGTGTTCTTGGGGACTGCCTCGAGATCCATTAAGCAAGTCGAAGCTCCTGACTTGTTTGAATGGGATCACGGAATAGCTCTGCATGCACTGCAGGGGAATGGGGCCTCATCTCGCCTCTAGGGGGAAGTCTCATGGTTTTTCTCGAGTTGCGGCGGGGACCTGGGGTATGTTCTCGACTTACGGCGGGGATGGCCCTTCAAAACACGAGTTTCTTCAGTGACGTCAGGACTCCTGCCTAGTAACGAGGGACACCTCAGCAATCTCTTCGAGGCTTGGCAGGGCAAAAGGGACGCTTCTCGAGGTGAGCCAGGGCACCCAAGGACCCTTTCCAGTAGCCACAGGGATTTTGGGATTCCTATAAGTATTCAAGAGAAGTCAGGCATCGTCACCTTTTGAAGCAATGAACACCGCGTGCCTCTCGAGGTGTCAGCGGGATGTGAGGATTCCGTCAAAATGAGGCAGGGACCTAGGGCTTTCTCTAAGGTATCCACAGGGGATTCAGACATCCCTTCATGTTGTGAGATGAAAGACGAGCCTGTATTCAAGCCACTGCAAGGAAATCCGGCCTCCTTTCAAGTTAGGGCTTCTCGCTGTATATTCCCCTTGAGGCAGCAAACTCGGGGTCCCTCCCACATTCCTATTGCTGAGAGAAGCCTCCTCCTGAGGTGCTTCTGGAAAGGTGGCATACGTCTTGAGCCTAAGCCAGGGAATCAGCTCTCATCTCGAGACGATTTGGGGTACACTGAGCATTCCTCGAGTTGCTGTGCTGAAGTTGGTGGTCCTCTAGACTTGGGACAGTGTTCTCGGGGCATCTCTGGAGTTGCCTGAAGGAAGTCGAGCCACCGGTCGTGTTGAATGGGGAACAAGGAATGGCTCTGGAGTCAATGCAGGGGAATCCGGCCTCATCTCGAGTTGATTTGGGGCACATGGAGCTGCTTTGCATTGCTGGGTGACCTCAGGGTCCGTCTAGACTGGTGACAGTGTTCTTGGGGACTGTCTCGAGATCCATTAAGCAAGTCGAAGCTCCTGACTTGTTTGAATGGGATCACGGAATAGCTCTGCATGCACTGCAGGGGAATGGGGCCTCATCTCGCCTCTAGGGGGAAGTCTCATGGTTTTTCTCGAGTTGCGGCGGAGACCTGGGGTATGTTCTCGACTTACGGCGGGGATGGCCCTTCAAAACACGAGTTTCTTCAGTGACGTCAGGACTCCTGTCTAGTAACGAGGGACACATCAGCAATCTCTTCGAGGCTTGGCAGGGCAAAAGGGACGCTTCTCGAGGTGAGCCAGGGCACCCAAGGACCCTTTCCAGTAGCCACAGGGATTTTGGGATTCCTATCAGTATTCAAGAGGAGTCAGGCATCGTCACCTTTTGAAGCAATGAACTCCGCGTGCCTCTCGAGGTGTCAGCGGGATGTGAGGATTCCGTCAAAATGAGGCAGGGACCTAGGGCTTTCTCTAAGGTATCCACAGGGGATTCAGACATCCCTTCATGTTGTGAGATGAAAGACGAGCCTGTATTCAAGCCACTGCAAGGAAATCCGGCCTCCTTTCAAGTTAGGGCTTCTCGCTGTATATTCCCCTTGAGGCAGCAAACTCGGAGTCCCTCCCACATACCTATTGTTGAGAGAAGCCTCCTCCTGAGGTGCTTCTGGAAAGTTGGCATACGTCTTGAGCCTAAGCCAGGGATTCAGCTCTCATCTCGAGACGATTTGGGGTACACAGAGCATTCCTCGAGTTGCTGTGCTGAAGTTGGTGTTCCTCTAGACTTGGGACAGTGTTCTCTGGGCATCTCCAGAGTTGCATGAAGGAAGTCGAGCCACCGGTCGTGTTGAATGGGGAACGGGGAATGGCTCTGGAGTCAATGCAGGGGAATCGGGCCTCATCTCGAGGTGATTTGTGGCACCTGGAGCTGCTTTGCGTTGCTGGGGTGACTTCAGGGTCCATCTAGACTGGTGACAGTGTTCTTGGGGACTGCCTCGAGATCCATTAAGCAAGTCGAAGCTCCTGACTTGTTTGAATGGGATCACGGAATAGCTCTGCATGCACTGCAGGGGAATGGGGCCTCATCTCGCCTCTAGGGGGAAGTCTCATGGTTTTTCTCGAGTTGCGGCGGGGACCTGGGGTATGTTCTCGACTTACGGCGGGGATGGCCCTTCAAAACATGAGTTTCTTCAGTGACGTCAGGACTCCTGCCTAGTAACGAGGGACACCTCAGCAATCTCTTCGAGGCTTGGCAGGGCAAAAGGGACGCTTCTCGAGGTGAGCCAGGGCACCCAAGGACCCTTTCCAGTAGCCACAGGGATTTTGGGATTCCTATAAGTATTCAAGAGGAGTCAGGCATCGTCACCTTTTGAAGCAATGAACACCGCGTGCCTCTCGAGGTGTCAGCGGGATATGAGGATTCCGTCAAAATGAGGCAGGGACCTAGGGCTTTCTCTAAGGTATCCACAGGGGATTCAGACATCCCTTCATGTTGTGAGATGAAAGACGAGCCTGTATTCAAGCCACTGCAAGGAAATCCGGCCTCCTTTCAAGTTAGGGCTTCTCGCTGTATATTCCCCTTGAGGCAGCAAACTCGGGGTCCCTCCCACATTCCTATTGCTGAGAGAAGCCTCCTCCTGAGGTGCTTCTGGAAAGGTGGCATACGTCTTGAGCCTAAGCCAGGGAATCAGCTCTCATCTCGAGACGATTTGGGGTACACTGAGCATTCCTCGAGTTGCTGTGCTGAAGTTGGTGGTCCTCTAGACTTGGGACAGTGTTCTCGGGGCATCTCTGGAGTTGCCTGAAGGAAGTCGAGCCACCGGTCGTGTTGAATGGGGAACAAGGAATGGCTCTGGAGTCAATGCAGGGGAATCCGGCCTCATCTCGAGTTGATTTGGGGCACATGGAGCTGCTTTGCATTGCTGGGTGACCTCAGGGTCCGTCTAGACTGGTGACAGTGTTCTTGGGGACTGTCTCGAGATCCATTAAGCAAGTCGAAGCTCCTGACTTGTTTGAATGGGATCACGGAATAGCTCTGCATGCACTGCAGGGGAATGGGGCCTCATCTCGCCTCTAGGGGGAAGTCTCATGGTTTTTCTCGAGTTGCGGCGGAGACCTGGGGTATGTTCTCGACTTACGGCGGGGATGGCCCTTCAAAACACGAGTTTCTTCAGTGACGTCAGGACTCCTGTCTAGTAACGAGGGACACATCAGCAATCTCTACGAGGCTTGGCAGGGCAAAAGGGACGCTTCTCGAGGTGAGCCAGGGCACCCAAGGACCCTTTCCAGTAGCCACAGGGATTTTGGGATTCCTATCAGTATTCAAGAGGAGTCAGGCATCGTCACCTTTTGAAGCAATGAACTCCGCGTGCCTCTCGAGGTGTCAGCGGGATGTGAGGATTCCGTCAAAATGAGGCAGGGACCTAGGGCTTTCTCTAAGGTCTCCACAGGGGATTCAGACATCCCTTCATGTTGTGAGATGAAAGACGAGCCTGTATTCAAGCCACTGCAAGGAAATCCGGCCTCCTTTCAAGTTAGGGCTTCTCGCTGTATATTCCCCTTGAGGCAGCAAACTCGGAGTCCCTCCCACATACCTATTGTTGAGAGAAGCCTCCTCCTGAGGTGCTTCTGGAAAGTTGGCATACGTCTTGAGCCTAAGCCAGGGATTCAGCTCTCATCTCGAGACGATTTGGGGTACACAGAGCATTCCTCGAGTTGCTGTGCTGAAGTTGGTGTTACTCTAGACTTGGGACAGTGTTCTCTGAGCATCTCCAGAGTTGCATGAAGGAAGTCGAGCCACCGGTCGTGTTGAATGGGGAACGGGGAATGGCTCTGGAGTCAATGCAGGGGAATCGGGCCTCATCTCGAGTTGATTTGTGGCACCTGGAGCTGCTTTGCGTTGCTGGGGTGACTTCAGGGTCCATCTAGACTGGTGACAGTGTTCTTGGGGACTGCCTCGAGATCCATTAAGCAAGTCGAAGCTCCTGACTTGTTTGAATGGGATCACGGAATAGCTCTGCATGCACTGCAGGGGAATGGGGCCTCATCTCGCCTCTAGGGGGAAGTCTCATGGTTTTTCTCGAGTTGCGGCGGGGACCTGGGGTATGTTCTCGACTTACGGCGGGGATGGCCCTTCAAAACACGAGTTTCTTCAGTGACGTCAGGACTCCTGCCTAGTAACGAGGGACACCTCAGCAATCTCTTCGAGGCTTGGCAGGGCAAAAGGGACGCTTCTCGAGGTGAGCCAGGGCACCCAAGGACCCTTTCCAGTAGCCACAGGGATTTTGGGATTCCTATAAGTATTCAAGAGGAGTCAGGCATCGTCACCTTTTGAAGCAATGAACACCGCGTGCCTCTCGAGGTGTCAGCGGGATGTGAGGATTCCGTCAAAATGAGGCAGGGACCTAGGGCTTTCTCTAAGGTATCCACAGGGGATTCAGACATCCCTTCATGTTGTGAGATGAAAGACGAGCCTGTATTCAAGCCACTGCAAGGAAATCCGGCCTCCTTTCAAGTTAGGGCTTCTCGCTGTATATTCCCCTTGAGGCAGCAAACTCGGGGTCCCTCCCACATTCCTATTGCTGAGAGAAGCCTCCTCCTGAGGTGCTTCTGGAAAGGTGGCATACGTCTTGAGCCTAAGCCAGGGAATCAGCTCTCATCTCGAGACGATTTGGGGTACACTGAGCATTCCTCGAGTTGCTGTGCTGAAGTTGGTGGTCCTCTAGACTTGGGACAGTGTTCTCGGGGCATCTCTGGAGTTGCCTGAAGGAAGTCGAGCCACCGGTCGTGTTGAATGGGGAACAAGGAATGGCTCTGGAGTCAATGCAGGGGAATCCGGCCTCATCTCGAGTTGATTTGGGGCACATGGAGCTGCTTTGCATTGCTGGGTGACCTCAGGGTCCGTCTAGACTGGTGACAGTGTTCTTGGGGACTGTCTCGAGATCCATTAAGCAAGTCGAAGCTCCTGACTTGTTTGAATGGGATCACGGAATAGCTCTGCATGCACTGCAGGGGAATGGGGCCTCATCTCGCCTCTAGGGGGAAGTCTCATGGTTTTTCTCGAGTTGCGGCGGAGACCTGGGGTATGTTCTCGACTTACGGCGGGGATGGCCCTTCAAAACACGAGTTTCTTCAGTGACGTCAGGACTCCTGTCTAGTAACGAGGGACACATCAGCAATCTCTTCGAGGCTTGGCAGGGCAAAAGGGACGCTTCTCGAGGTGAGCCAGGGCACCCAAGGACCCTTTCCAGTAGCCACAGGGATTTTGGGATTCCTATCAGTATTCAAGAGGAGTCAGGCATCGTCACCTTTTGAAGCAATGTACTCCGCGTGCCTCTCGAGTTGTCAGCGGGATGTGAGGCATTCCGTCAAAATGAGGCAGGGACCTATGGCTTTCTCTAAGGTCTTCACAGGGGATTCAGACATCCCTTCATGTTGTGAGATGAAAGACGAGCCTGTATTCAAGCCACTGCAAGGAAATCCGGCCTCCTTTCAAGTTAGGGCTTCTCGCTGTATATTCCCCTTGAAGCAGCAAACTCGGGGTCCCTCCCACATACCTATTGCTGAGAGAAGCCTCCTCCTGAGGTGCTTCTGGAAAGGTGGCATACGTCTTGAGCCTAAGCCAGGGAATCAGCTCTCATCTCGAGACGTTTTGGGGTACACAGAGCATTCCTCGAGTTGCTGTGCTGAAGTTGGTGGTCCTCTAGACTTGGGACAGTGTTCTCGGGGCATCTCTGGAGTTGCCTGAAGGAAGTCGAGCCACCGGTCGTGTTGAATGGGGAACAAGGAATGGCTCTGGAGTCAATGCAGGGGAATCCGGCCTCATCTCGAGTTGATTTGGGGCACATGGAGCTGCTTTGCATTGCTGGGTGACCTCAGGGTCCGACTAGACTGGTGACAGTGTTCTTGGGGACTGTCTCGATATCCATTAAGCAAGTCGAAGCTCCTGACTTGTTTGAATGGGATCACGGAATAGCTCTGCATGCACTGCAGGGGAATGGGGCCTCATCTCGCCTCTAGGGGGAAGTCTCATGGTTTTTCTCGAGTTGCGGCGGGGACCTGGGGTATGTTCTCGACTTACGGCGGGGATGGCCCTTCAAAACACGAGTTTCTTCCGTGACGTCAGGACTCCTGTCTAGTAACGAGGGACACCTCAGCAATCTCTTCGAGGCTTGGCAGGGCAAAAGGGACGCTTCTCGAGGTGAGCCAGGGCACCCAAGGACCCTTTCCAGTAGCCACAGGGATTTTGGGATTCCTATCAGTATTCAAGAGGAGTCAGGCATCGTCACCTTTTGAAGCAATGAACTCCGCGTGCCTCTCGAGGTGTCAGCGGGATGTGAGGATTCCGTCAAAATGAGGCAGGGACCTAGGGCTTTCTCTAAGGTCTCCACAGGGGATTCAGACATCCCTTCATGTTGTGAGATGAAAGACGAGCCTGTATTCAAGCCCCTGCAAGGAAATCCGGCCTCCTTTCAAGTTAGGGCTTCTCGCTGTATATTCCCCTTGAGGCAGCAAACTCGGAGTCCCTCCCACATACCTATTGCTGAGAGAAGCCTCCTCCTGAGGTGCTTCTGGAAAGGTGGCATACGTCTTGAGCCTAAGCCAGGGAATCAGCTCTCATCTCGAGACGATTTGGGGTACACAGAGCATTCCTCGAGTTGCTGTGCTGAAGTTGGTGGTCCTCTAGACTTGGGACAGTGTTCTCGGGGCATCTCTGGAGTTGCCTGAAGGAAGTCGAGCCACCGGTCGTGTTGAATGGGGAACAAGGAATGGCTCTGGAGTCAATGCAGGGGAATCCGGCCTCATCTCGAGTTGATTTGGGGCACATGGAGCTGCTTTGCATTGCTGGGTGACCTCAGGGTCCGTCTAGACTGGTGACAGTGTTCTTGGGGACTGTCTCGAGATCCATTAAGCAAGTCGAAGCTCCTGACTTGTTTGAATGGGATCACGGAATAGCTCTGCATGCACTGCAGGGGAATGGGGCCTCATCTCGCCTCTAGGGGGAAGTCTCATGGTTTTTCTCGAGTTGCGGCGGGGTCCTGGGGTATGTTCTCGACTTACGGCGGGGATGGCCCTTCAAAACACGAGTTTCTTCCGTGACGTCAGGACTCCTGTCTAGTAACGAGGGACACCTCAGCAATCTCTTCGAGGCTTGGCAGGGCAAAAGGGACGCTTCTCGAGGTGAGCCAGGGCACCCAAGGACCCTTTCCAGTAGCCACAGGGATTTTGGGATTCCTATCAGTATTCAAGAGGAGTCAGGCATCGTCACCTTTTGAAGCAATGAACTCCGCGTGCCTCTCGAGGTGTCAGCGGGATGTGAGGATTCCGTCAAAATGAGGCAGGGACCTAGGGCTTTCTCTAAGGTCTCCACAGGGGATTCAGACATCCCTTCATGTTGTGAGATGAAAGACGAGCCTGTATTCAAGCCCCTGCAAGGAAATCCGGCCTCCTTTCAAGTTAGGGCTTCTCGCTGTATATTCCCCTTGAGGCAGCAAACTCGGAGTCCCTCCCACATACCTATTGCTGAGAGAAGCCTCCTCCTGAGGTGCTTCTGGAAAGGTGGCATACGTCTTGAGCCTAAGCCAGGGAATCAGCTCTCATCTCGAGACGATTTGGGGTACACAGAGCATTCCTCGAGTTGCTGTGCTGAAGTTGGTGGTCCTCTAGACTTGGGACAGTGTTCTCGGGGCATCTCTGGAGTTGCCTGAAGGAAGTCGAGCCACCGGTCGTGTTGAATGGGGAACAAGGAATGGCTCTGGAGTCAATGCAGGGGAATCCGGCCTCATCTCGAGTTGATTTGGGGCACATGGAGCTGCTTTGCATTGCTGGGTGACCTCAGGGTCCGACTAGACTGGTGACAGTGTTCTTGGGGACTGTCTCGAGATCCATTAAGCAAGTCGAAGCTCCTGACTTGTTTGAATGGGATCACGGAATAGTTCTGCATGCACTGCAGGGGAATGGGGCCTCATCTCGCCTCTAGGGGGAAGTCTCATGGTTTTGCTCGAGTTGCGGCGGGGACCTGGGGTATGTTCTCGACTTACGGCGGGGATGGCCCTTCAAAACACGAGTTTCTTCCGTGACGTCAGGACTCCTGTCTAGTAACGAGGGACACCTCAGCAATCTCTTCGAGGCTTGGCAGGGCAAAAGGGACGCTTCTCGAGGTGAGCCAGGGCACCCAAGGACCCTTTCCAGTAGCCACAGGGATTTTGGGATTCCTATAAGTAATCAAGAGGAGTCATGCATCGTCACCTTTTGAAGCAATGAACTCCGCGTGCCTCTCGACGTGTCAGCGGGATGTGAGGATTCCATCAAAATGAGGCAGGGACCTAGGGCTTTCTCTAAGGTCTCCACAGGGGAATCAGACATCCCTTCATGTTGTGAGATGAAAGACGAGCCTGTATTCAAGCCACTGCATGGAAATCCGGCCTCCTTTCAAGTTAGGGCTTCTCGCTGTATATTCCCCTTGAGGCAGCAAACTCGGGGTCCCTCCCACATACCTATTACTGAGAGAAGCCTCCTCCTGAGGTGCTTCTGGAAAGGTGGCATACGTCTTGAGCCTAAGCCAGGGAATCAGCTCTCATCTCGAGACGATTTGGGGTACACAGATCATTCCTCGAGTTGCTGTGCTGAAGTTGGTGGTCCTCTAGACTTGGGACAGTGTTCTCGGGGCATCTCTGGAGTTGCCTGAAGGAAGTCGAGCCACCGGTCGTGTTGAATGGGGAACAAGGAATGGCTCTGGAGTCAATGCAGGGGAATCCGGCCTCATCTCGAGTTGATTTGGGGCACATGGAGCTGCTTTGCATTGCTGGGTGACCTCAGGGTCCGTCTAGACTGGTGACAGTGTTCTTGGGGACTGTCTCGAGATCCATTAAGCAAGTCGAAGCTCCTGACTTGTTTGAATGGGATCACGGAATAGCTCTGCATGCACTGCAGGGGAATGGGGCCTCATCTCGCCTCTAGGGGGAAGTCTCATGGTTTTTCTCGAGTTGCGGCGGGGTCCTGGGGTATGTTCTCGACTTACGGCGGGGATGGCCCTTCAAAACACGAGTTTCTTCCGTGACGTCAGGACTCCTGTCTAGTAACGAGGGACACCTCAGCAATCTCTTCGAGGCTTGGCAGGGCAAAAGGGACGCTTCTCGAGGTGAGCCAGGGCACCCAAGGACCCTTTCCAGTAGCCACAGGGATTTTGGGATTCCTATCAGTATTCAAGAGGAGTCAGGCATCGTCACCTTTTGAAGCAATGAACTCCGCGTGCCTCTCAAGGTGTCAGCGGGATGTGAGGATTCCGTCAAAATGAGGCAGGGACCTAGGGCTTTCTCTAAGGTCTCCACAGGGGATTCAGACATCCCTTCATGTTGTGAGATGAAAGACGAGCCTGTATTCAAGCCCCTGCAAGGAAATCCGGCCTCCTTTCAAGTTAGGGCTTCTCGCTGTATATTCCCCTTGAGGCAGCAAACTCGGAGTCCCTCCCACATACCTATTGCTGAGAGAAGCCTCCTCCTGAGGTGCTTCTGGAAAGGTGGCATACGTCTTGAGCCTAAGCCAGGGAATCAGCTCTCATCTCGAGACGATTTGGGGTACACAGAGCATTCCTCGAGTTGCTGTGCTGAAGTTGGTGGTCCTCTAGACTTTGGACAGTGTTCTCGGGGCATCTCTGGAGTTGCCTGAAGGAAGTCGAGCCACCGGTCGTGTTGAATGGGGAACAAGGAATGGCTCTGGAGTCAATGCACGGGAATCCGGCCTCATCTCGAGTTGATTTGGGGCACATGGAGCTGCTTTGCATTGCTGGGTGACCTCAGGGTCCGACTAGACTGGTGACAGTGTTCTTGGGGACTGTCTCGAGATCCATTAAGCAAGTCGAAGCTCCTGACTTGTTTGAATGGGATCACGGAATAGCTCTGCATGCACTGCAGGGGAATGGGGCCTCATCTCGCCTCTAGGGGGAAGTCTCATGGTTTTTCTCGAGTTGCGGCGGGGACCTGGGGTATGTTCTCGACTTACGGCGGGGATGGCCCTTCAAAACACGAGTTTCTTCCGTGACGTCAGGACTCCTGTCTAGTAACGAGGGACACCTCAGCAATCTCTTCGAGGCTTGGCAGGGCAAAAGGGACGCTTCTCGAGGTGAGCCAGGGCACCCAAGGACCCTTTCCAGTAGCCACAGGGATTTTGGGATTCCTATCAGTATTCAAGAGGAGTCAGGCATCGTCACCTTTTGAAGCAATGAACTCCGCGTGCCTCTCGAGGTGTCAGCGGGATGTGAGGATTCCGTCAAAATGAGGCATGGACCTAGCGCTTTCTCTAAGGTTTCCACAGGGGATTCAGACATCCCTTCATGTTGTGAGATGAAAGACGAGCCTGTATTCAAGCCACTGCATGGAAATCCGGCCTCCTTTCAAGTTAGGGCTTCTCGCTGTATATTCCCCTTGAGGCAGCAAACTCGGAGTCCCTCCCACATACCTATTGCTGAGAGAATCCTCCTCCTGAGGTGCTTCTGGAAAGGTGGCATACGTCTTGAGCCTAAGCCAGGGAATCAGCTCTCATCTCGAGACGATTTGGGGTACACGGAGCATTCCTCGAGTTGCTGTGCCGAAGTTGGTGGTCCTCTAGACTTGGGACAGTGTTCTCGGGTCATCTCTGGAGTTGCCTGAAGGAAGTCGAGCCACCGGTCGTGTTGAATGGGTAACAAGGAATGGCTCTGGAGTCAATGCAGGGGAATCCGGCCTCATCTCGAATTGATTTGGGGCACATGGAGCTGCTTTGCATTGCTGGTTGACCTCAGGGTCCGTCTAGACTGGTGACAGTGTTCTTGGGGACTGTCTCGAGATCCATTAAGCAAGTCGAAGCTCCTGACTTGTTTGAATGGGATCAGGGAATAGCTCTGCATGCACTGCAGGGGAATGGGGCCTCATCTCGCCTCTAGGGGGAAGTCTCATGGTTTTGCTCGAGTTGCGGCGGGGACCTGGGGTATGTTCTCGACTTACGGAGGGGATGGCCCTTCAAAACACGAGTTTCTTCCGTGACGTCAGGACTCCTGTCTAGTAACGAGGGACACCTCAGCAATCTCTTCGAGGCTTGGCAGGGCAAAAGGGACGCTTCTCGAGGTGAGCCAGGGCACCCAAGGACCCTTTCCAGTAGCCACAGGGATTTTGGGATTCCTATAAGTAATCAAGAGGAGTCATGCATCGTCACCTTTTGAAGCAATGAACTCCGCGTGCCTCTCGACGTGTCAGCGGGATGTGAGGATTCCATCAAAATGAGGCAGGGACCTAGGGCTTTCTCTAAGGTCTCCACAGGGGAATCAGACATCCCTTCATGTTGTGAGATGAAAGACGAGCCTGTATTCAAGCCACTGCATGGAAATCCGGCCTCCTTTCAAGTTAGGGCTTCTCGCTGTATATTCCCCTTGAGGCAGCAAACTCGGGGTCCCTCCCACATACCTATTACTGAGAGAAGCCTCCTCCTGAGGTGCTTCTGGAAAGGTGGCATACGTCTTGAGCCTAAGCCAGGGAATCAGCTCTCATCTCGAGACGATTTGGGGTACACAGATCATTCCTCGAGTTGCTGTGCTGAAGTTGGTGGTCCTCTAGACTTGGGACAGTGTTCTCGGGGCATCTCTGGAGTTGCCTGAAGGAAGTCGAGCCACCGGTCGTGTTGAATGGGGAACAAGGAATGGCTCTGGAGTCAATGCAGGGGAATCCGGCCTCATCTCGAGTTGATTTGGGGCACATGGAGCTGCTTTGCATTGCTGGGTGACCTCAGGGTCCGTCTAGACTGGTGACAGTGTTCTTGGGGACTGTCTCGAGATCCATTAAGCAAGTCGAAGCTCCTGACTTGTTTGAATGGGATCACGGAATAGCTCTGCATGCACTGCAGGGGAACGGGGCCTCATCTCGCCTCTAGGGGGAAGTCTCATGGTTTTTCTCGAGTTGCGGCGGGGACCTGGGGTATGTTCTCGACTTACGGCGGGGATGGCCCTTCAAAATACGAGTTTCTTCAGTGACGTCAGGACTCCTGCCTAGTAACGAGGGACACCTCAGGAATCTCTTCGAGGCTTGGCAGGGCAAAAGGGACGCTTCTCGAAGTGAGCCAGGGCACCCAAGGACCCTTTCCAGTAGCCACAGGGATTTTGGGATTCCTATAAGTAATCAAGAGGAGTCATGCATCGTCACCTTTTGAAGCAATGAACTCCGCGTGCCTCTCGAGGTGTCAGCGGGATGTGAGGCATTCCGTCAAAATGAGGCAGGGACCTAGGGCTTTCTCTAAGGTCTCCACAGGGGATTCAGACATCCCTTCATGTTGTGAGATGAAAGACAAGCCTGTATTCAAGCTACTGCAAGGAAATCCGGCCTCCTTTCAAGTTAGGGCTTCTCGCTGTATATTGCCCTTGAGGCAGCAAACTCGGAGACCCTCCCACATACCTATTGCTGAGAAGCCTCCTCCTGAGGTGCTTCTGGAAAGTTGGCATACGTCTTGAGCCTAAGCCAGGGAATCAGCTCTCATCTCGAGACGATTTGGGGTACACAGAGCATTCCTCGAGTTGCTGTGCTGAAGTTGGTGTTCCTCTAGACTTGGGACAGTGTTCTCGGGGCATCTCTGGAGTTGCCTGAAGGAAGTCGAGCCACCGGTCGTGTTGAATGGGGAACAAGGAATGGCTCTGGAGTCAATGCAGGGGAATCCGGCCTCATCTCGAGTTGATTTGGGGCACATGGAGCTGCTTTGCATTGCTGGGTGACCTCAGGGTCCGTCTAGACTGGTGACAGTGTTCTTGGGGACTGTCTCGAGATCCATTAAGCAAGTCGAAGCTCCTGACTTGTTTGAATGGGATCACGGAATAGCTCTGCATGCACTGCAGGGGAATGGGGCCTCATCTCGCCTCTAGGGGGAAGTCTCATGGTTTTTCTCGAGTTGCGGCGGAGACCTGGGGTATGTTCTCGACTTACGGCGGGGATGGCCCTTCAAAACACGAGTTTCTTCAGTGACGTCAGGACTCCTGTCTAGTAACGAGGGACACATCAGCAATCTCTTCGAGGCTTGGCAGGGCAAAAGGGACGCTTCTCGAGGTGAGCCAGGGCACCCAAGGACCCTTTCCAGTAGCCACAGGGATTTTGGGATTCCTATCAGTATTCAAGAGGAGTCAGGGATCGTCACCTTTTGAAGCAATGTACTCCGCGTGCCTCTCGAGTTGTCAGCGGGATGTGAGGCATTCCGTCAAAATGAGGCAGGGACCTAGGGCTTTCTCTAAGGTCTTCACAGGGGATTCAGACATCCCTTCATGTTGTGAGATGAAAGACGAGCCTGTATTCAAGCCACTGCAAGGAAATCCGGCCTCCTTTCAAGTTAGGGCTTCTCGCTGTATATTCCCCTTGAGGCAGCAAACTCGGGGTCCCTCCCACATACCTATTGCTGAGAGAAGCCTCCTCCTGAGGTGCTTATGGAAAGGTGGCATACGTCTTGAGCCTAAGCCAGGGAATCAGCTCTCATCTCGAGACGATTTGGGGTACACAGAGCATTCCTCGAGTTGCTGTGCTGAAGTTGGTGGTCCTCTAGACTTGGGACAGTGTTCTCGGGGCATCTCTGGAGTTGCCTGAAGGAAGTCGAGCCACCGGTCGTGTTGAATGGGGAACAAGGAATGGCTCTGGAGTCAATGCAGGGGAATCCGGCCTCATCTCGAGTTGATTTGGGGCACATGGAGCTGCTTTGCATTGCTGGGTGACCTCAGGGTCCGACTAGACTGGTGACAGTGTTCTTGGGGACTGTCTCGATATCCATTAAGCAAGTCGAAGCTCCTGACTTGTTTGAATGGGATCATGGAATAGCTCTGCATGCACTGCCGGGGAATGGGGCCTCATCTCGCCTCTAGGGGGAAGTCTCATGGTTTTTCTCGAGTTGCGGCGGGGACCTGGGGTATGTTCTCGACTTACGGCGGGGATGGCCCTTCAAAACACGAGTTTCTTCCGTGACGTCAAGACTCCTGTCTAGTAACGAGGGACACCTCAGCAATCTCTTCGAGGCTTGGCAGGGCAAAAGGGACGCTTCTCGAGGTGAGCCAGGGCACCCAAGGACCCTTTCCAGTAGCCACAGGGATTTTGGGATTCCTATCAGTATTCAAGAGGAGTCAGGCATCGTCACCTTTTGAAGCAATGAACTCCGCGTGCCTCTCGAGGTGTCAGCGGGATGTGAGGATTCCGTCAAAATGAGGCAGGGACCTAGGGCTTTCTCTAAGGTCTCCACAGGGGATTCAGACATCCCTTCATGTTGTGAGATGAAAGACGAGCCTGTATTCAAGCCACTGCAAGGAAATCCGGCCTCCTTTCAAGTTAGGGCTTCTCGCTGTATATTCCCCTTGAGGCAGCAAACTCGGAGTCCCTCCCACATACCTATTGCTGAGAGAAGCCTCCTCCTGAGGTGCTTCTGGAAAGGTGGCATACGTCTTGAGCCTAAGCCAGGGAATCAGCTCTCATCTCGAGACGATTTGGGGTACACAGAGCATTCCTCGAGTTGCTGTGCTGAAGTTGGTGGTCCTCTAGACTTGGGACAGTGTTCTCGGGGCATCTCTGGAGTTGCCTGAAGGAAGTCGAGCCACCGGTCGTGTTGAATGGGGAACAAGGAATGGCTCTGGAGTCAATGCAGGGGAATCCGGCCTCATCTCGAGTTGATTTGGGGCAAATGGAGCTGCTTTGCATTGCTGGGGTGACCTCAGGGTCCGACTAGACTGGTGACAGTGTTCTTGGGGACTGCCTCGAGATTCATTAAGCAAGTCGAAGCTCCTGACTTGTTTGAATGGGATCACGGAATAGCTCTGCATGCACTGCAGGGGAATGGGGACTCATCTCGCCTCTAGGGGGAAGTCTCATGGTTTTTCTCGAGTTGCGGCGGGGACCTGGGGTATGTTCTCGACTTACGGCGGGGATGGCCCTTCAAAACACGAGTTTCTTCCGTGACGTCAGGACTCCTGCCTAGTAACGAGGGACACCTCAGCAATCTCTTCGAGGCTTGGCAGGGCAAAAGGGACGCTTCTCGAGGTGAGCCAGGGCACCCAAGGACCCTTTCCAGTAGCAACAGGGATTTTGGGATTCCTATCAGTATTCAAGAGGAGTCAGGCATCGTCACCTTTTGAAGCAATGAACTCCGCGTGCCTCTCGAGGTGTCAGCGGGATGTGAGGATTCCGTCAAAATGAGGCAGGGACCTAGGGCTTTCTCTAAGGTCTCCACAGGGGATTCAGACATCCCTTCATGTTGTGAGATGAAAGACGAGCCTGTATTCAAGCCACTGCAAGGAAATCCGGCCTCCTTTCAAGTTAGGGCTTCTAGCTGTATATTCCCCTTGAGGCAGCAAACTCGGAGTCCCTCCCACATACCTATTGTTGAGAGAAGCCTCCTCCTGAGGTGCTTCTAGAAAGTTGGCATACGTCTTGAGCCTAAGCCAGGGATTCAGCTCTCATCTCGAGACGATTTGGGGTACACAGAGCATTCCTCGAGTTGCTGTGCTGAAGTTGGTGTTCCTCTAGACTTGGGACAGTGTTCTCTGGGCATCTCCAGAGTTGCATGAAGGAAGTCGAGCCACCGGTCGTGTTGAATGGGGAACGGGGAATGGCTCTGGAGTCAATGCAGGGGAATCGGGCCTCATCTCGAGTTGATTTGTGGCACCTGGAGCTGCTTTGCGTTGCTGGGGTGACCTCAGGGTCCATCTAGACTGGTGACAGTGTTCTTGGGGACTGCCTCGAGATCCATTAAGCAAGTCGAAGCTCCTGACTTGTTTGAATGGGATCACGGAATAGCTCTGCATGCACTGCAGGGGAATGGGGCCTCATCTCGCCTCTAGGGGGAAGTCTCATGGTTTTTCTCGAGTTGCGGCGGGGACCTGGGGTATGTTCTCGACTTACGGCGGGGATGGCCCTTCAAAACACGAGTTTCTTCAGTGACGTCAGGACTCCTGCCTAGTAACGAGGGACACCTCAGCAATCTCTTCGAGGCTTGGCAGGGCAAAAGGGACGCTTCTCGAGGTGAGCAAGGGCACCCAAGGACCCTTTCCAGTAGCCACAGGGATTTTGGGATTCCTATAAGTATTCAAGAGGAGTCAGGCATCGTCACCTTTTGAAGCAATGAACACCGCGTGCCTCTCGAGGTGTCAACGGGATGTGAGGATTCCGTCAAAATGAGGCAGGGACCTAGGGCTTTCTCTAAGGTATCCACAGGGGATTCAGACATCCCTTCATGTTGTGAGATGAAAGACGAGCCTGTATTCAAGCCACTGCAAGGAAATCCGGCCTCCTTTCAAGTTAGGGCTTCTCGCTGTATATTCCCCTTGAGGCAGCAAACTCGGGGTCCCTCCCACATACCTATTGCTGAGAGAAGCCTCCTCCTGAGGTGCTTCTGGAAAGGTGGCATACGTCTTGAGCCTAAGCCAGGGAATCAGCTCTCATCTCGAGACGATTTGGGGTACACTGAGCATTCCTCGAGTTGCTGTGCTGAAGTTGGTGGTCCTCTAGACTTGGGACAGTGTTCTCGGGGCATCTCTGGAGTTGCCTGAAGGAAGTCGAGCCACCGGTCGTGTTGAATGGGGAACAAGGAATGGCTCTGGAGTCAATGCAGGGGAATCCGCCTCATCTCGAGTTGATTTGGGGCACATGGAGCTGCTTTGCATTGCTGGGTGACCTCAGGGTCCGTCTAGACTGGTGACAGTGTTCTTGGGGTCTGTCTCGAGATCCATTAAGCAAGTCGAAGCTCCTGACTTGTTTGAATGGGATCACGGAATAGCTCTGCATGCACTGCAGGGGAATGGGGCCTCATCTCGCCTCTAGGGGGAAGTCTCATGGTTTTTCTCGAGTTGCGGCGGAGACCTGGGGTATGTTCTCGACTTACGGCGGGGATGGCCCTTCAAAACACGAGTTTCTTCAGTGACGTCAGGACTCCTGTCTAGTAACGAGGGACACATCAGCAATCTCTTCGAGGCTTGGCAGGGCAAAAGGGACGCTTCTCGAGGTGAGCCAGGGCACCCAAGGACCCTTTCCAGTAGCCACAGGGATTTTGGGATTCCTATCAGTATTCAAGAGGAGTCAGGCATCGTCACCTTTTGAAGCAATGTACTCCGCGTGCCTCTCGAGTTGTCAGCGGGATGTGAGCCATTCCGTCAAAATGAGGCAGGGACCTAGGGCTTTCTCTAAGGTCTTCACAGGGGATTCAGACATCCCTTCATGTTGTGAGATGAAAGACGAGCCTGTATTCAAGCCACTGCAAGGAAATCTGGCCTCCTTTCAAGTTAGGGCTTCTCGCTGTATATTCCCCTTGAGGCAGCAAACTCGGGGTCCCTCCCACATACCTATTGCTGAGAGAAGCCTCCTCCTGAGGTGCTTCTGGAAAGGTGGCATACGTCTTGAGCCTAAGCCAGGGAATCAGCTCTCATCTCGAGACGATTTGGGGTACACAGAGCATTCCTCGAGTTGCTGTGCTGAAGTTGGTGGTCCTCTAGACTTGGGACAGTGTTCTCGGGGCATCTCTGGAGTTGCCTGAAGGAAGTCGAGCCACCGGTCGTGTTGAATGGGGAACAAGGAATGGCTCTGGAGTCAATGCAGGGGAATCCGGCCTCATCTCGAGTTGATTTGGGGCACATGGAGCTGCTTTGCATTGCTGGGTGACCTCAGGGTCCGACTAGACTGGTGACAGTGTTCTTGGGGACTCTCTCGATATCCATTAAGCAAGTCGAAGCTCCTGACTTGTTTGAATGGGATCACGGAATAGCTCTGCATGCACTGCAGGGGAATGGGGCCTCATCTCGCCTCTAGGGGGAAGTCTCATGGTTTTTCTCGAGTTGCGGCGGGGACCTGGGGTATGTTCTCGACTTACGGCGGGGATGGCCCTTCAAAACACGAGTTTCTTCCGTGACGTCAGGACTCCTGTCTAGTAACGAGGGACACCTCAGCAATCTCTTCGAGGCTTGGCAGGGCAAAAGGGACGCTTCTCGAGGTGAGCCAGGGCACCCAAGGACCCTTTCCAGTAGCAACAGGGATTTTGGGATTCCTATCAGTATTCAAGAGGAGTCAGGCATCGTCACCTTTTGAAGCAATGAACTCCGCGTGCCTCTCGAGGTGTCAGCGGGATGTGAGGATTCCGTCAAAATGAGGCAGGGACCTAGGGCTTTCTCTAAGGTCTCCACAGGGGATTCAGACATCCCTTCATGTTGTGAGATGAAAGACGAGCCTGTATTCAAGCCACTGCAAGGAAATCCGGCCTCCTTTCAAGTTAGGGCTTCTCGCTGTATATTGCCCTTGAGGCAGCAAACTCGGAGTCCCTCCCACATACCTATTGTTGAGAGAAGCCTCCTCCTGAGGTGCTTCTGGAAAGTTGGCATACGTCTTGAGCCTAAGCCAGGGATTCAGCTCTCATCTCGAGACGATTTGGGGTACACAGAGCATTCCTCGAGTTGCTGTGCTGAAGTTGGTGTTCCTCTAGACTTGGGACAGTGTTCTCTGGGCATCTCCAGAGTTGCATGAAGGAAGTCGAGCCACCGGTCGTGTTGAATGGGGAACGGGGAATGGCTCTGGAGTCAATGCAGGGGAATCGGGCCTCATCTCGAGTTGATTTGTGGCACCTGGAGCTGCTTTGCGTTGCTGGGGTGACCTCAGGGTCCGTCTAGACTGGTGACAGTGTTCTTGGGGACTGTCTCGAGATCCATTAAGCAAGTCGAAGCTCCTGACTTGTTTGAATGGGATCACGGAATAGCTCTGCATGCACTGCAGGGGAATGGGGCCTCATCTCGCCTCTAGGGGGAAGTCTCATGGTTTTTCTCGAGTTGCGGCGGGGACCTGGGGTATGTTCTCGACTTACGGCGGGGATGGCCCTTCAAAACACGAGTTTCTTCCGTGACGTCAGGACTCCTGCCTAGTAACGAGGGACACCTCAGCAATCTCTTCGAGGCTTGGCAGGGCAAAAGGAACGCTTCTCGAGGTGAGCCAGGGCACCCAAGGACCCTTTCCAGTAGCCACAGGGATTTTGGGATTCCTATAAGTATTCAAGAGGAGTCAGGCATCGTCACCTTTTGAAGCAATGAACACCGCGTTCCTCTCGAGGTGTCAGCGGGATGTGAGGATTCCGTCAAAATGAGGCAGGGACCTAGGGCTTTCTCTAAGGTCTTCACAGGGGATTCAGACATCCCTTCATGTTGTGAGATGAAAGACGAGCCTGTATTCAAGCCACTGCAAGGAAATCTGGCCTCCTTTCAAGTTAGGGCTTCTCGCTGTATATTCCCCTTGAGGCAGCAAACTCGGGGTCCCTCCCACATACCTATTGCTGAGAGAAGCCTCCTCCTGAGGTGCTTCTGGAAAGGTGGCATACGTCTTGAGCCTAAGCCAGGGAATCAGCTCTCATCTCGAGACGATTTGGGGTACACAGAGCATTCCTCTAGTTGCTGTGCTGAAGTTGGTGGTCCTCTAGACTTGGGACAGTGTTCTCGGGGCATCTCTGGAGTTGCCTGAAGGAAGTCGAGCCACCGGTCGTGTTGAATGGGGAACAAGGAATGGCTCTGGAGTCAATGCAGGGGAATCCGGCCTCATCTCGAGTTGATTTGGGGCACATGGAGCTGCTTTGCGTTGCTGGGGTGACCTCAGGGTCCGTCTAGACTGGTGACAGTGTTCTTGGGGACTGTCTCGAGATCCATTAAGCAAGTCGAAGCTCCTGACTTGTTTGAATGGGATCACGGAATAGCTCTGCATGCACTGCAGGGGAATGGGGCCTCATCTCGCCTCTAGGGGGAAGTCTCATGGTTTTTCTCGAGTTGCGGCGGGGACCTGGGGTATGTTCTCGACTTACGGCGGGGATGGCCCTTCAAAACACGAGTTTCTTCCGTGACGTCAGGACTCCTGTCTAGTAACGAGGGACACCTCAGCAATCTCTTCGAGGCTTGGCAGGGCAAAAGGGACGCTTCTCGAGGTGAGCCAGGGCACCCAAGGACCCTTTCCAGTAGCCACAGGGATTTTGGGATTCCTATCAGTATTCAAGAGGAGTCAGGCATCGTCACCTTTTGAAGCAATGAACTCCGCGTGCCTCTCGAGGTGTCAGCGGGATGTGAGGATTCCGTCAAAATGAGGCAGGGACCTAGGGCTTTCTCTAAGGTCTCCACAGGGGATTCAGACATCCCTTCATGTTGTGAGATGAAAGACGAGCCTGTATTCAAGCCACTGCAAGGAAATCCGGCCTCCTTTCAAGTTAGGGCTTCTCGCTGTATATTCCCCTTGAGGCAGCAAACTCGGAGTCCCTCCCACATACCTATTGCTGAGAGAAGCCTCCTCCTGAGGTGCTTCTGGAAAGGTGGCATACGTCTTGAGCCTAAGCCAGGGAATCAGCTCTCATCTCGAGACGATTTGGGGTACACAGAGCATTCCTCGAGTTGCTGTGCTGAAGTTGGTGGTCCTCTAGACTTGGGACAGTGTTCTCGGGGCATCTCTGGAGTTGCCTGAAGGAAGTCGAGCCACCGGTCGTGTTGAATGGGGAACAAGGAATGGCTCTGGAGTCAATGCAGGGGAATCCGGCCTCATCTCGAGTTGATTTGGGGCACATGGAGCTGCTTTGCATTGCTGGGTGACCTCAGGGTCCGACTAGACTGGTGACAGTGTTCTTGGGGACTGTCTCGATATCCATTAAGCAAGTCGAAGCTCCTGACTTGTTTGAATGGGATCACGGAATAGCTCTGCATGCACTGCAGGGGAATGGGGCCTCATCTCGCCTCTAGGGGGAAGTCTCATGGTTTTTCTCGAGTTGCGGCGGGGACCTGGGGTATGTTCTCGACTTACGGCGGGGATGGCCCTTCAAAACACGAGTTTCTTCCGTGACGTCAGGACTCCTGTCTAGTAACGAGGGACACCTCAGCAATCTCTTCGAGGCTTGGCAGGGCAAAAGGGACGCTTCTCGAGGTGAGCCAGGGCACCCAAGGACCCTTTCCAGTAGCAACAGGGATTTTGGGAATCCTATCAGTATTCAAGAGTAGTCAGGCATCGTCACCTTTTGAAGCAATGAACTCCGCGTGCCTCTCGAGGTGTCAGCGGGATGTGAGGATTCCGTCAAAATGAGGCAGGGACCTAGGGCTTTCTCTAAGGTCTCCACAGGGGATTCAGACATCCCTTCATGTTGTGAGATGAAAGACGAGCCTGTATTCAAGCCACTGCAAGGAAATCCGGCCTCCTTTCAAGTTAGGGCTTCTCGCTGTATATTCCCCTTGAGGCAGCAAACTCGGAGTCCCTCCCACATACCTATTGTTGAGAGAAGCCTCCTCCTGAGGTGCTTCTGGAAAGTTGGCCTACGTCTTGAGCCTAAGCCAGGGATTCAGCTCTCATCTCGAGACGATTTGGGGTACACAGAGCATTCCTCGAGTTGCTGTGCTGAAGTTGGTGTTCCTCTAGACTTGGGACAGTGTTCTCTGGGCATCTCCAGAGTTGCATGAAGGAAGTCGAGCCACCGGTCGTGTTGAATGGGGAACGGGGAATGGCTCTGGAGTCAATGCAGGGGAATCGGGCCTCATCTCGAGTTGATTTGTGGCACCTGGAGCTGCTTTGCGTTGCTGGGGTGACCTCAGGGTCCATCTAGACTGGTGACAGTGTTCTTGGGGACTGCCTCGAGATCCATTAAGCAAGTCGAAGCTCCTGACTTGTTTGAATGGGATCACGGAATAGCTCTGCATGCACTTCAGGGGAATGGGGCCTCATCTCGCCTCTAGGGGGAAGTCTCATGGTTTTTCTCGAGTTGCGGCGGGGACCTGGGGTATGTTCTCGACTTACGGCGGGGATGGCCCTTCAAAACACGAGTTTCTTCAGTGACGTCAGGACTCCTGCCTAGTAACGAGGGACACCTCAGCAATCTCTTCGAGGCTTGGCAGGGCAAAAGGGACGCTTCTCGAGGTGAGCCAGGGCACCCAAGGACCCTTTCCAGTAGCCACAGGGATTTTGGGATTCCTATAAGTATTCAAGAGGAGTCAGGCATCGTCACCTTTTGAAGCAATGAACACCGCGTGCCTCTCGAGGTGTCAGCGGGATGTGAGGATTCCGTCAAAATGAGGCAGGGACCTAGGGCTTTCTCTAAGGTATCCACAGGGGATTCAGACATCCCTTCATGTTGTGAGATGAAAGACGAGCCTGTATTCAAGCCACTGCAAGGAAATCCGGCCTCCTTTCAAGTTAGGGCTTCTCGCTGTATATTCCCCTTGAGGCAGCAAACTCGGGGTCCCTCCCACATACCTATTGCTGAGAGAAGCCTCCTCCTGAGGTGCTTCTGGAAAGGTGGCATACGTCTTGAGCCTAAGCCAGGGAATCAGCTCTCATCTCGAGACGATTTGGGGTACACTGAGCATTCCTCGAGTTGCTGTGCTGAAGTTGGTGGTCCTCTAGACTTGGGCAGTGTTCTCGAGGCATCTCTGGAGTTGCCTGAAGGAAGTCGAGCCACCGGTCGTGTTGAATGGGGAACAAGGAATGGCTCTGGAGTCAATGCAGGGGAATCCGGCCTCATCTCGAGTTGATTTGGGGCACATGGAGCTGCTTTGCATTGCTGGGTGACCTCAGGGTCCGTCTAGACTGGTGACAGTGTTCTTGGGGACTGTCTCGAGATCCATTAAGCAAGTCGAAGCTCCTGACTTGTTTGAATGGGATCACGGAATAGCTCTGCATGCACTGCAGGGGAATGGGGCCTCATCTCGCCTCTAGGGGGAAGTCTCATGGTTTTTCTCGAGTTGCGGCGGAGACCTGGGGTATGTTCTCGACTTACGGCGGGGATGGCCCTTCAAAACACGAGTTTCTTCAGTGACGTCAGGACTCCTGTCTAGTAACGAGGGACACCTCAGCAATCTCTTCGAGGCTTGGCAGGGCAAAAGGGACGCTTCTCGAGGTGAGCCAGGGCACCCAAGGACCCTTTCCAGTAGCCACAGGGATTTTGGGATTCCTATCAGTATTCAAGAGGAGTCAGGCATCGTCACCTTTTGAAGCAATGTACTCCGCGTGCCTCTCGAGGTGTCAGCGGGATGTGAGGCATTCCGTCAAAATGAGGCAGGGACCTAGGGCTTTCTCTAAGGTCTTCACAGGGGATTCAGACATCCCTTCATGTTGTGAGATGAAAGACGAGCCTGTATTCAAGCCACTGCAAGGAAATCCGGCCTCCTTTCAAGTTAGGGCTTCTCGCTGTATATTCCCCTTGAGGCAGCAAACTCGGGGTCCCTCCCACATACCTATTGCTGAGAGAAGCCTCCTCCTGAGGTGCTTCTGGAAAGGTGGCATACGTCTTGAGCCTAAGCCAGGGAATCAGCTCTCATCTCGAGACGATTTGGGGTACACAGAGCATTCCTCGAGTTGCTGTGCTGAAGTTGGTGGTCCTCTGGACTTGGGACAGTGTTCTCGGGGCATCTCTGGAGTTGCCTGAAGGAAGTCGAGCCACCGGTCGTGTTGAATGGGGAACAAGGAATGGCTCTGGAGTCAATGCAGGGGAATCCGGCCTCATCTCGAGTTGATTTGGGGCACATGGAGCTGCTTTGCATTGCTGGGTGACCTCAGGGTCCGACTAGACTGGTGACAGTGTTCTTGGGGACTGTCTCGATATCCATTAAGCAAGTCGAAGCTCCTGACTTGTTTGAATGGGATCACGGAATAGCTCTGCATGCACTGCAGGGGAATGGGGCCTCATCTCGCCTCTAGGGGGAAGTCTCATGGTTTTTCTCGAGTTGCGGCGGGGACCTGGGGTATGTTCTCGACTTACGGCGGGGATGGCCCTTCAAAACACGAGTTTCTTCCGTGACGTCAGGACTCCTGTCTAGTAACGAGGGACACCTCAGCAATCTCTTCGAGGCTTGGCAGGGCAAAAGGGACGCTTCTCGAGGTGAGCCAGGGCACCCAAGGACCCTTTCCAGTAGCAACAGGGATTTTGGGATTCCTATCAGTATTCAAGAGGAGTCAGGCATCGTCACCTTTTGAAGCAATGAACTCCGCGTGCCTCTCGAGGTGTCAGCGGGATGTGAGGATTCCGTCAAAATGAGGCAGGGACCTAGGGCTTTCTCTAAGGTCTCCACAGGGGATTCAGACATCCCTTCATGTTGTGAGATGAAAGACGAGCCTGTATTCAAGCCACTGCAAGGAAATCCGGCCTCCTTTCAAGTTAGGGCTTCTCGCTGTATATTCCCCTTGAGGCAGCAAACTCGGAGTCCCTCCCACATACCTATTGTTGAGAGAAGCCTCCTCCTGAGGTGCTTCTGGAAAGGTGGCATACGTCTTGAGCCTAAGCCAGGGATTCAGCTCTCATCTCGAGACGATTTGGGGTACACAGAGCATTCCTCGAGTTGCTGTGCTGAAGTTGGTGTTCCTCTAGACTTGGGACAGTGTTCTCTGGGCATCTCCAGAGTTGCATGAAGGAAGTCGAGCCACCGGTCGTGTTGAATGGGGAACGGGGAATGGCTCTGGAGTCAATGCAGGGGAATCGGGCCTCATCTCGAGTTGATTTGTGGCACCTGGAGCTGCTTTGCGTTGCTGGGGTGACTTCAGGGTCCATCTAGACTGGTGACAGTGTTCTTGGGGACTGCCTCGAGATCCATTAAGCAAGTCGAAGCTCCTGACTTGTTTGAATGGGATCACGGAATAGCTCTGCATGCACTGCAGGGGAATGGGGCCTCATCTCGCCTCTAGGGGGAAGTCTCATGGTTTTTCTCGAGTTGCGGCGGGGACCTGGGGTATGTTCTCGACTTACGGCGGGGATGGCCCTTCAAAACACGAGTTTCTTCAGTGACGTCAGGACTCCTGCCTAGTAACGAGGGACACCTCAGCAATCTCTTCGAGGCTTGGCAGGGCAAAAGGGACGCTTCTCGAGGTGAGCCAGGGCACCCAAGGACCCTTTCCAGTAGCCACAGGGATTTTGGGATTCCTATAAGTATTCAAGAGGAGTCAGGCATCGTCACCTTTTGAAGCAATGAACACCGCGTGCCTCTCGAGGTGTCAGCGGGATGTGAGGATTCCGTCAAAATGAGGCAGGGACCTAGGGCTTTCTCTAAGGTATCCACAGGGGATTCAGACATCCCTTCATGTTGTGAGATGAAAGACGAGCCTGTATTCAAGCCACTGCAAGGAAATCCGGCCTCCTTTCAAGTTAGGGCTTCTCGCTGTATATTCCCCTTGAGGCAGCAAACTCGGGGTCCCTCCCACATTCCTATTGCTGAGAGAAGCCTCCTCCTGAGGTGCTTCTGGAAAGGTGGCATACGTCTTGAGCCTAAGCCAGGGAATCAGCTCTCATCTCGAGACGATTTGGGGTACACTGAGCATTCCTCGAGTTGCTGTGCTGAAGTTGGTGGTCCTCTAGACTTGGGACAGTGTTCTCGGGGCATCTCTGGAGTTGCCTGAAGGAAGTCGAGCCACCGGTCGTGTTGAATGGGGAACAAGGAATGGCTCTGGAGTCAATGCAGGGGAATCCGGCCTCATCTCGAGTTGATTTGGGGCACATGGAGCTGCTTTGCATTGCTGGGTGACCTCAGGGTCCGTCTAGAGTGGTGACAGTGTTCTTGGGGACTGTCTCGAGATCCATTAAGCAAGTCGAAGCTCCTGACTTTTTTGAATGGGATCACGGAATAGCTCTGCATGCACTGCAGGGGAATGGGGCCTCATCTCGCCTCTAGGGGGAAGTCTCATGGTTTTTCTCGAGTTGCGGCGGAGACCTGGGGTATGTTCTCGACTTACGGCGGGGATGGCCCTTCAAAACACGAGTTTCTTCAGTGACGTCAGGACTCCTGTCTAGTAACGAGGGACACCTCAGCAATCTCTTCGAGGCTTGGCAGGGCAAAAGGGACGCTTCTCGAGGTGAGCCAGGGCACCCAAGGACCCTTTCCAGTAGCCACAGGGATTTTGGGATTCCTATCAGTATTCAAGAGGAGTCAGGCATCGTCACCTTTTGAAGCAATGTACTCCGCGTGCCTCTCGAGTTGTCAGCGGGATGTGAGGCATTCCGTCAAAATGAGGCAGGGACCTAGGGCTTTCTCTAAGGTCTTCACAGGGGATTCAGACATCCCTTCATGTTGTGAGATGAAAGACGAGCCTGTATTCAAGCCACTGCAAGGAAATCCGGCCTCCTTTCAAGTTAGGGCTTCTCGCTGTATATTCCCCTTGAGGCAGCAAACTCGGGGTCCCTCCCACATACCTATTGCTGAGAGAAGCCTCCTCCTGAGGTGCTTCTGGAAAGGTGGCATACGTCTTGAGCCTAAGCCAGGGAATCAGCTCTCATCTCGAGACGATTTGGGGTACACAGAGCATTCCTCGAGTTGCTGTGCTGAAGTTGGTGGTCCTCTGGACTTGGGACAGTGTTCTCGGGGCATCTCTGGAGTTGCCTGAAGGAAGTCGAGCCACCGGTCGTGTTGAATGGGGAACAAGGAATGGCTCTGGAGTCAATGCAGGGGAATCCGGCCTCATCTCGAGTTGATTTGGGGCACATGGAGCTGCTTTGCATTGCTGGGTGACCTCAGGGTCCGACTAGACTGGTGACAGTGTTCTTGGGGACTGTCTCGATATCCATTAAGCAAGTCGAAGCTCCTGACTTGTTTGAATGGGATCACGGAATAGCTCTGCATGCACTGCAGGGGAATGGGGCCTCATCTCGCCTCTAGGGGGAAGTCTCATGGTTTTTCTCGAGTTGCGGCGGGGACCTGGGGTATGTTCTCGACTTACGGCGGGGATGGCCCTTCAAAACACGAGTTTCTTCCGTGACGTCAGGACTCCTGTCTAGTAACGAGGGACACCTCAGCAATCTCTTCGAGGCTTGGCAGGGCAAAAGGGACGCTTCTCGAGGTGAGCCAGGGCACCCAAGGACCCTTTCCAGTAGCCACAGGGATTTTGGGATTCCTATCAGTATTCAAGAGGAGTCAGGCATCGTCACCTTTTGAAGCAATGAACTCCGCGTGCCTCTCGAGGTGTCAGCGGGATGTGAGGATTCCGTCAAAATGAGGCAGGGACCTAGGGCTTTCTCTAAGGTCTCCACAGGGGATTCAGACATCCCTTCATGTTGTGAGATGAAAGACGAGCCTGTATTCAAGCCACTGCAAGGAAATCCGGCCTCCTTTCAAGTTAGGGCTTCTCGCTGTATATTCCCCTTGAGGCAGCAAACTCGGAGTCCCTCCCACATACCTATTGTTGAGAGAAGCCTCCTCCTGAGGTGCTTCTGGAAAGTTGGCATACGTCTTGAGCCTAAGCCAGGGATTCAGCTCTCATCTCGAGACGATTTGGGGTACACAGAGCATTCCTCGAGTTGCTGTGCTGAAGTTGGTGTTCCTCTAGACTTGGGACAGTGTTCTCTGGGCATCTCCAGAGTTGCATGAAGGAAGTCGAGCCACCGGTCGTGTTGAATGGGGAACGGGGAATGGCTCTGGAGTCAATGCAGGGGAATCGGGCCTCATCTCGAGTTGATTTGTGGCACCTGGAGCTGCTTTGCGTTGCTGGGGTGACTTCAGGGTCCATCTAGACTGGTGACAGTGTTCTTGGGGACTGCCTCGAGATCCATTAAGCAAGTCGAAGCTCCTGACTTGTTTGAATGGGATCACGGAATAGCTCTGCATGCACTGCAGGGGAATGGGGCCTCATCTCGCCTCTAGGGGGAAGTCTCATGGTTTTTCTCGAGTTGCGGCGGGGACCTGGGGTATGTTCTCGACTTACGGCGGGGATGGCCCTTCAAAACACGAGTTTCTTCAGTGACGTCAGGACTCCTGCCTAGTAACGAGGGACACCTCAGCAATCTCTTCGAGGCTTGGCAGGGCAAAAGGGACGCTTCTCGAGGTGAGCCAGGGCACCCAAGGACCCTTTCCAGTAGCCACAGGGATTTTGGGATTCCTATAAGTATTCAAGAGAAGTCAGGCATCGTCACCTTTTGAAGCAATGAACACCGCGTGCCTCTCGAGGTGTCAGCGGGATGTGAGGATTCCGTCAAAATGAGGCAGGGACCTAGGGCTTTCTCTAAGGTCTCCACAGGGGATTCAGACATCCCTTCATGTTGTGAGATGAAAGACGAGCCTGTATTCAAGCCACTGCAAGGAAATCCGGCCTCCTTTCAAGTTAGGGCTTCTCGCTGTATATTCCCCTTGAGGCAGCAAACTCGGGGTCCCTCCCACATTCCTATTGCTGAGAGAAGCCTCCTCCTGAGGTGCTTCTGGAAAGGTGGCATACGTCTTGAGCCTAAGCCAGGGAATCAGCTCTCATCTCGAGACGATTTGGGGTACACTGAGCATTCCTCGAGTTGCTGTGCTGAAGTTGGTGGTCCTCTAGACTTGGGACAGTGTTCTCGGGGCATCTCTGGAGTTGCCTGAAGGAAGTCGAGCCACCGGTCGTGTTGAATGGGGAACAAGGAATGGCTCTGGAGTCAATGCAGGGGAATCCGGCCTCATCTCGAGTTGATTTGGGGCACATGGAGCTGCTTTGCATTGCTGGGTGACCTCAGGGTCCGTCTAGACTGGTGACAGTGTTCTTGGGGACTGTCTCGAGATCCATTAAGCAAGTCGAAGCTCCTGACTTGTTTGAATGGGATCACGGAATAGCTCTGCATGCACTGCAGGGGAATGGGGCCTCATCTCGCCTCTAGGGGGAAGTCTCATGGTTTTTCTCGAGTTGCGGCGGAGACCTGGGGTATGTTCTCGACTTACGGCGGGGATGGCCCTTCAAAACACGAGTTTCTTAGGTGACGTCAGGACTCCTGTCTAGTAACGAGGGACACCTCAGCAATCTCTTCGAGGCTTGGCAGGGCAAAAGGGACGCTTCTCGAGGTGAGCCAGGGCACTCAAGGACCCTTTACAGTAGCCACAGGGATTTTGGGATTCCTATCAGTATTCAAGAGGAGTCAGGCATCGTCACCTTTTGAAGCAATGAACTCCGCGTGCCTCTCGAGGTGTCAGCGGGATGTGAGGATTCCGTCAAAATGAGGCAGGGACCTAGGGCTTTCTCTAAGGTATCCACAGGGGATTCAGACATCCCTTCATGTTGTGAGATGAAAGACGAGCCTGTATTCAAGCCACTGCAAGGAAATCCGGCCTCCTTTCAAGTTAGGGCTTCTCGCTGTATATTCCCCTTGAGGCAGCAAACTCGGAGTCCCTCCCACATACCTATTGTTGAGAGAAGCCTCCTCCTGAGGTGCTTCTGGAAAGTTGGCATACGTCTTGAGCCTAAGCCAGGGATTCAGCTCTCATCTCGAGACGATTTGGGGTACACAGAGCATTCCTCGAGTTGCTGTGCTGAAGTTGGTGTTCCTCTAGACTTGGGACAGTGTTCTCTGGGCATCTCCAGAGTTGCATGAAGGAAGTCGAGCCACCGGTCGTGTTGAATGGGGAACGGGGAATGGCTCTGGAGTCAATGCAGGGGAATCGGGCCTCATCTCGAGTTGATTTGTGGCACCTGGAGCTGCTTTGCGTTGCTGGGGTGACTTCAGGGTCCATCTAGACTGGTGACAGTGTTCTTGGGGACTGCCTCGAGATCCATTAAGCAAGTCGAAGCTCCTGACTTGTTTGAATGGGATCACGGAATAGCTCTGCATGCACTGCAGGGGAATGGGGCCTCATCTCGCCTCTAGGGGGAAGTCTCATGGTTTTTCTCGAGTTGCGGCGGGGACCTGGGGTATGTTCTCGACTTACGGCGGGGATGGCCCTTCAAAACACGAGTTTCTTCCGTGACGTCAGGACTCCTGTCTAGTAACGAGGGACACCTCAGCAATCTCTTCGAGGCTTGGCAGGGCAAAAGGGACGCTTCTCGAGGTGAGCCAGGGCACCCAAGGACCCTTTCCAGTAGCCACAGGGATTTTGGGATTCCTATCAGTATTCAAGAGGAGTCAGGCATCGTCACCTTTTGAAGCAATGAACTCCGCGTGCCTCTCGAGGTGTCAGCGGGATGTGAGGATTCCGTCAAAATGAGGCAGGGACCTAGGGCTTTCTCTAAGGTCTCCACAGGGGATTCAGACATCCCTTCATGTTGTGAGATGAAAGACGAGCCTGTATTCAAGCCACTGCAAGGAAATCCGGCCTCCTTTCAAGTTAGGGCTTCTCGCTGTATATTCCCCTTGAGGCAGCAAACTCGGAGTCCCTCCCACATACCTATTGCTGAGAGAAGCCTCCTCCTGAGATGCTTCTGGAAAGGTGGCGTACGTCTTGAGCCTAAGCCAGGGAATCAGCTCTCATCTCGAGACGATTTGGGGTACACAGAGCATTCCTCGAGTTGCTGTGCTGAAGTTGGTGGTCCTCTAGACTTGGGACAGTGTTCTCGGGGCATCTCCGGAGTTGCCTGAAGGAAGTCGAGCCACCGGTCGTGTTGAATGGGGAACAAGGAATGGCTCTGGAGTCAATGCAGGGGAATCCGGCCTCATCTCGAGTTGATTTGGGGCACATGGAGCTGCTTTGCGTTGCTCGGGTGACCTCAGGGTCCGACTAGACTGGTGACAGTGTTCTTGGGGACTGTCTCGATATCCATTAAGCAAGTCGAAGCTCCTGACTTGTTTGAATGGGATCACGGAATAGCTCTGCATGCACTGCAGGGGAATGGGGCCTCATCTCGCCTCTAGGGGGAAGTCTCATGGTTTTTCTCGAGTTGCGGCGGGGACCTGGGGTATGTTCTCGACTTACGGCGGGGATGGCCCTTCAAAACACGAGTTTCTTCCGTGACGTCAGGACTCCTGTCTAGTAACGAGGGACACCTCAGCAATCTCTTCGAGGCTTGGCAGGGCAAAAGGGACGCTTCTCGAGGTGAGCCAGGGCACCCAAGGACCCTTTCCAGTAGCCACAGGGATTTTGGGATTCCTATCAGTATTCAAGAGGAGTCAGGCATCGTCACCTTTTGAAGCAATGAACTCCGCGTGCCTCTCGAGGTGTCAGCGGGATGTGAGGATTCCGTCAAAATGAGGCAGGGACCTAGGGCTTTCTCTAAGGTATCCACAGGGGATTCAGACATCCCTTCATGTTGTGAGATGAAAGACGAGCCTGTATTCAAGCCACTGCAAGGAAATCCGGCCTCCTTTCAAGTTAGGGCTTCTCGCTGTATATTCCCCTTGAGGCAGCAAACTCGGGGTCCCTCCCACATTCCTATTGCTGAGAGAAGCCTCCTCCTGAGGTGCTTCTGGAAAGGTGGCATACGTCTTGAGCCTAAGCCAGGGAATCAGCTCTCATCTCGAGACGATTTGGGGTACACTGAGCATTCCTCGAGTTGCTGTGCTGAAGTTGGTGGTCCTCTAGACTTGGGACAGTGTTCTCGGGGCATCTCTGGAGTTGCCTGAAGGAAGTCGAGCCACCGGTCGTGTTGAATGGGGAACAAGGAATGGCTCTGGAGTCAATGCAGGGGAATCCGGCCTCATCTCGAGTTGATTTGGGGCACATGGAGCTGCTTTGCATTGCTGGGTGACCTCAGGGTCCGTCTAGACTGGTGACAGTGTTCTTGGGGACTGTCTCGAGATCCATTAAGCAAGTCGAAGCTCCTGACTTGTTTGAATGGGATCACGGAATAGCTCTGCATGCACTGCAGGGGAATGGGGCCTCATCTCGCCTCTAGGGGGAAGTCTCATGGTTTTTCTCGAGTTGCGGCGGAGACCTGGGGTATGTTCTCGACTTACGGCGGGGATGGCCCTTCAAAACACGAGTTTCTTCAGTGACGTCAGGACTCCTGTCTAGTAACGAGGGACACATCAGCAATCTCTTCGAGGCTTGGCAGGGCAAAAGGGACGCTTCTCGAGGTGAGCCAGGGCACCCAAGGACCCTTTCCAGTAGCCACAGGGATTTTGGGATTCCTATCAGTATTCAAGAGGAGTCAGGCATCGTCACCTTTTGAAGCAATGAACTCCGCGTGCCTCTCGAGGTGTCAGCGGGATGTGAGGATTCCGTCAAAATGAGGCAGGGACCTAGGGCTTTCTCTAAGGTCTCCACAGGGGATTCAGACATCCCTTCATGTTGTGAGATGAAAGACGAGCCTGTATTCAAGCCACTGCAAGGAAATCCGGCCTCCTTTCAAGTTAGGGCTTCTCGCTGTATATTCCCCTTGAGGCAGCAAACTCGGGGTCCCTCCCACATTCCTATTGCTGAGAGAAGCCTCCTCCTGAGGTGCTTCTGGAAAGGTGGCATACGTCTTGAGCCTAAGCCAGGGAATCAGCTCTCATCTCGAGACGATTTGGGGTACACTGAGCATTCCTCGAGTTGCTGTGCTGAAGTTGGTGTTCCTCTAGACTTGGGACAGTGTTCTCGGGGCATCTCTGGAGTTGCCTGAAGGAAGTCGAGCCACCGGTCGTGTTGAATGGGGAACAAGGAATGGCTCTGGAGTCAATGCAGGGGAATCCGGCCTCATCTCGAGTTGATTTGGGGCACATGGAGCTGCTTTGCATTGCTGGGTGACCTCAGGGTCCGTCTAGACTGGTGACAGTGTTCTTGGGGACTGTCTCGAGATCCATTAAGCAAGTCGAAGCTCCTGACTTGTTTGAATGGGATCACGGAATAGCTCTGCATGCACTGCAGGGGAATGGGGCCTCATCTCGCCTCTAGGGGGAAGTCTCATGGTTTTTCTCGAGTTGCGGCGGAGACCTGGGGTATGTTCTCGACTTACGGCGGGGATGGCCCTTCAAAACACGAGTTTCTTCAGTGACGTCAGGACTCCTGTCTAGTAACGAGGGACACATCAGCAATCTCTTCGAGGCTTGGCAGGGCAAAAGGGACGCTTCTCGAGGTGAGCCAGGGCACCCAAGGACCCTTTCCAGTAGCCACAGGGATTTTGGGATTCCTATCAGTATTCAAGAGGAGTCAGGCATCGTCACCTTTTGAAGCAATGAACTCCGCGTGCCTCTCGAGGTGTCAGCGGGATGTGAGGATTCCGTCAAAATGAGGCAGGGACCTAGGGCTTTCTCTAAGGTCTCCACAGGGGATTCAGACATCCCTTCATGTTGTGAGATGAAAGACGAGCCTGTATTCAAGCCACTGCAAGGAAATCCGGCCTCCTTTCAAGTTAGGGCTTCTCGCTGTATATTCCCCTTGAGGCAGCAAACTCGGAGTCCCTCCCACATACCTATTGTTGAGAGAAGCCTCCTCCTGAGGTGCTTCTGGAAAGTTGGCATACGTCTTGAGCCTAAGCCAGGGATTCAGCTCTCATCTCGAGACGATTTGGGGTACACAGAGCATTCCTCGAGTTGCTGTGCTGAAGTTGGTGTTCCTCTAGACTTGGGACAGTGTTCTCTGGGCATCTCCAGAGTTGCATGAAGGAAGTCGAGCCACCGGTCGTGTTGAATGGGGAACGGGGAATGGCTCTGGAGTCAATGCAGGGGAATCGGGCCTCATCTCGAGTTGATTTGTGGCACCTGGAGCTGCTTTGCGTTGCTGGGGTGACTTCAGGGTCCATCTAGACTGGTGACAGTGTTCTTGGGGACTGCCTCGAGATCCATTAAGCAAGTCGAAGATCCTGACTTGTTTGAATGGGATCACGGAATAGCTCTGCATGCACTGCAGGGGAATGGGGCCTCATCTCGCCTCTAGGGGGAAGTCTCATGGTTTTTCTCGAGTTGCGGCGGGGACCTGGGGTATGTTCTCGACTTACGGCGGGGATGGCCCTTCAAAACACGAGTTTCTTCAGTGACGTCAGGACTCCTGCCTAGTAACGAGGGACACCTCAGCAATCTCTTCGAGGCTTGGCAGGGCAAAAGGGACGCTTCTCGAGGTGAGCCAGGGCACCCAAGGACCCTTTCCAGTAGCCACAGGGATTTTGGGATTCCTATAAGTATTCAAGAGAAGTCAGGCATCGTCACCTTTTGAAGCAATGAACACCGCGTGCCTCTCGAGGTGTCAGCGGGATGTGAGGATTCCGTCAAAATGAGGCATGGACCTAGGGCTTTCTCTAAGGTCTCCACAGGGGATTCAGACATCCCTTCATGTTGTGAGATGAAAGACGAGCCTGTATTCAAGCCACTGCAAGGAAATCCGGCCTCCTTTCAAGTTAGGGCTTCTCGCTGTATATTCCCCTTGAGGCAGCAAACTCGGGGTCCCTCCCACATTCCTATTGCTGAGAGAAGCCTCCTCCTGAGGTGCTTCTGGAAAGGTGGCATACGTCTTGAGCCTAAGCCAGGGAATCAGCTCTCATCTCGAGACGATTTGGGGTACACTGAGCATTCCTCGAGTTGCTGTGCTGAAGTTGGTGGTCCTCTAGACTTGGGACAGTGTTCTCGGGGCATCTCTGGAGTTGCCTGAAGGAAGTCGAGCCACCGGTCGTGTTGAATGGGGAACAAGGAATGGCTCTGGAGTCAATGCAGGGGAATCCGGCCTCATCTCGAGTTGATTTGGGGCACATGGAGCTGCTTTGCATTGCTGGGTGACCTCAGGGTCCGTCTAGACTGGTGACAGTGTTCTTGGGGACTGTCTCGAGATCCATTAAGCAAGTCGAAGCTCCTGACTTGTTTGAATGGGATCACGGAATAGCTCTGCATGCACTGCAGGGGAATGGGGCCTCATCTCGCCTCTAGGGGGAAGTCTCATGGTTTTTCTCGAGTTGCGGCGGAGACCTGGGGTATGTTCTCGACTTACGGCGGGGATGGCCCTTCAAAACACGAGTTTCTTCAGTGACGTCAGGACTCCTGTCTAGTAACGAGGGACACCTCAGCAATCTCTTCGAGGCTTGGCAGGGCAAAAGGGACGCTTCTCGAGGTGAGCCAGGGCACCCAAGGACCCTTTCCAGTAGCCACAGGGATTTTGGGATTCCTATCAGTATTCAAGAGGAGTCAGGCATCGTCACCTTTGAAGCAATGAACTCCGCGTGCCTCTCGAGGTGTCAGCGGGATGTGAGGATTCCGTCAAAATGAGGCAGGGACCTAGGGCTTTCTCTAAGGTATCCACAGGGGATTCAGACATCCCTTCATGTTGTGAGATGAAAGACGAGCCTGTATTCAAGCCACTGCAAGGAAATCCGGCCTCCTTTCAAGTTAGGGCTTCTCGCTGTATATTCCCCTTGAGGCAGCAAACTCGGAGTCCCTCCCACATACCTATTGTTGAGAGAAGCCTCCTCCTGAGGTGCTTCTGGAAAGTTGGCATACGTCTTGAGCCTAAGCCAGGGATTCAGCTCTCATCTCGAGACGATTTGGGGTACACAGAGCATTCCTCGAGTTGCTGTGCTGAAGTTGGTGTTCCTCTAGACTTGGGACAGTGTTCTCTGGGCATCTCCAGAGTTGCATGAAGGAAGTCGAGCCACCGGTCGTGTTGAATGGGGAACGGGGAATGGCTCTGGAGTCAATGCAGGGGAATCGGGCCTCATCTCGAGTTGATTTGTGGCACCTGGAGCTGCTTTGCGTTGCTGGGGTGACTTCAGGGTCCATCTAGACTGGTGACAGTGTTCTTGGGGACTGCCTCGAGATCCATTAAGCAAGTCGAAGCTCCTGACTTGTTTGAATGGGATCACGGAATAGCTCTGCATGCACTGCAGGGGAATGGGGCCTCATCTCGCCTCTAGGGGGAAGTCTCATGGTTTTTCTCGAGTTGCGGCGGGGACCTGGGGTATGTTCTCGACTTACGGCGGGGATGGCCCTTCAAAACACGAGTTTCTTCCGTGACGTCAGGACTCCTGTCTAGTAACGAGGGACACCTCAGCAATCTCTTCGAGGCTTGGCAGGGCAAAAGGGACGCTTCTCGAGGTGAGCCAGGGCACCCAAGGACCCTTTCCAGTAGCCACAGGGATTTTGGGATTCCTATCAGTATTCAAGAGGAGTCAGGCATCGTCACCTTTTGAAGCAATGAACTCCGCGTGCCTCTCGAGGTGTCAGCGGGATGTGAGGATTCCGTCAAAATGAGGCAGGGACCTAGGGCTTTCTCTAAGGTCTCCACAGGGGATTCAGACATCCCTTCATGTTGTGAGATGAAAGACGAGCCTGTATTCAAGCCACTGCAAGGAAATCCGGCCTCCTTTCAAGTTAGGGCTTCTCGCTGTATATTCCCCTTGAGGCAGCAAACTCGGAGTCCCTCCCACATACCTATTGCTGAGAGAAGCCTCCTCCTGAGATGCTTCTGGAAAGGTGGCATACGTCTTGAGCCTAAGCCAGGGAATCAGCTCTCATCTCGAGACGATTTGGGGTACACAGAGCATTCCTCGAGTTGCTGTGCTGAAGTTGGTGGTCCTCTAGACTTGGGACAGTGTTCTCGGGGCATCTCCGGAGTTGCCTGAAGGAAGTCGAGCCACCGGTCGTGTTGAATGGGGAACAAGGAATGGCTCTGGAGTCAATGCAGGGGAATCCGGCCTCATCTCGAGTTGATTTGGGGCACATGGAGCTGCTTTGCGTTGCTCGGGTGACCTCAGGGTCCGACTAGACTGGTGACAGTGTTCTTGGGGACTGTCTCGATATCCATTAAGCAAGTCGAAGCTCCTGACTTGTTTGAATGGGATCACGGAATAGCTCTGCATGCACTGCAGGGGAATGGGGCCTCATCTCGCCTCTAGGGGGAAGTCTCATGGTTTTTCTCGAGTTGCGGCGGGGACCTGGGGTATGTTCTCGACTTACGGCGGGGATGGCCCTTCAAAACACGAGTTTCTTCCGTGACGTCAGGACTCCTGTCTAGTAACGAGGGACACCTCAGCAATCTCTTCGAGGCTTGGCAGGGCAAAAGGGACGCTTCTCGAGGTGAGCAAGGGCACCCAAGGACCCTTTCCAGTAGCCACAGGGATTTTGGGATTCCTATCAGTATTCAAGAGGAGTCAGGCATCGTCACATTTTGAAGCAATGAACTCCGCGTGCCTCTCGAGGTGTCAGCGGGATGTGAGGATTCCGTCAAAATGAGGCAGGGACCTAGGGCTTTCTCTAAGGTATCCACAGGGGATTCAGACATCCCTTCATGTTGTGAGATGAAAGACGAGCCTGTATTCAAGCCACTGCAAGGAAATCCGGCCTCCTTTCAAGTTAGGGCTTCTCGCTGTATATTCCCCTTGAGGCAGCAAACTCGGGGTCCCTCCCACATTCCTATTGCTGAGAGAAGCCTCCTCCTGAGGTGCTTCTGGAAAGGTGGCATACGTCTTGAGCCTAAGCCAGGGAATCAGCTCTCATCTCGAGACGATTTGGGGTACACTGAGCATTCCTCGAGTTGCTGTGCTGAAGTTGGTGGTCCTCTAGACTTGGGACAGTGTTCTCGGGGCATCTCTGGAGTTGCCTGAAGGAAGTCGAGCCACCGGTCGTGTTGAATGGGGAACAAGGAATGGCTCTGGAGTCAATGCAGGGGAATCCGGCCTCATCTCGAGTTGATTTGGGGCACATGGAGCTGCTTTGCATTGCTGGGTGACCTCAGGGTCCGTCTAGACTGGTGACAGTGTTCTTGGGGACTGTCTCGAGATCCATTAAGCAAGTCGAAGCTCCTGACTTGTTTGAATGGGATCACGGAATAGCTCTGCATGCACTGCAGGGGAATGGGGCCTCATCTCGCCTCTAGGGGGAAGTCTCATGGTTTTTCTCGAGTTGCGGCGGAGACCTGGGGTATGTTCTCGACTTACGGCGGGGATGGCCCTTCAAAACACGAGTTTCTTCAGTGACGTCAGGACTCCTGTCTAGTAACGAGGGACACATCAGCAATCTCTTCGAGGCTTGGCAGGGCAAAAGGGACGCTTCTCGAGGTGAGCCAGGGCACCCAAGGACCCTTTCCAGTAGCCACAGGGATTTTGGGATTCCTATCAGTATTCAAGAGGAGTCAGGCATCGTCACCTTTTGAAGCAATGAACTCCGCGTGCCTCTCGAGGTGTCAGCGGGATGTGAGGATTCCGTCAAAATGAGGCAGGGACCTAGGGCTTTCTCTAAGGTCTCCACAGGGGATTCAGACATCCCTTCATGTTGTGAGATGAAAGACGAGCCTGTATTCAAGCCACTGCAAGGAAATCCGGCCTCCTTTCAAGTTAGGGCTTCTCGCTGTATATTCCCCTTGAGGCAGCAAACTCGGAGTCCCTCCCACATACCTATTGTTGAGAGAAGCCTCCTCCTGAGGTGCTTCTGGAAAGTTGGCATACGTCTTGAGCCTAAGCCAGGGATTCAGCTCTCATCTCGAGACGATTTGGGGTACACAGAGCATTCCTCGAGTTGCTGTGCTGAAGTTGGTGTTCCTCTAGACTTGGGACAGTGTTCTCTGGGCATCTCCAGAGTTGCATGAAGGAAGTCGAGCCACCGGTCGTGTTGAATGGGGAACGGGGAATGGCTCTGGAGTCAATGCAGGGGAATCGGGCCTCATCTCGAGGTGATTTGTGGCACCTGGAGCTGCTTTGCGTTGCTGGGGTGACTTCAGGGTCCATCTAGACTGGTGACAGTGTTCTTGGGGACTGCCTCGAGATCCATTAAGCAAGTCGAAGCTCCTGACTTGTTTGAATGGGATCACGGAATAGCTCTGCATGCACTGCAGGGGAATGGGGCCTCATCTCGCCTCTAGGGGGAAGTCTCATGGTTTTTCTCGAGTTGCGGCGGGGACCTGGGGTATGTTCTCGACTTACGGCGGGGATGGCCCTTCAAAACACGAGTTTCTTCAGTGACGTCAGGACTCCTGCCTAGTAACGAGGGACACCTCAGCAATCTCTTCGAGGCTTGGCAGGGCAAAAGGGACGCTTCTCGAGGTGAGCCAGGGCACCCAAGGACCCTTTCCAGTAGCCACAGGGATTTTGGGATTCCTATAAGTATTCAAGAGGAGTCAGGAATCGTCACGTTTTGAAGCAATGAACACCGCGTGCCTCTCGAGGTGTCAGCGGGATATGAGGATTCCGTCAAAATGAGGCAGGGACCTAGGGCTTTCTCTAAGGTATCCACAGGGGATTCAGACATCCCTTCATGTTGTGAGATGAAAGACGAGCCTGTATTCAAGCCACTGCAAGGAAATCCGGCCTCCTTTCAAGTTAGGGCTTCTCGCTGTATATTCCCCTTGAGGCAGCAAACTCGGGGTCCCTCCCACATTCCTATTGCTGAGAGAAGCCTCCTCCTGAGGTGCTTCTGGAAAGGTGGCATACGTCTTGAGCCTAAGCCAGGGAATCAGCTCTCATCTCGAGACGATTTGGGGTACACTGAGCATTCCTCGAGTTGCTGTGCTGAAGTTGGTGGTCCTCTAGACTTGGGACAGTGTTCTCGGGGCATCTCTGGAGTTGCCTGAAGGAAGTCGAGCCACCGGTCGTGTTGAATGGGGAACAAGGAATGGCTCTGGAGTCAATGCAGGGGAATCCGGCCTCATCTCGAGTTGATTTGGGGCACATGGAGCTGCTTTGCATTGCTGGGTGACCTCAGGGTCCGTCTAGACTGGTGACAGTGTTCTTGGGGACTGTCTCGAGATCCATTAAGCAAGTCGAAGCTCCTGACTTGTTTGAATGGGATCACGGAATAGCTCTGCATGCACTGCAGGGGAATGGGGCCTCATCTCGCCTCTAGGGGGAAGTCTCATGGTTTTTCTCGAGTTGCGGCGGAGACCTGGGGTATGTTCTCGACTTACGGCGGGGATGGCCCTTCAAAACACGAGTTTCTTCAGTGACGTCAGGACTCCTGTCTAGTAACGAGGGACACATCAGCAATCTCTTCGAGGCTTGGCAGGGCAAAAGGGACGCTTCTCGAGGTGAGCCAGGGCACCCAAGGACCCTTTCCAGTAGCCACAGGGATTTTGGGATTCCTATCAGTATTCAAGAGGAGTCAGGCATCGTCACCTTTTGAAGCAATGAACTCCGCGTGCCTCTCGAGGTGTCAGCGGGATGTGAGGATTCCGTCAAAATGAGGCAGGGACCTAGGGCTTTCTCTAAGGTCTCCACAGGGGATTCAGACATCCCTTCATGTTGTGAGATGAAAGACGAGCCTGTATTCAAGCCACTGCAAGGAAATCCGGCCTCCTTTCAAGTTAGGGCTTCTCGCTGTATATTCCCCTTGAGGCAGCAAACTCGGAGTCCCTCCCACATACCTATTGTTGAGAGAAGCCTCCTCCTGAGGTGCTTCTGGAAAGTTGGCATACGTCTTGAGCCTAAGCCAGGGATTCAGCTCTCATCTCGAGACGATTTGGGGTACACAGAGCATTCCTCGAGTTGCTGTGCTGAAGTTGGTGTTACTCTAGACTTGGGACAGTGTTCTCTGAGCATCTCCAGAGTTGCATGAAGGAAGTCGAGCCACCGGTCGTGTTGAATGGGGAACGGGGAATGGCTCTGGAGTCAATGCAGGGGAATCGGGCCTCATCTCGAGTTGATTTGTGGCACCTGGAGCTGCTTTGCGTTGCTGGGGTGACTTCAGGGTCCATCTAGACTGGTGACAGTGTTCTTGGGGACTGCCTCGAGATCCATTAAGCAAGTCGAAGCTCCTGACTTGTTTGAATGGGATCACGGAATAGCTCTGCATGCACTGCAGGGGAATGGGGCCTCATCTCGCCTCTAGGGGGAAGTCTCATGGTTTTTCTCGAGTTGCGGCGGGGACCTGGGGTATGTTCTCGACTTACGGCGGGGATGGCCCTTCAAAACACGAGTTTCTTCCGTGACGTCAGGACTCCTGCCTAGTAACGAGGGACACCTCAGCAATCTCTTCGAGGCTTGGCAGGGCAAAAGGGACGCTTCTCGAGGTGAGCCAGGGCACCCAAGGACCCTTTCCAGTAGCCACAGGGATTTTGGGATTCCTATAAGTATTCAAGAGGAGTCAGGCATCGTCACCTTTTGAAGCAATGAACACCGCGTGCCTCTCGAGGTGTCAGCGGGATGTGAGGATTCCGTCAAAATGAGGCAGGGACCTAGGGCTTTCTCTAAGGTATCCACAGGGGATTCAGACATCCCTTCATGTTGTGAGATGAAAGACGAGCCTGTATTCAAGCCACTGCAAGGAAATCCGGCCTCCTTTCAAGTTAGGGCTTCTCGCTGTATATTCCCCTTGAGGCAGCAAACTCGGGGTCCCTCCCACATTCCTATTGCTGAGAGAAGCCTCCTCCTGAGGTGCTTCTGGAAAGGTGGCATACGTCTTGAGCCTAAGCCAGGGAATCAGCTCTCATCTCGAGACGATTTGGGGTACACTGAGCATTCCTCGAGTTGCTGTGCTGAAGTTGGTGGTCCTCTAGACTTGGGACAGTGTTCTCGGGGCATCTCTGGAGTTGCCTGAAGGAAGTCGAGCCACCGGTCGTGTTGAATGGGGAACAAGGAATGGCTCTGGAGTCAATGCAGGGGAATCCGGCCTCATCTCGAGTTGATTTGGGGCACATGGAGCTGCTTTGCATTGCTGGGTGACCTCAGGGTCCGTCTAGACTGGTGACAGTGTTCTTGGGGACTGTCTCGAGATCCATTAAGCAAGTCGAAGCTCCTGACTTGTTTGAATGGGATCACGGAATAGCTCTGCATGCACTGCAGGGGAATGGGGCCTCATCTCGCCTCTAGGGGGAAGTCTCATGGTTTTTCTCGAGTTGCGGCGGAGACCTGGGGTATGTTCTCGACTTACGGCGGGGATGGCCCTTCAAAACACGAGTTTCTTCAGTGACGTCAGGACTCCTGTCTAGTAACGAGGGACACATCAGCAATCTCTTCGAGGCTTGGCAGGGCAAAAGGGACGCTTCTCGAGGTGAGCCAGGGCACCCAAGGACCCTTTCCAGTAGCCACAGGGATTTTGGGATTCCTATCAGTATTCAAGAGGAGTCAGGCATCGTCACCTTTTGAAGCAATGTACTCCGCGTGCCTCTCGAGTTGTCAGCGGGATGTGAGGCATTCCGTCAAAATGAGGCAGGGACCTATGGCTTTCTCTAAGGTCTTCACAGGGGATTCAGACATCCCTTCATGTTGTGAGATGAAAGACGAGCCTGTATTCAAGCCACTGCAAGGAAATCCGGCCTCCTTTCAAGTTAGGGCTTCTCGCTGTATATTCCCCTTGAAGCAGCAAACTCGGGGTCCCTCCCACATACCTATTGCTGAGAGAAGCCTCCTCCTGAGGTGCTTCTGGAAAGGTGGCATACGTCTTGAGCCTAAGCCAGGGAATCAGCTCTCATCTCGAGACGTTTTGGGGTACACAGAGCATTCCTCGAGTTGCTGTGCTGAAGTTGGTGGTCCTCTAGACTTGGGACAGTGTTCTCGGGGCATCTCTGGAGTTGCCTGAAGGAAGTCGAGCCACCGGTCGTGTTGAATGGGGAACAAGGAATGGCTCTGGAGTCAATGCAGGGGAATCCGGCCTCATCTCGAGTTGATTTGGGGCACATGGAGCTGCTTTGCATTGCTGGGTGACCTCAGGGTCCGACTAGACTGGTGACAGTGTTCTTGGGGACTGTCTCGATATCCATTAAGCAAGTCGAAGCTCCTGACTTGTTTGAATGGGATCACGGAATAGCTCTGCATGCACTGCAGGGGAATGGGGCCTCATCTCGCCTCTAGGGGGAAGTCTCATGGTTTTTCTCGAGTTGCGGCGGGGACCTGGGGTATGTTCTCGACTTACGGCGGGGATGGCCCTTCAAAACACGAGTTTCTTCCGTGACGTCAGGACTCCTGTCTAGTAACGAGGGACACCTCAGCAATCTCTTCGAGGCTTGGCAGGGCAAAAGGGACGCTTCTCGAGGTGAGCCAGGGCACCCAAGGACCCTTTCCAGTAGCCACAGGGATTTTGGGATTCCTATCAGTATTCAAGAGGAGTCAGGCATCGTCACCTTTTGAAGCAATGAACTCCGCGTGCCTCTCGAGGTGTCAGCGGGATGTGAGGATTCCGTCAAAATGAGGCAGGGACCTAGGGCTTTCTCTAAGGTCTCCACAGGGGATTCAGACATCCCTTCATGTTGTGAGATGAAAGACGAGCCTGTATTCAAGCCCCTGCAAGGAAATCCGGCCTCCTTTCAAGTTAGGGCTTCTCGCTGTATATTCCCCTTGAGGCAGCAAACTCGGAGTCCCTCCCACATACCTATTGCTGAGAGAAGCCTCCTCCTGAGGTGCTTCTGGAAAGGTGGCATACGTCTTGAGCCTAAGCCAGGGAATCAGCTCTCATCTCGAGACGATTTGGGGTACACAGAGCATTCCTCGAGTTGCTGTGCTGAAGTTGGTGGTCCTCTAGACTTGGGACAGTGTTCTCGGGGCATCTCTGGAGTTGCCTGAAGGAAGTCGAGCCACCGGTCGTGTTGAATGGGGAACAAGGAATGGCTCTGGAGTCAATGCAGGGGAATCCGGCCTCATCTCGAGTTGATTTGGGGCACATGGAGCTGCTTTGCATTGCTGGGTGACCTCAGGGTCCGACTAGACTGGTGACAGTGTTCTTGGGGACTGTCTCGATATCCATTAAGCAAGTCGAAGCTCCTGACTTGTTTGAATGGGATCACGGAATAGCTCTGCATGCACTGCAGGGGAATGGGGCCTCATCTCGCCTCTAGGGGGAAGTCTCATGGTTTTTCTCGAGTTGCGGCGGGGACCTGGGGTATGTTCTCGACTTACGGCGGGGATGGCCCTTCAAAACACGAGTTTCTTCCGTGACGTCAGGACTCCTGTCTAGTAACGAGGGACACCTCAGCAATCTCTTCGAGGCTTGGCAGGGCAAAAGGGACGCTTCTCGAGGTGAGCCAGGGCACCCAAGGACCCTTTCCAGTAGCCACAGGGATTTTGGGATTCCTATCAGTATTCAAGAGGAGTCAGGCATCGTCAGCTTTTGAAGCAATGAACTCCGCGTGCCTCTCGAGGTGTCAGCGGGATGTGAGGATTCCGTCAAAATGAGGCAGGGACCTAGGGCTTTCTCTAAGGTCTCCACAGGGGATTCAGACATCCCTTCATGTTGTGAGATGAAAGACGAGCCTGTATTCAAGCCCCTGCAAGGAAATCCGGCCTCCTTTCAAGTTAGGGCTTCTCGCTGTATATTCCCCTTGAGGCAGCAAACTCGGAGTCCCTCCCACATACCTATTGCTGAGAGAAGCCTCCTCCTGAGGTGCTTCTGGAAAGGTGGCATACGTCTTGAGCCTAAGCCAGGGAATCAGCTCTCATCTCGAGACGATTTGGGGTACACAGAGCATTCCTCGAGTTGCTGTGCTGAAGTTGGTGGTCCTCTAGACTTTGGACAGTGTTCTCGGGGCATCTCTGGAGTTGCCTGAAGGAAGTCGAGCCACCGGTCGTGTTGAATGGGGAACAAGGAATGGCTCTGGAGTCAATGCACGGGAATCCGGCCTCATCTCGAGTTGATTTGGGGCACATGGAGCTGCTTTGCATTGCTGGGTGACCTCAGGGTCCGACTAGACTGGTGACAGTGTTCTTGGGGACTGTCTCGAGATCCATTAAGCAAGTCGAAGCTCCTGACTTGTTTGAATGGGATCACGGAATAGCTCTGCATGCACTGCAGGGGAATGGGGCCTCATCTCGCCTCTAGGGGGAAGTCTCATGGTTTTTCTCGAGTTGCGGCGGGGACCTGGGGTATGTTCTCGACTTACGGCGGGGATGGCCCTTCAAAACACGAGTTTCTTCCGTGACGTCAGGACTCCTGTCTAGTAACGAGGGACACCTCAGCAATCTCTTCGAGGCTTGGCAGGGCAAAAGGGACGCTTCTCGAGGTGAGCCAGGGCACCCAAGGACCCTTTCCAGTAGCCACAGGGATTTTGGGATTCCTATCAGTATTCAAGAGGAGTCAGGCATCGTCACCTTTTGAAGCAATGAACTCCGCGTGCCTCTCGAGGTGTCAGCGGGATGTGAGGATTCCGTCAAAATGAGGCATGGACCTAGCGCTTTCTCTAAGGTTTCCACAGGGGATTCAGACATCCCTTCATGTTTTGAGATGAAAGACGAGCCTGTATTCAAGCCACTGCATGGAAATCCGGCCTCCTTTCAAGTTAGGGCTTCTCGCTGTATATTCCCCTTGAGGCAGCAAACTCGGAGTCCCTCCCACATACCTATTGCTGAGAGAATCCTCCTCCTGAGGTGCTTCTGGAAAGGTGGCATACGTCTTGAGCCTAAGCCAGGGAATCAGCTCTCATCTCGAGACGATTTGGGGTACACGGAGCATTCCTCGAGTTGCTGTGCCGAAGTTGGTGGTCCTCTAGACTTGGGACAGTGTTCTCGGGTCATCTCTGGAGTTGCCTGAAGGAAGTCGAGCCACCGGTCGTGTTGAATGGGTAACAAGGAATGGCTCTGGAGTCAATGCAGGGGAATCCGGCCTCATCTCGAGTTGATTTGGGGCACATGGAGCTGCTTTGCATTGCTGGTTGACCTCAGGGTCCGTCTAGACTGGTGACAGTGTTCTTGGGGACTGTCTCGAGATCCATTAAGCAAGTCGAAGCTCCTGACTTGTTTGAATGGGATCAGGGAATAGCTCTGCATGCACTGCAGGGGAATGGGGCCTCATCTCGCCTCTAGGGGGAAGTCTCATGGTTTTGCTCGAGTTGCGGCGGGGACCTGGGGTATGTTCTCGACTTACGGAGGGGATGGCCCTTCAAAACACGAGTTTCTTCCGTGACGTCAGGACTCCTGTCTAGTAACGAGGGACACCTCAGCAATCTCTTCGAGGCTTGGCAGGGCAAAAGGGACGCTTCTCGAGGTGAGCCAGGGCACCCAAGGACCCTTTCCAGTAGCCACAGGGATTTTGGGATTCCTATAAGTAATCAAGAGGAGTCATGCATCGTCACCTTTTGAAGCAATGAACTCCGCGTGCCTCTGGACGTGTCAGCGGGATGTGAGGATTCCATCAAAATGAGGCAGGGACCTAGGGCTTTCTCTAAGGTCTCCACAGGGGAATCAGACATCCCTTCATGTTGTGAGATGAAAGACGAGCCTGTATTCAAGCCACTGCATGGAAATCCGGCCTCCTTTCAAGTTAGGGCTTCTCGCTGTATATTCCCCTTGAGGCAGCAAACTCGGGGTCCCTCCCACATACCTATTACTGAGAGAAGCCTCCTCCTGAGGTGCTTCTGGAAAGGTGGCATACGTCTTGAGCCTAAGCCAGGGAATCAGCTCTCATCTCGAGACGATTTGGGGTACACAGATCATTCCTCGAGTTGCTGTGCTGAAGTTGGTGGTCCTCTAGACTTGGGACAGTGTTCTCGGGGCATCTCTGGAGTTGCCTGAAGGAAGTCGAGCCACCGGTCGTGTTGAATGGGGAACAAGGAATGGCTCTGGAGTCAATGCAGGGGAATCCGGCCTCATCTCGAGTTGATTTGGGGCACATGGAGCTGCTTTGCATTGCTGGGTGACCTCAGGGTCCGTCTAGACTGGTGACAGTGTTCTTGGGGACTGTCTCGAGATCCATTAAGCAAGTCGAAGCTCCTGACTTGTTTGAATGGGATCACGGAATAGCTCTGCATGCACTGCAGGGGAACGGGGCCTCATCTCGCCTCTAGGGGGAAGTCTCATGGTTTTTCTCGAGTTGCGGCGGGGACCTGGGGTATGTTCTCGACTTACGGCGGGGATGGCCCTTCAAAATACGAGTTTCTTCAGTGACGTCAGGACTCCTGCCTAGTAACGAGGGACACCTCAGGAATCTCTTCGAGGCTTGGCAGGGCAAAAGGGACGCTTCTCGAAGTGAGCCAGGGCACCCAAGGACCCTTTCCAGTAGCCACAGGGATTTTGGGATTCCTATAAGTAATCAAGAGGAGTCATGCATCGTCACCTTTTGAAGCAATGAACTCCGCGTGCCTCTCGAGGTGTCAGCGGGATGTGAGGCATTCCGTCAAAATGAGGCAGGGACCTAGGGCTTTCTCTAAGGTCTCCACAGGGGATTCAGACATCCCTTCATGTTGTGAGATGAAAGACAAGCCTGTATTCAAGCTACTGCAAGGAAATCCGGCCTCCTTTCAAGTTAGGGCTTCTCGCTGTATATTGCCCTTGAGGCAGCAAACTCGGAGACCCTCCCACATACCTATTGCTGAGAAGCCTCCTCCTGAGGTGCTTCTGGAAAGTTGGCATACGTCTTGAGCCTAAGCCAGGGAATCAGCTCTCATCTCGAGACGATTTGGGGTACACAGAGCATTCCTCGAGTTGCTGTGCTGAAGTTGGTGTTCCTCTAGACTTGGGACAGTGTTCTCTGGGCATCTCCAGAGTTGCATGAAGGAAGTCGAGCCACCGGTCGTGTTGAATGGGGAACGGGGAATGGCTCTGGAGTCAATGCAGCGGAATCGGGCCTCATCTCGAGTTGATTTGTGGCACCTGGAGCTGCTTTGCGTTGCTGGGGTGACCTCAGGGTCCATCTAGACTGGTGACAGTGTTCTTGGGGACTGCCTCGAGATCCATTAAGCAAGTCGAAGCTCCTGACTTGTTTGAATGGAATCACGGAATAGCTCTGCATGCACTGCAGGGGAATGGGGCCTCATCTCGCCTCTAGGGGGAAGTCTCATGGTTTTTCTCGAGTTGCGGCGGGGACCTGGGGTATGTTCTCGACTTACGGCGGGCATGGCCCTTCAAAACACGAGTTTCTTCAGTGACGTCAGGACTCCTGCCTAGTAACGAGGGACACCTCAGCAATCTCTTCGAGGCTTGGCAGGGCAAAAGGGACGCTTCTCGAGGTGAGCCAGGGCACCCAAGGACCCTTTCCAGTAGCCACAGGGATTTTGGGATTCCTATAAGTATTCAAGAGGAGTCAGGCATCGTCACCTTTTGAAGCAATGAACACCGCGTGCCTCTCGAGGTGTCAGCGGGATGTGAGGATTCCGTCAAAATGAGGCAGGGACCTAGGGCTTTCTCTAAGGTATCCACAGGGGATTCAGACATCCCTTCATGTTGTGAGATGAAAGACGAGCCTGTATTCAAGCCACTGCAAGGAAATCCGGCCTCCTTTCAAGTTAGGGCTTCTCGCTGTATATTCCCCTTGAGGCAGCAAACTCGGAGTCCCTCCCACATACCTATTGTTGAGAGAAGCCTCCTCCTGAGGTGCTTCTGGAAAGTTGGCATACGTCTTGATCCTAAGCCAGGGATTCAGCTCTCATCTCGAGACGATTTGGGGTACACAGAGCATTCCTCGAGTTGCTGTGCTGAAGTTGGTGTTCCTCTAGACTTGGGACAGTGTTCTCTGGGCATCTCCAGAGTTGCATGAAAGAAGTCGAGCCACCGGTCGTGTTGAATGGGGAACGGGGAATGGCTCTGGAGTCAATGCAGGGGAATCGGGCCTCATCTCGAGTTGATTTGTGGCACCTGGAGCTGCTTTGCGTTGCTGGGGTGACCTCAGGGTCCATCTAGACTGGTGACAGTGTTCTTGGGGACTGCCTCGAGATCCATTAAGCAAGTCGAAGCTCCTGACTTGTTTGAATGGGATCACGGAATAGCTCTGCATGCACTGCAGGGGAATGGGGCCTCATCTCGCCTCTAGGGGGAAGTCTCATGGTTTTTCTCGAGTTGCGGCGGGGACCTGGGGTATGTTCTCGACTTACGGCGGGGATGGCCCTTCAAAACACGAGTTTCTTCAGTGACGTCAGGACTCCTGCCTAGTAACGAGGGACACCTCAGCAATCTCTTCGAGGCTTGGCAGGGCAAAAGGGACGCTTCTCGAGGTGAGCCAGGGCACCCAAGGACCCTTTCCAGTAGCCACAGGGATTTTGGGATTCCTATAAGTATTCAAGAGGAGTCAGGCATCGTCACCTTTTGAAGCATTGAACACCGCGTGCCTCTCGAGGTGTCAGCGGGATGTGAGGATTCCGTCAAAATGAGGCAGGGACCTAGGGCTTTCTCTAAGGTATCCACAGGGGATTCAGACATCCCTTCATGTTGTGAGATGAAAGACGAGCCTGTATTCAAGCCACTACAAGGAAATCCGGCCTCCTTTCAAGTTAGGGCTTCTCGCTGTATATTCCCCTTGAGGCAGCAAACTTGGGGTCCCTCCCACATACCTATTGCTGAGAGAAGCCTCCTCCTGAGGTGCTTCTGGAAAGGTGGCATACGTCTTGAGCCTAAGCCAGGGAATCAGCTCTCATCTCGAGACGATTTGGGGTACACTGAGCATTCCTCGAGTTGCTGTGCTGAAGTTGGTGGTCCTCTAGACTTGGGACAGTGTTCTCGGGGCATCTCTGGAGTTGCCTGAAGGAAGTCGAGCCACCGGTCGTGTTGAATGGGGAACAAGGAATGGCTCTGGAGTCAATGCAGGGGAATCCGGCCTCATCTCGAGTTGATTTGGGGCACATGGAGCTGCTTTGCATTGCTGGGTGACCTCAGGGTCCGTCTAGACTGGTGACAGTGTTCTTGGGGACTGTCTCGAGATCCATTAAGCAAGTCGAAGCTCCTGACTTGTTTGAATGGGATCACGGAATAGCTCTGCATGCACTGCAGGGGAATGGGGCCTCATCTCGCCTCTAGGGGGAAGTCTCATGGTTTTTCTCGAGTTGCGGCGGAGACCTGGGGTATGTTCTCGACTTACGGCGGGGATGGCCCTTCAAAACACGAGTTTCTTCAGTGACGTCAGGACTCCTGTCTAGTAACGAGGGACACATCAGCAATCTCTTCGAGGCTTGGCAGGGCAAAAGGGACGCTTCTCGAGGTGAGCCAGGGCACCCAAGGACCCTTTCCAGTAGCCACAGGGATTTTGGGATTCCTATCAGTATTCAAGAGGAGTCAGGGATCGTCACCTTTTGAAGCAATGTACTCTGCGTGCCTCTCGAGTTGTCAGCGGGATGTGAGGCATTCCGTCAAAATGAGGCAGGGACCTAGGGCTTTCTCTAAGGTCTTCACAGGGGATTCAGACATCCCTTCATGTTGTGAGATGAAAGACGAGCCTGTATTCAAGCCACTGCAAGGAAATCCGGCCTCCTTTCAAGTTAGGGCTTCTCGCTGTATATTCCCCTTGAGGCAGCAAACTCGGGGTCCCTCCCACATACCTATTGCTGAGAGAAGCCTCCTCCTGAGGTGCTTATGGAAAGGTGGCATACGTCTTGAGCCTAAGCCAGGGAATCAGCTCTCATCTCGAGACGATTTGGGGTACACAGAGCATTCCTCGAGTTGCTGTGCTGAAGTTGGTGGTCCTCTAGACTTGGGACAGTGTTCTCGGGGCATCTCTGGAGTTGCCTGAAGGAAGTCGAGCCACCGGTCGTGTTGAATGGGGAACAAGGAATGGCTCTGGAGTCAATGCAGGGGAATCCGGCCTCATCTCGAGTTGATTTGGGGCACATGGAGCTGCTTTGCATTGCTGGGTGACCTCAGGGTCCGACTAGACTGGTGACAGTGTTCTTGGGGACTGTCTCGATATCCATTAAGCAAGTCGAAGCTCCTGACTTGTTTGAATGGGATCATGGAATAGCTCTGCATGCACTGCCAGGGAATGGGGCCTCATCTCGCCTCTAGGGGGAAGTCTCATGGTTTTTCTCGAGTTGCGGCGGGGACCTGGGGTATGTTCTCGACTTACGGCGGGGATGGCCCTTCAAAACACGAGTTTCTTCCGTGACGTCAAGACTCCTGTCTAGTAACGAGGGACACCTCAGCAATCTCTTCGAGGCTTGGCAGGGCAAAAGGGACGCTTCTCGAGGTGAGCCAGGGCACCCAAGGACCCTTTCCAGTAGCCACAGGGATTTTGGGATTCCTATCAGTATTCAAGAGGAGTCAGGCATCGTCACCTTTTGAAGCAATGAACTCCGCGTGCCTCTCGAGGTGTCAGCGGGATGTGAGGATTCCGTCAAAATGAGGCAGGGACCTAGGGCTTTCTCTAAGGTCTCCACAGGGGATTCAGACATCCCTTCATGTTGTGAGATGAAAGACGAGCCTGTATTCAAGCCACTGCAAGGAAATCCGGCCTCCTTTCAAGTTAGGGCTTCTCGCTGTATATTCCCCTTGAGGCAGCAAACTCGGAGTCCCTCCCACATACCTATTGCTGAGAGAAGCCTCCTCCTGAGGTGCTTCTGGAAAGGTGGCATACGTCTTGAGCCTAAGCCAGGGAATCAGCTCTCATCTCGAGACGATTTGGGGTACACAGAGCATTCCTCGAGTTGCTGTGCTGAAGTTGGTGGTCCTCTAGACTTGGGACAGTGTTCTCGGGGCATCTCTGGAGTTGCCTGAAGGAAGTCGAGCCACCGGTCGTGTTGAATGGGGAACAAGGAATGGCTCTGGAGTCAATGCAGGGGAATCCGGCCTCATCTCGAGTTGATTTGGGGCAAATGGAGCTGCTTTGCATTGCTGGGGTGACCTCAGGGTCCGACTAGACTGGTGACAGTGTTCTTGGGGACTGCCTCGAGATTCATTAAGCAAGTCGAAGCTCCTGACTTGTTTGAATGGGATCACGGAATAGCTCTGCATGCACTGCAGGGGAATGGGGACTCATCTCGCCTCTAGGGGGAAGTCTCATGGTTTTTCTCGAGTTGCGGCGGGGACCTGGGGTATGTTCTCGACTTACGGCGGGGATGGCCCTTCAAAACACGAGTTTCTTCCGTGACGTCAGGACTCCTGTCTAGTAACGAGGGACACCTCAGCAATCTCTTCGAGGCTTGGCAGGGCAAAAGGGACGCTTCTCGAGGTGAGCCAGGGCACCCAAGGACCCTTTCCAGTAGCAACAGGGATTTTGGGATTCCTATCAGTATTCAAGAGGAGTCAGGCATCGTCACCTTTTGAAGCAATGAACTCCGCGTGCCTCTCGAGGTGTCAGCGGGATGTGAGGATTCCGTCAAAATGAGGCAGGGACCTAGGGCTTTCTCTAAGGTCTCCACAGGGGATTCAGACATCCCTTCATGTTGTGAGATGAAAGACGAGCCTGTATTCAAGCCACTGCAAGGAAATCCGGCCTCCTTTCAAGTTAGGGCTTCTAGCTGTATATTCCCCTTGAGGCAGCAAACTCGGAGTCCCTCCCACATACCTATTGTTGAGAGAAGCCTCCTCCTGAGGTGCTTCTAGAAAGTTGGCATACGTCTTGAGCCTAAGCCAGGGATTCAGCTCTCATCTCGAGACGATTTGGGGTACACAGAGCATTCCTCGAGTTGCTGTGCTGAAGTTGGTGTTCCTCTAGACTTGGGACAGTGTTCTCTGGGCATCTCCAGAGTTGCATGAAGGAAGTCGAGCCACCGGTCGTGTTGAATGGGGAACGGGGAATGGCTCTGGAGTCAATGCAGGGGAATCGGGCCTCATCTCGAGTTGATTTGTGGCACCTGGAGCTGCTTTGCGTTGCTGGGGTGACCTCAGGGTCCATCTAGACTGGTGACAGTGTTCTTGGGGACTGCCTCGAGATCCATTAAGCAAGTCGAAGCTCCTGACTTGTTTGAATGGGATCACGGAATAGCTCTGCATGCACTGCAGGGGAATGGGGCCTCATCTCGCCTCTAGGGGGAAGTCTCATGGTTTTTCTCGAGTTGCGGCGGGGACCTGGGTATGTTCTCGACTTACGGCGGGGATGGCCCTTCAAAACACGAGTTTCTTCAGTGACGTCAGGACTCCTGCCTAGTAACGAGGGACACCTCAGCAATCTCTTCGAGGCTTGGCAGGGCAAAAGGGACGCTTCTCGAGGTGAGCAAGGGCACCCAAGGACCCTTTCCAGTAGCCACAGGGATTTTGGGATTCCTATAAGTATTCAAGAGGAGTCAGGCATCGTCACCTTTTGAAGCAATGAACACCGCGTGCCTCTCGAGGTGTCAACGGGATGTGAGGATTCCGTCAAAATGAGGCAGGGACCTAGGGCTTTCTCTAAGGTATCCACAGGGGATTCAGACATCCCTTCATGTTGTGAGATGAAAGACGAGCCTGTATTCAAGCCACTGCAAGGAAATCCGGCCTCCTTTCAAGTTAGGGCTTCTCGCTGTATATTCCCCTTGAGGCAGCAAACTCGGGGTCCCTCCCACATACCTATTGCTGAGAGAAGCCTCCTCCTGAGGTGCTTCTGGAAAGGTGGCATACGTCTTGAGCCTAAGCCAGGGAATCAGCTCTCATCTCGAGACGATTTGGGGTACACTGAGCATTCCTCGAGTTGCTGTGCTGAAGTTGGTGGTCCTCTAGACTTGGGACAGTGTTCTCGGGGCATCTCTGGAGTTGCCTGAAGGAAGTCGAGCCACCGGTCGTGTTGAATGGGGAACAAGGAATGGCTCTGGAGTCAATGCAGGGGAATCCGCCTCATCTCGAGTTGATTTGGGGCACATGGAGCTGCTTTGCATTGCTGGGTGACCTCAGGGTCCGTCTAGACTGGTGACAGTGTTCTTGGGGACTGTCTCGAGATCCATTAAGCAAGTCGAAGCTCCTGACTTGTTTGAATGGGATCACGGAATAGCTCTGCATGCACTGCAGGGGAATGGGGCCTCATCTCGCCTCTAGGGGGAAGTCTCATGGTTTTTCTCGAGTTGCGGCGGAGACCTGGGGTATGTTCTCGACTTACGGCGGGGATGGCCCTTCAAAACACGAGTTTCTTCAGTGACGTCAGGACTCCTGTCTAGTAACGAGGGACACATCAGCAATCTCTTCGAGGCTTGGCAGGGCAAAAGGGACGCTTCTCGAGGTGAGCCAGGGCACCCAAGGACCCTTTCCAGTAGCCACAGGGATTTTGGGATTCCTATCAGTATTCAAGAGGAGTCAGGCATCGTCACCTTTTGAAGCAATGTACTCCGCGTGCCTCTCGAGTTGTCAGCGGGATGTGAGCCATTCCGTCAAAATGAGGCAGGGACCTAGGGCTTTCTCTAAGGTCTTCACAGGGGATTCAGACATCCCTTCATGTTGTGAGATGAAAGACGAGCCTGTATTCAAGCCACTGCAAGGAAATCTGGCCTCCTTTCAAGTTAGGGCTTCTCGCTGTATATTCCCCTTGAGGCAGCAAACTCGGGGTCCCTCCCACATACCTATTGCTGAGAGAAGCCTCCTCCTGAGGTGCTTCTGGAAAGGTGGCATACGTCTTGAGCCTAAGCCAGGGAATCAGCTCTCATCTCGAGACGATTTGGGGTACACAGAGCATTCCTCGAGTTGCTGTGCTGAAGTTGGTGGTCCTCTAGACTTGGGACAGTGTTCTCGGGGCATCTCTGGAGTTGCCTGAAGGAAGTCGAGCCACCGGTCGTGTTGAATGGGGAACAAGGAATGGCTCTGGAGTCAATGCAGGGGAATCCGGCCTCATCTCGAGTTGATTTGGGGCACATGGAGCTGCTTTGCATTGCTGGGTGACCTCAGGGTCCGACTAGACTGGTGACAGTGTTCTTGGGGACTCTCTCGATATCCATTAAGCAAGTCGAAGCTCCTGACTTGTTTGAATGGGATCACGGAATAGCTCTGCATGCACTGCAGGGGAATGGGGCCTCATCTCGCCTCTAGGGGGAAGTCTCATGGTTTTTCTCGAGTTGCGGCGGGGACCTGGGGTATGTTCTCGACTTACGGCGGGGATGGCCCTTCAAAACACGAGTTTCTTCCGTGACGTCAGGACTCCTGTCTAGTAACGAGGGACACCTCAGCAATCTCTTCGAGGCTTGGCAGGGCAAAAGGGACGCTTCTCGAGGTGAGCCAGGCACCCAAGGACCCTTTCCAGTAGCAACAGGGATTTTGGGATTCCTATCAGTATTCAAGAGGAGTCAGGCATCGTCACCTTTTGAAGCAATGAACTCCGCGTGCCTCTCGAGGTGTCAACGGGATGTGAGGATTCCGTCAAAATGAGGCAGGGACCTAGGGCTTTCTCTAAGGTCTCCACAGGGGATTCAGACATCCCTTCATGTTGTGAGATGAAAGACGAGCCTGTATTCAAGCCACTGCAAGGAAATCCGGCCTCCTTTCAAGTTAGGGCTTCTCGCTGTATATTGCCCTTGAGGCAGCAAACTCGGAGTCCCTCCCACATACCTATTGTTGAGAGAAGCCTCCTCCTGAGGTGCTTCTGGAAAGTTGGCATACGTCTTGAGCCTAAGCCAGGGATTCAGCTCTCATCTCGAGACGATTTGGGGTACACAGAGCATTCCTCGAGTTGCTGTGCTGAAGTTGGTGTTCCTCTAGACTTGGGACAGTGTTCTCTGGGCATCTCCAGAGTTGCATGAAGGAAGTCGAGCCACCGGTCGTGTTGAATGGGGAACGGGGAATGGCTCTGGAGTCAATGCAGGGGAATCGGGCCTCATCTCGAGTTGATTTGTGGCACCTGGAGCTGCTTTGCGTTGCTGGGGTGACCTCAGGGTCCGTCTAGACTGGTGACAGTGTTCTTGGGGACTGTCTCGAGATCCATTAAGCAAGTCGAAGCTCCTGACTTGTTTGAATGGGATCACGGAATAGCTCTGCATGCACTGCAGGGGAATGGGGCCTCATCTCGCCTCTAGGGGGAAGTCTCATGGTTTTTCTCGAGTTGCGGCGGGGACCTGGGGTATGTTCTCGACTTACGGCGGGGATGGCCCTTCAAAACACGAGTTTCTTCCGTGACGTCAGGACTCCTGCCTAGTAACGAGGGACACCTCAGCAATCTCTTCGAGGCTTGGCAGGGCAAAAGGGACGCTTCTCGAGGTGAGCCAGGGCACCCAAGGACCCTTTCCAGTAGCCACAGGGATTTTGGGATTCCTATAAGTATTCAAGAGGAGTCAGGCATCGTCACCTTTTGAAGCAATGAACACCGCGTGCCTCTCGAGGTGTCAGCGGGATGTGAGGATTCCGTCAAAATGAGGCAGGGACCTAGGGCTTTCTCTAAGGTCTTCACAGGGGATTCAGACATCCCTTCATGTTGTGAGATGAAAGACGAGCCTGTATTCAAGCCACTGCAAGGAAATCTGGCCTCCTTTCAAGTTAGGGCTTCTCGCTGTATATTCCCCTTGAGGCAGCAAACTCGGGGTCCCTCCCACATACCTATTGCTGAGAGAAGCCTCCTCCTGAGGTGCTTCTGGAAAGGTGGCATACGTCTTGAGCCTAAGCCAGGGAATCAGCTCTCATCTCGAGACGATTTGGGGTACACAGAGCATTCCTCTAGTTGCTGTGCTGAAGTTGGTGGTCCTCTAGACTTGGGACAGTGTTCTCGGGTCATCTCTGGAGTTGCCTGAAGGAAGTCGAGCCACCGGTCGTGTTGAATGGGGAACAAGGAATGGCTCTGGAGTCAATGCAGGGGAATCCGGCCTCATCTCGAGTTGATTTGGGGCACATGGAGCTGCTTTGCGTTGCTGGGGTGACCTCAGGGTCCGTCTAGACTGGTGACAGTGTTCTTGGGGACTGTCTCGAGATCCATTAAGCAAGTCGAAGCTCCTGACTTGTTTGAATGGGATCACGGAATAGCTCTGCATGCACTGCAGGGGAATGGGGCCTCATCTCGCCTCTAGGGGGAAGTCTCATGGTTTTTCTCGAGTTGCGGCGGGGACCTGGGGTATGTTCTCGACTTACGGCGGGGATGGCCCTTCAAAACACGAGTTTCTTCCGTGACGTCAGGACTCCTGTCTAGTAACGAGGGACACCTCAGCAATCTCTTCGAGGCTTGGCAGGGCAAAAGGGACGCTTCTCGAGGTGAGCCAGGGCACCCAAGGACCCTTTCCAGTAGCCACAGGGATTTTGGGATTCCTATCAGTATTCAAGAGGAGTCAGGCATCGTCACCTTTTGAAGCAATGAACTCCGCGTGCCTCTCGAGGTGTCAGCGGGATGTGAGGATTCCGTCAAAATGAGGCAGGGACCTAGGGCTTTCTCTAAGGTCTCCACAGGGGATTCAGACATCCCTTCATGTTGTGAGATGAAAGACGAGCCTGTATTCAAGCCACTGCAAGGAAATCCGGCCTCCTTTCAAGTTAGGGCTTCTCGCTGTATATTCCCCTTGAGGCAGCAAACTCGGAGTCCCTCCCACATACCTATTGCTGAGAGAAGCCTCCTCCTGAGGTGCTTCTGGAAAGGTGGCATACGTCTTGAGCCTAAGCCAGGGAATCAGCTCTCATCTCGAGACGATTTGGGGTACACAGAGCATTCCTCGAGTTGCTGTGCTGAAGTTGGTGGTCCTCTAGACTTGGGACAGTGTTCTCGGGGCATCTCTGGAGTTGCCTGAAGGAAGTCGAGCCACCGGTCGTGTTGAATGGGGAACAAGGAATGGCTCTGGAGTCAATGCAGGGGAATCCGCCTCATCTCGAGTTGATTTGGGGCACATGGAGCTGCTTTGCATTGCTGGGTGACCTCAGGGTCCGTCTAGACTGGTGACAGTGTTCTTGGGGACTGTCTCGAGATCCATTAAGCAAGTCGAAGCTCCTGACTTGTTTGAATGGGATCACGGAATAGCTCTGCATGCACTGCAGGGGAATGGGGCCTCATCTCGCCTCTAGGGGGAAGTCTCATGGTTTTTCTCGAGTTGCGGCGGAGACCTGGGGTATGTTCTCGACTTACGGCGGGGATGGCCCTTCAAAACACGAGTTTCTTCAGTGACGTCAGGACTCCTGTCTAGTAACGAGGGACACATCAGCAATCTCTTCGAGGCTTGGCAGGGCAAAAGGGACGCTTCTCGAGGTGAGCCAGGGCACCCAAGGACCCTTTCCAGTAGCCACAGGGATTTTGGGATTCCTATCAGTATTCAAGAGGAGTCAGGCATCGTCACCTTTTGAAGCAATGTACTCCGCGTGCCTCTCGAGTTGTCAGCGGGATGTGAGCCATTCCGTCAAAATGAGGCAGGGACCTAGGGCTTTCTCTAAGGTCTTCACAGGGGATTCAGACATCCCTTCATGTTGTGAGATGAAAGACGAGCCTGTATTCAAGCCACTGCAAGGAAATCTGGCCTCCTTTCAAGTTAGGGCTTCTCGCTGTATATTCCCCTTGAGGCAGCAAACTCGGGGTCCCTCCCACATACCTATTGCTGAGAGAAGCCTCCTCCTGAGGTGCTTCTGGAAAGGTGGCATACGTCTTGAGCCTAAGCCAGGGAATCAGCTCTCATCTCGAGACGATTTGGGGTACACAGAGCATTCCTCGAGTTGCTGTGCTGAAGTTGGTGGTCCTCTAGACTTGGGACAGTGTTCTCGGGGCATCTCTGGAGTTGCCTGAAGGAAGTCGAGCCACCGGTCGTGTTGAATGGGGAACAAGGAATGGCTCTGGAGTCAATGCAGGGGAATCCGGCCTCATCTCGAGTTGATTTGGGGCACATGGAGCTGCTTTGCATTGCTGGGTGACCTCAGGGTCCGACTAGACTGGTGACAGTGTTCTTGGGGACTCTCTCGATATCCATTAAGCAAGTCGAAGCTCCTGACTTGTTTGAATGGGATCACGGAATAGCTCTGCATGCACTGCAGGGGAATGGGGCCTCATCTCGCCTCTAGGGGGAAGTCTCATGGTTTTTCTCGAGTTGCGGCGGGGACCTGGGGTATGTTCTCGACTTACGGCGGGGATGGCCCTTCAAAACACGAGTTTCTTCCGTGACGTCAGGACTCCTGTCTAGTAACGAGGGACACCTCAGCAATCTCTTCGAGGCTTGGCAGGGCAAAAGGGACGCTTCTCGAGGTGAGCCAGGCACCCAAGGACCCTTTCCAGTAGCAACAGGGATTTTGGGATTCCTATCAGTATTCAAGAGGAGTCAGGCATCGTCACCTTTTGAAGCAATGAACTCCGCGTGCCTCTCGAGGTGTCAACGGGATGTGAGGATTCCGTCAAAATGAGGCAGGGACCTAGGGCTTTCTCTAAGGTCTCCACAGGGGATTCAGACATCCCTTCATGTTGTGAGATGAAAGACGAGCCTGTATTCAAGCCACTGCAAGGAAATCCGGCCTCCTTTCAAGTTAGGGCTTCTCGCTGTATATTGCCCTTGAGGCAGCAAACTCGGAGTCCCTCCCACATACCTATTGTTGAGAGAAGCCTCCTCCTGAGGTGCTTCTGGAAAGTTGGCATACGTCTTGAGCCTAAGCCAGGGATTCAGCTCTCATCTCGAGACGATTTGGGGTACACAGAGCATTCCTCGAGTTGCTGTGCTGAAGTTGGTGTTCCTCTAGACTTGGGACAGTGTTCTCTGGGCATCTCCAGAGTTGCATGAAGGAAGTCGAGCCACCGGTCGTGTTGAATGGGGAACGGGGAATGGCTCTGGAGTCAATGCAGGGGAATCGGGCCTCATCTCGAGTTGATTTGTGGCACCTGGAGCTGCTTTGCGTTGCTGGGGTGACCTCAGGGTCCGTCTAGACTGGTGACAGTGTTCTTGGGGACTGTCTCGAGATCCATTAAGCAAGTCGAAGCTCCTGACTTGTTTGAATGGGATCACGGAATAGCTCTGCATGCACTGCAGGGGAATGGGGCCTCATCTCGCCTCTAGGGGGAAGTCTCATGGTTTTTCTCGAGTTGCGGCGGGGACCTGGGGTATGTTCTCGACTTACGGCGGGGATGGCCCTTCAAAACACGAGTTTCTTCCGTGACGTCAGGACTCCTGCCTAGTAACGAGGGACACCTCAGCAATCTCTTCGAGGCTTGGCAGGGCAAAAGGGACGCTTCTCGAGGTGAGCCAGGGCACCCAAGGACCCTTTCCAGTAGCCACAGGGATTTTGGGATTCCTATAAGTATTCAAGAGGAGTCAGGCATCGTCACCTTTTGAAGCAATGAACACCGCGTGCCTCTCGAGGTGTCAGCGGGATGTGAGGATTCCGTCAAAATGAGGCAGGGACCTAGGGCTTTCTCTAAGGTCTTCACAGGGGATTCAGACATCCCTTCATGTTGTGAGATGAAAGACGAGCCTGTATTCAAGCCACTGCAAGGAAATCTGGCCTCCTTTCAAGTTAGGGCTTCTCGCTGTATATTCCCCTTGAGGCAGCAAACTCGGGGTCCCTCCCACATACCTATTGCTGAGAGAAGCCTCCTCCTGAGGTGCTTCTGGAAAGGTGGCATACGTCTTGAGCCTAAGCCAGGGAATCAGCTCTCATCTCGAGACGATTTGGGGTACACAGAGCATTCCTCTAGTTGCTGTGCTGAAGTTGGTGGTCCTCTAGACTTGGGACAGTGTTCTCGGGTCATCTCTGGAGTTGCCTGAAGGAAGTCGAGCCACCGGTCGTGTTGAATGGGGAACAAGGAATGGCTCTGGAGTCAATGCAGGGGAATCCGGCCTCATCTCGAGTTGATTTGGGGCACATGGAGCTGCTTTGCGTTGCTGGGGTGACCTCAGGGTCCGTCTAGACTGGTGACAGTGTTCTTGGGGACTGTCTCGAGATCCATTAAGCAAGTCGAAGCTCCTGACTTGTTTGAATGGGATCACGGAATAGCTCTGCATGCACTGCAGGGGAATGGGGCCTCATCTCGCCTCTAGGGGGAAGTCTCATGGTTTTTCTCGAGTTGCGGCGGGGACCTGGGGTATGTTCTCGACTTACGGCGGGGATGGCCCTTCAAAACACGAGTTTCTTCCGTGACGTCAGGACTCCTGTCTAGTAACGAGGGACACCTCAGCAATCTCTTCGAGGCTTGGCAGGGCAAAAGGGACGCTTCTCGAGGTGAGCCAGGGCACCCAAGGACCCTTTCCAGTAGCCACAGGGATTTTGGGATTCCTATCAGTATTCAAGAGGAGTCAGGCATCGTCACCTTTTGAAGCAATGAACTCCGCGTGCCTCTCGAGGTGTCAGCGGGATGTGAGGATTCCGTCAAAATGAGGCAGGGACCTAGGGCTTTCTCTAAGGTCTCCACAGGGGATTCAGACATCCCTTCATGTTGTGAGATGAAAGACGAGCCTGTATTCAAGCCACTGCAAGGAAATCCGGCCTCCTTTCAAGTTAGGGCTTCTCGCTGTATATTCCCCTTGAGGCAGCAAACTCGGAGTCCCTCCCACATACCTATTGCTGAGAGAAGCCTCCTCCTGAGGTGCTTCTGGAAAGGTGGCATACGTCTTGAGCCTAAGCCAGGGAATCAGCTCTCATCTCGAGACGATTTGGGGTACACAGAGCATTCCTCGAGTTGCTGTGCTGAAGTTGGTGGTCCTCTAGACTTGGGACAGTGTTCTCGGGGCATCTCTGGAGTTGCCTGAAGGAAGTCGAGCCACCGGTCGTGTTGAATGGGGAACAAGGAATGGCTCTGGAGTCAATGCAGGGGAATCCGGCCTCATCTCGAGTTGATTTGGGGCACATGGAGCTGCTTTGCATTGCTGGGTGACCTCAGGGTCCGACTAGACTGGTGACAGTGTTCTTGGGGACTGTCTCGATATCCATTAAGCAAGTCGAAGCTCCTGACTTGTTTGAATGGGATCACGGAATAGCTCTGCATGCACTGCAGGGGAATGGGGCCTCATCTCGCCTCTAGGGGGAAGTCTCATGGTTTTTCTCGAGTTGCGGCGGGGACCTGGGGTATGTTCTCGACTTACGGCGGGGATGGCCCTTCAAAACACGAGTTTCTTCCGTGACGTCAGGACTCCTGTCTAGTAACGAGGGACACCTCAGCAATCTCTTCGAGGCTTGGCAGGGCAAAAGGGACGCTTCTCGAGGTGAGCCAGGGCACCCAAGGACCCTTTCCAGTAGCAACAGGGATTTTGGGATTCCTATCAGTATTCAAGAGGAGTCAGGCATCGTCACCTTTTGAAGCAATGAACTCCGCGTGCCTCTCGAGGTGTCAGCGGGATGTGAGGATTCCGTCAAAATGAGGCAGGGACCTAGGGCTTTCTCTAAGGTCTCCACAGGGGATTCAGACATCCCTTCATGTTGTGAGATGAAAGACGAGCCTGTATTCAAGCCACTGCAAGGAAATCCGGCCTCCTTTCAAGTTAGGGCTTCTCGCTGTATATTCCCCTTGAGGCAGCAAACTCGGAGTCCCTCCCACATACCTATTGTTGAGAGAAGCCTCCTCCTGAGGTGCTTCTGGAAAGGTGGCATACGTCTTGAGCCTAAGCCAGGGATTCAGCTCTCATCTCGAGACGATTTGGGGTACACAGAGCATTCCTCGAGTTGCTGTGCTGAAGTTGGTGTTCCTCTAGACTTGGGACAGTGTTCTCTGGGCATCTCCAGAGTTGCATGAAGGAAGTCGAGCCACCGGTCGTGTTGAATGGGGAACGGGGAATGGCTCTGGAGTCAATGCAGGGGAATCGGGCCTCATCTCGAGTTGATTTGTGGCACCTGGAGCTGCTTTGCGTTGCTGGGGTGACTTCAGGGTCCATCTAGACTGGTGACAGTGTTCTTGGGGACTGCCTCGAGATCCATTAAGCAAGTCGAAGCTCCTGACTTGTTTGAATGGGATCACGGAATAGCTCTGCATGCACTGCAGGGGAATGGGGCCTCATCTCGCCTCTAGGGGGAAGTCTCATGGTTTTTCTCGAGTTGCGGCGGGGACCTGGGGTATGTTCTCGACTTACGGCGGGGATGGCCCTTCAAAACACGAGTTTCTTCAGTGACGTCAGGACTCCTGCCTAGTAACGAGGGACACCTCAGCAATCTCTTCGAGGCTTGGCAGGGCAAAAGGGACGCTTCTCGAGGTGAGCCAGGGCACCCAAGGACCCTTTCCAGTAGCCACAGGGATTTTGGGATTCCTATAAGTATTCAAGAGGAGTCAGGCATCGTCACCTTTTGAAGCAATGAACACCGCGTGCCTCTCGAGGTGTCAGCGGGATGTGAGGATTCCGTCAAAATGAGGCAGGGACCTAGGGCTTTCTCTAAGGTATCCACAGGGGATTCAGACATCCCTTCATGTTGTGAGATGAAAGACGAGCCTGTATTCAAGCCACTGCAAGGAAATCCGGCCTCCTTTCAAGTTAGGGCTTCTCGCTGTATATTCCCCTTGAGGCAGCAAACTCGGGGTCCCTCCCACATTCCTATTGCTGAGAGAAGCCTCCTCCTGAGGTGCTTCTGGAAAGGTGGCATACGTCTTGAGCCTAAGCCAGGGAATCAGCTCTCATCTCGAGACGATTTGGGGTACACTGAGCATTCCTCGAGTTGCTGTGCTGAAGTTGGTGGTCCTCTAGACTTGGGACAGTGTTCTCGGGGCATCTCTGGAGTTGCCTGAAGGAAGTCGAGCCACCGGTCGTGTTGAATGGGGAACAAGGAATGGCTCTGGAGTCAATGCAGGGGAATCCGGCCTCATCTCGAGTTGATTTGGGGCACATGGAGCTGCTTTGCATTGCTGGGTGACCTCAGGGTCCGACTAGACTGGTGACAGTGTTCTTGGGGACTGTCTCGATATCCATTAAGCAAGTCGAAGCTCCTGACTTGTTTGAATGGGATCACGGAATAGCTCTGCATGCACTGCAGGGGAATGGGGCCTCATCTCGCCTCTAGGGGGAAGTCTCATGGTTTTTCTCGAGTTGCGGCGGGGACCTGGGGTATGTTCTCGACTTACGGCGGGGATGGCCCTTCAAAACACGAGTTTCTTCCGTGACGTCAGGACTCCTGTCTAGTAACGAGGGACACCTCAGCAATCTCTTCGAGGCTTGGCAGGGCAAAAGGGACGCTTCTCGAGGTGAGCCAGGGCACCCAAGGACCCTTTCCAGTAGCCACAGGGATTTTGGGATTCCTATCAGTATTCAAGAGGAGTCAGGCATCGTCACCTTTTGAAGCAATGAACTCCGCGTGCCTCTCGAGGTGTCAGCGGGATGTGAGGATTCCGTCAAAATGAGGCAGGGACCTAGGGCTTTCTCTAAGGTCTCCACAGGGGATTCAGACATCCCTTCATGTTGTGAGATGAAAGACGAGCCTGTATTCAAGCCACTGCAAGGAAATCCGGCCTCCTTTCAAGTTAGGGCTTCTCACTGTATATTCCCCTTGAGGCAGCAAACTCGGAGTCCCTCCCACATACCTATTGTTGAGAGAAGCCTCCTCCTGAGGTGCTTCTGGAAAGGTGGCATACGTCTTGAGCCTAAGCCAGGGATTCAGCTCTCATCTCGAGACGATTTGGGGTACACAGAGCATTCCTCGAGTTGCTGTGCTGAAGTTGGTGTTCCTCTAGACTTGGGACAGTGTTCTCTGGGCATCTCCAGAGTTGCATGAAGGAAGTCGAGCCACCGGTCGTGTTGAATGGGGAACGGGGAATGGCTCTGGAGTCAATGCAGGGGAATCGGGCCTCATCTCGAGTTGATTTGTGGCACCTGGAGCTGCTTTGCGTTGCTGGGGTGACTTCAGGGTCCATCTAGACTGGTGACAGTGTTCTTGGGGACTGCCTCGAGATCCATTAAGCAAGTCGAAGCTCCTGACTTGTTTGAATGGGATCACGGAATAGCTCTGCATGCACTGCAGGGGAATGGAGCCTCATCTCGCCTCTAGGGGGAAGTCTCATGGTTTTTCTCGAGTTGCGGCGGGGACCTGGGGTATGTTCTCGACTTACGGCGGGGATGGCCCTTCAAAACACGAGTTTCTTCAGTGACGTCAGGACTCCTGCCTAGTAACGAGGGACACCTCAGCAATCTCTTCGAGGCTTGGCAGGGCAAAAGGGACGCTTCTCGAGGTGAGCCAGGGCACCCAAGGACCCTTTCCAGTAGCCACAGGGATTTTGGGATTCCTATAAGTATTCAAGAGGAGTCAGGCATCGTCACCTTTTGAAGCAATGAACACCGCGTGCCTCTCGAGGTGTCAGCGGGATGTGAGGATTCCGTCAAAATGAGGCAGGGACCTAGGGCTTTCTCTAAGGTATCCACAGGGGATTCAGACATCCCTTCATGTTGTGAGATGAAAGACGAGCCTGTATTCAAGCCACTGCAAGGAAATCCGGCCTCCTTTAAAGTTAGGGCTTCTCGCTGTATATTCCCCTTGAGGTAGCAAACTCGGGGTCCCTCCCACATTCCTATTGCTGAGAGAAGCCTCCTCCTGAGGTGCTTCTGGAAAGGTGGCATACGTCTTGAGCCTAAGCCAGGGAATCAGCTCTCATCTCGAGACGATTTGGGGTACACTGAGCATTCCTCGAGTTGCTGTGCTGAAGTTGGTGGTCCTCTAGACTTGGGACAGTGTTCTCGGGGCATCTCTGGAGTTGCCTGAAGGAAGTCGAGCCACCGGTCGTGTTGAATGGGGAACAAGGAATGGCTCTGGAGTCAATGCAGGGGAATCCGGCCTCATCTCGAGTTGATTTGGGGCACATGGAGCTGCTTTGCATTGCTGGGTGACCTCAGGGTCCGTCTAGAGTGGTGACAGTGTTCTTGGGGACTGTCTCGAGATCCATTAAGCAAGTCGAAGCTCCTGACTTTTTTGAATGGGATCACGGAATAGCTCTGCATGCACTGCAGGGGAATGGGGCCTCATCTCGCCTCTAGGGGGAAGTCTCATGGTTTTTCTCGAGTTCCGGCGGAGACCTGGGGTATGTTCTCGACTTACGGCGGGGATGGCCCTTCAAAACACGAGTTTCTTCAGTGACGTCAGGACTCCTGTCTAGTAACGAGGGACACATCAGCAATCTCTTCGAGGCTTGGCAGGGCAAAAGGGACGCTTCTCGAGGTGAGCCAGGGCACCCAAGGACCCTTTCCAGTAGCCACAGGGATTTTGGGATTCCTATCAGTATTCAAGAGGAGTCAGGCATCGTCACCTTTGGAAGCAATGTACTCCGCGTGCCTCTCGAGGTGTCAGCGGGATGTGAGGCATTCCGTCAAAATGAGGCAGGGACCTAGGGCTTTCTCTAAGGTCTTCACAGGGGATTCAGACATCCCTTCATGTTGTGAGATGAAAGACGAGCCTGTATTCAAGCCACTGCAAGGAAATCCGGCCTCCTTTCAAGTTAGGGCTTCTCGCTGTATATTCCCCTTGAGGCAGCAAACTCGGGGTCCCTCCCACATACCTATTGCTGAGAGAAGCCTCCTCCTGAGGTGCTTCTGGAAAGGTGGCATATGTCTTGAGCCTAAGCCAGGGAATCAGCTCTCATCTCGAGACGTTTTGGGGTACACAGAGCATTCCTCGAGTTGCTGTGCTGAAGTTGGTGGTCCTCTAGACTTGGGACAGTGTTCTCGGGGCATCTCTGGAGTTGCCTGAAGGAAGTCGAGCCACCGGTCGTGTTGAATGGGGAACAAGGAATGGCTCTGGAGTCAATGCAGGGGAATCCGGCCTCATCTCGAGTTGATTTGGGGCACATGGAGCTGCTTTGCATTGCTGGGTGACCTCAGGTTCCGACTAGACTGGTGACAGTGTTCTTGGGGACTGTCTCGATATCCATTAAGCAAGTCGAAGCTCCTGACTTGTTTGAATGGGATCACGGAATAGCTCTGCATGCACTGCAGGGGAATGGGGCCTCATCTCGCCTCTAGGGTGAAGTCTCATGGTTTTTCTCGAGTTGCGGCGGGGACCTGGGGTATGTTCTCGACTTACGGCGGGGATGGCCCTTCAAAACACGAGTTTCTTCCGTGACGTCAGGACTCCTGTCTAGTAACGAGGGACACCTCAGCAATCTCTTCGAGGCTTGGCAGGGCAAAAGGGACGCTTCTCGAGGTGAGCCAGGGCACCCAAGGACCCTTTCCAGTAGCCACAGGGATTTTGGGATTCCTATCAGTATTCAAGAGGAGTCAGGCATCGTCACCTTTTGAAGCAATGAACTCCGCGTGCCTCTCGAGGTGTCAGCGGGATGTGAGGATTCCGTCAAAATGAGGCAGGGACCTAGGGCTTTCTCTAAGGTCTCCACAGGGGATTCAGACATCCCTTCATGTTGTGAGATGAAAGACGAGCCTGTATTCAAGCCCCTGCAAGGAAATCCGGCCTCCTTTCAAGTTAGGGCTTCTCGCTGTATATTCCCCTTGAGGCAGCAAACTCGGAGTCCCTCCCACATACCTATTGTTGAGAGAAGCCTCCTCCTGAGGTGCTTCTGGAAAGGTGGCATACGTCTTGAGCCTAAGCCAGGTATTCAGCTCTCATCTCGAGACGATTTGGGGTACACAGAGCATTCCTCGAGTTGCTGTGCTGAAGTTGGTGTTCCTCTAGACTTGGGACAGTGTTCTCGGGTCATCTCCAGAGTTGCATGAAGGAAGTCTAGCCACCGGTCGTGTTGAATGGGGAACAGGGAATGGCTCTGGAGTCAATGCAGGGGAATCGGGCCTCATCTCGAGTTGATTTGGGGCACATGGAGCTGCTTTGCATTGCTGGGGTGACCTCAGGGTCCATCTAGACTGGTGACAGTGTTCTTGGGGACTGCCTCGAGATCCATTAAGCAAGTCGAAGCTCCTGACTTGTTTGAATGGGATCACGGAATAGCTCTGCATGCACTGCAGGGGAATGGGGCCTCATCTCGCCTCTAGGGGGAAGTCTCATGGTTTTTCTCGAGTTGCGGCGGGGACCTGGGGTATGTTCTCGACTTACGGCGGGGATGGCCCTTCAAAACACGAGTTTCTTCAGTGACGTCAGGACTCCTGTCTAGTAACGAGGGACACCTCAGCAATCTCTTCGAGGCTTGGCAGGGCAAAAGGGACGCTTCTCGAGGTGAGCCAGGGCACCCAAGGACCCTTTCCAGTAGCCACAGGGATTTTGGGATTCCTATAAGTATTCAAGAGGAGTCATGCATCGTCACTTTTGAAGCAATGAACTCCGCGTGCCTCTCGAGGTGTCAGCGGGATGTGAGGATTCCGTCAAAATGAGGCAGGGACCTAAGGCTTTCTCTAAGGTATCCACAGGGGATTCAGACATCCCTTCATGTTGTGAGATGAAAGACGAGCCTGTATTCAAGCCACTGCATGGAAATCCGGCCTCCTTTCAAGTTAGGGCTTCTCGCTGTATATTCCCCTTGAGGCAGCAAACTCGGGGTCACTCCCACATACCTATTGCTGAGAGAAGCCTCCTCCTGAGGTGCTTCTGGAAAGGTGGCATACGTCTTGAGCCTAAGCCAGGGAATCAGCTCTCATCTCGAGACGATTTGGGGTACACTGAGCATTCCTCGAGTTGCTGTGCTGAAGTTGGTTGTCCTCTAGACTTGGGACAGTGTTCTCGCGGCATCTCTGGAGTTGCCTGAAGGAAGTCGAGCCACCGGTCGTGTTGAATGGGGAACAAGGAATGGCTCTGGAGTCAATGCAGGGGAATCCGGCCTCATCTCGAGTTGATTTGGGGCACATGGAGCTGCTTTGCATTGCTGGGTGACCTCAGGGTCCGTCTAGACTGGTGACAGTGTTCTTGGAGACTGTCTCGAGATCCATTAAGCAAGTCGAAGCTCCTGACTTGTTTGAATGGGATCACGGAATAGCTCTGCATGCACTGCAGGGGAATGGGGCCTCATCTCGCCTCTAGGGGGAAGTCTCATGGTTTTTCTCGAGTTGCGGCGGGGACCTGGGGTATGTTCTCGACTTACGGCGGGGATGGCCCTTCAAAATACGAGTTTCTTCAGTGACGTCAGGACTCCTGCCTAGTAACGAGGGACACATCAGCAATCTCTTCGAGGCTTGGCAGGGCAAAAGGGACGCTTCTCGAGGTGAGCCAGGGCACCCAAGGACCCTTTCCAGTAGCCACAGGGATTTTGGGATTCCTATCTGTATTCAAGAGGAGTCAGGCATCGTCACCTTTTGAAGCAATGTACTCCGCGTGCCTCTCGAGTTGTCAGCGGGATGTGAGGCATTCCGTCAAAATGAGGCAGGGACCTAGGGCTTTCTCTAAGGTCTTCACAGGGGATTCAGACATCCCTTCATGTTGTGAGATGAAAGACGAGCCTGTATTCAAGCCACTGCAAGGAAATCTGGCCTCCTTTCAAGTTAGGGCTTCTCGCTGTATATTCCCCTTGAGGCAGCAAACTCGGGGTCCCTCCCACATACCTATTGCTGAGAGAAGCCTCCTCCTGAGGTGCTTCTGGAAAGGTGGCATACGTCTTGAGCCTAAGCCAGGGAATCAGCTCTCATCTCGAGACGATTTGGGGTACACAGAGCATTCCTCGAGTTGCTGTGCTGAAGTTGGTGGTCCTCTAGACTTGGGACAGTGTTCTCGGGGCATCTCTGGAGTTGCCTGAAGGAAGTCGAGCCACCGGTCGTGTTGAATGGGGAACAAGGAATGGCTCTGGAGTCAATGCAGGGGAATCCGGCCTCATCTCGAGTTGATTTGGGGCACATGGAGCTGCTTTGCATTGCTGGGTGACCTCAGGGTCCGACTAGACTGGTGACAGTGTTCTTGGGGACTGTCTCGATATCCATTAAGCAAGTCGAAGCTCCTGACTTGTTTGAATGGGATCACGGAATAGCTCTGCATGCACTGCAGGGGAATGGGGCCTCATCTCGCCTCTAGGGGGAAGTCTCATGGTTTTTCTCGAGTTGCGGCGGGGACCTGGGGTATGTTCTCGACTTACGGCGGGGATGGCCCTTCAAAACACGAGTTTCTTCAGTGACGTCAGGACTCCTGTCTAGTAACGAGGGACACCTCAGCAATCTCTTCGAGGCTTGGCAGGGCAAAAGGGACGCTTCTCGAGGTGAGCCAGGGCACCCAAGGACCCTTTCCAGTAGCCACAGGGATTTTGGGATTCCTATCAGTATTCAAGAGGAGTCAGGCATCGTCACCTTTTGAAGCAATGAACTCCGCGTGCCTCTCGAGGTGTCAGCGGGATGTGAGGATTCCGTCAAAATGAGGCATGGACCTAGGGCTTTCTCTAAGGTCTCCACAGGGGATTCAGACATCCCTTCATGTTGTGAGATGAAAGACGAGCCTGTATTCAAGCCACTGCAAGGAAATCCGGCCTCCTTTCAAGTTAGGGCTTCTCGCTGTATATTCCCCTTGAGGCAGCAAACTCGGAGTCCCTCCCACATACCTATTGCTGAGAGAAGCCTCCTCCTGAGGTGCTTCTGGAAAGGTGGCATACGTCTTGAGCCTAAGCCAGGGAATCAGCTCTCATCTCGAGACGATTTGGGGTACACGGAGCATTCCTCGAGTTGCTGTGCTGAAGTTGGTGGTCCTCTAGACTTGGGACAGTGTTCTCGGGTCATCTCTGGAGTTGCCTGAAGGAAGTCGAGCCACCGGTCGTGTTGAATGGGGAACAAGGAATGGCTCTGGAGTCAATGCAGGGGAATCCGGCCTCATCTCGAGTTGATTTGGGGCACATGGAGCTGCTTTGCATTGCTGGTTGACCTCAGGGTCCGTCTAGACTGGTGACAGTGTTCTTGGGGACTGTCTCGAGATCCATTAAGCAAGTCGAAGCTCCTGACTTGTTTGAATGGGATCAGGGAATAGCTCTGCATGCACTGCAGGGGAATGGGGCCTCATCTCGCCTCTAGGGGGAAGTCTCATGGTTTTTCTCGAGTTGCGGCGGGGACCTGGGGTATGTTCTCGACTTACGGCGGGGATGGCCCTTCAAAACACGAGTTTCTTCAGTGACGTCAGGACTCCTGTCTAGTAACGAGGGACACCTCAGCAATCTCTTCGAGGCTTGGCAGGGGAAAAGGGACGCTTCTCGAGGTGAGCCAGGGCACCCAAGGACCCTTTCCAGTAGCCACAGGGATTTTGGGATTCCTATAAGTAATCAAGAGGAGTCATGCATCGTCACCTTTTGAAGCAATGAACTCCGCGTGCCTCTCGACGTGTCAGCGGGATGTGAGGATTCCATCAAAATGAGGCAGGGACCTAGGGCTTTCTCTAAGGTCTCCACAGGGGAATCAGACATCCCTTCATGTTGTGAGATGAAAGACGAGCCTGTATTCAAGCCACTGCATGGAAATCCGGCCTCCTTTCAAGTTAGGGCTTCTCGCTGTATATTCCCCTTGAGGCAGCAAACTCGGGGTCACTCCCACATACCTATTACTGAGAGAAGCCTCCTCCTGAGGTGCTTTTGGAAAGGTGGCATACGTCTTGAGCCTAAGCCAGGGAATCAGCTCTCATCTCGAGACGATTTGGGGTACACAGAGCATTCCTCGAGTTGCTGTGCTGAAGTTGGTGGTCCTCTAGACTTGGGACAGTGTTCTCGGGGCATCTCTGGAGTTGCCTGAAGGAAGTCGAGCCACCGGTCGTGTTGAATGGGGAACAAGGAATGGCTCTGGAGTCAATGCAGGGGAATCCGGCCTCATCTCGAGTTGATTTGGGGCACATGGAGCTGCTTTGCATTGCTGGGTGACCTCAGGGTCCGTCTAGACTGGTGACAGTGTTCTTGGGGACTGTCTCGAGATCCATTAAGCAAGTCGAAGCTCCTGACTTGTTTGAATGGGATCACGGAATAGCTCTGCATGCACTGCAGGGGAATGGGGCCTCATCTCGCCTCTAGGGGGAAGTCTCATGGTTTTTCTCGAGTTGCGGCGGGGACCTGGGGTATGTTCTCGACTTATGGCGGGGATGGCCCTTCAAAATACGAGTTTCTTCAGTGACGTCAGGACTCCTGCCTAGTAACGAGGGACACCTCAGGAATCATTTCGAGGCTTGGCAGGGCAAAAGGGACGCTTCTCGAGGTGAGCCAGGGCACCCAAGGACCCTTTCCAGTAGCCACAGGGATTTTGGGAATCCTATAAGTAATCAAGAGGAGTCATGCATCGTCACCTTTTGAAGCAATGAACTCCGCGTGCCTCTCGAGGTGTCAGCGGGATGTGAGGCATTCCGTCAAAATGAGGCAGGGAACTAGGGCTTTCTCTAAGGTCTCCACAGGGGATTCAGACATCCCTTCATGTTGTGAGATTAAAGACAAGCCTGTATTCAAGCTACTGCAAGGAAATCCGGCCTCCTTTCAATTTAGGGCTTCTCGCTGTATATTGCCCTTGAGGCAGCAAACTCGGAGTCCCTCCCACATACCTATTGCTGAGAAGCCTCCTCCTGAGGTGCTTCTGGAAAGTTGGCATACGTCTTGAGCCTAAGCCAGGGAATCAGCTCTCATCTCGAGACGATTTGGGGTACACAGATCATTCCTCGAGTTGCTGTGCTGAAGTTGGTGTTCCTCTAGACTTGGGACAGTGTTCTCGGGGCATCTCTGGAGTTGCCTGAAGGAAGTCGAGCCACCGGTCGTGTTGAATGGGGAACGGGGAATGGCTCTGGAGTCAATGCAGGGGAATCGGGCCTCATCTCGAGTTGATTTGTGGCACCTGGAGCTGCTTTGCGTTGCTGGGGTGAACTCAGGTTCCGTCTAGACTGGTGACAGTGTTCTTGGGGACTGCCTCGAGATCCATTAAGCAAGTCGAAGCTCCTGACTTGTTTGAATGGGATCACGGAATAGCTCTGCATGCACTGCAGGGGAATGGGGCCTCATCTCGCCTCTAGGGGGAAGTCTCATGGTTTTTCTCGAGTTGCGGCGGGGACCTGGGGTATGTTCTCGACTTACGGCGGGGATGGCCCTTCAAAACACGAGTTTCTTCAGTGACGTCAGGACTCCTGCCTAGTAACGAGGGACACCTCAGCAATCTCTTCGAGGCTTGGCAGGGCAAAAGGGACGCTTCTCGAGGTGAGCCAGGGCACCCAAGGACCCTTTCCAGTAGCCACAGGGATTTTGGGATTCCTATCAGTATTCAAGAGGAGTCAGGCATCGTCACCTTTTGAAGCAATGAACTCCGCGTGCCTCTCGAGGTGTCAGCGGGATGTGAGGATTCCGTCAAAATGAGGCAGGGACCTAGGGCTTTCTCTAAGGTCTCCACAGGGGATTCAGACATCCCTTCATGTTGTGAGATGAAAGACGAGCCTGTATTCAAGCCCCTGCAAGGAAATCCGGCCTCCTTTCAAGTTAGGGCTTCTCGCTGTATATTCCCCTTGAGGCAGCAAACTCGGAGTCCCTCCCACATACCTATTGCTGAGAGAAGCCTCCTCCTGAGGTGCTTCTGGAAAGGTGGCATAAGTCTTGAGCCTAAGCCAGGGAATCAGCTCTCATCTCGAGACGATTTGGGGTACACGGAGCATTCCTCGAGTTGCTGTGCTGAAGTTGGTGGTCCTCTAGACTTGGGACAGTGTTCTCGGGTCATATCTGGAGTTGCCTGAAGGAAGTCGAGCCACCGGTCGTGTTGAATGGGGAACAAGGAATGGCTCTGGAGTCAATGCAGGGGAATCCGGCCTCATCTCGAGTTGATTTGGGGCACATGGAGCTGCTTTGCATTGCTGGTTGACCTCAGGGTCCGTCTAGACTGGTGACAGTGTTCTTGGGGACTGTCTCGAGATCCATTAAGCAAGTCGAAGCTCCTGACTTGTTTGAATGGGATCAGGGAATAGCTCTGCATGCACTGCAGGGGAATGGGGCCTCATCTCGCCTCTAGGGGGAAGTCTCATGGTTTTTCTCGAGTTGCGGCGGGGACCTGGGGTATGTTCTCGACTTACGGCGGGGATGGCCCTTCAAAACACGAGTTTCTTCAGTGACGTCAGGACTCCTGTCTAGTAACGAGGGACACCTCAGCAATCTCTTCGAGGCTTGGCAGGGCAAAAGGGACGCTTCTCGAGGTGAGCCAGGGCACCCAAGGACCCTTTCCAGTAGCCACAGGGATTTTGGGATTCCTATAAGTAATCAAGAGGAGTCATGCATCGTCACCTTTTGAAGCAATGAACTCCGTGTGCCTCTCGACGTGTCAGCGGGATGTGAGGATTCCATCAAAATGAGGCAGGGACCTAGGGCTTTCTCTAAGGTCTCCACAGGGGAATCAGACATCCCTTCATGTTGTGAGATGAAAGACGAGCCTGTATTCAAGCCACTGCATGGAAATCCGGCCTCCTTTCAAGTTAGGGCTTCTCGCTGTATATTCCCCTTGAGGCAGCAAACTCGGGGTCCCTCCCACATACCTATTACTGAGAGAAGCCTCCTCCTGAGGTGCTTTTGGAAAGGTGGCATACGTCTTGAGCCTAAGCCAGGGAATCAGCTCTCATCTCGAGACGATTTGGGGTACACAGAGCATTCCTCGAGTTGCTGTGCTGAAGTTGGTGGTCCTCTAGACTTGGGACAGTGTTCTCGGGGCATCTCTGGAGTTGCCTGAAGGAAGTCGAGCCACCGGTCGTGTTGAATGGGGAACAAGGAATGGCTCTGGAGTCAATGCAGGGGAATCCGGCCTCATCTCGAGTTGATTTGGGGCACATGGAGCTGCTTTGCATTGCTGGGTGACCTCAGGGTCCGTCTAGACTGGTGACAGTGTTCTTGGGGACTGTCTCGAGATCCATTAAGCAAGTCGAAGCTCCTGACTTGTTTGAATGGGATCACGGAATAGCTCTGCATGCACTGCAGGGGAATGGGGCCTCATCTCGCCTCTAGGGGGAAGTCTCATGGTTTTTCTCGAGTTGCGGCGGGGACCTGGGGTATGTTCTCGACTTACGGCGGGGATGGCCCTTCAAAATACGAGTTTCTTCAGTGACGTCAGGACTCCTGCCTAGTAACGAGGGACACCTCAGGAATCTCTTCGAGGCTTGGCAGGGCAAAAGGGACGCTTCTCGAGGTGAGCCAGGGCACCCAAGGACCCTTTCCAGTAGCCACAGGGATTTTGGGATTCCTATAAGTAATCAAGAGGAGTCATGCATCGTCACCTTTTGAAGCAATGAACTCCGCGTGCCTCTCGAGGTGTCAGCGGGATGTGAGGCATTCCGTCAAAATGAGGCAGGGAACTAGGGCTTTCTCTAAGGTCTCCACAGGGGATTCAGACATCCCTTCATGTTGTGAGATGAAAGACAAGCCTGTATTCAAGCTACTGCAAGGAAATCCGGCCTCCTTTCAATTTAGGGCTTCTCGCTGTATATTGCCCTTGAGGCAGCAAACTCGGAGTCCCTCCCACATACCTATTGCTGTGAAGCCTCCTCCTGAGGTGCTTCTGGAAAGTTGGCATACGTCTTGAGCCTAAGCCAGGGAATCAGCTCTCATCTCGAGACGATTTGGGGTACACAGATCATTCCTCGAGTTGCTGTGCTGAAGTTGGTGTTCCTCTAGATTTGGGACAGTGTTCTCGGGGCATCTCTGGAGTTGCCTGAAGGAAGTCGAGCCACCGGTCGTGTTGAATGGGGAACGGGGAATGGCTCTGGAGTCAATGCAGGGGAATCGGGCCTCATCTCGAGTTGATTTGTGGCACCTGGAGCTGCTTTGCGTTGCTGGGGTGAACTCAGGTTCCGTCTAGACTGGTGACAGTGTTCTTGGGGACTGCCTCGAGATCCATTAAGCAAGTCGAAGCTCCTGACTTGTTTGAATGGGATCACGGAATAGCTCTGCATGCACTGCAGGGGAATGGGGACTCATCTCGCCTCTAGGGGGAAGCCTCATGGTTTTTCTCGAGTTGCGGCGGGGACCTGGGGTATGTTCTCGACTTACGGCGGGGATGGCCCTTCAAAACACGAGTTTCTTCCGTGACGTCAGGACTCCTGTCTAGTAACGAGGGACACCTCAGCAATCTCTTCGAGGCTTGGCAGGGCAAAAGGGACGCTTCTCGAGGTGAGCCAGGGCACCCAAGGACCCTTTCCAGTAGCAACAGGGATTTTGGGATTCCTATCAGTATTCAAGAGGAGTCAGGCATCGTCACCTTTTGAAGCAATGAACTCCGCGTGCCTCTCGAGGTGTCAGCGGGATGTGAGGATTCCGTCAAAATGAGGCAGGGACCTAGGGCTTTCTCTAAGGTCTCCACAGGGGATTCAGACATCCCTTCATGTTGTGAGATGAAAGACGAGCCTGTATTCAAGCCACTGCAAGGAAATCCGGCCTCCTTTCAAGTTAGGGCTTCTCGCTGTATATTCCCCTTGAGGCAGCAAACTCGGAGTCCCTCCCACATACCTATTGTTGAGAGAAGCCTCCTCCTGAGGTGCTTCTGGAAAGTTGGCATACGTCTTGAGCCTAAGCCAGGGATTCAGCTCTCATCTCGAGACGATTTGGGGTACACAGAGCATTCCTCGAGTTGCTGTGCTGAAGTTGGTGTTCCTCTAGACTTGGGACAGTGTTCTCTGGGCATCTCCAGAGTTGCATGAAGGAAGTCGAGCCACCGGTCGTGTTGAATGGGGAACGGGGAATGGCTCTGGAGTCAATGCAGGGGAATCGGGCCTCATCTCGAGTTGATTTGTGGCACCTGGAGCTGCTTTGCGTTGCTGGGGTGACCTCAGGGTCCATCTAGACTGGTGACAGTGTTCTTGGGGACTGCCTCGAGATCCATTAAGCAAGTCGAAGCTCCTGACTTGTTTGAATGGGATCACGGAATAGCTCTGCATGCACTGCAGGGGAATGGGGCCTCATCTCGCCTCTAGGGGGAAGTCTCATGGTTTTTCTCGAGTTGCGGCGGGGACCTGGGGTATGTTCTCGACTTACGGCGGGGATGGCCCTTCAAAACACGAGTTTCTTCAGTGACGTCAGGACTCCTGCCTAGTAACGAGGGACACCTCAGCAATCTCTTCGAGGCTTGGCAGGGCAAAAGGGACGCTTCTCGAGGTGAGCCAGGGCACCCAAGGACCCTTTCCAGTAGCCACAGGGATTTTGGGATTCCTATCAGTATTCAAGAGGAGTCAGGCATCGTCACCTTTTGAAGCAATGAACTCCGCGTGCCTCTCGAGGTGTCAGCGGGATGTGAGGATTCCGTCAAAATGAGGCAGGGACCTAGGGCTTTCTCTAAGGTCTCCACAGGGGATTCAGACATCCCTTCATGTTGTGAGATGAAAGACGAGCCTGTATTCAAGCCCCTGCAAGGAAATCCGGCCTCCTTTCAAGTTAGGGCTTCTCGCTGTATATTCCCCTTGAGGCAGCAAACTCGGAGTCCCTCCCACATACCTATTGCTGAGAGAAGCCTCCTCCTGAGGTGCTTCTGGAAAGGTGGCATAAGTCTTGAGCCTAAGCCAGGGAATCAGCTCTCATCTCGAGACGATTTGGGGTACACGGAGCATTCCTCGAGTTGCTGTGCTGAAGTTGGTGGTCCTCTAGACTTGGGACAGTGTTCTCGGGTCATCTCTGGAGTTGCCTGAAGGAAGTCGAGCCACCGGTCGTGTTGAATGGGGAACAAGGAATGGCTCTGGAGTCAATGCAGGGGAATCCGGCCTCATCTCGAGTTGATTTGGGGCACATGGAGCTGCTTTGCATTGCTGGTTGACCTCAGGGTCCGTCTAGACTGGTGACAGTGTTCTTGGGGACTGTCTCGAGATCCATTAAGCAAGTCGAAGCTCCTGACTTGTTTGAATGGGATCAGGGAATAGCTCTGCATGCACTGCAGGGGAATGGGGCCTCATCTCGCCTCTAGGGGGAAGTCTCATGGTTTTTCTCGAGTTGCGGCGGGGACCTGGGGTATGTTCTCGACTTACGGCGGGGATGGCCCTTCAAAACACGAGTTTCTTCAGTGACGTCAGGACTCCTGTCTAGTAACGAGGGACACCTCAGCAATCTCTTCGAGGCTTGGCAGGGCAAAAGGGACGCTTCTCGAGGTGAGCCAGGGCACCCAAGGACCCTTTCCAGTAGCCACAGGGATTTTGGGATTCCTATAAGTAATCAAGAGGAGTCATGCATCGTCACCTTTTGAAGCAATGAACTCCGTGTGCCTCTCGACGTGTCAGCGGGATGTGAGGATTCCATCAAAATGAGGCAGGGACCTAGGGCTTTCTCTAAGGTCTCCACAGGGGAATCAGACATCCCTTCATGTTGTGAGATGAAAGACGAGCCTGTATTCAAGCCACTGCATGGAAATCCGGCCTCCTTTCAAGTTAGGGCTTCTCGCTGTATATTCCCCTTGAGGCAGCAAACTCGGGGTCCCTCCCACATACCTATTACTGAGAGAAGCCTCCTCCTGAGGTGCTTTTGGAAAGGTGGCATACGTCTTGAGCCTAAGCCAGGGAATCAGCTCTCATCTCGAGACGATTTGGGGTACACAGATCATTCCTCGAGTTGCTGTGCTGAAGTTGGTGTTCCTCTAGACTTGGGACAGTGTTCTCGGGGCATCTCTGGAGTTGCCTGAAGGAAGTCGAGCCACCGGTCGTGTTGAATGGGGAACGGGGAATGGCTCTGGAGTCAATGCAGGGGAATCGGGCCTCATCTCGAGTTGATTTGTGGCACCTGGAGCTGCTTTGCGTTGCTGGGGTGAACTCAGGTTCCGTCTAGACTGGTGACAGTGTTCTTGGGGACTGCCTCGAGATCCATTAAGCAAGTCGAAGCTCCTGACTTGTTTGAATGGGATCACGGAATAGCTCTGCATGCACTGCAGGGGAATGGGGACTCATCTCGCCTCTAGGGGGAAGCCTCATGGTTTTTCTCGAGTTGCGGCGGGGACCTGGGGTATGTTCTCGACTTACGGCGGGGTTGGCCCTTCAAAACACGAGTTTCTTCCGTGACGTCAGGACTCCTGTCTAGTAACGAGGGACACCTCAGCAATCTCTTCGAGGCTTGGCAGGGCAAAAGGGACGCTTCTCGAGGTGAGCCAGGGCACCCAAGGACCCTTTCCAGTAGCAACAGGGATTTTGGGATTCCTATCAGTATTCAAGAGGAGTCAGGCATCGTCACCTTTTGAAGCAATGAACTCCGCGTGCCTCTCGAGGTGTCAGCGGGATGTGAGGATTCCGTCAAAATGAGGCAGGGACCTAGGGCTTTCTCTAAGGTCTCCACAGGGGATTCAGACATCCCTTCATGTTGTGAGATGAAAGACGAGCCTGTATTCAAGCCACTGCAAGGAAATCCGGCCTCCTTTCAAGTTAGGGCTTCTCGCTGTATATTCCCCTTGAGGCAGCAAACTCGGAGTCCCTCCCACATACCTATTGTTGAGAGAAGCCTCCTCCTGAGGTGCTTCTGGAAAGTTGGCATACGTCTTGAGCCTAAGCCAGGGATTCAGCTCTCATCTCGAGACGATTTGGGGTACACAGAGCATTCCTCGAGTTGCTGTGCTGAAGTTGGTGTTCCTCTAGACTTGGGACAGTGTTCTCTGGGCATCTCCAGAGTTGCATGAAGGAAGTCGAGCCACCGGTCGTGTTGAATGGGGAACGGGGAATGGCTCTGGAGTCAATGCAGGGGAATCGGGCCTCATCTCGAGTTGATTTGTGGCACCTGGAGCTGCTTTGCGTTTCTGGGGTGACCTCAGGGTCCATCTAGACTGGTGACAGTGTTCTTGGGGACTGCCTCGAGATCCATTAAGCAAGTCGAAGCTCCTGACTTGTTTGAATGGGATCACGGAATAGCTCTGCATGCACTGCAGGGGAATGGGGCCTCATCTCGCCTCTAGGGGGAAGTCTCATGGTTTTTCTCGAGTTGCGGCGGGGACCTGGGGTATGTTCTCGACTTACGGCGGGGATGGCCCTTCAAAACACGAGTTTCTTCAGTGACGTCAGGACTCCTGCCTAGTAACGAGGGACACCTCAGCAATCTCTTCGAGGCTTGGCAGGGCAAAAGGGACGCTTCTCGAGGTGAGCCAGGGCACCCAAGGACCCTTTCCAGTAGCAACAGGGATTTTGGGATTCCTATCAGTATTCAAGAGGAGTCAGGCATCGTCACCTTTTGAAGCAATGAACTCCGCGTGCCTCTCGAGGTGTCAGCGGGATGTGAGGATTCCGTCAAAATGAGGCAGGGACCTAGGGCTTTCTCTAAGGTCTCCACAGGGGATTCAGACATCCCTTCATGTTGTGAGATGAAAGACGAGCCTGTATTCAAGCCACTGCAAGGAAATCCGGCCTCCTTTCAAGTTAGGGCTTCTCGCTGTATATTCCCCTTGAGGCAGCAAACTCGGAGTCCCTCCCACATACCTATTGTTGAGAGAAGCCTCCTCCTGAGGTGCTTCTGGAAAGGTGGCATACGTCTTGAGCCTAAGCCAGGGATTCAGCTCTCATCTCGAGACGATTTGGGGTACACAGAGCATTCCTCGAGTTGCTGTGCTGAAGTTGGTGTTCCTCTAGACTTGGGACAGTGTTCTCTGGGCATCTCCAGAGTTGCATGAAGGAAGTCGAGCCACCGGTCGTGTTGAATGGGGAACGGGGAATGGCTCTGGAGTCAATGCAGGGGAATCGGGCCTCATCTCGAGTTGATTTGTGGCACCTGGAGCTGCTTTGCGTTGCTGGGGTGACTTCAGGGTCCATCTAGACTGGTGACAGTGTTCTTGGGGACTGCCTCGAGATCCATTAAGCAAGTCGAAGCTCCTGACTTGTTTGAATGGGATCACGGAATAGCTCTGCATGCACTGCAGGGGAATGGGGCCTCATCTCGCCTCTAGGGGGAAGTCTCATGGTTTTTCTCGAGTTGCGGCGGGGACCTGGGGTATGTTCTCGACTTACGGCGGGGATGGCCCTTCAAAACACGAGTTTCTTCAGTGACGTCAGGACTCCTGCCTAGTAACGAGGGACACCTCAGCAATCTCTTCGAGGCTTGGCAGGGCAAAAGGGACGCTTCTCGAGGTGAGCCAGGGCACCCAAGGACCCTTTCCAGTAGCCACAGGGATTTTGGGATTCCTATAAGTATTCAAGAGGAGTCAGGCATCGTCACCTTTTGAAGCAATGAACACCGCGTGCCTCTCGAGGTGTCAGCGGGATGTGAGGATTCCGTCAAAATGAGGCAGGGACCTAGGGCTTTCTCTAAGGTATCCACAGGGGATTCAGACATCCCTTCATGTTGTGAGATGAAAGACGAGCCTGTATTCAAGCCACTGCAAGGAAATCCGGCCTCCTTTCAAGTTAGGGCTTCTCGCTGTATATTCCCCTTGAGGCAGCAAACTCGGGGTCCCTCCCACATTCCTATTGCTGAGAGAAGCCTCCTCCTGAGGTGCTTCTGGAAAGGTGGCATACGTCTTGAGCCTAAGCCAGGGAATCAGCTCTCATCTCGAGACGATTTGGGGTACACTGAGCATTCCTCGAGTTGCTGTGCTGAAGTTGGTGGTCCTCTAGACTTGGGACAGTGTTCTCGGGGCATCTCTGGAGTTGCCTGAAGGAAGTCGAGCCACCGGTCGTGTTGAATGGGGAACAAGGAATGGCTCTGGAGTCAATGCAGGGGAATCCGGCCTCATCTCGAGTTGATTTGGGGCACATGGAGCTGCTTTGCATTGCTGGGTGACCTCAGGGTCCGACTAGACTGGTGACAGTGTTCTTGGGGACTGTCTCGATATCCATTAAGCAAGTCGAAGCTCCTGACTTGTTTGAATGGGATCACGGAATAGCTCTGCATGCACTGCAGGGGAATGGGGCCTCATCTCGCCTCTAGGGGGAAGTCTCATGGTTTTTCTCGAGTTGCGGCGGGGACCTGGGGTATGTTCTCGACTTACGGCGGGGATGGCCCTTCAAAACACGAGTTTCTTCCGTGACGTCAGGACTCCTGTCTAGTAACGAGGGACACCTCAGCAATCTCTTCGAGGCTTGGCAGGGCAAAAGGGACGCTTCTCGAGGTGAGCCAGGGCACCCAAGGACCCTTTCCAGTAGCCACAGGGATTTTGGGATTCCTATCAGTATTCAAGAGGAGTCAGGCATCGTCACCTTTTGAAGCAATGAACTCCGCGTGCCTCTCGAGGTGTCAGCGGGATGTGAGGATTCCGTCAAAATGAGGCAGGGACCTAGGGCTTTCTCTAAGGTCTCCACAGGGGATTCAGACATCCCTTCATGTTGTGAGATGAAAGACGAGCCTGTATTCAAGCCACTGCAAGGAAATCCGGCCTCCTTTCAAGTTAGGGCTTCTCACTGTATATTCCCCTTGAGGCAGCAAACTCGGAGTCCCTCCCACATACCTATTGTTGAGAGAAGCCTCCTCCTGAGGTGCTTCTGGAAAGGTGGCATACGTCTTGAGCCTAAGCCAGGGATTCAGCTCTCATCTCGAGACGATTTGGGGTACACAAAGCATTCCTCGAGTTGCTGTGCTGAAGTTGGTGTTCCTCTAGACTTGGGACAGTGTTCTCTGGGCATCTCCAGAGTTGCATGAAGGAAGTCGAGCCACCGGTCGTGTTGAATGGGGAACGGGGAATGGCTCTGGAGTCAATGCAGGGGAATCGGGCCTCATCTCGAGTTGATTTGTGGCACCTGGAGCTGCTTTGCGTTGCTGGGGTGACTTCAGGGTCCATCTAGACTGGTGACAGTGTTCTTGGGGACTGCCTCGAGATCCATTAAGCAAGTCGAAGCTCCTGACTTGTTTGAATGGGATCACGGAATAGCTCTGCATGCACTGCAGGGGAATGGAGCCTCATCTCGCCTCTAGGGGGAAGTCTCATGGTTTTTCTCGAGTTGCGGCGGGGACCTGGGGTATGTTCTCGACTTACGGCGGGGATGGCCCTTCAAAACACGAGTTTCTTCAGTGACGTCAGGACTCCTGCCTAGTAACGAGGGACACCTCAGCAATCTCTTCGAGGCTTGGCAGGGCAAAAGGGACGCTTCTCGAGGTGAGCCAGGGCACCCAAGGACCCTTTCCAGTAGCCACAGGGATTTTGGGATTCCTATAAGTATTCAAGAGGAGTCAGGCATCGTCACCTTTTGAAGCAATGAACACCGCGTGCCTCTCGAGGTGTCAGCGGGATGTGAGGATTCCGTCAAAATGAGGCAGGGACCTAGGGCTTTCTCTAAGGTATCCACAGGGGATTCAGACATCCCTTCATGTTGTGAGATGAAAGACGAGCCTGTATTCAAGCCACTGCAAGGAAATCCGGCCTCCTTTCAAGTTAGGGCTTCTCGCTGTATATTCCCCTTGAGGCAGCAAACTCGGGGTCCCTCCCACATTCCTATTGCTGAGAGAAGCCTCCTCCTGAGGTGCTTCTGGAAAGGTGGCATACGTCTTGAGCCTAAGCCAGGGAATCAGCTCTCATCTCGAGACGATTTGGGGTACACTGAGCATTCCTCGATTTGCTGTGCTGAAGTTGGTGGTCCTCTAGACTTGGGACAGTGTTCTCGGGGCATCTCTGGAGTTGCCTGAAGGAAGTCGAGCCACCGGTCGTGTTGAATGGGGAACAAGGAATGGCTCTGGAGTCAATGCAGGGGAATCCGGCCTCATCTCGAGTTGATTTGGGGCACATGGAGCTGCTTTGCATTGCTGGGTGACCTCAGGGTCCGTCTAGAGTGGTGACAGTGTTCTTGGGGACTGTCTCGAGATCCATTAAGCAAGTCGAAGCTCCTGACTTTTTTGAATGGGATCACGGAATAGCTCTGCATGCACTGCAGGGGAATGGGGCCTCATCTCGCCTCTAGGGGGAAGTCTCATGGTTTTTCTCGAGTTCCGGCGGAGACCTGGGGTATGTTCTCGACTTACGGCGGGGATGGCCCTTCAAAACACGAGTTTCTTCAGTGACGTCAGGACTCCTGTCTAGTAACGAGGGACACATCAGCAATCTCTTCGAGGCTTGGCAGGGCAAAAGGGACGCTTCTCGAGGTGAGCCAGGGCACCCAAGGACCCTTTCCAGTAGCCACAGGGATTTTGGGATTCCTATCAGTATTCAAGAGGAGTCAGGCATCGTCACCTTTGGAAGCAATGTACTCCGCGTGCCTCTCGAGGTGTCAGCGGGATGTGAGGCATTCCGTCAAAATGAGGCAGGGACCTAGGGCTTTCTCTAAGGTCTTCACAGGGGATTCAGACATCCCTTCATGTTGTGAGATGAAAGACGAGCCTGTATTCAAGCCACTGCAAGGAAATCCGGCCTCCTTTCAATTTAGGGCTTCTCGCTGTATATTCCCCTTGAGGCAGCAAACTCGGGGTCCCTCCCACATACCTATTGCTGAGAGAAGCCTCCTCCTGAGGTGCTTCTGGAAAGGTGGCATATGTCTTGAGCCTAAGCCAGGGAATCAGCTCTCATCTCGAGACGTTTTGGGGTACACAGAGCATTCCTCGAGTTGCTGTGCTGAAGTTGGTGGTCCTCTAGACTTGGGACAGTGTTCTCGGGGCATCTCTGGAGTTGCCTGAAGGAAGTCGAGCCACCGGTCGTGTTGAATGGGGAACAAGGAATGGCTCTGGAGTCAATGCAGGGGAATCCGGCCTCATCTCGAGTTGATTTGGGGCACATGGAGCTGCTTTGCATTGCTGGGTGACCTCAGGTTCCGACTAGACTGGTGACAGTGTTCTTGGGGACTGTCTCGATATCCATTAAGCAAGTCGAAGCTCCTGACTTGTTTGAATGGGATCACGGAATAGCTCTGCATGCACTGCAGGGGAATGGGGCCTCATCTCGCCTCTAGGGTGAAGTCTCATGGTTTTTCTCGAGTTGCGGCGGGGACCTGGGGTATGTTCTCGACTTACGGCGGGGATGGCCCTTCAAAACACGAGTTTCTTCCGTGACGTCAGGACTCCTGTCTAGTAACGAGGGACACCTCAGCAATCTCTTCGAGGCTTGGCAGGGCAAAAGGGACGCTTCTCGAGGTGAGCCAGGGCACCCAAGGACCCTTTCCAGTAGCCACAGGGATTTTGGGATTCCTATCAGTATTCAAGAGGAGTCAGGCATCGTCACCTTTTGAAGCAATGAACTCCGCGTGCCTCTCGAGGTGTCAGCGGGATGTGAGGATTCCGTCAAAATGAGGCAGGGACCTAGGGCTTTCTCTAAGGTCTCCACAGGGGATTCAGACATCCCTTCATGTTGTGAGATGAAAGACGAGCCTGTATTCAAGCCCCTGCAAGGAAATCCGGCCTCCTTTCAAGTTAGGGCTTCTCGCTGTATATTCCCCTTGAGGCAGCAAACTCGGAGTCCCTCCCACATACCTATTGTTGAGAGAAGCCTCCTCCTGAGGTGCTTCTGGAAAGGTGGCATACGTCTTGAGCCTAAGCCAGGTATTCAGCTCTCATCTCGAGACGATTTGGGGTACACAGAGCATTCCTCGAGTTGCTGTGCTGAAGTTGGTGTTCCTCTAGACTTGGGACAGTGTTCTCGGGTCATCTCCAGAGTTGCATGAAGGAAGTCTAGCCACCGGTCGTGTTGAATGGGGAACAGGGAATGGCTCTGGAGTCAATGCAGGGGAATCGGGCCTCATCTCGAGTTGATTTGGGGCACATGGAGCTGCTTTGCATTGCTGGGGTGACCTCAGGGTCCATCTAGACTGGTGACAGTGTTCTTGGGGACTGCCTCGAGATCCATTAAGCAAGTCGAAGCTCCTGACTTGTTTGAATGGGATCACGGAATAGCTCTGCATGCACTGCAGGGGAATGGGGCCTCATCTCGCCTCTAGGGGGAAGTCTCATGGTTTTTCTCGAGTTGCGGCGGGGACCTGGGGTATGTTCTCGACTTACGGCGGGGATGGCCCTTCAAAACACGAGTTTCTTCAGTGACGTCAGGACTCCTGTCTAGTAACGAGGGACACCTCAGCAATCTCTTCGAGGCTTGGCAGGGCAAAAGGGACGCTTCTCGAGGTGAGCCAGGGCACCCAAGGACCCTTTCCAGTAGCCACAGGGATTTTGGGATTCCTATAAGTATTCAAGAGGAGTCATGCATCGTCACTTTTGAAGCAATGAACTCCGCGTGCCTCTCGAGGTGTCAGCGGGATGTGAGGATTCCGTCAAAATGAGGCAGGGACCTAAGGCTTTCTCTAAGGTATCCACAGGGGATTCAGACATCCCTTCATGTTGTGAGATGAAAGACGAGCCTGTATTCAAGCCACTGCATGGAAATCCGGCCTCCTTTCAAGTTAGGGCTTCTCGCTGTATATTCCCCTTGAGGCAGCAAACTCGGGGTCCCTCCCACATACCTATTGCTGAGAGAAGCCTCCTCCTGAGGTGCTTCTGGAAAGGTGGCATACGTCTTGAGCCTAAGCCAGGGAATCAGCTCTCATCTCGAGACGATTTGGGGTACACTGAGCATTCCTCGAGTTGCTGTGCTGAAGTTGGTTGTCCTCTAGACTTGGGACAGTGTTCTCGCGGCATCTCTGGAGTTGCCTGAAGGAAGTCGAGCCACCGGTCGTGTTGAATGGGGAACAAGGAATGGCTCTGGAGTCAATGCAGGGGAATCCGGCCTCATCTCGAGTTGATTTGGGGCACATGGAGCTGCTTTGCATTGCTGGGTGACCTCAGGGTCCGTCTAGACTGGTGACAGTGTTCTTGGAGACTGTCTCGAGATCCATTAAGCAAGTCGAAGCTCCTGACTTGTTTGAATGGGATCACGGAATAGCTCTGCATGCACTGCAGGGGAATGGGGCCTCATCTCGCCTCTAGGGGGAAGTCTCATGGTTTTTCTCGAGTTGCGGCGGGGACCTGGGGTATGTTCTCGACTTACGGCGGGGATGGCCCTTCAAAATACGAGTTTCTTCAGTGACGTCAGGACTCCTGCCTAGTAACGAGGGACACATCAGCAATCTCTTCGAGGCTTGGCAGGGCAAAAGGGACGCTTCTCGAGGTGAGCCAGGGCACCCAAGGACCCTTTCCAGTAGCCACAGGGATTTTGGGATTCCTATCTGTATTCAAGAGGAGTCAGGCATCGTCACCTTTTGAAGCAATGTACTCCGCGTGCCTCTCGAGTTGTCAGCGGGATGTGAGGCATTCCGTCAAAATGAGGCAGGGACCTAGGGCTTTCTCTAAGGTCTTCACAGGGGATTCAGACATCCCTTCATGTTGTGAGATGAAAGACGAGCCTGTATTCAAGCCACTGCAAGGAAATCTGGCCTCCTTTCAAGTTAGGGCTTCTCGCTGTATATTCCCCTTGAGGCAGCAAACTCGGGGTCCCTCCCACATACCTATTGCTGAGAGAAGCCTCCTCCTGAGGTGCTTCTGGAAAGGTGGCATACGTCTTGAGCCTAAGCCAGGGAATCAGCTCTCATCTCGAGACGATTTGGGGTACACAGAGCATTCCTCGAGTTGCTGTGCTGAAGTTGGTGGTCCTCTAGACTTGGGACAGTGTTCTCGGGGCATCTCTGGAGTTGCCTGAAGGAAGTCGAGCCACCGGTCGTGTTGAATGGGGAACAAGGAATGGCTCTGGAGTCAATGCAGGGGAATCCGGCCTCATCTCGAGTTGATTTGGGGCACATGGAGCTGCTTTGCATTGCTGGGTGACCTCAGGGTCCGACTAGACTGGTGACAGTGTTCTTGGGGACTGTCTCGATATCCATTAAGCAAGTCGAAGCTCCTGACTTGTTTGAATGGGATCACGGAATAGCTCTGCATGCACTGCAGGGGAATGGGGCCTCATCTCGCCTCTAGGGGGAAGTCTCATGGTTTTTCTCGAGTTGCGGCGGGGACCTGGGGTATGTTCTCGACTTACGGCGGGGATGGCCCTTCAAAACACGAGTTTCTTCAGTGACGTCAGGACTCCTGTCTAGTAACGAGGGACACCTCAGCAATCTCTTCGAGGCTTGGCAGGGCAAAAGGGACGCTTCTCGAGGTGAGCCAGGGCACCCAAGGACCCTTTCCAGTAGCCACAGGGATTTTGGGATTCCTATCAGTATTCAAGAGGAGTCAGGCATCGTCACCTTTTGAAGCAATGAACTCCGCGTGCCTCTCGAGGTGTCAGCGGGATGTGAGGATTCCGTCAAAATGAGGCATGGACCTAGGGCTTTCTCTAAGGTCTCCACAGGGGATTCAGACATCCCTTCATGTTGTGAGATGAAAGACGAGCCTGTATTCAAGCCACTGCAAGGAAATCCGGCCTCCTTTCAAGTTAGGGCTTCTCGCTGTATATTCCCCTTGAGGCAGCAAACTCGGAGTCCCTCCCACATACCTATTGCTGAGAGAAGCCTCCTCCTGAGGTGCTTCTGGAAAGGTGGCATACGTCTTGAGCCTAAGCCAGGGAATCAGCTCTCATCTCGAGACGATTTGGGGTACACGGAGCATTCCTCGAGTTGCTGTGCTGAAGTTGGTGGTCCTCTAGACTTGGGACAGTGTTCTCGGGTCATCTCTGGAGTTGCCTGAAGGAAGTCGAGCCACCGGTCGTGTTGAATGGGGAACAAGGAATGGCTCTGGAGTCAATGCAGGGGAATCCGGCCTCATCTCGAGTTGATTTGGGGCACATGGAGCTGCTTTGCATTGCTGGTTGACCTCAGGGTCCGTCTAGACTGGTGACAGTGTTCTTGGGGACTGTCTCGAGATCCATTAAGCAAGTCGAAGCTCCTGACTTGTTTGAATGGGATCAGGGAATAGCTCTGCATGCACTGCAGGGGAATGGGGCCTCATCTCGCCTCTAGGGCTAAGTCTCATGGTTTTTCTCGAGTTGCGGCGGGGACCTGGGGTATGTTCTCGACTTACGGCGGGGATGGCCCTTCAAAACACGAGTTTCTTCAGTGACGTCAGGACTCCTGTCTAGTAACGAGGGACACCTCAGCAATCTCTTCGAGGCTTGGCAGCTCAAAAGGGACGCTTCTCGAGGTGAGCCAGGGCACCCAAGGACCCTTTCCAGTAGCCACAGGGATTTTGGGATTCCTATAAGTAATCAAGAGGAGTCATGCATCGTCACCTTTTGAAGCAATGAACTCCGCGTGCCTCTCGACGTGTCAGCGGGATGTGAGGATTCCATCAAAATGAGGCAGGGACCTAGGGCTTTCTCTAAGGTCTCCACAGGGGAATCAGACATCCCTTCATGTTGTGAGATGAAAGACGAGCCTGTATTCAAGCCACTGCATGGAAATCCGGCCTCCTTTCAAGTTAGGGCTTCTCGCTGTATATTCCCCTTGAGGCAGCAAACTCGGGGTCCCTCCCACATACCTATTACTGAGAGAAGCCTCCTCCTGAGGTGCTTTTGGAAAGGTGGCATACGTCTTGAGCCTAAGCCAGGGAATCAGCTCTCATCTCGAGACGATTTGGGGTACACAGAGCATTCCTCGAGTTGCTGTGCTGAAGTTGGTGGTCCTCTAGACTTGGGACAGTGTTCTCGGGGCATCTCTGGAGTTGCCTGAAGGAAGTCGAGCCACCGGTCGTGTTGAATGGGGAACAAGGAATGGCTCTGGAGTCAATGCAGGGGAATCCGGCCTCATCTCGAGTTGATTTGGGGCACATGGAGCTGCTTTGCATTGCTGGGTGACCTCAGGGTCCGTCTAGACTGGTGACAGTGTTCTTGGGGACTGTCTCGAGATCCATTAAGCAAGTCGAAGCTCCTGACTTGTTTGAATGGGATCACGGAATAGCTCTGCATGCACTGCAGGGGAATGGGGCCTCATCTCGCCTCTAGGGGGAAGTCTCATGGTTTTTCTCGAGTTGCGGCGGGGACCTGGGGTATGTTCTCGACTTATGGCGGGGATGGCCCTTCAAAATACGAGTTTCTTCAGTGACGTCAGGACTCCTGCCTAGTAACGAGGGACACCTCAGGAATCATTTCGAGGCTTGGCAGGGCAAAAGGGACGCTTCTCGAGGTGAGCCAGGGCACCCAAGGACCCTTTCCAGTAGCCACAGGGATTTTGGGAATCCTATAAGTAATCAAGAGGAGTCATGCATCGTCACCTTTTGAAGCAATGAACTCCGCGTGCCTCTCGAGGTGTCAGCGGGATGTGAGGCATTCCGTCAAAATGAGGCAGGGAACTAGGGCTTTCTCTAAGGTCTCCACAGGGGATTCAGACATCCCTTCATGTTGTGAGATGAAAGACAAGCCTGTATTCAAGCTACTGCAAGGAAATCCGGCCTCCTTTCAATTTAGGGCTTCTCGCTGTATATTGCCCTTGAGGCAGCAAACTCGGAGTCCCTCCCACATACCTATTGCTGAGAAGCCTCCTCCTGAGGTGCTTCTGGAAAGTTGGCATACGTCTTGAGCCTAAGCCAGGGAATCAGCTCTCATCTCGAGACGATTTGGGGTACACAGATCATTCCTCGAGTTGCTGTGCTGAAGTTGGTGTTCCTCTAGACTTGGGACAGTGTTCTCGGGGCATCTCTGGAGTTGCCTGAAGGAAGTCGAGCCACCGGTCGTGTTGAATGGGGAACGGGGAATGGCTCTGGAGTCAATGCAGGGGAATCGGGCCTCATCTCGAGTTGATTTGTGGCACCTGGAGCTGCTTTGCGTTGCTGGGGTGAACTCAGGTTCCGTCTAGACTGGTGACAGTGTTCTTGGGGACTGCCTCGAGATCCATTAAGCAAGTCGAAGCTCCTGACTTGTTTGAATGGGATCACGGAATAGCTCTGCATGCACTGCAGGGGAATGGGGACTCATCTCGCCTCTAGGGGGAAGCCTCATGGTTTTTCTCGAGTTGCGGCGGGGACCTGGGGTATGTTCTCGACTTACGGCGGGGATGGCCCTTCAAAACACGAGTTTCTTCCGTGACGTCAGGACTCCTGTCTAGTAACGAGGGACACCTCAGCAATCTCTTCGAGGCTTGGCAGGGCAAATGGGACGCTTCTCGAGGTGAGCCAGGGCACCCAAGGACCCTTTCCAGTAGCAACAGGGATTTTGGGATTCCTATCAGTATTCAAGAGGAGTCAGGCATCGTCACCTTTTGAAGCAATGAACTCCGCGTGCCTCTCGAGGTGTCAGCGGGATGTGAGGATTCCGTCAAAATGAGGCAGGGACCTAGGGCTTTCTCTAAGGTCTCCACAGGGGATTCAGACATCCCTTCATGTTGTGAGATGAAAGACGAGCCTGTATTCAAGCCACTGCAAGGAAATCCGGCCTCCTTTCAAGTTAGGGCTTCTCGCTGTATATTCCCCTTGAGGCAGCAAACTCGGAGTCCCTCCCACATACCTATTGTTGAGAGAAGCCTCCTCCTGAGGTGCTTCTGGAAAGTTGGCATACGTCTTGAGCCTAAGCCAGGGATTCAGCTCTCATCTCGAGACGATTTGGGGTACACAGAGCATTCCTCGAGTTGCTGTGCTGAAGTTGGTGTTCCTCTAGACTTGGGACAGTGTTCTCTGGGCATCTCCAGAGTTGCATGAAGGAAGTCGAGCCACCGGTCGTGTTGAATGGGGAACGGGGAATGGCTCTGGAGTCAATGCAGGGGAATCGGGCCTCATCTCGAGTTGATTTGTGGCACCTGGAGCTGCTTTGCGTTGCTGGGGTGACCTCAGGGTCCATCTAGACTGGTGACAGTGTTCTTGGGGACTGCCTCGAGATCCATTAAGCAAGTCGAAGCTCCTGACTTGTTTGAATGGGATCACGGAATAGCTCTGCATGCACTGCAGGGGAATGGGGCCTCATCTCGCCTCTAGGGGGAAGTCTCATGGTTTTTCTCGAGTTGCGGCGGGGACCTGGGGTATGTTCTCGACTTACGGCGGGGATGGCCCTTCAAAACACGAGTTTCTTCAGTGACGTCAGGACTCCTGCCTAGTAACGAGGGACACCTCAGCAATCTCTTCGAGGCTTGGCAGGGCAAAAGGGACGCTTCTCGAGGTGAGCCAGGGCACCCAAGGACCCTTTCCAGTAGCCACAGGGATTTTGGGATTCCTATCAGTATTCAAGAGGAGTCAGGCATCGTCACCTTTTGAAGCAATGAACTCCGCGTGCCTCTCGAGGTGTCAGCGGGATGTGAGGATTCCGTCAAAATGAGGCAGGGACCTAGGGCTTTCTCTAAGGTCTCCACAGGGGATTCAGACATCCCTTCATGTTGTGAGATGAAAGACGAGCCTGTATTCAAGCCCCTGCAAGGAAATCCGGCCTCCTTTCAAGTTAGGGCTTCTCGCTGTATATTCCCCTTGAGGCAGCAAACTCGGAGTCCCTCCCACATACCTATTGCTGAGAGAAGCCTCCTCCTGAGGTGCTTCTGGAAAGGTGGCATAAGTCTTGAGCCTAAGCCAGGGAATCAGCTCTCATCTCGAGACGATTTGGGGTACACGGAGCATTCCTCGAGTTGCTGTGCTGAAGTTGGTGGTCCTCTAGACTTGGGACAGTGTTCTCGGGTCATATCTGGAGTTGCCTGAAGGAAGTCGAGCCACCGGTCGTGTTGAATGGGGAACAAGGAATGGCTCTGGAGTCAATGCAGGGGAATCCGGCCTCATCTCGAGTTGATTTGGGGCACATGGAGCTGCTTTGCATTGCTGGTTGACCTCAGGGTCCGTCTAGACTGGTGACAGTGTTCTTGGGGACTGTCTCGAGATCCATTAAGCAAGTCGAAGCTCCTGACTTGTTTGAATGGGATCAGGGAATAGCTCTGCATGCACTGCAGGGGAATGGGGCCTCATCTCGCCTCTAGGGGGAAGTCTCATGGTTTTTCTCGAGTTGCGGCGGGGACCTGGGGTATGTTCTCGACTTACGGCGGGGATGGCCCTTCAAAACACGAGTTTCTTCAGTGACGTCAGGACTCCTGTCTAGTAACGAGGGACACCTCAGCAATCTCTTCGAGGCTTGGCAGGGCAAAAGGGACGCTTCTCGAGGTGAGCCAGGGCACCCAAGGACCCTTTCCAGTAGCCACAGGGATTTTGGGATTCCTATAAGTAATCAAGAGGAGTCATGCATCGTCACCTTTTGAAGCAATGAACTCCGTGTGCCTCTCGACGTGTCAGCGGGATGTGAGGATTCCATCAAAATGAGGCAGGGACCTAGGGCTTTCTCTAAGGTCTCCACAGGGGAATCAGACATCCCTTCATGTTGTGAGATGAAAGACGAGCCTGTATTCAAGCCACTGCATGGAAATCCGGCCTCCTTTCAAGTTAGGGCTTCTCGCTGTATATTCCCCTTGAGGCAGCAAACTCGGGGTCCCTCCCACATACCTATTACTGAGAGAAGCCTCCTCCTGAGGTGCTTTTGGAAAGGTGGCATACGTCTTGAGCCTAAGCCAGGGAATCAGCTCTCATCTCGAGACGATTTGGGGTACACAGAGCATTCCTCGAGTTGCTGTGCTGAAGTTGGTGGTCCTCTAGACTTGGGACAGTGTTCTCGGGGCATCTCTGGAGTTGCCTGAAGGAAGTCGAGCCACCGGTCGTGTTGAATGGGGAACAAGGAATGGCTCTGGAGTCAATGCAGGGGAATCCGGCCTCATCTCGAGTTGATTTGGGGCACATGGAGCTGCTTTGCATTGCTGGGTGACCTCAGGGTCCGTCTAGACTGGTGACAGTGTTCTTGGGGACTGTCTCGAGATCCATTAAGCAAGTCGAAGCTCCTGACTTGTTTGAATGGGATCACGGAATAGCTCTGCATGCACTGCAGGGGAATGGGGCCTCATCTCGCCTCTAGGGGGAAGTCTCATGGTTTTTCTCGAGTTGCGGCGGGGACCTGGGGTATGTTCTCGACTTACGGCGGGGATGGCCCTTCAAAATACGAGTTTCTTCAGTGACGTCAGGACTCCTGCCTAGTAACGAGGGACACCTCAGGAATCTCTTCGAGGCTTGGCAGGGCAAAAGGGACGCTTCTCGAGGTGAGCCAGGGCACCCAAGGACCCTTTCCAGTAGCCACAGGGATTTTGGGATTCCTATAAGTAATCAAGAGGAGTCATGCATCGTCACCTTTTGAAGCAATGAACTCCGCGTGCCTCTCGAGGTGTCAGCGGGATGTGAGGCATTCCGTCAAAATGAGGCAGGGAACTAGGGCTTTCTCTAAGGTCTCCACAGGGGATTCAGACATCCCTTCATGTTGTGAGATGAAAGACAAGCCTGTATTCAAGCTACTGCAAGGAAATCCGGCCTCCTTTCAATTTAGGGCTTCTCGCTGTATATTGCCCTTGAGGCAGCAAACTCGGAGTCCCTCCCACATACCTATTGCTGTGAAGCCTCCTCCTGAGGTGCTTCTGGAAAGTTGGCATACGTCTTGAGCCTAAGCCAGGGAATCAGCTCTCATCTCGAGACGATTTGGGGTACACAGATCATTCCTCGAGTTGCTGTGCTGAAGTTGGTGTTCCTCTAGACTTGGGACAGTGTTCTCGGGGCATCTCTGGAGTTGCCTGAAGGAAGTCGAGCCACCGGTCGTGTTGAATGGGGAACGGGGAATGGCTCTGGAGTCAATGCAGGGGAATCGGGCCTCATCTCGAGTTGATTTGTGGCACCTGGAGCTGCTTTGCGTTGCTGGGGTGAACTCAGGTTCCGTCTAGACTGGTGACAGTGTTCTTGGGGACTGCCTCGAGATCCATTAAGCAAGTCGAAGCTCCTGACTTGTTTGAATGGGATCACGGAATAGCTCTGCATGCACTGCAGGGGAATGGGGACTCATCTCGCCTCTAGGGGGAAGCCTCATGGTTTTTCTCGAGTTGCGGCGGGGACCTGGGGTATGTTCTCGACTTACGGCGGGGATGGCCCTTCAAAACACGAGTTTCTTCCGTGACGTCAGGACTCCTGTCTAGTAACGAGGGACACCTCAGCAATCTCTTCGAGGCTTGGCAGGGCAAAAGGGACGCTTCTCGAGGTGAGCCAGGGCACCCAAGGACCCTTTCCAGTAGCAACAGGGATTTTGGGATTCCTATCAGTATTCAAGAGGAGTCAGGCATCGTCACCTTTTGAAGCAATGAACTCCGCGTGCCTCTCGAGGTGTCAGCGGGATGTGAGGATTCCGTCAAAATGAGGCAGGGACCTAGGGCTTTCTCTAAGGTCTCCACAGGGGATTCAGACATCCCTTCATGTTGTGAGATGAAAGACGAGCCTGTATTCAAGCCACTGCAAGGAAATCCGGCCTCCTTTCAAGTTAGGGCTTCTCGCTGTATATTCCCCTTGAGGCAGCAAACTCGGAGTCCCTCCCACATACCTATTGTTGAGAGAAGCCTCCTCCTGAGGTGCTTCTGGAAAGTTGGCATACGTCTTGAGCCTAAGCCAGGGATTCAGCTCTCATCTCGAGACGATTTGGGGTACACAGAGCATTCCTCGAGTTGCTGTGCTGAAGTTGGTGTTCCTCTAGACTTGGGACAGTGTTCTCTGGGCATCTCCAGAGTTGCATGAAGGAAGTCGAGCCACCGGTCGTGTTGAATGGGGAACGGGGAATGGCTCTGGAGTCAATGCAGGGGAATCGGGCCTCATCTCGAGTTGATTTGTGGCACCTGGAGCTGCTTTGCGTTGCTGGGGTGACCTCAGGGTCCATCTAGACTGGTGACAGTGTTCTTGGGGACTGCCTCGAGATCCATTAAGCAAGTCGAAGCTCCTGACTTGTTTGAATGGGATCACGGAAAAGCTCTGCATGCACTGCAGGGGAATGGGGCCTCATCTCGCCTCTAGGGGGAAGTCTCATGGTTTTTCTCGAGTTGCGGCGGGGACCTGGGGTATGTTCTCGACTTACGGCGGGGATGGCCCTTCAAAACACGAGTTTCTTCAGTGACGTCAGGACTCCTGCCTAGTAACGAGGGACACCTCAGCAATCTCTTCGAGGCTTGGCAGGGCAAAAGGGACGCTTCTCGAGGTGAGCCAGGGCACCCAAGGACCCTTTCCAGTAGCCACAGGGATTTTGGGATTCCTATCAGTATTCAAGAGGAGTCAGGCATCGTCACCTTTTGAAGCAATGAACTCCGCGTGCCTCTCGAGGTGTCAGCGGGATGTGAGGATTCCGTCAAAATGAGGCAGGGACCTAGGGCTTTCTCTAAGGTCTCCACAGGGGATTCAGACATCCCTTCATGTTGTGAGATGAAAGACGAGCCTGTATTCAAGCCCCTGCAAGGAAATCCGGCCTCCTTTCAAGTTAGGGCTTCTCGCTGTATATTCCCCTTGAGGCAGCAAACTCGGAGTCCCTCCCACATACCTATTGCTGAGAGAAGCCTCCTCCTGAGGTGCTTCTGGAAAGGTGGCATAAGTCTTGAGCCTAAGCCAGGGAATCAGCTCTCATCTCGAGACGATTTGGGGTACACAGAGCATTCCTCGATTTGCTGTGCTGAAGTTGGTGGTCCTCTAGACTTGGGACAGTGTTCTCGGGGCATCTCTGGAGTTGCCTGAAGGAAGTCGAGCCACCGGTCGTGTTGAATGGGGAACAAGGAATGGCTCTGGAGTCAATGCAGGGGAATCCGGCCTCATCTCGAGTTGATTTGGGGCACATGGAGCTGCTTTGCATTGCTGGGTGACCTCAGGGTCCGTCTAGACTGGTGACAGTGTTCTTGGAGACTGTCTCGAGATCCATTAAGCAAGTCGAAGCTCCTGACTTGTTTGAATGGGATCACGGAATAGCTCTGCATGCACTGCAGGGGAATGGGGCCTCATCTCGCCTCTAGGGGGAAGTCTCATGGTTTTTCTCGAGTTGCGGCGGGGACCTGGGGTATGTTCTCGACTTACGGCGGGGATGGCCCTTCAAAATACGAGTTTCTTCAGTGACGTCAGGACTCCTGCCTAGTAACGAGGGACACCTCAGGAATCTCTTCGAGGCTTGGCAGGGCAAAAGGGACGCTTCTCGAGGTGAGCCAGGGCACCCAAGGACCCTTTCCAGTAGCCACAGGGATTTTGGGATTCCTATAAGTAATCAAGAGGAGTCATGCATCGTCACCTTTTGAAGCAATGAACTCCGCGTGCCTCTCGAGGTGTCAGCGGGATGTGAGGCATTCCGTCAAAATGAGGCAGGGACCTAGGGCTTTCTCTAAGGTCTCCACAGGGGATTCAGACATCCCTTCATGTTGTGAGATGAAAGACAAGCCTGTATTCAAGCTACTGCAAGGAAATCCGGCCTCCTTTCAAGTTAGGGCTTCTCGCTGTATATTCCCCTTGAGGCAGCAAACTCGGAGTCCCTCCCACATACCTATTGCTGAGAAGCCTCCTCCTGAGGTGCTTCTGGAAAGTTGGCATACGTCTTGAGCCTAAGCCAGGGAATCAGCTCTCATCTCGAGACGATTTGGGGTACACAGATCATTCCTCGAGTTGCTGTGCTGAAGTTGGTGTTCCTCTAGACTTGGGACAGTGTTCTCGGGGCATCTCTGGAGTTGCCTGAAGGAAGTCGAGCCACCGGTCGTGTTGAATGGGGAACGGGGAATGGCTCTGGAGTCAATGCAGGGGAATCGGGCCTCATCTCGAGTTGATTTGTGGCACCTGGAGCTGCTTTGCGTTGCTGGGGTGACCTCAGGTTCCGTCTAGACTGGTGACAGTGTTCTTGGGGACTGCCTCGAGATCCATTAAGCAAGTCGAAGCTCCTGACTTGTTTGAATGGGATCACGGTATAGCTCTGCATGCACTGCAGGGGAATGGGGCCTCATCTCGCCTCTAGGGGGAAGTCTCATGGTTTTTCTCGAGTTGCGGCGGGGACCTGGGGTATGTTCTCGACTTACGGCGGGGATGGCCCTTCAAAACACGAGTTTCTTCCGTGACGTCAGGACTCCTGTCTAGTAACGAGGGACACCTCAGCAATCTCTTCGAGGCTTGGCAGGGCAAAAGGGACGCTTCTCGAGGTGAGCCAGGGCACCCAAGGACCCTTTCCAGTAGCAACAGGGATTTTGGGATTCCTATCAGTATTCAAGAGGAGTCAGGCATCGTCACCTTTTGAAGCAATGAACTCCACGTGCCTCTCGAGGTGTCAGCGGGATGTGAGGATTCCGTCAAAATGAGGCAGGGACCTAGGGCTTTCTCTAAGGTCTCCACAGGGGATTCAGACATCCCTTCATGTTGTGAGATGAAAGACGAGCCTGTATTCAAGCCACTGCAAGGAAATCCGGCCTCCTTTCAAGTTAGGGCTTCTCGCTGTATATTCCCCTTGAGGCAGCAAACTCGGAGTCCCTCCCACATACCTATTGTTGAGAGAAGCCTCCTCCTGAGGTGCTTCTGGAAAGTTGGCATACGTCTTGAGCCTAAGCCAGGGATTCAGCTCTCATCTCGAGACGATTTGGGGTACACAGAGCATTCCTCGAGTTGCTGTGCTGAAGTTGGTGTTCCTCTAGACTTGGGACAGTGTTCTCTGGGCATCTCCAGAGTTGCATGAAGGAAGTCGAGCCACCGGTCGTGTTGAATGGGGAACGGGGAATGGCTCTGGAGTCAATGCAGGGGAATCGGGCCTCATCTCGAGTTGATTTGTGGCACCTGGAGCTGCTTTGCGTTGCTGGGGTGACCTCAGGGTCCATCTAGACTGGTGACAGTGTTCTTGGGGACTGCCTCGAGATCCATTAAGCAAGTCGAAGCTCCTGACTTGTTTGAATGGGATCACGGAATAGCTCTGCATGCACTGCAGGGGAATGGGGCCTCATCTCGCCTCTAGGGGGAAGTCTCATGGTTTTTCTCGAGTTGCGGCGGGGACCTGGGGTATGTTCTCGACTTACGGCGGGGATGGCCCTTCAAAACACGAGTTTCTTCAGTGACGTCAGGACTCCTGCCTAGTAACGAGGGACACCTCAGCAATCTCTTCGAGGCTTGGCAGGGCAAAAGGGACGCTTCTCGAGGTGAGCCAGGGCACCCAAGGACCCTTTCCAGTAGCCACAGGGATTTTGGGATTCCTATAAGTATTCAAGAGGAGTCAGGCATCGTCACCTTTTGAAGCAATGAACACCGCGTGCCTCTCGAGGTGTCAGCGGGATGTGAGGATTCCGTCAAAATGAGGCAGGGACCTAGGGCTTTCTCTAAGGTCTCCACAGGGGATTCAGACATCCCTTCATGTTGTGAGATGAAAGACGAGCCTGTATTCAAGCCACTGCAAGGAAATCCGGCCTCCTTTCAAGTTAGGGCTTCTCGCTGTATATTCCCCTTGAGGCAGCAAACTCGGGGTCCCTCCCACATTCCTATTGCTGAGAGAAGCCTCCTCCTGAGGTGCTTCTGGAAAGGTGGCATACGTCTTGAGCCTAAGCCAGGGAATCAGCTCTCATCTAGAGACGATTTGGGGTACACTGAGCATTCCTCGAGTTGCTGTGCTGAAGTTGGTGGTCCTCTAGACTTGGGACAGTGTTCTCGGGGCATCTCTGGAGTTGCCTGAAGGAAGTCGAGCCACCGGTCGTGTTGAATGGGGAACAAGGAATGGCTCTGGAGTCAATGCAGGGGAATCCGGCCTCATCTCGAGTTGATTTGGGGCACATGGAGCTGCTTTGCGTTGCTGGGGTGACCTCAGGGTCCGTCTAGACTGGTGACAGTGTTCTTGGGGACTGTCTCGAGATCCATTAAGCAAGTCGAAGCTCCTGACTTGTTTGAATGGGATCACGGAATAGCTCTGCATGCACTGCAGGGGAATGGGGCCTCATCTCGCCTCTAGGGGGAAGTCTCATGGTTTTTCTCGAGTTGCGGCGGAGACCTGGGGTATGTTCTCGACTTACGGCGGGGATGGCCCTTCAAAACACGAGTTTCTTCAGTGACGTCAGGACTCCTGTCTAGTAACGAGGGACACCTCAGCAATCTCTTCGAGGCTTGGCAGGGCAAAAGGGACGCTTCTCGAGGTGAGCCAGGGCACCCAAGGACCCTTTCCAGTAGCCACAGGGATTTTGGGATTCCTATCAGTATTCAAGAGGAGTCAGGCATCGTCACCTTTTGAAGCAATGAACACCGCGTGCCTCTCGAGGTGTCAGCGGGATGTGAGGCATTCCGTCAAAATGAGGCAGGGACCTAGGGCTTTCTCTAAGGTATCCACAGGGGATTCAGACATCCCTTCATGTTGTGAGATGAAAGACGAGCCTGTATTCAAGCCACTGCAAGGAAATCCGGCCTCCTTTCAAGTTAGGGCTTCTCGCTGTATATTCCCCTTGAGGCAGCAAACTCGGGGTCCCTCCCACATTCCTATTGCTGAGAGAAGCCTCCTCCTGAGGTGCTTCTGGAAAGGTGGCATACGTCTTGAGCCTAAGCCAGGGAATCAGCTCTCATCTCGAGACGATTTGTGGTACACTGAGCATTCCTCGAGTTGCTGTGCTGAAGTTGGTGGTCCTCTAGACTTGGGACAGTGTTCTCGGGGCATCTCTGGAGTTGCCTGAAGGAAGTCGAGCCACCGGTCGTGTTGAATGGGGAACAAGGAATGGCTCTGGAGTCAATGCAGGGGAATCCGGCCTCATCTCGAGTTGATTTGGGGCACATGGAGCTGCTTTGCATTGCTGGGTGACCTCAGGGTCCGTCTAGACTGGTGACAGTGTTCTTGGGGACTGTCTCGAGATCCATTAAGCAAGTCGAAGCTCCTGACTTGTTTGAATGGGATCACGGAATAGCTCTGCATGCACTGCAGGGGAATGGGGCCTCATCTCGCCTCTAGGGGGAAGTCTCATGGTTTTTCTCGAGTTGCGGCGGAGACCTGGGGTATGTTCTCGACTTACGGCGGGGATGGCCCTTCAAAACACGAGTTTCTTCAGTGACGTCAGGACTCCTGTCTAGTAACGAGGGACACATCAGCAATCTCTTCGAGGCTTGGCAGGGCAAAAGGGACGCTTCTCGAGGTGAGCCAGGGCACCCAAGGACCCTTTCCAGTAGCCACAGGAATTTTGGGATTCCTATCAGTATTCAAGAGGAGTCAGGCATCGTCACCTTTTGAAGCAATGTACTCCGCGTGCCTCTCGAGTTGTCAGCGGGATGTGAGGCATTCCGTCAAAATGAGGCAGGGACCTAGGGCTTTCTCTAAGGTCTTCACAGTGGATTCAGACATCCCTTCATGTTGTGAGATGAAAGAGGAGCCTGTATTCAAGCCACTGCAAGGAAATCCGGCCTCCTTTCAAGTTAGGGCTTCTCGTTGTATATTCCCCTTGAGGCAGCAAACTCGGGGTCCCTCCCACATACCTATTGCTGAGAGAAGCCTCCTCCTGAGGTGCTTCTGGAAAGGTGGCATACGTCTTGAGCCTAAGCCAGGGAATCAGCTCTCATCTCGAGACGTTTTGGGGTACACAGAGCATTCCTCGAGTTGCTGTGCTGAAGTTGGTGGTCCTCTAGACTTGGGACAGTGTTCTCGGGGCATCTCTTGAGTTGCCTGAAGGAAGTCGAGCCACCGGTCGTGTTGAATGGGGAACAAGGAATGGCTCTGGAGTCAATGCAGGGGAATCCGGCCTCATCTCGAGTTGATTTGGGGCACATGGAGCTGCTTTGCATTGCTGGGTGACCTCAGGGTCCGTCTAGACTGGTGACAGTGTTCTTGGAGACTGTCTCGAGATCCATTAAGCAAGTCGAAGCTCCTGACTTGTTTGAATGGGATCACGGAATAGCTCTGCATGCACTGCAGGGGAATGGGGCCTCATCTCGCCTCTAGGGGGAAGTCTCATGGTTTTTCTCGAGTTGCGGCGGGGACCTGGGGTATGTTCTCGACTTACGGCGGGGATGGCCCTTCAAAATACGAGTTTCTTCAGTGACGTCAGGACTCCTGCCTAGTAACGAGGGACACCTCAGGAATCTCTTCGAGGCTTGGCAGGGCAAAAGGGACGCTTCTCGAGGTGAGCCAGGGCACCCAAGGACCCTTTCCAGTAGCCACAGGGATTTTGGGATTCCTATAAGTAATCAAGAGGAGTCATGCATCGTCACCTTTTGAAGCAATGAACTCCGTGTGCCTCTCGACGTGTCAGCGGGATGTGAGGATTCCATCAAAATGAGGCAGGGACCTAGGGCTTTCTCTAAGGTCTCCACAGGGGAATCAGACATCCCTTCATGTTGTGAGATGAAAGACGAGCCTGTATTCAAGCCACTGCATGGAAATCCGGCCTCCTTTCAAGTTAGGGCTTCTCGCTGAATATTCCCCTTGAGGCAGCAAACTCGGGGTCCCTCCCACATACCTATTACTGAGAGAAGCCTCCTCCTGAGGTGCTTTTGGAAAGGTGGCATACGTCTTGAGCCTAAGCCAGGGAATCAGCTCTCATCTCGAGACGATTTGGGGTACACAGAGCATTCCTCGAGTTGCTGTGCTGAAGTTGGTGGTCCTCTAGACTTGGGACAGTGTTCTCGGGGCATCTCTGGAGTTGCCTGAAGGAAGTCGAGCCACCGGTCGTGTTGAATGGGGAACAAGGAATGGCTCTGGAGTCAATGCAGGGGAATCCGGCCTCATCTCGAGTTGATTTGGGGCACATGGAGCTGCTTTGCATTGCTGGGTGACCTCAGGGTCCGTCTAGACTGGTGACAGTGTTCTTGGGGACTGTCTCGAGATCCATTAAGCAAGTCGAAGCTCCTGACTTGTTTGAATGGGATCACGGAATAGCTCTGCATGCACTGCAGGGGAATGGGGCCTCATCTCGCCTCTAGGGGGAAGTCTCATGGTTTTTCTCGAGTTGCGGCGGGGACCTGGGGTATGTTCTCGACTTACGGCGGGGATGGCCCTTCAAAATACGAGTTTCTTCAGTGACGTCAGGACTCCTGCCTAGTAACGAGGGACACCTCAGGAATCTCTTCGAGGCTTGGCAGGGCAAAAGGGACGCTTCTCGAAGTGAGCCAGGGCACCCAAGGACCCTTTCCAGTAGCCACAGGGATTTTGGGATTCCTATAAGTAATCAAGAGGAGTCATGCATCGTCACCTTTTGAAGCAATGAACTCCGCGTGCCTCTCGAGGTGTCAGCGGGATGTGAGGCATTCCGTCAAAATGAGGCAGGGAACTAGGGCTTTCTCTAAGGTCTCCACAGGGGATTCAGACATCCCTTCATGTTGTGAGATGAAAGACAAGCCTGTATTCAAGCTACTGCAAGGAAATCCGGCCTCCTTTCAATTTAGGGCTTCTCGCTGTATATTGCCCTTGAGGCAGCAAACTCGGAGTCCCTCCCACATACCTATTGCTGTGAAGCCTCCTCCTGAGGTGCTTCTGGAAAGTTGGCATACGTCTTGAGCCTAAGCCAGGGAATCAGCTCTCATCTCGAGACGATTTGGGGTACACAGATCATTCCTCGAGTTGCTGTGCTGAAGTTGGTGTTCCTCTAGACTTGGGACAGTGTTCTCGGGGCATCTCTGGAGTTGCCTGAAGGAAGTCGAGCCACCGGTCGTGTTGAATGGGGAACGGGGAATGGCTCTGGAGTCAATGCAGGGGAATCGGGCCTCATCTCGAGTTGATTTGTGGCACCTGGAGCTGCTTTGCGTTGCTGGGGTGAACTCAGGTTCCGTCTAGACTGGTGACAGTGTTCTTGGGGACTGCCTCGAGATCCATTAAGCAAGTCGAAGCTCCTGACTTGTTTGAATGGGATCACGGAATAGCTCTGCATGCACTGCAGGGGAATGGGGACTCATCTCGCCTCTAGGGGGAAGCCTCATGGTTTTTCTCGAGTTGCGGCGGGGACCTGGGGTATATTCTCGACTTACGGCGGGGATGGCCCTTCAAAACACGAGTTTCTTCCGTGACGTCAGGACTCCTGTCTAGTAACGAGGGACACCTCAGCAATCTCTTCGAGGCTTGGCAGGGCAAAAGGGACGCTTCTCGAGGTGAGCCAGGGCACCCAAGGACCCTTTCCAGTAGCAACAGGGATTTTGGGATTCCTATCAGTATTCAAGAGGAGTCAGGCATCGTCACCTTTTGAAGCAATGAACTCCGCGTGCCTCTCGAGGTGTCAGCGGGATGTGAGGATTCCGTCAAAATGAGGCAGGGACCTAGGGCTTTCTCTAAGGTCTCCACAGGGGATTCAGACATCCCTTCATGTTGTGAGATGAAAGACGAGCCTGTATTCAAGCCACTGCAAGGAAATCCGGCCTCCTTTCAAGTTAGGGCTTCTCGCTGTATATTCCCCTTGAGGCAGCAAACTCGGAGTCCCTCCCACATACCTATTGTTGAGAGAAGCCTCCTCCTGAGGTGCTTCTGGAAAGTTGGCATACGTCTTGAGCCTAAGCCAGGGATTCAGCTCTCATCTCGAGACGATTTGGGGTACACAGAGCATTCCTCGAGTTGCTGTGCTGAAGTTGGTGTTCCTCTAGACTTGGGACAGTGTTCTCTGGGCATCTCCAGAGTTGCATGAAGGAAGTCGAGCCACCGGTCGTGTTGAATGGGGAACGGGGAATGGCTCTGGAGTCAATGCAGGGGAATCGGGCCTCATCTCGAGTTGATTTGTGGCACCTGGAGCTGCTTTGCGTTGCTGGGGTGACCTCAGGGTCCATCTAGACTGGTGACAGTGTTCTTGGGGACTGCCTCGAGATCCATTAAGCAAGTCGAAGCTCCTGACTTGTTTGAATGGGATCACGGAATAGCTCTGCATGCACTGCAGGGGAATGGGGCCTCATCTCGCCTCTAGGGGGAAGTCTCATGGTTTTTCTCGAGTTGCGGCGGGGACCTGGGGTATGTTCTCGACTTACGGCGGGGATGGCCCTTCAAAACACGAGTTTCTTCAGTGACGTCAGGACTCCTGCCTAGTAACGAGGGACACCTCAGCAATCTCTTCGAGGCTTGGCAGGGCAAAAGGGACGCTTCTCGAGGTGAGCCAGGGCACCCAAGGACCCTTTCCAGTAGCCACAGGGATTTTGGGATTCCTATCAGTATTCAAGAGGAGTCAGGCATCGTCACCTTTTGAAGCAATGAACTCCGCGTGCCTCTCGAGGTGTCAGCGGGATGTGAGGATTCCGTCAAAATGAGGCAGGGACCTAGGGCTTTCTCTAAGGTCTCCACAGGGGATTCAGACATCCCTTCATGTTGTGAGATGAAAGACGAGCCTGTATTCAAGCCCCTGCAAGGAAATCCGGCCTCCTTTCAAGTTAGGGCTTCTCGCTGTATATTCCCCTTGAGGCAGCAAACTCGGAGTCCCTCCCACATACCTATTGCTGAGAGAAGCCTCCTCCTGAGGTGCTTCTGGAAAGGTGGCATAAGTCTTGAGCCTAAGCCAGGGAATCAGCTCTCATCTCGAGACGATTTGGGGTACACGGAGCATTCCTCGAGTTGCTGTGCTGAAGTTGGTGGTCCTCTAGACTTGGGACAGTGTTCTCGGGTCATCTCTGGAGTTGCCTGAAGGAAGTCTAGCCACCGGTCCTGTTGAATGGGGAACAAGGAATGGCTCTGGAGTCAATGCAGGGGAATCCGGCCTCATCTCGAGTTGATTTGGGGCACATGGAGCTGCTTTGCATTGCTGGTTGACCTCAGGGTCCGTCTAGACTGGTGACAGTGTTCTTGGGGACTGTCTCGAGATCCATTAAGCAAGTCGAAGCTCCTGACTTGTTTGAATGGGATCACGGAATAGCTCTGCATGCACTGCAGGGGAATGGGGCCTCATCTCGCCTCTAGGGGGAAGTCTCATGGTTTTTCTCGAGTTGCGGCGGGGACCTGGGGTATGTTCTCGACTTACGGCGGGGATGGCCCTTCAAAACACGAGTTTCTTCAGTGACGTCAGGACTCCTGTCTAGTAACGAGGGACACCTCAGCAATCTCTTCGAGGCTTGGCAGGGCAAAAGGGACGCTTCTCGAGGTGAGCCAGGGCACCCAAGGACCCTTTCCAGTAGCCACAGGGATTTTGGGATTCCTATAAGTAATCAAGAGGAGTCATGCATCGTCACCTTTTGAAGCAATGAACTCCGCGTGCCTCTCGACGTGTCAGCGGGATGTGAGGATTCCATCAAAATGAGGCAGGGACCTAGGGCTTTCTCTAAGGTCTCCACAGGGGAATCAGACATCCCTTCATGTTGTGAGATGAAAGACGAGCCTGTATTCAAGCCACTGCATGGAAATCCGGCCTCCTTTCAAGTTAGGGCTTCTCGCTGTATATTCCCCTTGAGGCAGCAAACTCAGGGTCCCTCCCACATACCTATTACTGAGAGAAGCCTCCTCCTGAGGTGCTTTTGGAAAGGTGGCATACGTCTTGAGCCTAAGCCAGGGAATCAGCTCTCATCTCGAGACGATTTGGGGTACACAGAGCATTCCTCGATTTGCTGTGCTGAAGTTGGTGGTCCTCTAGACTTGGGACAGTGTTCTCGGGGCATCTCTGGAGTTGCCTGAAGGAAGTCGAGCCACCGGTCGTGTTGAATGGGGAACAAGGAATGGCTCTGGAGTCAATGCAGGGGAATCCGGCCTCATCTCGAGTTGATTTGGGGCACATGGAGCTGCTTTGCATTGCTGGGTGACCTCAGGGTCCGTCTAGACTGGTGACAGTGTTCTTGGAGACTGTCTCGAGATCCATTAAGCAAGTCGAAGCTCCTGACTTGTTTGAATGGGATCACGGAATAGCTCTGCATGCACTGCAGGGGAATGGGGCCTCATCTCGCCTCTAGGGGGAAGTCTCATGGTTTTTCTCGAGTTGCGGCGGGGACCTGGGGTATGTTCTCGACTTACGGCGGGGATGGCCCTTCAAAATACGAGTTTCTTCAGTGACGTCAGGACTCCTGCCTAGTAACGAGGGACACCTCAGGAATCTCTTCGAGGCTTGGCAGGGCAAAAGGGACGCTTCTCGAGGTGAGCCAGGGCACCCAAGGACCCTTTCCAGTAGCCACAGGGATTTTGGGATTCCTATAAGTAATCAAGAGGAGTCATGCATCGTCACCTTTTGAAGCAATGAACTCCGCGTGCCTCTCGAGGTGTCAGCGGGATGTGAGGCATTCCGTCAAAATGAGGCAGGGACCTAGGGCTTTCTCTAAGGTCTCCACAGGGGATTCAGACATCCCTTCATGTTGTGAGATGAAAGACAAGCCTGTATTCAAGCTACTGCAAGGAAATCCGGCCTCCTTTCAAGTTAGGGCTTCTCGCTGTATATTCCCCTTGAGGCAGCAAACTCGGAGTCCCTCCCACATACCTATTGCTGAGAAGCCTCCTCCTGAGGTGCTTCTGGAAAGTTGGCATACGTCTTGAGCCTAAGCCAGGGAATCAGCTCTCATCTCGAGACGATTTGGGGTACACAGATCATTCCTCGAGTTGCTGTGCTGAAGTTGGTGTTCCTCTAGACTTGGGACAGTGTTCTCGGGGCATCTCTGGAGTTGCCTGAAGGAAGTCGAGCCACCGGTCGTGTTGAATGGGGAACGGGGAATGGCTCTGGAGTCAATGCAGGGGAATCGGGCCTCATCTCGAGTTGATTTGTGGCACCTGGAGCTGCTTTGCGTTGCTGGGGTGACCTCAGGTTCCGTCTAGACTGGTGACAGTGTTCTTGGGGACTGCCTCGAGATCCATTAAGCAAGTCGAAGCTCCTGACTTGTTTGAATGGGATCACGGTATAGCTCTGCATGCACTGCAGGGGAATGGGGCCTCATCTCGCCTCTAGGGGGAAGTCTCATGGTTTTTCTCGAGTTGCGGCGGGGACCTGGGGTATGTTCTCGACTTACGGCGGGGATGGCCCTTCAAAACACGAGTTTCTTCCGTGACGTCAGGACTCCTGTCTAGTAACGAGGGACACCTCAGCAATCTCTTCGAGGCTTGGCAGGGCAAAAGGGACGCTTCTCGAGGTGAGCCAGGGCACCCAAGGACCCTTTCCAGTAGCAACAGGGATTTTGGGATTCCTATCAGTATTCAAGAGGAGTCAGGCATCGTCACCTTTTGAAGCAATGAACTCCACGTGCCTCTCGAGGTGTCAGCGGGATGTGAGGATTCCGTCAAAATGAGGCAGGGACCTAGGGCTTTCTCTAAGGTCTCCACAGGGGATTCAGACATCCCTTCATGTTGTGAGATGAAAGACGAGCCTGTATTCAAGCCACTGCAAGGAAATCCGGCCTCCTTTCAAGTTAGGGCTTCTCGCTGTATATTCCCCTTGAGGCAGCAAACTCGGAGTCCCTCCCACATACCTATTGTTGAGAGAAGCCTCCTCCTGAGGTGCTTCTGGAAAGTTGGCATACGTCTTGAGCCTAAGCCAGGGATTCAGCTCTCATCTCGAGACGATTTGGGGTACACAGAGCATTCCTCGAGTTGCTGTGCTGAAGTTGGTGTTCCTCTAGACTTGGGACAGTGTTCTCTGGGCATCTCCAGAGTTGCATGAAGGAAGTCGAGCCACCGGTCGTGTTGAATGGGGAACGGGGAATGGCTCTGGAGTCAATGCAGGGGAATCGGGCCTCATCTCGAGTTGATTTGTGGCACCTGGAGCTGCTTTGCGTTGCTGGGGTGACCTCAGGGTCCATCTAGACTGGTGACAGTGTTCTTGGGGACTGCCTCGAGATCCATTAAGCAAGTCGAAGCTCCTGACTTGTTTGAATGGGATCACGGAATAGCTCTGCATGCACTGCAGGGGAATGGGGCCTCATCTCGCCTCTAGGGGGAAGTCTCATGGTTTTTCTCGAGTTGCGGCGGGGACCTGGGGTATGTTCTCGACTTACGGCGGGGATGGCCCTTCAAAACACGAGTTTCTTCAGTGACGTCAGGACTCCTGCCTAGTAACGAGGGACACCTCAGCAATCTCTTCGAGGCTTGGCAGGGCAAAAGGGACGCTTCTCGAGGTGAGCCAGGGCACCCAAGGACCCTTTCCAGTAGCCACAGGGATTTTGGGATTCCTATAAGTATTCAAGAGGAGTCAGGCATCGTCACCTTTTGAAGCAATGAACACCGCGTGCCTCTCGAGGTGTCAGCGGGATGTGAGGATTCCGTCAAAATGAGGCAGGGACCTAGGGCTTTCTCTAAGGTCTCCACAGGGGATTCAGACATCCCTTCATGTTGTGAGATGAAAGACGAGCCTGTATTCAAGCCACTGCAAGGAAATCCGGCCTCCTTTCCAGTTAGGGCTTCTCGCTGTATATTCCCCTTGAGGCAGCAAACTCGGGGTCCCTCCCACATTCCTATTGCTGAGAGAAGCCTCCTCCTGAGGTGCTTCTGGAAAGGTGGCATACGTCTTGAGCCTAAGCCAGGGAATCAGCTCTCATCTAGAGACGATTTGGGGTACACTGAGCATTCCTCGAGTTGCTGTGCTGAAGTTGGTGGTCCTCTAGACTTGGGACAGTGTTCTCGGGGCATCTCTGGAGTTGCCTGAAGGAAGTCGAGCCACCGGTCGTGTTGAATGGGGAACAAGGAATGGCTCTGGAGTCAATGCAGGGGAATCCGGCCTCATCTCGAGTTGATTTGGGGCACATGGAGCTGCTTTGCGTTGCTGGGGTGACCTCAGGGTCCGTCTAGACTGGTGACAGTGTTCTTGGGGACTGTCTCGAGATCCATTAAGCAAGTCGAAGCTCCTGACTTGTTTGAATGGGATCACGGAATAGCTCTGCATGCACTGCAGGGGAATGGGGCCTCATCTCGCCTCTAGGGGGAAGTCTCATGGTTTTTCTCGAGTTGCGGCGGAGACCTGGGGTATGTTCTCGACTTACGGCGGGGATGGCCCTTCAAAACACGAGTTTCTTCAGTGACGTCAGGACTCCTGTCTAGTAACGAGGGACACCTCAGCAATCTCTTCGAGGCTTGGCAGGGCAAAAGGGACGCTTCTCGAGGTGAGCCAGGGCACCCAAGGACCCTTTCCAGTAGCCACAGGGATTTTGGGATTCCTATCAGTATTCAAGAGGAGTCAGGCATCGTCACCTTTTGAAGCAATGAACACCGCGTGCCTCTCGAGGTGTCAGCGGGATGTGAGGCATTCCGTCAAAATGAGGCAGGGACCTAGGGCTTTCTCTAAGGTATCCACAGGGGATTCAGACATCCCTTCATGTTGTGAGATGAAAGACGAGCCTGTATTCAAGCCACTGCAAGGAAATCCGGCCTCCTTTCAAGTTAGGGCTTCTCGCTGTATATTCCCCTTGAGGCAGCAAACTCGGGGTCCCTCCCACATTCCTATTGCTGAGAGAAGCCTCCTCCTGAGGTGCTTCTGGAAAGGTGGCATACGTCTTGAGCCTAAGCCAGGGAATCAGCTCTCATCTCGAGACGATTTGTGGTACACTGAGCATTCCTCGAGTTGCTGTGCTGAAGTTGGTGGTCCTCTAGACTTGGGACAGTGTTCTCGGGGCATCTCTGGAGTTGCCTGAAGGAAGTCGAGCCACCGGTCGTGTTGAATGGGGAACAAGGAATGGCTCTGGAGTCAATGCAGGGGAATCCGGCCTCATCTCGAGTTGATTTGGGGCACATGGAGCTGCTTTGCATTGCTGGGTGACCTCAGGGTCCGTCTAGACTGGTGACAGTGTTCTTGGGGACTGTCTCGAGATCCATTAAGCAAGTCGAAGCTCCTGACTTGTTTGAATGGGATCACGGAATAGCTCTGCATGCACTGCAGGGGAATGGGGCCTCATCTCGCCTCTAGGGGGAAGTCTCATGGTTTTTCTCGAGTTGCGGCGGAGACCTGGGGTATGTTCTCGACTTACGGCGGAGATGGCCCTTCAAAACACGAGTTTCTTCAGTGACGTCAGGACTCCTGTCTAGTAACGAGGGACACATCAGCAATCTCTTCGAGGCTTGGCAGGGCAAAAGGGACGCTTCTCGAGGTGAGCCAGGGCACCCAAGGACCCTTTCCAGTAGCCACAGGAATTTTGGGATTCCTATCAGTATTCAAGAGGAGTCAGGCATCGTCACCTTTTGAAGCAATGTACTCCGCGTGCCTCTCGAGTTGTCAGCGGGATGTGAGGCATTCCGTCAAAATGAGGCAGGGACCTAGGGCTTTCTCTAAGGTCTTCACAGTGGATTCAGACATCCCTTCATGTTGTGAGATGAAAGAGGAGCCTGTATTCAAGCCACTGCAAGGAAATCCGGCCTCCTTTCAAGTTAGGGCTTCTCGTTGTATATTCCCCTTGAGGCAGCAAACTCGGGGTCCCTCCCACATACCTATTGCTGAGAGAAGCCTCCTCCTGAGGTGCTTCTGGAAAGGTGGCATACGTCTTGAGCCTAAGCCAGGGAATCAGCTCTCATCTCGAGACGTTTTGGGGTACACAGAGCATTCCTCGAGTTGCTGTGCTGAAGTTGGTGGTCCTCTAGACTTGGGACAGTGTTCTCGGGGCATCTCTTGAGTTGCCTGAAGGAAGTCGAGCCACCGGTCGTGTTGAATGGGGAACAAGGAATGGCTCTGGAGTCAATGCAGGGGAATCCGGCCTCATCTCGAGTTGATTTGGGGCACATGGAGCTGCTTTGCATTGCTGGGTGACCTCAGGGTCCGTCTAGACTGGTGACAGTGTTCTTGGAGACTGTCTCGAGATCCATTAAGCAAGTCGAAGCTCCTGACTTGTTTGAATGGGATCACGGAATAGCTCTGCATGCACTGCAGGGGAATGGGGCCTCATCTCGCCTCTAGGGGGAAGTCTCATGGTTTTTCTCGAGTTGCGGCGGGGACCTGGGGTATGTTCTCGACTTACGGCGGGGATGGCCCTTCAAAATACGAGTTTCTTCAGTGACGTCAGGACTCCTGCCTAGTAACGAGGGACACCTCAGGAATCTCTTCGAGGCTTGGCAGGGCAAAAGGGACGCTTCTCGAGGTGAGCCAGGGCACCCAAGGACCCTTTCCAGTAGCCACAGGGATTTTGGGATTCCTATAAGTAATCAAGAGGAGTCATGCATCGTCACCTTTTGAAGCAATGAACTCCGCGTGCCTCTCGAGGTGTCAGCGGGATGTGAGGCATTCCGTCAAAATGAGGCAGGGACCTAGGGCTTTCTCTAAGGTCTCCACAGGGGATTCAGACATCCCTTCATGTTGTGAGATGAAAGACAAGCCTGTATTCAAGCTACTGCAAGGAAATCCGGCCTCCTTTCAAGTTAGGGCTTCTCGCTGTATATTCCCCTTGAGGCAGCAAACTCGGAGTCCCTCCCACATACCTATTGCTGAGAAGCCTCCTCCTGAGGTGCTTCTGGAAAGTTGGCATACGTCTTGAGCCTAAGCCAGGGAATCAGCTCTCATCTCGAGACGATTTGGGGTACACAGATCATTCCTCGAGTTGCTGTGCTGAAGTTGGTGTTCCTCTAGACTTGGGACAGTGTTCTCGGGGCATCTCTGGAGTTGCCTGAAGGAAGTCGAGCCACCGGTCGTGTTGAATGGGGAACGGGGAATGGCTCTGGAGTCAATGCAGGGGAATCGGGCCTCATCTCGAGTTGATTTGTGGCACCTGGAGCTGCTTTGCGTTGCTGGGGTGACCTCAGGTTCCGTCTAGACTGGTGACAGTGTTCTTGGGGACTGCCTCGAGATCCATTAAGCAAGTCGAAGCTCCTGACTTGTTTGAATGGGATCACGGTATAGCTCTGCATGCACTGCAGGGGAATGGGGACTCATCTCGCCTCTAGGGGGAAGTCTCATGGTTTTTCTCGAGTTGCGGCGGGGACCTGGGGTATGTTCTCGACTTACGGCGGGGATGGCCCTTCAAAACACGAGTTTCTTCCGTGACGTCAGGACTCCTGTCTAGTAACGAGGGACACCTCAGCAATCTCTTCGAGGCTTGGCAGGGCAAAAGGGACGCTTCTCGAGGTGAGCCAGGGCACCCAAGGACCCTTTCCAGTAGCAACAGGGATTTTGGGATTCCTATCAGTATTCAAGAGGAGTCAGGCATCGTCACCTTTTGAAGCAATGAACTCCACGTGCCTCTCGAGGTGTCAGCGGGATGTGAGGATTCCGTCAAAATGAGGCAGGGACCTAGGGCTTTCTCTAAGGTCTCCACAGGGGATTCAGACATCCCTTCATGTTGTGAGATGAAAGACGAGCCTGTATTCAAGCCACTGCAAGGAAATCCGGCCTCCTTTCAAGTTAGGGCTTCTCGCTGTATATTCCCCTTGAGGCAGCAAACTCGGAGTCCCTCCCACATACCTATTGTTGAGAGAAGCCTCCTCCTGAGGTGCTTCTGGAAAGTTGGCATACGTCTTGAGCCTAAGCCAGGGATTCAGCTCTCATCTCGAGACGATTTGGGGTACACAGAGCATTCCTCGAGTTGCTGTGCTGAAGTTGGTGTTCCTCTAGACTTGGGACAGTGTTCTCTGGGCATCTCCAGAGTTGCATGAAGGAAGTCGAGCCACCGGTCGTGTTGAATGGGGAACGGGGAATGGCTCTGGAGTCAATGCAGGGGAATCGGGCCTCATCTCGAGTTGATTTGTGGCACCTGGAGCTGCTTTGCGTTGCTGGGGTGACCTCAGGGTCCATCTAGACTGGTGACAGTGTTCTTGGGGACTGCCTCGAGATCCATTAAGCAAGTCGAAGCTCCTGACTTGTTTGAATGGGATCACGGAATAGCTCTGCATGCACTGCAGGGGAATGGGGCCTCATCTCGCCTCTAGGGGGAAGTCTCATGGTTTTTCTCGAGTTGCGGCGGGGACCTGGGGTATGTTCTCGACTTACGGCGGGGATGGCCCTTCAAAACACGAGTTTCTTCAGTGACGTCAGGACTCCTGCCTAGTAACGAGGGACACCTCAGCAATCTCTTCGAGGCTTGGCAGGGCAAAAGGGACGCTTCTCGAGGTGAGCCAGGGCACCCAAGGACCCTTTCCAGTAGCCACAGGGATTTTGGGATTCCTATCAGTATTCAAGAGGAGTCAGGCATCGTCACCTTTTGAAGCAATGAACACCGCGTGCCTCTCGAGGTGTCAGCGGGATGTGAGGATTCCGTCAAAATGAGGCAGGGACCTAGGGCTTTCTCTAAGGTATCCACAGGGGATTCAGACATCCCTTCATGTTGTGAGATCAAAGACGAGCCTGTATTCAAGCCACTGCAAGGAAATCCGGCCTCCTTTCAAGTTAGGGCTTCTCGCTGTATATTCCCCTTGAGGCAGCAAACTCGGGGTCCCTCCCACATTCCTATTGCTGAGAGAAGCCTCCTCCTGAGGTGCTTCTGGAAAGGTGGCATACGTCTTGAGCCTAAGCCAGGGAATCAGCTCTCATCTAGAGACGATTTGGGGTACACTGAGCATTCCTCGAGTTGCTGTGCTGAAGTTGGTGGTCCTCTAGACTTGGGACAGTGTTCTCGGGGCATCTCTGGAGTTGCCTGAAGGAAGTCGAGCCACCGGTCGTGTTGAATGGGGAACAAGGAATGGCTCTGGAGTCAATGCAGGGGAATCCGGCCTCATCTCGAGTTGATTTGGGGCACATGGAGCTGCTTTGCGTTGCTGGGGTGACCTCAGGGTCCGTCTAGACTGGTGACAGTGTTCTTGGGGACTGTCTCGAGATCCATTAAGCAAGTCGAAGCTCCTGACTTGTTTGAATGGGATCACGGAATAGCTCTGCATGCACTGCAGGGGAATGGGGCCTCATCTCGCCTCTAGGGGGAAGTCTCATGGTTTTTCTCGAGTTGCGGCGGAGACCTGGGGTATGTTCTCGACTTACGGCGGGGATGGCCCTTCAAAACACGAGTTTCTTCAGTGACGTCAGGACTCCTGTCTAGTAACGAGGGACACCTCAGCAATCTCTTCGAGGCTTGGCAGGGCAAAAGGGACGCTTCTCGAGGTGAGCCAGGGCACCCAAGGACCCTTTCCAGTAGCCACAGGGATTTTGGGATTCCTATCAGTATTCAAGAGGAGTCAGGCATCGTCACCTTTTGAAGCAATGAACACCGCGTGCCTCTCGAGGTGTCAGCGGGATGTGAGGCATTCCGTCAAAATGAGGCAGGGACCTAGGGCTTTCTCTAAGGTATCCACAGGGGATTCAGACATCCCTTCATGTTGTGAGATGAAAGACGAGCCTGTATTCAAGCCACTGCAAGGAAATCCGGCCTCCTTTCAAGTTAGGGCTTCTCGCTGTATATTCCCCTTGAGGCAGCAAACTCGGGGTCCCTCCCACATTCCTATTGCTGAGAGAAGCCTCCTCCTGAGGTGCTTCTGGAAAGGTGGCATACGTCTTGAGCCTAAGCCAGGGAATCAGCTCTCATCTCGAGACGATTTGTGGTACACTGAGCATTCCTCGAGTTGCTGTGCTGAAGTTGGTGGTCCTCTAGACTTGGGACAGTGTTCTCGGGGCATCTCTGGAGTTGCCTGAAGGAAGTCGAGCCACCGGTCGTGTTGAATGGGGAACAAGGAATGGCTCTGGAGTCAATGCAGGGGAATCCGGCCTCATCTCGAGTTGATTTGGGGCACATGGAGCTGCTTTGCATTGCTGGGTGACCTCAGGGTCCGTCTAGACTGGTGACAGTGTTCTTGGGGACTGTCTCGAGATCCATTAAGCAAGTCGAAGCTCCTGACTTGTTTGAATGGGATCACGGAATAGCTCTGCATGCACTGCAGGGGAATGGGGCCTCATCTCGCCTCTAGGGGGAAGTCTCATGGTTTTTCTCGAGTTGCGGCGGAGACCTGGGGTATGTTCTCGACTTACGGCGGGGATGGCCCTTCAAAACACGAGTTTCTTCAGTGACGTCAGGACTCCTGTCTAGTAACGAGGGACACATCAGCAATCTCTTCGAGGCTTGGCAGGGCAAAAGGGACGCTTCTCGAGGTGAGCCAGGGCACCCAAGGACCCTTTCCAGTAGCCACAGGAATTTTGGGATTCCTATCAGTATTCAAGAGGAGTCAGGCATCGTCACCTTTTGAAGCAATGTACTCCGCGTGCCTCTCGAGTTGTCAGCGGGATGTGAGGCATTCCGTCAAAATGAGGCAGGGACCTAGGGCTTTCTCTAAGGTCTTCACAGTGGATTCAGACATCCCTTCATGTTGTGAGATGAAAGAGGAGCCTGTATTCAAGCCACTGCAAGGAAATCCGGCCTCCTTTCAAGTTAGGGCTTCTCGTTGTATATTCCCCTTGAGGCAGCAAACTCGGGGTCCCTCCCACATACCTATTGCTGAGAGAAGCCTCCTCCTGAGGTGCTTCTGGAAAGGTGGCATACGTCTTGAGCCTAAGCCAGGGAATCAGCTCTCATCTCGAGACGTTTTGGGGTACACAGAGCATTCCTCGAGTTGCTGTGCTGAAGTTGGTGGTCCTCTAGACTTGGGACAGTGTTCTCGGGGCATCTCTTGAGTTGCCTGAAGGAAGTCGAGCCACCGGTCGTGTTGAATGGGGAACAAGGAATGGCTCTGGAGTCAATGCAGGGGAATCCGGCCTCATCTCGAGTTGATTTGGGGCACATGGAGCTGCTTTGCATTGCTGGGTGACCTCAGGGTCCGACTAGACTGGTGACAGTGTTCTTGGGGACTGTCTCGATATCCATTAAGCAAGTCGAAGCTCCTGACTTGTTTGAATGGGATCACGGAATAGCTCTGCATGCACTGCAGGGGAATGGGGCCTCATCTCGCCTCTAGGGGGAAGTCTCATGGTTTTTCTCGAGTTGCGGCGGGGACCTGGGGTATGTTCTCGACTTACGGCGGGGATGGCCCTTCAAAACACGAGTTTCTTCAGTGACGTCAGGACTCCTGTCTAGTAACGAGGGACACCTCAGCAATCTCTTCGAGGCTTGGCAGGGCAAAAGGGACGCTTCTCGAGGTGAGCCAGGGCACCCAAGGACCCTTTCCAGTAGCCACAGGGATTTTGGGATTCCTATCAGTATTCAAGAGGAGTCAGGCATCGTCACCTTTTGAAGCAATGAACTCCGCGTGCCTCTCGACGTGTCAGCGGGATGTGAGGATTCCGTCAAAATGAGGCAGGGACCTAGGGCTTTCTCTAAGGTCTCCACAGGGGATTCAGACATCCCTTCATGTTGTGAGATGAAAGACGAGCCTGTATTCAAGCCCCTGCAAGGAAATCCGGCCTCCTTTCAAGTTAGGGCTTCTCGCTGTATATTCCCCTTGAGGCAGCAAACTCGGAGTCCCTCCCACATACCTATTGCTGAGAGAAGCCTCCTCCTGAGGTGCTTCTGGAAAGGTGGCATACGTCTTGAGCCTAAGCCAGGGAATCAGCTCTCATCTCGAGACGATTTGGGGTACACGGAGCATTCCTCGAGTTGCTGTGCTGAAGTTGGTGGTCCTCTAGACTTGGGACAGTGTTCTCGGGTCATCTCTGGAGTTGCCTGAAGGAAGTCGAGCCACCGGTCGTGTTGAATGGGGAACAAGGAATGGCTCTGGAGTCAATGCAGGGGAATCCGGCCTCATCTCGAGTTGATTTGGGGCACATGGAGCTGCTTTGCATTGCTGGTTGACCTCAGGGTCCGTCTAGACTGGTGACAGTGTTCTTGGGGACTGTCTCGAGATCCATTAAGCAAGTCGAAGCTCCTGACTTGTTTGAATGGGATCACGGAATAGCTCTGCATGCACTGCAGGGGAATGGGGCCTCATCTCGCCTCTAGGGGGAAGTCTCATGGTTTTTCTCGAGTTGCGGCGGGGACCTGGGGTATGTTCTCGACTTACGGCGGGGATGGCCCTTCAAAACACGAGTTTCTTCAGTGACGTCAGGACTCCTGTCTAGTAACGAGGGACACCTCAGCAATCTCTTCGAGGCTTGGCAGGGCAAAAGGGACGCTTCTCGAGGTGAGCCAGGGCACCCAAGGACCCTTTCCAGTAGCCACAGGGATTTTGGTATTCCTATAAGTAATCAAGAGGAGTCATGCATCGTCACCTTTTGAAGCAATGAACTCCGCGTGCCTCTCGACGTGTCAGCGGGATGTGAGGATTCCATCAAAATGTGGCAGGGACCTAGGGCTTTCTCTTAGGTCTCCACAGGGGAATCAGACATCCCTTCATGTTGTGAGATGAAAGACGAGCCTGTATTCAAGCCACTGCATGGAAATCCGGCCTCCTTTCAAGTTAGGGCTTCTCGCTGTATATTCCCCTTGAGGCAGCAAACTCAGGGTCCCTCCCACATACCTATTACTGAGAGAAGCCTCCTCCTGAGGTGCTTTTGGAAAGGTGGCATACGTCTTGAGCCTAAGCCATTGAATCAGCTCTCATCTCGAGACGATTTGGGGTACACAGAGCATTCCTCGAGTTGCTGTGCTGAAGTTGGTGGTCCTCTAGACTTGGGACAGTGTTCTCGGGGCATCTCTGGAGTTGCCTGAAGGAAGTCGAGCCACCGGTCGTGTTGAATGGGGAACAAGGAATGGCTCTGGAGTCAATGCAGGGGAATCCGGCCTCATCTCGAGTTGATTTGGGGCACATGGAGCTGCTTTGCATTGCTGGGTGACCTCAGGGTCCGTCTAGACTGGTGACAGTGTTCTTGGAGACTGTCTCGAGATCCATTAAGCAAGTCGAAGCTCCTGACTTGTTTGAATGGGATCACGGAATAGCTCTGCATGCACTGCAGGGGAATGGGCCCTCATCTCGCCTCTAGGGGGAAGTCTCATGGTTTTTCTCGAGTTGCGGCGGGGACCTGGGGTATGTTCTCGACTTACGGCGGGGATGGCCCTTCAAAATACGAGTTTCTTCAGTGACGTCAGGACTCCTGCCTAGTAACGAGGGACACCTCAGGAATCTCTTCGAGGCTTGGCAGGGCAAAAGGGACGCTTCTCGAGGTGAGCCAGGGCACCCAAGGACCCTTTCCAGTAGCCACAGGGATTTTGGGATTCCTATAAGTAATCAAGAGGAGTCATGCATCGTCACCTTTTGAAGCAATGAACTCCGCGTGCCTCTCGAGGTGTCAGCGGGATGTGAGGCATTCCGTCAAAATGAGGCAGGGACCTAGGGCTTTCTCTAAGGTCTCCACAGGGGATTCAGACATCCCTTCATGTTGTGAGATGAAAGACAAGCCTGTATTCAAGCTACTGCAAGGAAATCCGGCCTCCTTTCAAGTTAGGGCTTCTCGCTGTATATTGCCCTTGAGGCAGCAAACTCGGAGTCCCTCCCACATACCTATTGCTGAGAAGCCTCCTCCTGAGGTGCTTCTGGAAAGTTGGCATACGTCTTGAGCCTAAGCCAGGGAATCAGCTCTCATCTCGAGACGATTTGGGGTACACAGATCATTCCTCGAGTTGCTGTGCTGAAGTTGGTGTTCCTCTAGACTTGGGACAGTGTTCTCGGGGCATCTCTGGAGTTGCCTGAAGGAAGGCGAGCCACCGGTCGTGTTGAATGGGGAACGGGGAATGGCTCTGGAGTCAATGCAGGGGAATCGGGCCTCATCTCGAGTTGATTTGTGGCACCTGGAGCTGCTTTGCGTTGCTGGGGTGACCTCAGGTTCCGTCTAGACTGGTGACAGTATTCTTGGGGACTGCCTCGAGATCCATTAAGCAAGTCGAAGCTCCTGACTTGCTTGAATGGGATCACGGTATAGCTCTGCATGCACTGCAGGGGAATGGGGACTCATCTCGCCTCTAGGGGGAAGCCTCATGGTTTTTCTCGAGTTGCGGCGGGGACCTGGGGTATGTTCTCGACTTACGGCGGGGATGGCCCTTCAAAACACGAGTTTCTTCCGTGACGTCAGGACTCCTGTCTAGTAACGAGGGACACCTCAGCAATCTCTTCGAGGCTTGGCAGGGCAAAAGGGACGCTTCTCGAGGTGAGCCAGGGCACCCAAGGACCCTTTCCAGTAGCAACAGGGATTTTGGGATTCCTATCAGTATTCAAGAGGAGTCAGGCATCGTCACCTTTTGAAGCAATGAACTCCACGTGCCTCTCGAGGTGTCAGCGGGATGTGAGGATTCCGTCAAAATGAGGCAGGGACCTAGGGCTTTCTCTAAGGTCTCCACAGGGGATTCAGACATCCCTTCATGTTGTGAGATGAAAGACGAGCCTGTATTCAAGCCACTGCAAGGAAATCCGGCCTCCTTTCGAGTTAGGGCTTCTCGCTGTATATTCCCCTTGAGGCAGCAAACTCGGAGTCCCTCCCACATACCTATTGTTGAGAGAAGCCTCCTCCTGAGGTGCTTCTGGAAAGTTGGCATACGTCTTGAGCCTAAGCCAGGGAATCAGCTCTCATCTCGAGACGATTTGGGGTACACTGAGCATTCCTCGAGTTGCTGTGATGAAGTTGGTTGTCCTCTAGACTTGGGACAGTGTTCTCGGGGCATCTCTGGAGTTGCCTGAAGGAAGTCGAGCCACCGGTCGTGTTGAATGGGGAACAAGGAATGGCTCTGGAGTCAATGCAGGGGAATCCGGCCTCATCTCGAGTTGATTTGGGGCACATGGAGCTGCTTTGCATTGCTGGGTGACCTCAGGGTCCGTCTAGACTGGTGACAGTGTTCTTGGGGACTGTCTCGAGATCCATTAAGCAAGTCGAAGCTCCTGACTTGTTTGAATGGGATCACGGAATAGCTCTGCATGCACTGCAGGGGAATGGGGCCTCATCTCGCCTCTAGGGGGAAGTCTCATGGTTTTTCTCGAGTTGCGGCGGAGACCTGGGGTATGTTCTCGACTTACGGCGGGGATGGCCCTTCAAAACACGAGTTTCTTCCGTGACGTCAGGACTCCTGTCTAGTAACGAGGGACACCTCAGCAATCTCTTCGAGGCTTGGCAGGGCAAAAGGGACGCTTCTCGAGGTGAGCCAGGGCACCCAAGTACGCTTTCCAGTAGCCACAGGGATTTTGGGATTCCTATCTGTATTCAAGAGGAGTCAGGCATCGTCACCTTTTGAAGCAATGTACTCCGCGTGCCTCTCGAGTTGTCAGCGGGATGTGAGGCATTCCGTCAAAATGAGGCAGGGACCTAGGGCTTTCTCTAAGGTCTTCACAGGGGATTCAGACATCCCTTCATGTTGTGAGATGAAAGACGAGCCTGTATTCAAGCCACTGCAAGGAAATCTGGCCTCCTTTCAAGTTAGGGCTTCTCGCTGTATATTCCCCTTGAGGCAGCAAACTCGGGGTCCCTCTCACATACCTATTGCTGAGAGAAGCCTCCTCCTGAGGTGCTTCTGGAAAGGTGGCATACGTCTTGAGCCTAAGCCAGGGAATCAGCTCTCATCTCGAGACGATTTGGGGTACACAGAGCATTCCTCGAGTTGCTGTGCTGAAGTTGGTGGTCCTCTAGACTTGGGACAGTGTTCTCGGGGCATCTCTGGAGTTGCCTGAAGGAAGTCGAGCCACCGGTCGTGTTGAATGGGGAACAAGGAATGGCTCTGGAGTCAATGCAGGGGAATCCGGCCTCATCTCGAGTTGATTTGGGGCACATGGAGCTGCTTTGCATTGCTGGGTGACCTCAGGGTCCGACTAGACTGGTGACAGTGTTCTTGGGGACTGTCTCGAGATCCATTAAGCAAGTCGAAGCTCCTGACTTGTTTGAATGGGATCACGGAATAGCTCTGCATGCACTGCAGGGGAATGGGGCCTCATCTCGCCTCTAGGGGGAAGTCTCATGGTTTTTCTCGAGTTGCGGCGGGGACCTGGGGTATGTTCTCGACTTACGGCGGGGATGGCCCTTCAAAACACGAGTTTCTTCCGTGACGTCAGGACTCCTGTCTAGTAACGAGGGACACCTCAGCAATCTCTTCGAGGCTTGGCAGGGCAAAAGGGACGCTTCTCGAGGTGAGCCAGGGCACCCAAGGACCCTTTCCAGTAGCCACAGGGATTTTGGGATTCCTATCAGTATTCAAGAGGAGTCAGGCATCGTCACCTTTTGAAGCAATGAACTCCGCGTGCCTCTCGAGGTGTCAGCGGGATGTGAGGATTCCGTCAAAATGAGGCATGGACCTAGGGCTTTCTCTAAGGTCTCCACAGGGGATTCAGACATCCCTTCATGTTGTGAGATGAAAGACGAGCCTGTATTCAAGCCACTGCAAGGAAATCCGGCCTCCTTTCAAGTTAGGGCTTCTCGCTGTATATTCCCCTTGAGGCAGCAAACTCGGAGTCCCTCCCACATACCTATTGCTGAGAGAAGCCTCCTCCTGAGGTGCTTCTGGAAAGGTGGCATACGTCTTGAGCCTAAGCCAGGGAATCAGCTCTCATCTCGAGACGATTTGGGGTACACTGAGCATTCCTCGAGTTGCTGTGCCGAAGTTGGTGGTCCTCTAGACTTGGGACAGTGTTCTCGGGTCATCTCTGGAGTTGCCTGAAGGAAGTCGAGCCACCGGTCGTGTTGAATGGGGAACAAGGAATGGCTCTGGAGTCAATGCAGGGGAATCCGGCCTCATCTCGAGTTGATTTGGGGCACATGGAGCTGCTTTGCATTGCTGGTTGACCTCAGGGTCCGTCTAGACTGGTGACAGTGTTCTTGGGGACTGTCTCGAGATCCATTAAGCAAGTCGAAGCTCCTGACTTGTTTGAATGGGATCACGGAATAGCTCTGCATGCACTGCAGGGGAATGGGGCCTCATCTCGCCTCTAGGGGGAAGTCTCATGGTTTTTCTCGAGTTGCGGCGGGGACCTGGGTTATGTTCTCGACTTACGGCGGGGATGGCCCTTCAAAACACGAGTTTCTTCAGTGACGTCAGGACTCCTGTCTAGTAACGAGGGACACCTCAGCAATCTCTTCGAGGCTTGGCAGGGCAAAAGGGACGCTTCTCGAGGTGAGCCAGGGCACCCAAGGACCCTTTCCAGTAGCCACAGGGATTTTGGGATTCCTATAAGTAATCAAGAGGAGTCATGCATCGTCACCTTTTGAAGCAATGAACTCCGCGTGCCTCTCGACGTGTCAGCGGGATGTGAGGATTCCATCAAAATGAGGCAGGGACCTAGGGCTTTCTCTAAGGTCTCCACAGGGGAATCAGACATCCCTTCATGTTGTGAGATGAAAGACGAGCCTGTATTCAAGCCACTGCATGGAAATCCGGCCTCCTTTCAAGTTAGGGCTTCTCGCTGTATATTCCCCTTGAGGCAGCAAACTCGGGGTCCCTCCCACATACCTATTACTGAGAGAAGCCTCCTCCTGAGGTGCTTCTGGAAAGGTGGCATACGTCTTGAGCCTAAGCCAGGGAATCAGCTCTCATCTCGAGACGATTTGTGGTACACAGATCATTCCTCGAGTTGCTGTGCTGAAGTTGGTGGTCCTCTAGACTTGGGACAGTGTTCTCGGGGCATCTCTGGAGTTGCCTGAAGGAAGTCGAGCCACCGGTCGTGTTGAATGGGGAACAAGGAATGGCTCTGGAGTCAATGCAGGGGAATCCGGCCTCATCTCGAGTTGATTTGGGGCACATGGAGCTGCTTTGCATTGCTGGGTGACCTCAGGGTCCGTCTAGACTGGTGACAGTGTTCTTGGGGACTGTCTCGAGATCCATTAAGCAAGTCGAAGCTCCTGACTTGTTTGAATGGGATCACGGAATAGCTCTGCATGCACTGCAGGGGAATGGGGCCTCATCTCGCCTCTAGGGGGAAGTCTCATGGTTTTTCTCGAGTTGCGGCGGGGACCTGGGGTATGTTCTCGACTTACGGCGGGGATGGCCCTTCAAAATACGAGTTTCTTCAGTGACGTCAGGACTCCTGCCTAGTAACGAGGGACACCTCAGGAATCTCTTCGAGGCTTGGCAGGGCAAAAGGGACGCTTCTCGAGGTGAGCCAGGGCACCCAAGGACCCTTTCCAGTAGCCACAGGGATTTTGGGATTCCTATAAGTAATCAAGAGGAGTCATGCATCGTCACCTTTTGAAGCAATGAACTCCGCGTGCCTCTCGAGGTGTCAGCGGGATGTGAGGCATTCCGTCAAAATGAGGCAGGGACCTAGGGCTTTCTCTAAGGTCTCCACAGGGGATTCAGTCATCCCTTCATGTTGTGAGATGAAAGACAAGCCTGTATTCAAGCTACTGCAAGGAAATCCGGCCTCCTTTCAAGTTAGGGCTTCTCCCTGTATATTGCCCTTGAGGCAGCAAACTCGGAGTCCCTCCCACATACCTATTGCTGAGAAGCCTCCTCCTGAGGTGCTTCTGGAAATTTGGCATACGTCTTGAGCCTAAGCCAGGGAATCAGCTCTCATCTCGAGACGATTTGGGGTACACAGATCATTCCTCGAGTTGCTGTGCTGAAGTTGGTGTTCCTCTAGACTTGGGACAGTGTTCTCGGGGCATCTCTGGAGTTGCCTGAAGGAAGTCGAGCCACCGGTCGTGTTGAATGGGGAACGGGGAATGGCTCTGGAGTCAATGCAGGGGAATCGGGCCTCATCTCGAGTTGATTTGTGGCACCTGGAGCTGCTTTGCGTTGCTGGGGTGACCTCAGGTTCCGTCTAGACTGGTGACAGTGTTCTTGGGGACTGCCTCGAGATCCATTAAGCAAGTCGAAGCTCCTGACTTGTTTGAATGGGATCACGGAATAGCTCTGCATGCACTGCAGGGGAATGGGGACTCATCTAGCCTCTAGGGGGAAGTCTCATGGTTTTTCTCGAGTTGCGGCGGGGACCTGGGGTATGTTCTCGACTTACGGCGGGGATGGCCCTTCAAAACACGAGTTTCTTCCGTGACGTCAGGACTCCTGTCTAGTAACGAGGGACACCTCAGCAATCTCTTCGAGGCTTGGCAGGGCAAAAGGGACGCTTCTCGAGGTGAGCCAGGGCACCCAAGGACCCTTTCCAGTAGCCACAGGGATTTTGGGATTCCTATAAGTAATCAAGAGGAGTCATGCATCGTCACCTTTTGAAGCAATGAACTCCGCGTGCCTCTCGACGTGTCAGCGGGATGTGAGGATTCCATCAAAATGAGGCAGGGACCTAGGGCTTTCACTAAGGTCTCCACAGGGGAATCAGACATCCCTTCATGTTGTGAGATGAAAGACGAGCCTGTATTCAAGCCACTGCATGGAAATCCGGCCTCCTTTCAAGTTAGGGCTTCTCGCTGTATATTCCCCTTGAGGCAGCAAACTCGGGGTCCCTCCCACATACCTATTACTGAGAGAAGCCTCCTCCTGAGGTGCTTTTGGAAAGGTGGCATACGTCTTGAGCCTAAGCCAGGGAATCAGCTCTCATCTCGAGACGATTTGGGGTACACAGAGCATTCCTCGAGTTGCTGTGCTGAAGTTGGTGGTCCTCTAGACTTGGGACAGTGTTCTCGGGGCATCTCTGGAGTTGCCTGAAGGAAGTCGAGCCACCGGTCGTGTTGAATGGGGAACAAGGAATGGCTCTGGAGTCAATGCAGGGGAATCCGGCCTCATCTCGAGTTGATTTGGGGCACATGGAGCTGCTTTGCATTGCTGGGTGACCTCAGGGTCCGTCTAGACTGGTGACAGTGTTCTTGGGGACTGTCTCGAGATCCATTAAGCAAGTCGAAGCTCCTGACTTGTTTGAATGGGATCACGGAATAGCTCTGCATGCACTGCAGGGGAATGGGGCCTCATCTCGCCTCTAGGGGGAAGTCTCATGGTTTTTCTCGAGTTGCGGCGGGGACCTGGGGTATGTTCTCGACTTACGGCGGGGATGGCCCTTCAAAATACGAGTTTCTTCAGTGACGTCAGGACTCCTGCCTAGTAACGAGGGACACCTCAGGAATCTCTTCGAGGCTTGGCAGGGCAAAAGGGACGCTTCTCGAGGTGAGCCAGGGCACCCAAGGACCCTTTCCAGTAGCCACAGGGATTTTGGGATTCCTATAAGTAATCAAGAGGAGTCATGCATCGTCACCTTTTGAAGCAATGAACTCCGCGTGCCTCTCGAGGTGTCAGCGGGATGTGAGGCATTCCGTCAAAATGAGGCAGGGACCTAGGGCTTTCTCTAAGGTCTCCACAGGGGATTCAGACATCCCTTCATGTTGTGAGATGAAAGACAAGCCTGTATTCAAGCTACTGCAAGGAAATCCGGCCTCCTTTCAAGTTAGGGCTTCTCGCTGTATATTGCCCTTGAGGCAGCAAACTCGGAGTCCCTCCCACATACCTATTGCTGAGAAGCCTCCTCCTGAGGTGCTTCTGGAAAGTTGGCATACGTCTTGAGCCTAAGCCAGGGAATCAGCTCTCATCTCGAGACGTTTTGGGGTACACAGAGCATTCCTCGAGTTGCTGTGCTGAAGTTGGTGGTCCTCTAGACTTGGGACAGTGTTCTCGGGGCATCTCTTGAGTTGCCTGAAGGAAGTCGAGCCACCGGTCGTGTTGAATGGGGAACAAGGAATGGCTCTGGAGTCAATGCAGGGGAATCCGGCCTCATCTCGAGTTGATTTGGGGCACATGGAGCTGCTTTGCATTGCTGGGTGACCTCAGGGTCCGACTAGACTGGTGACAGTGTTCTTGGGGACTGTCTCGATATCCATTAAGCAAGTCGAAGCTCCTGACTTGTTTGAATGGGATCACGGAATAGCTCTGCATGCACTGCAGGGGAATGGGGCCTCATCTCGCCTCTAGGGGGAAGTCTCATGGTTTTTCTCGAGTTGCGGCGGGGACCTGGGGTATGTTCTCGACTTACGGCGGGGATGGCCCTTCAAAACACGAGTTTCTTCAGTGACGTCAGGACTCCTGTCTAGTAACGAGGGACACCTCAGCAATCTCTTCGAGGCTTGGCAGGGCAAAAGGGACGCTTCTCGAGGTGAGCCAGGGCACCCAAGGACCCTTTCCAGTAGCCACAGGGATTTTGGGATTCCTATCAGTATTCAAGAGGAGTCAGGCATCGTCACCTTTTGAAGCAATGAACTCCGCGTGCCTCTCGAGGTGTCAGCGGGATGTGAGGATTCCGTCAAAATGAGGCAGGGACCTAGGGCTTTCTCTAAGGTCTCCACAGGGGATTCAGACATCCCTTCATGTTGTGAGATGAAAGACGAGCCTGTATTCAAGCCCCTGCAAGGAAATCCGGCCTCCTTTCAAGTTAGGGCTTCTCGCTGTATATTCCCCTTGAGGCAGCAAACTCGGAGTCCCTCCCACATACCTATTGCTGAGAGAAGCCTCCTCCTGAGGTGCTTCTGGAAAGGTGGCATACGTCTTGAGCCTAAGCCAGGGAATCAGCTCTCATCTCGAGACGATTTGCGGTACACGGAGCATTCCTCGAGTTGCTGTGCTGAAGTTGGTGGTCCTCTAGACTTGGGACAGTGTTCTCGGGTCATCTCTGGAGTTGCCTGAAGGAAGTCTAGCCACCGGTCGTGTTGAATGGGGAACAAGGAATGGCTCTGGAGTCAATGCAGGGGAATCCGGCCTCATCTCGAGTTGATTTGGGGCACATGGAGCTGCTTTGCATTGCTGGTTGACCTCAGGGTCCGTCTAGACTGGTGACAGTGTTCTTGGGGACTGTCTCGAGATCCATTAAGCAAGTCGAAGCTCCTGACTTGTTTGAATGGGATCACGGAATAGCTCTGCATGCACTGCAGGGGAATGGGGCCTCATCTCGCCTCTAGGGGGAAGTCTCATGGTTTTTCTCGAGTTGCGGCGGGGACCTGGGGTATGTTCTCGACTTACGGCGGGGATGGCCCTTCAAAACACGAGTTTCTTCAGTGACGTCAGGACTCATGTCTAGTAACGAGGGACACCTCAGCAATCTCTTCGAGGCTTGGCAGGGCAAAAGGGACGCTTCTCGAGGTGAGCCAGGGCACCCAAGGACCCTTTCCAGTAGCCACAGGGATTTTGGGATTCCTATAAGTAATCAAGAGGAGTCATGCATCGTCACCTTTTGAAGCAATGAACTCCGCGTGCCTCTCGACGTGTCAGCGGGATGTGAGGATTCCATCAAAATGAGGCAGGGACCTAGGGCTTTCTCTAAGGTCTCCACAGGGGAATCAGACATCCCTTCATGTTGTGAGATGAAAGACGAGCCTGTATTCAAGCCACTGCATGGAAATCCGGCCTCCTTTCAAGTTAGGGCTTCTCGCTGTATATTCCCCTTGAGGCAGCAAACTCAGGGTCCCTCCCACATACCTATTACTGAGAGAAGCCTCCTCCTGAGGTGCTTTTGGAAAGGTGGCATACGTCTTGAGCCTAAGCCAGGGAATCAGCTCTCATCTCGAGACGATTTGGGGTACACAGAGCATTCCTCGAGTTGCTGTGCTGAAGTTGGTGGTCCTCTAGACTTGGGACAGTGTTCTCGGGGCATCTCTGGAGTTGCCTGAAGGAAGTCGAGCCACCGGTCGTGTTGAATGGGGAACAAGGAATGGCTCTGGAGTCAATGCAGGGGAATCCGGCCTCATCTCGAGTTGATTTGGGGCACATGGAGCTGCTTTGCATTGCTGGGTGACCTCAGGGTCCGTCTAGACTGGTGACAGTGTTCTTGGAGACTGTCTCGAGATCCATTAAGCAAGTCGAAGCTCCTGACTTGTTTGAATGGGATCACGGAATAGCTCTGCATGCACTGCAGGGGAATGGGGCCTCATCTCGCCTCTAGGGGGAAGTCTCATGGTTTTTCTCGAGTTGCGGCGGGGACCTGGGGTATGTTCTCGACTTACGGCGGGGATGGCCCTTCAAAATACGAGTTTCTTCAGTGACGTCAGGACTCCTGCCTAGTAACGAGGGACACCTCAGGAATCTCTTCGAGGCTTGGCAGGGCAAAAGGGACGCTTCTCGAGGTGAGCCAGGGCACCCAAGGACCCTTTCCAGTAGCCACAGGGATTTTGGGATTCCTATAAGTAATCAAGAGGAGTCATGCATCGTCACCTTTTGAAGCAATGAACTCCGCGTGCCTCTCGAGGTGTCAGCGGGATGGGAGGCATTCCGTCAAAATGAGGCAGGGACCTAGGGCTTTCTCTAAGGTCTCCACAGGGGATTCAGACATCCCTTCATGTTGTGAGATGAAAGACAAGCCTGTATTCAAGCTACTGCAAGGAAATCCGGCCTCCTTTCAAGTTAGGGCTTCTCGCTGTATATTGCCCTTGAGGCAGCAAACTCGGAGTCCCTCCCACATACCTATTGCTGAGAAGCCTCCTCCTGAGGTGCTTCTGGAAAGTTGGCATACGTCTTGAGCCTAAGCCAGGGAATCAGCTCTCATCTCGAGACGATTTGGGGTACACAGATCATTCCTCGAGTTGCTGTGCTGAAGTTGGTGTTCCTCTAGACTTGGGACAGTGTTCTCTGGGCATCTCTGGAGTTGCCTGAAGGAAGGCGAGCCACCGGTCGTGTTGAATGGGGAACGGGGAATGGCTCTGGAGTCAATGCAGGGGAATCGGGCCTCATCTCGAGTTGATTTGTGGCACCTGGAGCTGCTTTGCGTTGCTGGGGTGACCTCAGGTTCCGTCTAGACTGGTGACAGTGTTCTTGGGGACTGCCTCGAGATCCATTAAGCAAGTCGAAGCTCCTGACTTGCTTGAATGGGATCACGGTATAGCTCTGCATGCACTGCAGGGGAATGGGGACTCATCTCGCCTCTAGGGGGAAGTCTCATGGTTTTTCTCGAGTTGCGGCGGGGACCTGGGGTATGTTCTCGACTTACGGCGGGGATGGCCCTTCAAAACACGAGTTTCTTCCGTGACGTCAGGACTCCTGTCTAGTAACGAGGGACACCTCAGCAATCTCTTCGAGGCTTGGCAGGGCAAAAGGGACGCTTCTCGAGGTGAGCCAGGGCACCCAAGGACCCTTTCCAGTAGCAACAGGGATTTTGGGATTCCTATCAGTATTCAAGAGGAGTCAGGCATCGTCACCTTTTGAAGCACTGAACTCCGCGTGCCTCTCGAGGTGTCAGCGGGATGTGAGGATTCCGTCAAAATGAGGCAGGGACCTAGGGCTTTCTCTAAGGTCTCCACAGGGGATTCAGACATCCCTTCATGTTGTGAGATGAAAGACGAGCCTGTATTCAAGCCACTGCAAGGAAATCCGGCCTCCTTTCAAGTTAGGGCTTCTCGCTGTATATTCCCCGTGAGGCAGCAAACTCGGAGTCCCTCCCACATACCTATTGTTGAGAGAAGCCTCCTCCTGAGGTGCTTCTGGAAAGTTGGCATACGTCTTGAGCCTAAGCCAGGGATTCAGCTCTCATCTCGAGACGATTTGGGGTACACAGAGCATTCCTCGAGTTGCTGTGCTGAAGTTGGTGTTCCTCTAGACTTGGGACAGTGTTCTCTGGGCATCTCCAGAGCTGCATGAAGGAAGTCGAGCCACCGGTCGTGTTGAATGGGGAACGGGGAATGGCTCTGGAGTCAATGCAGGGGAATCGGGCCTCATCTCGAGTTGATTTGTGGCACCTGGAGCTGCTTTGCGTTGCTGGGGTGACCTCAGGGTCCATCTAGACTGGTGACAGTGTTCTTGGGGACTGCCTCGAGATCCATTAAGCAAGTCGAAGCTCCTGACTTGTTTGAATGGGATCACGGAATAGCTCTGCATGCACTGCAGGGGAATGGGGCCTCATCTCGCCTCTAGGGGGAAGTCTCATGGTTTTTCTCGAGTTGCGGCGGGGACCTGGGGTATGTTCTCGACTTACGGCGGGGATGGCCCTTCAAAACACGAGTTTCTTCAGTGACGTCAGGACTCCTGCCTAGTAACGAGGGACACCTCAGCAATCTCTTCGAGGCTTGGCAGGGCAAAAGGGACGCTTCTCGAGGTGAGCCAGGGCACCCAAGGACCCTTTCCAGTAGCCACAGGGATTTTGGGATTCCTATAAGTATTCAAGAGGAGTCAGGCATCGTCACCTTTTGAAGCAATGAACACCGCGTGCCTCTCGAGGTGTCAGCGGGATGTGAGGATTCCGTCAAAATGAGGCAGGGACCTAGGGCTTTCTCTAAGGTATCCACAGGGGATTCAGACATCCCTTCATGTTGTGAGATGAAAGACGAGCCTGTATTCAAGCCACTGCAAGGAAATCCGGCCTCCTTTCAAGTTAGGGCTTCTCGCTGTATATTCCCCTTGAGGCAGCAAACTCGGGGTCCCTCCCACATACCTATTGCTGAGAGAAGCCTCCTCCTGAGGTGCTTCTGGAAAGGTGGCATACGTCTTGAGCCTAAGCCAGGGAATCAGCTCTCATCTCGAGACGATTTGGGGTACACTGAGCATTCCTCGAGTTGCTGTGCTGAAGTTGGTTGTCCTCTAGACTTGGGACAGTGTTCTCGGGGCATCTCTGGAGTTGCCTGAAGGAAGTCGAGCCACCGGTCGTGTTGAATGGGGAACAAGGAATGGCTCTGGAGTCAATGCAGGGGAATCCGGCCTCATCTCGAGTTGATTTGGGGCACATGGAGCTGCTTTGCATTGCTGGGTGACCTCAGGGTCCGTCTAGACTGGTGACAGTGTTCTTGGGGACTGTCTCGAGATCCATTAAGCAAGTCGAAGCTCCTGACTTGTTTGAATGGGATCACGGAATAGCTCTGCATGCACTGCAGGGGAATGGGGCCTCATCTCGCCTCTAGGGGGAAGTCTCATGGTTTTTCTCGAGTTGCGGCGGGGACCTGGGGTATGTTCTCGACTTACGGCGGGGATGGCCCTTCAAAATACGAGTTTCTTCAGTGACGTCAGGACTCCTGCCTAGTAACGAGGGACACCTCAGGAATCTCTTCGAGGCTTGGCAGGGCAAAAGGGACGCTTCTCGAGGTGAGCCAGGGCACCCAAGGACCCTTTCCAGTAGCCACAGGGATTTTGGGATTCCTATAAGTAATCAAGAGGAGTCATGCATCGTCACCTTTTGAAGCAATGAACTCCGCGTGCCTCTCGAGGTGTCAGCGGGATGTGAGGCATTCCGTCAAAATGAGGCAGGGACCTAGGGCTTTCTCTAAGGTCTCCACAGGGGATTCAGACATCCCTTCATGTTGTGAGATGAAAGACAAGCCTGTATTCAAGCTACTGCAAGGAAATCCGGCCTCCTTTCAAGTTAGGGCTTCTCGCTGTATATTGCCCTTGAGGCAGCAAACTCGGAGTCCCTCCCACATACCTATTGCTGAGAAGCCTCCTCCTGAGGTGCTTCTGGAAAGTTGGCATACGTCTTGAGCCTAAGCCAGGGAATCAGCTCTCATCTCGAGACGTTTTGGGGTACACAGAGCATTCCTCGAGTTGCTGTGCTGAAGTTGGTGGTCCTCTAGACTTGGGACAGTGTTCTCGGGGCATCTCTTGAGTTGCCTGAAGGAAGTCGAGCCACCGGTCGTGTTGAATGGGGAACAAGGAATGGCTCTGGAGTCAATGCAGGGGAATCCGGCCTCATCTCGAGTTGATTTGGGGCACATGGAGCTGCTTTGCATTGCTGGGTGACCTCAGGGTCCGACTAGACTGGTGACAGTGTTCTTGGGGACTGTCTCGAGATCCATTAAGCAAGTCGAAGCTCCTGACTTGTTTGAATGGGATCACGGAATAGCTCTGCATGCACTGCAGGGGAATGGGGCCTCATCTCGCCTCTAGGGGGAAGTCTCATGGTTTTTCTCGAGTTGCGGCGGGGACCTGGGGTATGTTCTCGACTTACGGCGGGGATGGCCCTTCAAAACACGAGTTTCTTCAGTGACGTCAGGACTCCTGTCTAGTAACGAGGGACACCTCAGCAATCTCTTCGAGGCTTGGCAGGGCAAAAGGGACGCTTCTCGAGGTGAGCCAGGGCACCCAAGGACCCTTTCCAGTAGCCACAGGGATTTTGGGATTCCTATCAGTATTCAAGAGGAGTCAGGCATCGTCACCTTTTGAAGCAATGAACTCCGCGTGCCTCTCGAGGTGTCAGCGGGATGTGAGGATTCCGTCAAAATGAGGCAGGGACCTAGGGCTTTCTCTAAGGTCTCCACAGGGGATTCAGACATCCCTTCATGTTGTGAGATGAAAGACGAGCCTGTATTCAAGCCCCTGCAAGGAAATCCGGCCTCCTTTCAAGTTAGGGCTTCTCGCTGTATATTCCCCTTGAGGCAGCAAACTCGGAGTCCCTCCCACATACCTATTGCTGAGAGAAGCCTCCTCCTGAGGTGCTTCTGGAAAGGTGGCATACGTCTTGAGCCTAAGCCAGGGAATCAGCTCTCATCTCGAGACGATTTGGGGTACACGGAGCATTCCTCGAGTTGCTGTGCTGAAGTTGGTGGTCCTCTAGACTTGGGACAGTGTTCTCGGGTCATCTCTGGAGTTGCCTGAAGGAAGTCTAGCCACCGGTCGTGTTGAATGGGGAACAAGGAATGGCTCTGGAGTCAATGCAGGGGAATCCGGCCTCATCTCGAGTTGATTTGGGGCACATGGAGCTGCTTTGCATTGCTGGTTGACCTCAGGGTCCGTCTAGACTGGTGACAGTGTCCTTGGGGACTGTCTCGAGATCCATTAAGCAAGTCGAAGCTCCTGACTTGTTTGAATGGGATCACGGAATAGCTCTGCATGCACTGCAGGGGAATGGGGCCTCATCTCGCCTCTAGGGGGAAGTCTCATGGTTTTTCTCGAGTTGCGGCGGGGACCTGGGGTATGTTCTCGACTTACGGCGGGGATGGCCCTTCAAAACACGAGTTTCTTCAGTGACGTCAGGACTCATGTCTAGTAACGAGGGACACCTCAGCAATCTCTTCAAGGCTTGGCAGGGCAAAAGGGACGCTTCTCGAGGTGAGCCAGGGCACCCAAGGACCCTTTCCAGTAGCCACAGGGATTTTGGGATTCCTATAAGTAATCAAGAGGAGTCATGCATCGTCACCTTTTGAAGCAATGAACTCCGCGTGCCTCTCGACGTGTCAGCGGGATGTGAGGATTCCATCAAATTGAGGCAGGGACCTAGGGCTTTCTCTAAGGTCTCCACAGGGGAATCAGACATCCCTTCATGTTGTGAGATGAAAGACGAGCCTGTATTCAAGCCACTGCATGGAAATCCGGCCTCCTTTCAAGTTAGGGCTTCTCGCTGTATATTCCCCTTGAGGCAGCAAACTCAGGGTCCCTCCCACATACCTATTACTGAGAGAAGCCTCCTCCTGAGGTGCTTTTGGAAAGGTGGCATACGTCTTGAGCCTAAGCCAGGGAATCAGCTCTCATCTCGAGACGATTTGGGGTACACAGAGCATTCCTCGAGTTGCTGTGCTGAAGTTGGTGGTCCTCTAGACTTGGGACAGTGTTCTCGGGGCATCTCTGGAGTTGCCTGAAGGAAGTCGAGCCACCGGTCGTGTTGAATGGGGAACAAGGAATGGCTCTGGAGTCAATGCAGGGGAATCCGGCCTCATCTCGAGTTGATTTGGGGCACATGGAGCTGCTTTGCATTGCTGGGTGACCTCAGGGTCCGTCTAGACTGGTGACAGTGTTCTTGGAGACTGTCTCGAGATCCATTAAGCAAGTCGAAGCTCCTGACTTGTTTGAATGGGATCACGGAATAGCTCTGCATGCACTGCAGGGGAATGGGGCCTCATCTCGCCTCTAGGGGGAAGTCTCATGGTTTTTCTCGAGTTGCGGCGGGGACCTGGGGTATGTTCTCGACTTACGGCGGGGATGGCCCTTCAAAATACGAGTTTCTTCAGTGACGTCAGGACTCCTGCCTAGTAACGAGGGACACCTCAGGAATCTCTTCGAGGCTTGGCAGGGCAAAAGGGACGCTTCTCGAGGTGAGCCAGGGCACCCAAGGACCCTTTCCAGTAGCCACAGGGATTTTGGGATTCCTATAAGTAATCAAGAGGAGTCATGCATCGTCACCTTTTGAAGCAATGAACTCCGCGTGCCTCTCGAGGTGTCAGCGGGATGGGAGGCATTCCGTCAAAATGAGGCAGGGACCTAGGGCTTTCTCTAAGGTCTCCACAGGGGATTCAGACATCCCTTCATGTTGTGAGATGAAAGACAAGCCTGTATTCAAGCTACTGCAAGGAAATCCGGCCTCCTTTCAAGTTAGGGCTTCTCGCTGTATATTGCCCTTGAGGCAGCAAACTCGGAGTCCCTCCCACATACCTATTGCTGAGAAGCCTCCTCCTGAGGTGCTTCTGGAAAGTTGGCATACGTCTTGAGCCTAAGCCAGGGAATCAGCTCTCATCTCGAGACGATTTGGGGTACACAGATCATTCCTCGAGTTGCTGTGCTGAAGTTGGTGTTCCTCTAGACTTGGGACAGTGTTCTCGGGGCATCTCTGGAGTTGCCTGAAGGAAGGCGAGCCACCGGTCGTGTTGAATGGGGAACGGGGAATGGCTCTGGAGTCAATGCAGGGGAATCGGGCCTCATCTCGAGTTGATTTGTGGCACCTGGAGCTGCTTTGCGTTGCTGGGGTGACCTCAGGTTCCGTCTAGACTGGTGACAGTGTTCTTGGGGACTGCCTCGAGATCCATTAAGCAAGTCGAAGCTCCTGACTTGCTTGAATGGGATCACGGTATAGCTCTGCATGCACTACAGGGGAATGGGGACTCATCTCGCCTCTAGGGGGAAGTCTCATGGTTTTTCTCGAGTTGCGGCGGGGACCTGGGGTATGTTCTCGACTTACGGCGGGGATGGCCCTTCAAAACACGAGTTTCTTCCGTGACGTCAGGACTCCTGTCTAGTAACGAGGGACACCTCAGCAATCTCTTCGAGGCTTGGCAGGGCAAAAGGGACGCTTCTCGAGGTGAGCCAGGGCACCCAAGGACCCTTTCCAGTAGCAACAGGGATTTTGGGATTCCTATCAGTATTCAAGAGGAGTCAGGCATCGTCACCTTTTGAAGCACTGAACTCCGCGTGCCTCTCGAGGTGTCAGCGGGATGTGAGGATTCCGTCAAAATGAGGCAGGGACCTAGGGCTTTCTCTAAGGTCTCCACAGGGGATTCAGACATCCCTTCATGTTGTGAGATGAAAGACGAGCCTGTATTCAAGCCACTGCAAGGAAATCCGGCCTCCTTTCAAGTTAGGGCTTCTCGCTGTATATTCCCCGTGAGGCAGCAAACTCGGAGTCCCTCCCACATACCTATTGTTGAGAGAAGCCTCCTCCTGAGGTGCTTCTGGAAAGTTGGCATACGTCTTGAGCCTAAGCCAGGGATTCAGCTCTCATCTCGAGACGATTTGGGGTACACAGAGCATTCCTCGAGTTGCTGTGCTGAAGTTGGTGTTCCTCTAGACTTGGGACAGTGTTCTCTGGGCATCTCCAGAGCTGCATGAAGGAAGTCGAGCCACCGGTCGTGTTGAATGGGGAACGGGGAATGGCTCTGGAGTCAATGCAGGGGAATCGGGCCTCATCTCGAGTTGATTTGTGGCACCTGGAGCTGCTTTGCGTTGCTGGGGTGACCTCAGGGTCCATCTAGACTGGTGACAGTGTTCTTGGGGACTGCCTCGAGATCCATTAAGCAAGTCGAAGCTCCTGACTTGTTTGAATGGGATCACGGAATAGCTCTGCATGCACTGCAGGGGAATGGGGCCTCATCTCGCCTCTAGGGGGAAGTCTCATGGTTTTTCTCGAGTTGCGGCGGGGACCTGGGGTATGTTCTCGACTTACGGCGGGGATGGCCCTTCAAAACACGAGTTTCTTCAGTGACGTCAGGACTCCTGCCTAGTAACGAGGGACACCTCAGCAATCTCTTCGAGGCTTGGCAGGGCAAAAGGGACGCTTCTCGAGGTGAGCCAGGGCACCCAAGGACCCTTTCCAGTAGCCACAGGGATTTTGGGATTCCTATAAGTATTCAAGAGGAGTCAGGCATCGTCACCTTTTGAAGCAATGAACACCGCGTGCCTCTCGAGGTGTCAGCGGGATGTGAGGATTCCGTCAAAATGAGGCAGGGACCTAGGGCTTTCTCTAAGGTATCCACAGGGGATTCAGACATCCCTTCATGTTGTGAGATGAAAGACGAGCCTGTATTCAAGCCACTGCAAGGAAATCCGGCCTCCTTTCAAGTTAGGGCTTCTCGCTGTATATTCCCCTTGAGGCAGCAAACTCGGGGTCCCTCCCACATACCTATTGCTGAGAGAAGCCTCCTCCTGAGGTGCTTCTGGAAAGGTGGCATACGTCTTGAGCCTAAGCCAGGGAATCAGCTCTCATCTCGAGACGATTTGGGGTACACAGAGCATTCCTCGAGTTGCTGTGCTGAAGTTGGTTGTCCTCTAGACTTGGGACAGTGTTCTCGGGGCATCTCTGGAGTTGCCTGAAGGAAGTCGAGCCACCGGTCGTGTTGAATGGGGAACAAGGAATGGCTCTGGAGTCAATGCAGGGGAATCCGGCCTCATCTCGAGTTGATTTGGGGCACATGGAGCTGCTTTGCATTGCTGGGTGACCTCAGGGTCCGTCTAGACTGGTGACAGTGTTCTTGGGGACTGTCTCGAGATCCATTAAGCAAGTCGAAGCTCCTGACTTGTTTGAATGGGATCACGGAATAGCTCTGCATGCACTGCAGGGGAATGGGGCCTCATCTCGCCTCTAGGGGGAAGTCTCATGGTTTTTCTCGAGTTGCGGCGGAGACCTGGGGTATGTTCTCGACTTACGGCGGGGATGGCCCTTCAAAACACGAGTTTCTTCAGTGACGTCAGGACTCCTGTCTAGTAACGAGGGACACCTCAGCAATCTCTTCGAGGCTTGGCAGGGCAAAAGGGACGCTTCTCGAGGTGAGCCAGGGCACCCAAGGACCCTTTCCAGTAGCCACAGGGATTTTGGGATTCCTATCTGTATTCAAGAGGAGTCAGGCATCGTCACCTTTTGAAGCAATGTACTCCGCGTGCCTCTCGAGTTGTCAGCGGGATGTGAGGCATTCCGTCAAAATGAGGCAGGGACCTAGGGCTTTCTCTAAGGTCTTCACAGGGGATTCAGACATCCCTTCATGTTGTGAGATGAAAGACGAGCTTGTATTCAAGCCACTGCAAGGAAATCTGGCCTCCTTTCAAGTTAGGGCTTCTCGCTGTATATTCCCCTTGAGGCAGCAAACTCGGGGTCCCTCCCACATACCTATTGCTGAGAGAAGCCTCCTCCTGAGGTGCTTCTGGAAAGGTGGCATACGTCTTGAGCCTAAGCCAGGGAATCAGCTCTCATCTCGAGACGATTTGGGGTACACAGAGCATTCCTCGAGTTGCTGTGCTGAAGTTGGTGGTCCTCTAGACTTGGGACAGTGTTCTCGGGGCATCTCTGGAGTTGCCTGAAGGAAGTCGAGCCACCGGTCGTGTTGAATGGGGAACAAGGAATGGCTCTGGAGTCAATGCAGGGGAATCCGGCCTCATCTCGAGTTGATTTGGGGCACATGGAGCTGCTTTGCATTGCTGGGTGACCTCAGGGTCCGACTAGACTGGTGACAGTGTTCTTGGGGACTGTCTCGATATCCATTAAGCAAGTCGAAGCTCCTGACTTGTTTGAATGGGATCACGGAATAGCTCTGCATGCACTGCAGGGGAATGGGGCCTCATCTCGCCTCTAGGGGGAAGTCTCATGGTTTTTCTCGAGTTGCGGCGGGGACCTGGGGTATGTTCTCGACTTACTGCGGGGATGGCCCTTCAAAACACGAGTTTCTTCCGTGACGTCAGGACTCCTGTCTAGTAACGAGGGACACCTCAGCAATCTCTTCGAGGCTTGGCAGGGCAAAAGGGACGCTTCTCGAGGTGAGCCAGGGCACCCAAGGACCCTTTCCAGTAGCCACAGGGATTTTGGGATTCCTATCAGTATTCAAGAGGAGTCAGGCATCGTCACCTTTTGAAGCAATGAACTCCGCGTGCCTCTCGAGGTGTCAGCGGGATGTGAGGATTCCGTCAAAATGAGGCATGGACCTAGGGCTTTCTCTAAGGTCTCCACAGGGGATTCAGACATCCCTTCATGTTGTGAGATGAAAGACGAGCCTGTATTCAAGCCACTGCAAGGAAATCTGGCCTCCTTTCAAGTTAGGGCTTCTCGCTGTATATTCCCCTTGAGGCAGCAAACTCGGAGTCCCTCCCACATACCTATTGCTGAGAGAAGCCTCCTCCTGAGGTGCTTCTGGAAAGGTGGCATACGTCTTGAGCCTAAGCCAGGGAATCAGCTCTCATCTCGAGACGATTTGGGGTACACGGAGCATTCCTCGAGTTGCTGTGCCGAAGTTGGTGGTCCTCTAGACTTGGGACAGTGTTCTCGGGTCATCTCTGGAGTTGCCTGAAGGAAGTCGAGCCACCGGTCGTGTTGAATGGGGAACAAGGAATGGCTCTGGAGTCAATGCAGGGGAATCCGGCCTCATCTCGAGTTGATTTGGGGCACATGGAGCTGCTTTGCATTGCTGGTTGACCTCAGGGTCCGTCTAGACTGGTGACAGTGTTCTTGGGGACTGTCTCGAGATCCATTAAGCAAGTCGAAGCTCCTGACTTGTTTGAATGGGATCAGGGAATAGCTCTGCATGCACTGCAGGGGAATGGGGCCTCATCTCGCCTCTAGGGGGAAGTCTCATGGTTTTTCTCGAGTTGCGGCGGGGACCTGGGGTATGTTCTCGACTTACGGCGGGGATGGCCCTTCAAAACACGAGTTTCTTCAGTGACGTCAGGACTCCTGTCTAGTAACGAGGGACACCTCAGCAATCTCTTCGAGGCTTGGCAGGGCAAAAGGGACGCTTCTCGAGGTGAGCCTGGGCACCCAAGGACCCTTTCCAGTAGCCACAGGGATTTTGGGATTCCTATAAGTAATCAAGAGGAGTCATGCATCGTCACCTTTTGAAGCAATGAACTCCGGGTGCCTCTCGACGTGTCAGCGGGATGTGAGGATTCCATCAAAATGAGGCAGGGACCTAGGGCTTTCTCTAAGGTCTCCACAGGGGAATCAGACATCCCTTCATGTTGTGAGATGAAAGACGAGCCTGTATTCAAGCCACTGCATGGAAATCCGGCCTCCTTTCAAGTTAGGGCTTCTCGCTGTATATTCCCCTTGAGGCAGCAAACTCGGGGTCCCTCCCACATACCTATTACTGAGAGAAGCCTCCTCCTGAGGTGCTTTTGGAAAGGTGGCATACGTCTTGAGCCTAAGCCAGGGAATCAGCTCTCATCTCGAGACGATTTGGGGTACACAGAGCATTCCTCGAGTTGCTGTGCTGAAGTTGGTGGTCCTCTAGACTTGGGACAGTGTTCTCGGGGCATCTCTGGAGTTGCCTGAAGGAAGTCGAGCCACCGGTCGTGTTGAATGGGGAACAAGGAATGGCTCTGGAGTCAATGCAGGGGAATCCGGCCTCATCTCGAGTTGATTTGGGGCACATGGAGCTGCTTTGCATTGCTGGGTGACCTCAGGGTCCGTCTAGACTGGTGACAGTGTTCTTGGGGACTGTCTCGAGATCCATTAAGCAAGTCGAAGCTCCTGACTTGTTTGAATGGGATCACGGAATAGCTCTGCATGCACTGCAGGGGAATGGGGCCTCATCTCGCCTCTAGGGGGAAGTCTCATGGTTTTTCTCGAGTTGCGGCGGGGACCTGGGGTATGTTCTCGACTTACGGCGGATATGGCCCTTCAAAATACGAGTTTCTTCAGTGACGTCAGGACTCCTGCCTAGTAACGAGGGACACCTCAGGAATCTCTTCGAGGCTTGGCAGGGCAAAAGGGACGCTTCTCGAGGTGAGCCAGGGCACCCAAGGACCCTTTCCAGTAGCCACAGGGATTTTGGGATTCCTATAAGTAATCAAGAGGAGTCATGCATCGTCACCTTTTGAAGCAATGAACTCCGCGTGCCTCTCGAGGTGTCAGCGGGATGTGAGGCATTCCGTCAAAATGAGGCAGGGAACTAGGGCTTTCTCTAAGGTCTCCACAGGGGATTCAGACATCCCTTCATGTTGTGAGATGAAAGACAAGCCTGTATTCAAGCTACTGCAAGGAAATCCGGCCTCCTTTCAAGTTAGGGCTTCTCGCTGTATATTGCCCTTGAGGCAGCAAACTCGGAGTCCCTCCCACATACCTATTGCTGAGAAGCCTCCTCCTGAGGTGCTTCTGGAAAGTTGGCATACGTCTTGAGCCTAAGCCAGGGAATCAGCTCTCATCTCGAGACGATTTGGGGTACACAGATCATTCCTCGAGTTGCTGTGCTGAAGTTGGTGTTCCTCTAGACTTGGGACAGTGTTCTCGGGGCATCTCTGGAGTTGCCTGAAGGAAGTCGAGCCACCGGTCGTGTTGAATGGGGAACGGGGAATGGCTCTGGAGTCAATGCAGGGGAATCGGGCCTCATCTCGAGTTGATTTGTGGCACCTGGAGCTGCTTTGCGTTGCTGGGGTGACCTCAGGGTCCATCTAGACTGGTGACAGTGTTCTTGGGGACTGCCTCGAGATCCATTAAGCAAGTCGAAGCTCCTGACTTGTTTGAATGGGATCACGGAATAGCTCTGCATGCACTGCAGGGGAATGGGGCCTCATCTCGCCTCTAGGGGGAAGTCTCATGGTTTTTCTCGAGTTGCGGCGGGGACCTGGGGTATGTTCTCGACTTACGGCGGGGATGGCCCTTCAAAACACGAGTTTCTTCAGTGACGTCAGGACTCCTGCCTAGTAACGAGGGACACCTCAGCAATCTCTTCGAGGCTTGGCAGGGCAAAAGGGACGCTTCTCGAGGTGAGCCAGGGCACCCAAGGACCCTTTCCAGTAGCCACAGGGATTTTGGGATTCCTATAAGTATTCAAGAGGAGTCAGGCATCGTCACCTTTTGAAGCAATGAACACCGCGTGCCTCTCGAGGTGTCAGCGGGATGTGAGGATTCCGTCAAAATGAGGCAGGGACCTAGGGCTTTCTCTAAGGTATCCACAGGGGATTCAGACATCCCTTCATGTTGTGAGATGAAAGACGAGCCTGTATTCAAGCCACTGCAAGGAAATACGGCCTCCTTTCAAGTTAGGGCTTCTCGCTGTATATTCTCCTTGAGGCAGCAAACTCGGGGTCCCTCCCACATACCTATTGCTGAGACAAGCCTCCTCCTGAGGTGCTTCTGGAAAGGTGGCATACGTCTTGAGCCTAAGCCAGGGAATCAGCTCTCATCTCGAGACAATTTGGGGTACACTGAGCATTCCTCGAGTTGCTGTGCTGAAGTTGGTGGTCCTCTAGACTTGGGACAGTGTTCTCGGGGCATCTCTGGAGTTGCCTGAAGGAAGTCGAGCCACCGGTCGTGTTGAATGGGGAACAAGGAATGGCTCTGGAGTCAATACAGGGGAATCCGGCCTCATCTCGAGTTGATTTGGGGCACATGGAGCTGCTTTGCATTGCTGGGTGACCTCAGGGTCCGTCTAGACTGGTGACAGTGTTCTTGGGGACTGTCTCGAGTTCCATTAAGCAAGTCGAAGCTCCTGACTTGTTTGAATGGGATCACGGAATAGCTCTGCATGCACTGCAGGGGAATGGGGCCTCATCTCGCCTCTAGGGGGAAGTCTCATGGTTTTTCTCGAGTTGCGGAGGAGACCTGGGGTATGTTCTCGACTTACGGCGGGGATGGCCCTTCAAAACACGAGTTTCTTCAGTGACGTCAGGACTCCTGTCTAGTAACGAGGGACACCTCAGCAATCTCTTCGAGGCTTGGCAGGGCAAAAGGGACGCTTCTCGAGGTGAGCCAGGGCACCCAAGGACCCTTTCCTGTAGCCACAGGGATTTTGGGATTCCTATCAGTATTCAAGAGGAGTCAGGCATCGTCACCTTTTGAAGCAATGTACTCCGCGTGCCTCTCGAGTTGTCAGCGGGATGTGAGGCATTCCGTCAAAATGAGGCAGGGACCTAGGGCTTTCTCTAAGGTCTTCACAGGGGATTCAGACATCCCTTCATGTTGTGAGATGAAAGACGAGCCTGTATTCAAGCCACTGCAAGGAAATCCGGCCTCCTTTCAAGTTAGGGCTTCTCGCTGTATATTCCCCTTGAGGCAGCAAACTCGGGGTCCCTCCCACATACCTATTGCTGAGAGAAGCCTCCTCCTGAGGTGCTTCTGGAAAGGTGGCATACGTCTTGAGCCTAAGCCAGGGAATCAGCTCTCATCTCGAGACGATTTGGGGTACACAGAGCATTCCTCGAGTTGCTGTGCTGAAGTTGGTGGTCCTCTAGACTTGGGACAGTGTTCTCGGGGCATCTCTGGAGTTGCCTGAAGGAAGTCGAGCCACCGGTCGTGTTGAATGGGGAACAAGGAATGGCTCTGGAGTCAATGCAGGGGAATCCGGCCTCATCTCGAGTTGATTTCGGGCACATGGAGCTGCTTTGCATTGCTGGGTGACCTCAGGGTCCGACTAGACTGGTGACAGTGTTCTTGGGGACTGTCTCGATATCCATTAAGCAAGTCGAAGCTCCTGACTTGTTTGAATGGGATCACGGAATAGCTCTGCATGCACTGCAGGGGAATGGGGCCTCATCTCGCCTCTAGGGGGAAGTCTCATGGTTTTTCTCGAGTTGCGGCGGGGACCTGGGGTATGTTCTCGACTTACGGCGGGGATGGCCCTTCAAAACACGAGTTTCTTCCGTGACGTCAGGACTCCTGTCTAGTAACGAGGGACACCTCAGCAATCTCTTCGAGGCTTGGCAGGGCAAAAGGGACGCTTCTCGAGGTGAGCCAGGGCACCCAAGGACCCTTTCCAGTAGCCACAGGGATTTTGGGATTCCTATCAGTATTCAAGAGGAGTCAGGCATCGTCACCTTTTGAAGCAATGAACTCCGCGTGCCTCTCGAGGTGTCAGCGGGATGTGAGGATTCCGTCAAAATGAGGCAGGGACCTAGGGCTTTCTCTAAGGTCTCCACAGGGGATTCAGACATCCCTTCATGTTGTGAGATGAAAGACGAGCCTGTATTCAAGCCACTGCAAGGAAATCCGGCCTCCTTTCAAGTTAGGGCTTCTCGCTGTATATTCCCCTTGAGGCAGCAAACTCGGAGTCCCTCCCACATACCTATTGTTGAGAGAAGCCTCCTCCTGAGGTGCTTCTGGAAAGTTGGCATACGTCTTGATCCTAAGCCAGGGATTCAGCTCTCATCTCGAGACGATTTGGGGTACACAGAGCATTCCTCGAGTTGCTGTGCTGAAGTTGGTGTTCCTCTAGACTTGGGACAGTGTTCTCTGGGCATCTCCAGAGTTGCATGAAGGAAGTCGAGCCACCGGTCGTGTTGAATGGGGAACGGGGAATGGCTCTGGAGTCAATGCAGGGGAATCGGGCCTCATCTCGAGTTGATTTGTGGCACCTGGATCTGCTTTGCGTTGCTGGGGTGACCTCAGGGTCCATCTAGACTGGTGACAGTGTTCTTGGGGACTGCCTCGAGATCCATTAAGCAAGTCGAAGCTCCTGACTTGTTTGAATGGGATCACGGAATAGCTCTGCATGCACTGCAGGGGAATGGGGCCTCATCTCGCCTCTAGGGGGAAGTCTCATGGTTTTTCTCGAGTTGCGGCGGGGACCTGCGGTATGTTCTCGACTTACGGCGGGGATGGCCCTTCAAAACACGAGTTTCTTCCGTGACGTCAGGACTCCTGTCTAGTAACGAGGGACACCTCAGCAATCTCTTCGAGGCTTGGCAGGGCAAAAGGGACGCTTCTCGAGGTGAGCCAGGGCACCCAAGGACCCTTTCCAGTAGCCACAGGGATTTTGGGATTCCTATCAGTATTCAAGAGGAGTCAGGCATCGTCACCTTTTGAAGCAATGAACTCCGCGTGCCTCTCGAGGTGTCAGCGGGATGTGAGGATTCCGTCAAAATGAGGCAGGGACCTAGGGCTTTCTCTAAGGTCTCCACAGGGGATTCAGACATCCCTTCATGTTGTGAGATGAAAGACGAGCCTGTATTCAAGCCACTGCAAGGAAATCCGGCCTCCTTTCAAGTTAGGGCTTCTCGCTGTATATTCCCCTTGAGGCAGCAAACTCGGAGTCCCTCCCACATACCTATTGTTGAGAGAAGCCTCCTCCTGAGGTGCTTCTGGAAAGTTGGCATACGTCTTGATCCTAAGCCAGGGATTCAGCTCTCATCTCGAGACGATTTGGGGTACACAGAGCATTCCTCGAGTTGCTGTGCTGAAGTTGGTGTTCCTCTAGACTTGGGACAGTGTTCTCTGGGCATCTCCAGAGTTGCATGAAGGAAGTCGAGCCACCGGTCGTGTTGAATGGGGAACGGGGAATGGCTCTGGAGTCAATGCAGGGGAATCGGGCCTCATCTCGAGTTGATTTGTGGCACCTGGAGCTGCTTTGCGTTGCTGGGGTGACCTCAGGGTCCATCTAGACTGGTGACAGTGTTCTTGGGGACTGCCTCGAGATCCATTAAGCAAGTCGAAGCTCCTGACTTGTTTGAATGGGATCACGGAATAGCTCTGCATGCACTGCAGGGGAATGGGGCCTCATCTCGCCTCTAGGGGGAAGTCTCATGGTTTTTCTCGAGTTGCGGCGGGGACCTGGGGTATGTTCTCGACTTACGGCGGGGATGGCCCTTCAAAACACGAGTTTCTTCAGTGACGTCAGGACTCCTGCCTAGTAACGAGGGACACCTCAGCAATCTCTTCGAGGCTTGGCAGGGCAAAAGGGACGCTTCTCGAGGTGAGCCAGGGCACCCAAGGACCCTTGCCAGTAGCCACAGGGATTTTGGGATTCCTATAAGTAATCAAGAGGAGTCATGCATCGTCACCTTTTGAAGCAATGAACTCCGCATGCCTCTCGACGTGTCAGCGGGATGTGAGGATTCCATCAAAATGAGGCAGGGACCTAGGGCTTTCTCTAAGGTCTCCACAGGGGAATCAGACATCCCTTCATGTTGTGAGATGAAAGACGAGCCTGTATTCAAGCCACTGCATGGAAATCCGGCCTCCTTTCAAGTTAGGGCTTCTCGCTGTATATTCCCCTTGAGGCAGCAAACTCGGGGTCCCTCCCACATACCTATTACTGAGAGAAGCCTCCTCCTGAGGTGCTTCTGGAAAGGTGGCATACGTCTTGAGCCTAAGCCAGGGAATCAGCTCTCATCTCGAGACGATTTGGGGTACACAGAGCATTCCTCGAGTTGCTGTGCTGAAGTTGGTGGTCCTCTAGACTTGGGACAGTGTTCTCGGGGCATCTCTGGAGTTGCCTGAAGGAAGTCGAGCCACCGGTCGTGTTGAATGGGGAACAAGGAATGGCTCTGGAGACAATGCAGGGGAATCCGGCCTCATCTCGAGTTGATTTGGGGCACATGGAGCTGCTTTGCATTGCTGGGTGACCTCAGGGTCCGTCTAGACTGGTGACAGTGTTCTTGGGGACTGTCTCGAGATCCATTAAGCAAGTCGAAGCTCCTGACTTGTTTGAATGGGATCACGGAATAGCTCTGCATGCACTGCAGGGGAATGGGGCCTCATCTCGCCTCTAGGGGGAAGTCTCATGGTTTTTCTCGAGTTGCGGCGGAGACCTGGGGTATGTTCTCGACTTACGGCGGGGATGGCCCTTCAAAACACGAGTTTCTTCAGTGACGTCAGGACTCCTGTCTAGTAACGAGGGACACATCAGCAATCTCTTCGAGGCTTGGCAGGGCAAAAGGGACGCTTCTCGAGGTGAGCCAGGGCACCCAAGGACCCTTTCCAGTAGCCACAGGGATTTTGGGATTCCTATAAGTATTCAAGAGGAGTCAGGCATCGTCACCTTTTGAAGCAATGAACACCGCGTGCCTCTCGAGGTGTCAGCGGGATGTGAGGATTCCGTCAAAATGAGGCAGGGACCTAGGGCTTTCTCTAAGGTATCCACAGGGGATTCAGACATCCCTTCATGTTGTGAGATGAAAGACGAGCCTGTATTCAAGCCACTGCAAGGAAATACGGCCTCCTTTCAAGTTAGGGCTTCTCGCTGTATATTCTCCTTGAGGCAGCAAACTCGGGGTCCCTCCCACATACCTATTGCTGAGACAAGCCTCCTCCTGAGGTGCTTCTGGAAAGGTGGCATACGTCTTGAGCCTAAGCCAGGGAATCAGCTCTCATCTCGAGACAATTTGGGGTACACTGAGCATTCCTCGAGTTGCTGTGCTGAAGTTGGTGGTCCTCTAGACTTGGGACAGTGTTCTCGGGGCATCTCTGGAGTTGCCTGAAGGAAGTCGAGCCACCGGTCGTGTTGAATGGGGAACAAGGAATGGCTCTGGAGTCAATACAGGGGAATCCGGCCTCATCTCGAGTTGATTTGGGGCACATGGAGCTGCTTTGCATTGCTGGGTGACCTCAGGGTCCGTCTAGACTGGTGACAGTGTTCTTGGGGACTGTCTCGAGTTCCATTAAGCAAGTCGAAGCTCCTGACTTGTTTGAATGGGATCACGGAATAGCTCTGCATGCACTGCAGGGGAATGGGGCCTCATCTCGCCTCTAGGGGGAAGTCTCATGGTTTTTCTCGAGTTGCGGAGGAGACCTGGGGTATGTTCTCGACTTACGGCGGGGATGGCCCTTCAAAACACGAGTTTCTTCAGTGACGTCAGGACTCCTGTCTAGTAACGAGGGACACCTCAGCAATCTCTTCGAGGCTTGGCAGGGCAAAAGGGACGCTTCTCGAGGTGAGCCAGGGCACCCAAGGACCCTTTCCTGTAGCCACAGGGATTTTGGGATTCCTATCAGTATTCAAGAGGAGTCAGGCATCGTCACCTTTTGAAGCAATGTACTCCGCGTGCCTCTCGAGTTGTCAGCGGGATGTGAGGCATTCCGTCAAAATGAGGCAGGGACCTAGGGCTTTCTCTAAGGTCTTCACAGGGGATTCAGACATCCCTTCATGTTGTGAGATGAAAGACGAGCCTGTATTCAAGCCACTGCAAGGAAATCCGGCCTCCTTTCAAGTTAGGGCTTCTCGCTGTATATTCCCCTTGAGGCAGCAAACTCGGGGTCCCTCCCACATACCTATTGCTGAGAGAAGCCTCCTCCTGAGGTGCTTCTGGAAAGGTGGCATACGTCTTGAGCCTAAGCCAGGGAATCAGCTCTCATCTCGAGACGATTTGGGGTACACAGAGCATTCCTCGAGTTGCTGTGCTGAAGTTGGTGGTCCTCTAGACTTGGGACAGTGTTCTCGGGGCATCTCTGGAGTTGCCTGAAGGAAGTCGAGCCACCGGTCGTGTTGAATGGGGAACAAGGAATGGCTCTGGAGTCAATGCAGGGGAATCCGGCCTCATCTCGAGTTGATTTCGGGCACATGGAGCTGCTTTGCATTGCTGGGTGACCTCAGGGTCCGACTAGACTGGTGACAGTGTTCTTGGGGACTGTCTCGATATCCATTAAGCAAGTCGAAGCTCCTGACTTGTTTGAATGGGATCACGGAATAGCTCTGCATGCACTGCAGGGGAATGGGGCCTCATCTCGCCTCTAGGGGGAAGTCTCATGGTTTTTCTCGAGTTGCGGCGGGGACCTGGGGTATGTTCTCGACTTACGGCGGGGATGGCCCTTCAAAACACGAGTTTCTTCCGTGACGTCAGGACTCCTGTCTAGTAACGAGGGACACCTCAGCAATCTCTTCGAGGCTTGGCAGGGCAAAAGGGACGCTTCTCGAGGTGAGCCAGGGCACCCAAGGACCCTTTCCAGTAGCCACAGGGATTTTGGGATTCCTATCAGTATTCAAGAGGAGTCAGGCATCGTCACCTTTTGAAGCAATGAACTCCGCGTGCCTCTCGAGGTGTCAGCGGGATGTGAGGATTCCGTCAAAATGAGGCAGGGACCTAGGGCTTTCTCTAAGGTCTCCACAGGGGATTCAGACATCCCTTCATGTTGTGAGATGAAAGACGAGCCTGTATTCAAGCCACTGCAAGGAAATCCGGCCTCCTTTCAAGTTAGGGCTTCTCGCTGTATATTCCCCTTGAGGCAGCAAACTCGGAGTCCCTCCCACATACCTATTGTTGAGAGAAGCCTCCTCCTGAGGTGCTTCTGGAAAGTTGGCATACGTCTTGATCCTAAGCCAGGGATTCAGCTCTCATCTCGAGACGATTTGGGGTACACAGAGCATTCCTCGAGTTGCTGTGCTGAAGTTGGTGTTCCTCTAGACTTGGGACAGTGTTCTCTGGGCATCTCCAGAGTTGCATGAAGGAAGTCGAGCCACCGGTCGTGTTGAATGGGGAACGGGGAATGGCTCTGGAGTCAATGCAGGGGAATCGGGCCTCATCTCGAGTTGATTTGTGGCACCTGGATCTGCTTTGCGTTGCTGGGGTGACCTCAGGGTCCATCTAGACTGGTGACAGTGTTCTTGGGGACTGCCTCGAGATCCATTAAGCAAGTCGAAGCTCCTGACTTGTTTGAATGGGATCACGGAATAGCTCTGCATGCACTGCAGGGGAATGGGGCCTCATCTCGCCTCTAGGGGGAAGTCTCATGGTTTTTCTCGAGTTGCGGCGGGGACCTGGGGTATGTTCTCGACTTACGGCGGGGATGGCCCTTCAAAACACGAGTTTCTTCCGTGACGTCAGGACTCCTGTCTAGTAACGAGGGACACCTCAGCAATCTCTTCGAGGCTTGGCAGGGCAAAAGGGACGCTTCTCGAGGTGAGCCAGGGCACCCAAGGACCCTTTCCAGTAGCCACAGGGATTTTGGGATTCCTATCAGTATTCAAGAGGAGTCAGGCATCGTCACCTTTTGAAGCAATGAACTCCGCGTGCCTCTCGAGGTGTCAGCGGGATGTGAGGATTCCGTCAAAATGAGGCAGGGACCTAGGGCTTTCTCTAAGGTCTCCACAGGGGATTCAGACATCCCTTCATGTTGTGAGATGAAAGACGAGCCTGTATTCAAGCCACTGCAAGGAAATCCGGCCTCCTTTCAAGTTAGGGCTTCTCGCTGTATATTCCCCTTGAGGCAGCAAACTCGGAGTCCCTCCCACATACCTATTGTTGAGAGAAGCCTCCTCCTGAGGTGCTTCTGGAAAGTTGGCATACGTCTTGATCCTAAGCCAGGGATTCAGCTCTCATCTCGAGACGATTTGGGGTACACAGAGCATTCCTCGAGTTGCTGTGCTGAAGTTGGTGTTCCTCTAGACTTGGGACAGTGTTCTCTGGGCATCTCCAGAGTTGCATGAAGGAAGTCGAGCCACCGGTCGTGTTGAATGGGGAACGGGGAATGGCTCTGGAGTCAATGCAGGGGAATCGGGCCTCATCTCGAGTTGATTTGTGGCACCTGGAGCTGCTTTGCGTTGCTGGGGTGACCTCAGGGTCCATCTAGACTGGTGACAGTGTTCTTGGGGACTGCCTCGAGATCCATTAAGCAAGTCGAAGCTCCTGACTTGTTTGAATGGGATCACGGAATAGCTCTGCATGCACTGCAGGGGAATGGGGCCTCATCTCGCCTCTAGGGGGAAGTCTCATGGTTTTTCTCGAGTTGCGGCGGGGACCTGGGGTATGTTCTCGACTTACGGCGGGGATGGCCCTTCAAAACACGAGTTTCTTCAGTGACGTCAGGACTCCTGCCTAGTAACGAGGGACACCTCAGCAATCTCTTCGAGGCTTGGCAGGGCAAAAGGGACGCTTCTCGAGGTGAGCCAGGGCACCCAAGGACCCTTGCCAGTAGCCACAGGGATTTTGGGATTCCTATAAGTAATCAAGAGGAGTCATGCATCGTCACCTTTTGAAGCAATGAACTCCGCATGCCTCTCGACGTGTCAGCGGGATGTGAGGATTCCATCAAAATGAGGCAGGGACCTAGGGCTTTCTCTAAGGTCTCCACAGGGGAATCAGACATCCCTTCATGTTGTGAGATGAAAGACGAGCCTGTATTCAAGCCACTGCATGGAAATCCGGCCTCCTTTCAAGTTAGGGCTTCTCGCTGTATATTCCCCTTGAGGCAGCAAACTCGGGGTCCCTCCCACATACCTATTACTGAGAGAAGCCTCCTCCTGAGGTGCTTCTGGAAAGGTGGCATACGTCTTGAGCCTAAGCCAGGGAATCAGCTCTCATCTCGAGACGATTTGGGGTACACAGAGCATTCCTCGAGTTGCTGTGCTGAAGTTGGTGGTCCTCTAGACTTGGGACAGTGTTCTCGGGGCATCTCTGGAGTTGCCTGAAGGAAGTCGAGCCACCGGTCGTGTTGAATGGGGAACAAGGAATGGCTCTGGAGACAATGCAGGGGAATCCGGCCTCATCTCGAGTTGATTTGGGGCACATGGAGCTGCTTTGCATTGCTGGGTGACCTCAGGGTCCGTCTAGACTGGTGACAGTGTTCTTGGGGACTGTCTCGAGATCCATTAAGCAAGTCGAAGCTCCTGACTTGTTTGAATGGGATCACGGAATAGCTCTGCATGCACTGCAGGGGAATGGGGCCTCATCTCGCCTCTAGGGGGAAGTCTCATGGTTTTTCTCGAGTTGCGGCGGGGACCTGGGGTATGTTCTCGACTTACGGCGGGGATGGCCCTTCAAAATACGAGTTTCTTCAGTGACGTCAGGACTCCTGCCTAGTAACGAGGGACACCTCAGGAATCTCTTCGAGGCTTGGCAGGGCAAAAGGGACGCTTCTCGAGGTGAGCCAGGGCACCCAAGGACCCTTTCCAGTAGCCACAGGGATTTTGGGATTCCTATAAGTAATCAAGAGGAGTCATGCATCGTCACCTTTTGAAGCAATGAACTCCGCGTGCCTCTCGAGGTGTCAGCGGGATGTGAGGCATTCCGTCAAAATGAGGCAGGGACCTAGGGCTTTCTCTAAGGTCTCCACAGGGGATTCAGACATCCCTTCATGTTGTGAGATGAAAGACAAGCCTGTATTCAAGCTACTGCAAGGAAATCCGGCCTCCTTTCAAGTTAGGGCTTCTCGCTGTATATTGCCCTTGAGGCAGCAAACTCGGAGTCCCTCCCACATACCTATTGCTGAGAAGCCTCCTCCTGAGGTGCTTCTGGAAAGTTGGCATACGTCTTGAGCCTAAGCCAGGGAATCAGCTCTCATCTCGAGACGATTTGGGGTACACGGATCATTCCTCGAGTTGCTGTGCCGAAGTTGGTGGTCCTCTAGACTTGGGACAGTGTTCTCGGGTCATCTCTGGAGTTGCCTGAAGGAAGTCGAGCCACCGGTCGTGTTGAATGGGGAACAAGGAATGGCTCTGGAGTCAATGCAGGGGAATCCGGCCTCATCTCGAGTTGATTTGGGGCACATGGAGCTGCTTTGCATTGCTGGGTGACCTCAGGGTCCGTCTAGACTGGTGACAGTGTTCTTGGGGACTGTCTCGAGATCCATTAAGCAAGTCGAAGCTCCTGACTTGTTTGAATGGGATCAGGGAATAGCTCTGCATGCACTGCAGGGGAATGGGGCCTCATCTCACCTCTAGGGGGAAGTCTCATGGTTTTTCTCGAGTTGCGGCGGGGACCTGGGGTATGTTCTCGACTTACGGCGGGGATGGCCCTTCAAAACACGAGTTTCTTCAGTGACGTCAGGACTCCTGTCTAGTAACGAGGGACACCTCAGCAATCTCTTCGAGGCTTGGCAGGGCAAAAGGGACGCTTCTCGAGGTGAGCCAGGGCACCCAAGGACCCTTTCCAGTAGCCACAGGGATTTTGGGATTCCTATAAGTAATCAAGAGGAGTCATGCATCGTCACCTTTTGAAGCCATGAACTCCGCGTGCCTCTCGACGTGTCAGCGGGATGTGAGGATTCCATCAAAATGAGGCAGGGACCTAGGGCTTTCTCTAAGGTCTCCACAGGGGAATCAGACATCCCTTCATGTTGTGAGATGAAAGACGAGCCTGTATTCAAGCCACTGCATGGAAATCCGGCCTCCTTTCAAGTTAGGGCTTCTCGCTGTATATTCCCCTTGAGGCAGCAAACTCGGGGTCCCTCCCACATACCTATTACTGAAAGAAGCCTCCTCCTGAGGTGCTTCTGGAAAGGTGGAATACGTCTTGAGCCTAAGCCAGGGAATCAGCTCTCATCTCGAGACGATTTGGGGTACACGGAGCATTCCTCGAGTTGCTGTGCTGAAGTTGGTGGTCCTCTAGACTTGGGACAGTGTTCTCGGGGCATCTCTGGAGTTGCCTGAAGGAAGTCGAGCCACCGGTCGTGTTGAATGGGGAACGGGGAATGGCTCTGGAGTCAATGCAGGGGAATCGGGCCTCATCTCGAGTTGATTTGTGGCACCTGGAGCTGCTTTGCGTTGCTGGGGTGACCTCAGGTTCCGTCTAGACTGGTGACAGTGTTCTTGGGGACTGCCTCGAGATCCATTAAGCAAGTCGAAGCTCCTGACTTGTTTGAATGGGATCACGGAATAGCTCTGCATGCACTGCAGGGGAATGGGGACTCATCTCGCCTCTAGGGGGAAGTCTCATGGTTTTTCTCGAGTTGCGGCGGGGACCTGGGGTATGTTCTCGACTTACGGCGGGGATGGCCCTTCAAAACACGAGTTTCTTCCGTGACGTCAGGACTCCTGTCTAGTAACGAGGGACACCTCAGCAATCTCTTCGAGGCTTGGCAGGGCAAAAGGGACGCTTCTCGAGGTGAGCCAGGGCACCCAAGGACCCTTTCCAGTAGCAACAGGGATTTTGGGATTCCTATCAGTATTCAAGAGGAGTCAGGCATCGTCACCTTTTGAAGCAATGAACTCCGCGTGCCTCTCGACGTGTCAGCGGGATGTGAGGATTCCGTCAAAATGAGGCAGGGACCTAGGGCTTTCTCTAAGGTCTCCACAGGGGATTCAGACATCCCTTCATGTTGTGAGATGAAAGACGAGCCTGTATTCAAGCCACTGCAAGGAAATCCGGCCTCCTTTCAAGTTAGGGCTTCTCGCTGTATATTCCCCTTGAGGCAGCAAACTCGGAGTCCCTCCCACATACCTATTGTTGAGAGAAGCCTCCTCCTGAGGTGCTTCTGGAAAGTTGGCATACGTCTTGAGCCTAAGCCAGGGATTCAGCTCTCATCTCGAGACGATTTGGGGTACACAGAGCATTCCTCGAGTTGCTGTGCTGAAGTTGGTGTTCCTCTAGACTTGGGACAGTGTTCTCTGGGCATCTCCAGAGTTGCATGAAGGAAGTCGAGCCACCGGTCGTGTTGAATGGGGAACGGGGAATGGCTCTGGAGTCAATGCAGGGGAATCGGGCCTCATCTCGAGTTGATTTGTGGCACCTGGAGCTGCTTTGCGTTGCTGGGGTGACCTCAGGGTCCATCTAGACTGGTGACAGTGTTCTTGGGGACTGCCTCGAGATCCATTAAGCAAGTCGAAGCTCCTGACTTGTTTGAATGGGATCACGGAATAGCTCTGCATGCACTGCAGGGGAATGGGGCCTCATCTCGCCTCTAGGGGGAAGTCTCATGGTTTTTCTCGAGTTGCGGCGGGGACCTGGGGTATGTTCTCGACTTACGGCGGGGATGGCCCTTCAAAACACGAGTTTCTTCCGTGACGTCAGGACTCCTGTCTAGTAACGAGGGACACCTCAGCAATCTCTTCGAGGCTTGGCAGGGCAAAAGGGACGCTTCTCGAGGTGAGCCAGGGCACCCAAGAACCCTTTCCAGTAACCACAGGGATTTTGGGATTCCTATCAGTATTCAAGAGGAGTCAGGCATCGTCACCTTTTGAAGCAATGAACTCCGCGTGCCTCTCGAGGTGTCAGCGGGATGTGAGGATTCCGTCAAAATGAGGCAGGGACCTAGGGCTTTCTCTAAGGTCTCCACAGGGGATTCAGACATCCCTTCATGTTGTGAGATGAAAGACGAGCCTGTATTCAAGCCACTGCAAGGAAATCCGTCCTCCTTTCAAGTTACGGCTTCTCGCTGTATATTCCCCTTGAGGCAGCAAACTCGGAGTCCCTCCCACATACCTATTGCTGAGAGAAGCCTCCTCCTGAGGTGCTTCTGGAAAGGTGGCATACGTCTTGAGCCTAAGCCAGGGAATCAGCTCTCATCTCGAGACGATTTGGGGTACACTGAGCATTCCTCGAGTTGCTGTGCCGAAGTTGGTGGTCCTCTAGTCTTGGGACAGTGTTCTCGGGTCATCTCTGGAGTTGCCTGAAGGAAGTCGAGCCACCGGTCGTGTTGAATGGGGAACAAGGAATGGCTCTGGAGTCAATGCAGGGGAATCCGGCCTCATCTCGAGTTGATTTGGGGCACATGGAGCTGCTTTGCATTGCTGGTTGACCTCAGGGTCCGTCTAGACTGGTGACAGTGTTCTTGGGGACTGTCTCGAGATCCATTAAGCAAGTCGAAGCTCCTGACTTGTTTGAATGGGATCAGGGAATAGCTCTGCATGCACTGCAGGGGAATGGGGCCTCATCTCGCCTCTAGGGGGAAGTCTCATGGTTTTTCTCGAGTTGCGGCGGGGACCTGGGGTATGTTCTCGACTTACGGCGGGGATGGCCCTTCAAAACACGAGTTTCTTCAGTGACGTCAGGACTCCTGTCTAGTAACGAGGGACACCTCAGGAATCTCTTCGAGGCTTGGCAGGGCAAAAGGGACGCTTCTCGAGGTGAGCCAGGGCACCCAAGGACCCTTTCCAGTAGCCACAGGGATTTTGGGATTCCTATAAGTAATCAAGAGGAGTCATGCATCGTCACCTTTTGAAGCAATGAACTCCGCGTGCCTCTCGACGTGTCAGCGGGATGTGAGGATTCCATCAAAATGAGGCAGGGACCTAGGGCTTTCTCTAAGGTCTCCACAGGGGAATCAGACATCCCTTCATGTTGTGAGATGAAAGACGAGCCTGTATTCAAGCCACTGCATGGAAATCCGGCCTCCTTTCAAGTTAGGGCTTCTCGCTGTATATTCCCCTTGAGGCAGCAAACTCGGGGTCCCTCCCACATACCTATTACTGAGAGAAGCCTCCTCCGGAGGTGCTTCTGGAAAGGTGGCATACGTCTTGAGCCTAAGCCAGGGAATCAGCTCTCATCTCGAGACGATTTGGGGTACACAGAGCATTCCTCGAGTTGCTGTGCTGAAGTTGGTGGTCCTCTAGACTTGGGACAGTGTTCTCGGGGCATCTCTGGAGTTGCCTGAAGGAAGTCGAGCCACCGGTCGTGTTGAATGGGGAACAAGGAATGGCTCTGGAGTCAATGCAGGGGAATCCGGCCTCATCTCGAGTTGATTTGGGGCACATGGAGCTGCTTTGCATTGCTGGGTGACCTCAGGGTCCGTCTAGACTGGTGACAGTGTTCTTGGGGACTGTCTCGAGATCCATTAAGCAAGTCGAAGCTCCTGACTTGTTTGAATGGGATCACGGAATAGCTCTGCATGCACTGCAGGGGAATGGGGCCTCATCTCGCCTCTAGGGGGAAGTCTCATGGTTTTTCTCGAGTTGCGGCGGGGACCTGGGGTATGTTCTCGACTTACGGCGGGGATGGCCCTTCAAAATACGAGTTTCTTCAGTGACGTCAGGACTCCTGCCTAGTAACGAGGGACACCTCAGGAATCTCTTCGAGGCTTGGCAGGGCAAAAGGGACGCTTCTCGAGGTGAGCCAGGGCACCCAAGGACCCTTTCCAGTAGCAACAGGGATTTTGGGATTCCTATCAGTATTCAAGAGGAGTCAGGCATCCTCACCTTTTGAAGCAATGAACTCCGCGTGCCTCTCGAGGTGTCAGCGGGATGTGAGGATTCCGTCAAAATGAGGCAGGGACCTAGGGCTTTCTCTAAGGTCTCCACAGGGGATTCAGACATCCCTTCATGTTGTGAGATGAAAGACGAGCCTGTATTCAAGCCACTGCAAGGAAATCCGGCCTCCTTTCAAGTTAGGGCTTCTCGCTGTATATTCCCCTTGAGGCAGCAAACTCGGAGTCCCTCCCACATACCTATTGTTGAGAGAAGCCTCCTCCTGAGGTGCTTCTGGAAAGTTGGCATACGTCTTGAGCCTAAGCCAGGGATTCAGCTCTCATCTCGAGACGATTTGGGGTACACAGAGCATTCCTCGAGTTGCTGTGCTGAAGTTGGTGTTCCTCTAGACTTGGGACAGTGTTCTCTGGGCATCTCCAGAGTTGCATGAAGGAAGTCGAGCCACCGGTCGTGTTGAATGGGGAACGGGGAATGGCTCTGGAGTCAATGCAGGGGAATCGGGCCTCATGTCGAGTTGATTTGTGGCACCTGGAGCTGCTTTGCGTTGCTGGGGTGACCTCAGGGTCCATCTAGACTGGTGACAGTGTTCTTGGGGACTGCCTCGAGATCCATTAAGCAAGTCGAAACTCCTGACTTGTTTGAATGGGATCACGGAATAGCTCTGCATGCACTGCAGGGGAATGGGGCCTCATCTCGCCTCTAGGGGGAAGTCTCATGGTTTTTCTCGAGTTGCGGCGGGGACCTGGGGTATGTTCTCGACTTACGGCGGGGATGGCCCTTCAAAACACGAGTTTCTTCCGTGACGTCAGGACTCCTGTCTAGTAACGAGGGACACCTCAGCAATCTCTTCGAGGCTTGGCAGGGCAAAAGGGACGCTTCTCGAGGTGAGCCAGGGCACCCAAGGACCCTTTCCAGTAGCCACAGGGATTTTGGGATTCCTATCAGTATTCAAGAGGAGTCAGGCATCGTCACCTTTTGAAGCAATGAACACCGCGTGCCTCTCGAGGTGTCAGCGGGATGTGAGGATTCCGTCAAAATGAGGCAGGGACCTAGGGCTTTCTCTAAGGTATCCACAGGGGATTCAGACATCCCTTCATGTTGTGAGATGAAAGACGAGCCTGTATTCAAGCCACTGCAAGGAAATCCGGCCTCCTTTCAAGTTAGGGCTTCTCGCTGTATATTCCCCTTGAGGCAGCAAACTCGGGGTCCCTCCCACATACCTATTGCTGAGAGAAGCCTCCTCCTGAGGTGCTTCTGGAAAGGTGGCATACGTCTTGAGCCTAAGCCAGGGAATCAGCTCTCATCTCGAGACGATTTGGGGTACACTGAGCATTCCTCGAGTTGCTGTGCTGAAGTTAGTGGTACTCTAGACTTGGGACAGTGTTCTCGGGGCATCTCTGGAGTTGCCTGAAGGAAGTCGAGCCACCGGTCGTGTTGAATCGGGAACAAGGAATGGCTCTGGAGTCAATGCAGGGGAATCCGGCCTCATCTCGAGTTGATTTGGGGCATATGGAGCTGCTTTGCATTGCTGGGTGACCTCAGGGTCCGTCTAGACTGGTGACAGTGTTCTTGGGGACTGTCTCGAGATCCATTAAGCAAGTCGAAGCTCCTGACTTGTTTGAATGGGATCACGGAATAGCTCTGCATGCACTGCAGGGGAATGGGGCCTCATCTCGCCTCTAGGGGGAAGTCTCATGGTTTTTCTCGAGTTGCGGCGGAGACCTGGGGTATGTTCTCGACTTACGGCGGGGATGGCCCTTCAAAACACGAGTTTCTTCAGTGACGTCAGGACTCCTGTCTAGTAACGAGGGACACATCAGCAATCTCTTCGAGGTTTGGCAGGGCAAAAGGGACGCTTCTCGAGGTGAGCCAGGGCACCCAAGGACCCTTTCCAGTAGCCACAGGGATTTTGGGATTCCTATCAGTATTCAAGAGGAGTCAGGCATCGTCACCTTTTGAAGCAATGTACTCCGCGTGCCTCTCGAGTTGTCAGCGGGATGTGAGGCATTCCGTCAAAATGAGGCAGGGACCTAGGGCTTTCTCTAAGGTCTTCACAGGGGATTCAGACATCCCTTCATGTTGTGAGATGAAAGACGAGCCTGTATTCAAGCCACTGCAAGGAAATCCGGCCTCCTTTCAAGTTAGGGCTTCTCGCTGTATATTCCCCTTGAGGCAGCAAACTCGGGGTCCCTCCCACATACCTATTGCTGAGAGAAGCCTCCTCCTGAGGTGCTTCTGGAAAGGTGGCATACGTCTTGAGCCTAAGCCAGGGAATCAGCTCTCATCTCGAGACGATTTGGGGTACACAGAGCATTCCTCTAGTTGCTGTGCTGAAGTTGGTGGTCCTCTAGACTTGGGACAGTGTTCTCGGGGCATCTCTGGAGTTGCCTGAAGGAAGTCGAGCCACCGGTCGTGTTGAATGGGGAACAAGAAATGGCTCTGGAGTCAATGCAGGGGAATCCGGCCTCATCTCGAGTTGATTTGGGGCACATGGAGCTGCTTTGCATTGCTGGGTGACCTCAGGGTCCGACTAGACTGGTGACAGTGTTCTTGGGGACTGTCTCGATATCCATTAAGCAAGTCGAAGCTCCTGACTTGTTTGAATGGGATCACGGAATAGCTCTGCATGCACTGCAGGGGAATGGGGCCTCATCTCGCCTCTAGGGGAAGTCTCATGGTTTTTCTCGAGTTGCGGCGGGGACCTAGGGTATGTTCTCGACTTACGGCGGGGATGGCCCTTCAAAACACGAGTTTCTTCCGTGACGTCAGGACTCCTGTTTAGTAACGAGGGACACCTCAGCAATCTCTTCGAGGCTTGGCAGGGCAAAAGGGACGCTTCTCGAGGTGAGCCAGGGCACCCAAGGACCCTTTCCAGTAGCCACAGGGATTTTGGGATTCCTATCAGTATTCAAGAGGAGTCAGGCATCGTCACCTTTTGAAGCAATGAACTCCGCGTGCCTCTCGAGGTGTCAGCGGGATGTGAGGATTCCGTCAAAATGAGGCAGGGACCTAGGGCTTTCTCTAAGGTCTCCACAGGGGATTCAGACATCCCTTCATGTTGTGAGATGAAAGACGAGCCTGTATTCAAGCCACTGCAAGGAAATCCGGCCTCCTTTCAAGTTAGGGCTTCTCGCTGTATATTCCCCTTGAGGCAGCAAACTCGGAGTCCCTCCCACATACCTATTGCTGAGAGAAGCCTCCTCCTGAGGTGCTTCTGGAAAGGTGGCATACGTCTTGAGCCTAAGCCAGGGAATCAGCTCTCATCTCGAGACGATTTGGGGTACACGGAGCATTCCTCGAGTTGCTGTGCCGAAGTTGGTGGTCCTCTAGACTTGGGACAGTGTTCTCGGGTCATCTCTGGAGTTGCCTGAAGGAAGTCGAGCCACCGGTCGTGTTGAATGGGGAACAAGGAATGGCTCTGGAGTCAATGCAGGGGAATCCGGCCTCATCTCGAGTTGATTTGGGGCACATGGAGCTGCTTTGCATTGCTGGTTGACCTCATGGTCCGTCTAGACTGGTGACAGTGTTCTTGGGGACTGTCTCGAGATCCATTAAGCAAGTCGAAGCTCCTGACTTGTTTGAATGGGATCAGGGAATAGCTCTGCATGCACTGCAGGGGAATGGGGCCTCATCTCGCCTCTAGGGGGAAGTCTCATGGTTTTTCTCGAGTTGCGGCGGGGACCTGGGGTATGTTCTCGACTTACGGCGGGGATGGCCCTTCAAAACACGAGTTTCTTCAGTGACGTCAGGACTCCTGTCTAGTAACGAGGGACACCTCAGCAATCTCTTCGAGGCTTGGCAGGGCAAAAGGGACGCTTCTCGATGTGAGCCAGGGCACCCAAGGACCCTTTCCAGTAGCCACAGGGATTTTGGGATTCCTATAAGTAATCAAGAGGAGTCATGCATCTTCACCTTTTGAAGCAATGAACTCCGCGTGCCTCTCGACGTGTCAGCGGGATGTGAGGATTCCGTCAAAATGAGGCAGGGACCTAGGGCTTTCTCTAAGGTCTTCACAGGGGATTCTGACATCCCTTCATGTTGTGAGATGAAAGACGAGCCTGTATTCAAGCCACTGCAAGGAAATCCGGCCTCCTTTCAAGTTAGGGCTTCTCGCTGTATATTCCCCTTGAGGCAGCAAACTCGGGGTCCCTCCCACATACCTATTGCTGAGAGAAGCCTCCTCCTGAGGTGCTTCTGGAAAGGTGGCATACGTCTTGAGCCTAAGCCAGGGAATCAGCTCTCATCTCGAGACGATTTGGGGTACACAGAGCATTCCTCGAGTTGCTGTGCTGAAGTTGGTGTTCCTCTAGACTTGGGACAGTGTTCTCGGGGCATCTCTGGAGTTGCCTGAAGGAAGTCGAGCCACCGGTCGTGTTGAATGGGGAACAAGGAATGGCTCTGGAGTCAATGCAGGGGAATCCGGCCTCATCTCGAGTTGATTTGGGGCACATGGAGCTGCTTTGCATTGCTGGGTGACCTCAGGGTCCGACTAGACTGGTGACAGTGTTCTTGGGGACTGTCTCGAGATCCATTAAGCAAGTCGAAGCTCCTGACTTGTTTGAATGGGATCAGGGAATAGCTCTGCATGCACTGCAGGGGAATGGGGCCTCATCTCGCCTCTAGGGGGAAGTCTCATGGTTTTTCTCGAGTTGCGGCGGGGACCTGGGGTATGTTCTCGACTTACGGCGGGGATAGCCCTTCAAAACACGAGTTTCTTCCGTGACGTCAGGACTCCTGTCTAGTAACGAGGGACACCTCAGCAATCTCTTCGAGGCTTGGCAGGGCAAAAGGGACGCTTCTCGAGGTGAGCCAGGGCACCCAAGGACCCTTTCCAGTAGCAACAGGGATTTTGGGATTCCTATCAGTATTCAAGAGGAGTCAGGCATCGTCACCTTTTGAAGCAATGAACTCCGCGTGCCTCTCGAGGTGTCAGCGGGATGTGAGGATTCCGTCAAAATGAGGCAGGGACCTAGGGCTTTCTCTAAGGTCTCCACAGGGGATTCAGACATCCCTTCATGTTGTGAGATGAAAGACGAGCCTGTATTCAAGCCACTGCATGGAAATCCGGCCTCCTTTCAAGTTAGGGCTTCTCGCTGTATATTCCCCTTGAGGCAGCAAACTCGGGGTCCCTCCCACATACCTATTACTGAGAGAATCCTCCTCCTGAGGTGCTTCTGGAAAGGTGGCATACGTCTTGAGCCTAAGCCAGGGAATCAGCTCCCATCTCGAGACGATTTGGGGTACACAGAGCATTCCTCGAGTTGCTGTGCTGAAGTTGGTGGTCCTCTAGACTTGGGACAGTGTTCTCGGGGCATCTCTGGAGTTGCCTGAAGGAAGTCGAGCCACCGGTCGTGTTGAATGGGGAACAAGGAATGGCTCTGGAGTCAATGCAGGGGAATCCGGCCTCATCTCGAGTTGATTTGGGGCACATGGAGCTGCTTTGCATTGCTGGGTGACCTCAGGGTCCGTCTAGACTGGTGACAGTGTTCTTGGGGACTGTCTCGAGATCCATTAAGCAAGTCGAAGCTCCTGACTTGTTTGAATGGGATCACGGAATAGCTCTGCATGCACTGCAGGGGAATGGGGCCTCATCTCGCCTCTAGGGGGAAGTCTCATGGTTTTTCTCGAGTTGCGGCGGGGACCTGGGGTATGTTCTCGACTTACGGCGGGGATGGCCCTTCAAAATACGAGTTTCTTCAGTGACGTCAGGACTCCTGCCTAGTAACGAGGGACACCTCAGGAATCTCTTCGAGGCTTGGCAGGGCAAAAGGGACGCTTCTCGAGGTGAGCCAGGGCACCCAAGGACCCTTGCCAGTAGCCACAGGGATTTTGGGATTCCTATAAGTAATCAAGAGGAGTCATGCATCGTCACCTTTTGAAGCAATGTACTCCGCGTGCCTCTCGAGGTGTCAGCGGGATGTGAGGCATTCCGTCAAAATGAGGCAGGGACCTAGGGCTTTCTCTAAGGTCTCCACAGGGGATTCAGACACCCCTTCATGTTGTGAGATGAAAGACAAGCCTGTATTCAAGCTACTGCAAGGAAATCCGGCCTCCTTTCAAGTTAGGGCTTCTCGCTGTATATTGCCCTTGAGGCAGCAAACTCGGAGTCCCTCCCACATACCTATTGCTGAGAAGCCTCCTCCTGAGGTGCTTCTGGAAAGTTGGCATACGTCTTGAGCCTAAGCCAGGGAATCAGCTCTCATCTCGAGACGATTTGGGGTACACAGATCATTCCTCGAGTTGCTGTGCTGAAGTTGGTGTTCCTCTAGACTTGGGACAGTGTTCTCGGGGCATCTCTGGAGTTGCCTGAAGGAAGGCGAGCCACCGGTCGTGTTAAATGGGGAACGGGGAATGGCTCTGGAGTCAATGCAGGGGAATCGGGCCTCATCTCGAGTTGATTTGTGGCACCTGGAGCTGCTTTGCGTTGCTGGGGTGACCTCAGGTTCCGTCTAGACTGGTGACAGTGTTCTTGGGGACTGCCTCGAGATCCATTAAGCAAGTCGAAGCTCCTGACTTGTTTGAATGGGATCACGGAATAGCTCTGCATGCACTGCAGGGGAATGGGGCCTCATCTCGCCTCTAGGGGGAAGTCTCATGGTTTTTCTCGAGTTGCGGCGGGGACCTGGGGTATGTTCTCGACTTACGGCGGGGATGGCCCTTCAAAACACGAGTTTCTTCAGTGACGTCAGGACTCCGGCATAGTAACGAGGGACACCTCAGGAATCTCTTCGAGGCTTGGCAGGGCAAAAGGGACGCTTCTCGAGGTGAGGCAGGGCACCCAAGGACCCTTTCCAGTAGCCACAGGGATTTTGGGATTCCTATCAGTATTCAAGAGGAGTCAGGCATCCTCACCTTTTGAAGCAATGAACTCCGCGTGCCTCTCGAGGTGTCAGCGGGATGTGAGGCATTCCGTCAAAATGAGGCAGGGACCTAGGGCTTTCTCTAAGGTCTCCACAGGGGATTCAGACATCCCTTCATGTTGTGAGATGAAAGACAAGCCTGTATTCAAGCTACTGCAAGGAATTCCGGCCTCCTTTCAAGTTAGGGCTTCTCGCTGTATATTGCCCTTGAGGCAGCAAACTCGGAGTCCCTCCCACATACCTATTGCTGAGAAGCCTCCTCCTGAGGTGCTTCTGGAAAGTTGGCATACGTCTTGAGCCTAAGCCAGGGAATCAGCTCTCATCTCGAGACGATTTGGGGTACACAGAGCATTCCTCGAGTTGCTGTGCTGAAGTTGGTCGTCCTCTAGACTTGGGACAGTGTTCTCGGGGCATCTCTGTAGTTGCCTGAAGGAAGTCGAGCCACCGGTCGTGTTGAATGGGGAACAAGGAATGGCTCTGGAGTCAATGCAGGGGAATCCGGCCTCATCTCGAGTTGATTTGGGGCACATGGAGCTGCTTTGCATTGCTGGGTGACCTCAGGGTCCGTCTAGACTGGTGACAGTGTTCTTGGGGACTGTCTCGAGATCCATTAAGCAAGTCGAAGCTCCTGACTTGTTTGAATGGGATCACGGAATAGCTCTGCATGCACTGCAAGGGAATGGGGCCTCATCTCGCCTCAAGGGGGAAGTCTCATGGTTTTTCTCGAGTTGCGGCGGAGACCTGGGGTATGTTCTCGACTTACGGCGGGGATGGCCCTTCAAAACACGAGTTTCTTCAGTGACGTCAGGACTCCTGTCTAGTAACGAGGGACACATCAGCAATCTCTTCGAGGCTTGGCAGGGCAAAAGGGACGCTTCTCGAGGTGAGCCAGGGCACCCAAGGACCCTTTCCAGTAGCCACAGGGATTTTGGGATTCCTATCAGTATTCAAGAGGAGTCAGGCATCGTCACCTTTTGAAGCAATGTACTCCGCGTGCCAATCGAGTTGTCAGCGGAATGTGAGGCATTCCGTCAAAATGAGGCAGGGACCTAGGGCTTTCTCTAAGGTCTTCAAAGGGGATTCAGACATCCCTTCATGTTGTGAGATGAAAGACGAGCCTGTATTCAAGCCACTGCAAGGAAATCCGGCCTCCTTTCAAGTTAGGGCTTCTCGCTGTATATTCCCCTTGAGGCAGCAAACTCGGGGTCCCTCCCACATACCTATTGCTGAGAGAAGCCTCCTCCTGAGGTGCTTCTGGAAAGGTGGCATACGTCTTGAGCCTAAGCCAGGGAATCAGCTCTCATCTCGAGACGATTTGGGGTACACAGAGCATTCCTCGAGTTGCTGTAATGAAGTTGGTGGTCCTCTAGACTTGGGACAGTGTTCTCGGGGCATCTCTGGAGTTGCCTGAAGGAAGTCGAGCCACCGGTCGTGTTGAATGGGGAACAAGGAATGGCTCTGGAGTCAATGCAGGGGAATCCGGCCTCATCTCGAGTTGATTTGGGGCACATGGAGCTGCTTTGCATTGCTGGGTGACCTCAGGGTCCGTCTAGACTGGTGACAGTGTTCTTGGGGACTGTCTCGAGATCCATTAAGCAAGTCGAAGCTCCTGACTTGTTTGAATGGGATCACGGAATAGCTCTGCATGCACTGCAGGGGAATGGGGCCTCATCTCGCCTCTAGAGGGAAGTCTCATGGTTTTTCTCGAGTTGCGGCGGGGACCTGGGGTATGTTCTCGACTTACGGCGGGGATGGCCCTTCAAAACACGAGTTTCTTCCGTGACGTCAGGACTCCTGTCTAGTAACGAGGGACACATCAGCAATCTCTTCGAGGCTTGGCAGGGCAAAAGGGACGCTTCTCGAGGTGAGCCAGGGCACCCAAGGACCCTTTCCAGTAGCCACAGGGATTTTGGGATTCCTATCAGTATTCAAGAGGAGTCAGGCATCGTCACCTTTTGAAGCAATGTACTCCGCGTGCCAATCGAGTTGTCAGCGGAATGTGAGGCATTCCGTCAAAATGAGGCAGGGACCTAGGGCTTTCTCTAAGGTCTTCAAAGGGGATTCAGACATCCCTTCATGTTGTGAGATGAAAGACGAGCCTGTATTCAAGCCACTGCAAGGAAATCCGGCCTCCTTTCAAGTTAGGGCTTCTCGCTGTATATTCCCCTTGAGGCAGCAAACTCGGGGTCCCTCCCACATACCTATTGCTGAGAGAAGCCTCCTCCTGAGGTGCTTCTGGAAAGGTGGCATACGTCTTGAGCCTAAGCCAGGGAATCAGCTCTCATCTCGAGACGATTTGGGGTACACAGAGCATTCCTCGAGTTGCTGTAATGAAGTTGGTGGTCCTCTAGACTTGGGACAGTGTTCTCGGGGCATCTCTGGAGTTGCCTGAAGGAAGTCGAGCCACCGGTCGTGTTGAATGGGGAACAAGGAATGGCTCTGGAGTCAATGCAGGGGAACCCGGCCTCATCTCGAGTTGATTTGGGGCACATGGAGCTGCTTTGCATTGCTGGGTGACCTCAGGGTCCGTCTAGACTGGTGACAGTGTTCTTGGGGACTGTCTCGAGATCCATTAAGCAAGTCGAAGCTCCTGACTTGTTTGAATGGGATCACGGAATAGCTCTGCATGCACTGCAGGGGAATGGGGCCTCATCTCGCCTCTAGGGGGAAGTCTCATGGTTTTTCTCGAGTTGCGGCGGGGACCTGGGGTATGTTCTCGACTTACGGCGGGGATGGCCCTTCAAAACACGAGTTTCTTCCGTGACGTCAGGACTCCTGTCTAGTAACGAGGGACACCTCAGCAATCTCTTCGAGGCTTGGCAGGGAAAAAGGGACGCTTCTCGAGGTGAGCCAGGGCACCCAAGGACCCTTTCCAGTAGCAACAGGGATTTTGGGATTCCTATCAGTATTCAAGAGGAGTCAGGCATCGTCACCTTTTGAAGCAATGAACTCCGCGTGCCTCTCGAGGTGTCAGCGGGATATGAGGATTCCGTCAAAATGAGGCAGGGACCTAGGGCTTTCTCTAAGGTCTCCACAGGGGATTCAGACATCCCTTCATGTTGTGAGATGAAAGACGAGCCTGTATTCAAGCCACTGCAAGGAAATCCGGCCTCCTTTCAAGTTAGGGCTTCTCGCTGTATATTCCCCTTGAGGCAGCAAACTCGGAGTCCCTCCCACATACCTATTGCTGAGAGAAGCCTCCTCCTGAGGTGCTTCTGGAAAGTTGGCATACGTCTTGAGCCTAAGCCAGGGATTCAGCTCTCATCTCGAGACGATTTGGGGTACACAGAGCATTCCTCGAGTTGCTGTGCTGAAGTTGGTGTTCCTCTAGACTTGGGACAGTGTTCTCTGGGCATCTCTGGAGTTGCCTGAAGGAAGTCGAGCCACCGGTCGTGTTGAATGGGGAACGGGGAATGGCTCTGGAGTCAATGCAGGGGAATCGGGCCTCATCTCGAGTTGATTTGTGGCACCTGGAGCTGCTTTGCGTTGCTGGGGTGACCTCAGGGTCCGTCTAGACTGGTGACAGTGTTCTTGGGGACTGCCTCGAGATCCATTAAGCAAGTCGAAGCTCCTGACTTGTTTGAATGTTATCACGGAATAGCTCTGGATGCACTGCAGGGGAATGGGGCCTCATCTCGCCTCTAGGGGGAAGTCTCATGGTTTTTCTCGAGTTGCGGCGGGGACCTGGGGTATGTTCTCGACTTACGGCGGGGATGGCCCTTCAAAATACGAGTTTCTTCAGTGACGTCAGGACTCCTGCCTAGTATCGAGGGACTCCTCAGGAATCTCTTCGAGGCTTGGCAGGGCAAAAGGGACGCTTCTCGAGGTGAGCCAGGGCACCCAAGGACCCTTTCCAGTAGCCACAGGGATTTTGGGATTCCTATAAGTAATCAAGAGGAGTCATGCATCGTCACCTTTTGAAGCAATGAACTCCGCGTGCCTCTCGAGGTGTCAGCGGGATGTGAGGATTCCGTCAAAATGAGGCAGGGACCTAGGGCTTTCTCTAAGGTCTCCACAGGGGATTCAGACATCTCTTCATGTTGTGAGATGAAAGACGAGCCTGTATTCAAGCCACTGCAAGGAAATCCGGCCTCTTTTCAAGTTAGGGCTTCTCGCTGTATATTCCCCTTGAGGCAGCAAACTCGGGGTCCCTCCCACATACCTATTGCTGAGAGAAGCCTCCTCCTGAGGTGCTTCTGGAAAGGTGGCATACGTCTTGAGCCTAAGCCAGGGAATCAGCTCTCATCTCGAGACGATTTGGGGTACACAGAGCATTCCTCGAGTTGCTGTGCTGAAGTTGGTGGTCCTCTAGACGTGGGACAGTGTTCTCGGGGCATCTCTGGAGTTGCCTGAAGGAAGTCGAGCCACCGGTCTTGTTTAATGGGGAACAAGGAATGACTCTGGAGTCAATGCAGGGGAATCCGGCCTCATCTCGAGTTGATTTGGGGCACATGGAGCTGCTTTGCATTGCTGGGTGACCTCAGGGTCCGTCTAGACTGGTGACAGTGTTCTTGGGGACTGTCTCGAGATCCATTAAGCAAGTCGAAGCTCCTGACTTGTTTGAATGGGATCACGGAATAGCTCTGCATGCACTGCAGGGGAATTGGGCCTCATCTCGCCTCTAGGGGGAAGTCTCATGGTTTTTCTCGAGTTGCGGCGGGGACCTGGGGTATGGTCTCGACTTACGGCGGGGATGGCCCTTCAAAACACGAGTTTCTTCAGTGACGTCAGGACTCCTGTCTAGTAACGAGGGACACCTCAGCAATCTCTTCGAGGCTTGGCAGGGCAAAAGGGACGCTTCTCGATGTGAGCCAGGGCACCCAAGGACCCTTTCCAGTAGCCACAGGGATTTTGGGATTCCTATCAGTATTCCAGAGGAGTCAGGCATCGTCACCTTTTGAAGCAATGAACTCCGCGTGCCTCTCGAGGTGTCAACGGGATGTGAGGATTCCGTCAAAATGAGGCAGGGACCTAGGGCTTTCTCTAAGGTCTCCACAGGGGATTCAGACATCCCTTCATGTTGTGAGATGAAAGACGAGCCTGTATTCAAGCCACTGCAAGGAAATCCGGCCTCCTTTCAAGTTAGGGCTTCTCGCTGTATATTCCCCTTGAGGCAGCAAACTCGGAGTCCCTCCCACATACCTATTGCTGAGAGAAGCCTCCTCCTGAGGTGCTTCTGGAAAGTTGGCATACGTCTTGAGCCTAAGCCAGGGATTCAGCTCTCATCTCGAGACGATTTGGGGTACACAGAGCATTCCTCGATTTGCTGTGCTGAAGTTGGTGTTCCTCTAGACTTGGGACAGTGTTCTCTGGGCATCTCTGGAGTTGCCTGAAGGAAGTCGAGCCACCGGTCGTGTTGAATGGGGAACGGGGAATGGCTCTGGAGTCAATGCAGGGGAATCGGGCCTCATCTCGAGTTGATTTGTGGCACCTGGAGCTGCTTTGCGTTGCTGGGGTGACCTCAGGGTCCGTCTAGACTGGTGACAGTGTTCTTGGGGACTGCCTCAAGATCCATTAAGCAAGTCGAAGCTCCTGACTTGCTTGAATGGGATCACGGAATAGCTCTGCATGCAGTGCAGGGGAATGGGGCCTCATCTCGCCTCTAGGGGGAAGTCTCATGGTTTTTCTCGAGTTGCGGCGGGGACCTGGGGTATGTTCTCGACTTACGGCGGGGATGGCCCTTCAAAATACGAGTTTCTTCAGTGATGTCAGGACTCCTGCCTAGTAACGAGGGACACCTCAGGAATCTCTTCGAGGCTTGGCAGGGCAAAAGGGACGCTTCTCGAGGTGAGCCTGGGCACCCAAGGACCCTTTCCAGTAGCCACAGGGATTTTGGGATTCCTATAAGTAATCAAGAGGAGTCATGCATCGTCATCTTTTGAAGCAATGAACTCCGCGTGCCTCTCGAGGTGTCAGCGGGATGTGAGGATTCCGTCAAAATGAGGCAGGGACCTAGGGCTTTCTCTAAGGTCTCCACAGGGGATTCAGACATCCCTTCATGTTGTGAGATGAAAGACGAGCCTGTATTCAAGCCACTGCAAGGAAATCCGGCCTCTTTTCAAGTTAGGGCTTCTCGCTGTATATTCCCCTTGAGGCAGCAAACTCGGGGTCCCTCCCACATACCTATTGCTGAGAGAAGCCTCCTCCTGAGGTGCTTCTGGAAAGGTGGCATACGTCTTGAGCCTAAGCCAGGGAATCAGCTCTCATCTCGAGACGATTTGGGGTACACAGAGCATTCCTCGAGTTGCTGTGCTGAAGTTGGTGGTCCTCTAGACTTGGGACAGTGTTCTCGGGGCATCTCTGGAGTTGCCTGAAGGAAGTCGAGCCACCGGTCGTGTTTAATGGGGAACAAGGAATGGCTCTGGAGTCAATGCAGGGGAATCCGGCCTCATCTCGAGTTGATTTGGGGCACATGGAGCTGCTTTGCATTGCTGGGTGACCTCAGGGTCCGTCTAGACTGGTGACAGTGTTCTTGGGGACTGTCTCGAGATCCATTAAGCAAGTCGAAGCTCCTGACTTGTTTGAATGGGATCACGGAATAGCTCTGCATGCACTGCAGGGGAATGGGGCCTCATCTCGCCTCTAGGGGGAAGTCTCATGGTTTTTCTCGAGTTGCGGCGGGGACCTGGGGTATGTTCTCGACTTACGGCGGGGATGGCCCTTCAAAACACGAGTTTCTTCCGTGACGTCAGGACTCCTATCTAGTAACGAGGGACACCTCAGCAATCTCTTCGAGGCTTGGCAGGGCAAAAGGGACGCTTCTCGAGGTGAGCCAGGGCACCCAAGGACCCTTTCCAGTAGCCACAGGGATTTTGGGATTCCTATCAGTATTCAAGAGGAGTCAGGCATCGTCACCTTTTGAAGCAATGAACTCCGCGTGCATCTCGAGGTGTCAGCGGGATGTGAGGATTCCGTCAAAATGAGGCAGGGACCTAGGGCTTTCTCTAAGGTCTCCACAGGGGATTCAGACATCCCTTCATGTTGTGAGATGAAAGACGAGCCTGTATTAAAGCCACTGCAAGGACATCCGGCCTCCTTTCAAGTTAGGGCTTCTCGCTGTATATTCCCCTTGAGGCAGCAAACTCGGGGTCCCTCCCACATACCTATTGCTGAGAGAAGCCTCCTCCTGAGGTGCTTCTGGAAAGTTGGCATACGTCTTGAGCCTAAGCCAGAGAATCAGCTCTCATCTCGAGATGATTTGGGGTACACGGAGCATTCCTCGAGTTGCTGTGCTGAAGGTGGTGTTCCTCTAGACTTGGGACAGTGTTCTCGGGGAAACTCTGGAGTTGCCGGAAGGAAGTCGAGCCACCGGTCGTGTTGAATGGGGAACGGGGAATGGCTCTGGAGTCAATGCAGGGGAATCGGGCCTCATCTCGAGTTGATTTGGGGCACATGGAGCAGCTTTGCATTGCTGGGGTGACCTCAGGTTTCGTCTAGACTGGTGACAGTGTTCTTGGGGACTGTCTCGAGATCCATTGAGCAAGTCGAAGCTCCTGACTTGTTTGAATGGGATCACGGAATAGCTCTGCATGCACTGCAGGGGAATGGGGCCTCATCTCGCCTCTAGGGGGAAGTCTCATGGTTTTTCTCGAGTTGCGGCGGGGACCTGGGGTATGTTCTCGACTTACGGCGGGGATGGCCCTTCAAAACACGAGTTTCTTCAGTGACGTCAGGACTCCTGTCTAGTAACGAGGGACACCTCAGGAATTCTCTTCGAGGCTTGGCAGGGCAAAAGGGACGCTTCTCGAAGTGATCCAGGGCACCCAAGGACCCTTTCCAGTAGCCACAAGGATTTTGGGATTCCTATCAGTATTCAAGAGGAGTCAGGCATCGTCACCTTTTGAAGCAATGAACTCCGCGTGCCTCTCGAGGTGTCAGCGGGATGTGAGGATTCCGTCAAAATGAGGCAGGGACCTAGGGCTTTCTCTAAGGTCTCCACAGGGGATTCAGACATCCCTTCATGTTGTGAGATGAAAGACGAGCCTGTATTCAAGCCACTGCAAGGACATCCGGCCTCCTTTCAAGTTAGGGCTTCTCGCTGTATATTCCCCTTGAGGCAGCAAACTTGGGGTCCCTCCCACCTATCTATTGCTGAGAGAAGCCTCCTCCTGCGGTGCTTCTGAAAAGTTGGCATACGTCTTGAGCCTAAGCCAGGGAATCAACTTTTAATCTCGAGACAATTTGGGGTACACAGAGCATTCCTCGAGTTGCTGTGCTGAAGTTGGTGGTCCTCTAGACTTGGGACAGTTTTCTGGGGGCATCTCTGGAGTTGCCTGAAGGAAGTTGAGCCACCGGTCATGTTGAATGGGGAACGGGGAATGGCTCTGGAGTCAATGCAGGGGAATCCGGCCTCATCTCGAGTTGATTTGGGGCACATGGACCTGCTTTGCATTGCTGGGTGACCTCAGGGTCCGTCTAGACTGGTGACAGTGTTCTTGGGGACTCTCTCAAGATCCATTAAGCAAGTCGAAGCTCCTGACTTGTTTGAATCGGATCACGGAATAGCTCTGCATGCACTGCAGGGGAATGGGGCCTCATCTCGCCTCTAGGGGGAAGGCTCACGGTTTTTCTCGAGTTGCGGCGGGGACCTGGGGTATGTTCTCGACTTACGGCGGGGATGGCCCTTCAAAACACGAGTTTCACCAGTGACGTCATGACTCATGCCTAGTAACGAGGGACACCTCAGCAATCTCTTCGAGGCTTGGCATCGCAAAAGGGACGCTTCTCGAGGTGAGGCAGGGCACCCAAGGACCCTTTCCAGTAGCCACAGGGATTTTGGGATTCCTATCAGTATTCAAGAGGAGTCAGGCATCGTCACCTTTTGAAGCAATGAACTCCGCGTGCCTCTCAAGGTGTCAGCGGGATGTGAGGCATTCCGTCAAAATGAGGCAGGGACCTAGGGCTTTCTCTAAGGTCTCCACAGGGGATTCAGACATCCCTTCATGTTGTGAGATGAAAGACGAGCCTGTATTCAAGCTACTGCAAGGAAATCCGGCCTCCTTTCAAGTTAGGGCTTCTCGCTGTATATTCCCCTTGAGGCAGCAAAGTCGGAGTCCCTCCCACATACCTATTGCTGAGAAGCCTCCTCCTGAGGTGCTTCTGGAAAGTTGGCATACGTCTTGAGCCTAAGCCAGGGAATCAGCTCTCATCTCGAGACGATTTGGGGTACACAGAGCATTCCTCGAGTTGCTGTGCTGAAGTTGGTGTTCCTCTAGACTTGGGACAGTGTTCTCTGGGCATCTCTGGAGTTGCTGAAGGAAGGCGAGCCTCCGTACGTGTTGAACGTGGAACGGGGAATGGCTCTGGAGTCAATGCAGGGGAATGGGGCCTCATCTCGAGTTGATTTGGGGCACATGCAGCTGCTTTGCGTTGCTGGGGTGACCTCAGGGTCCGTCTAGACTGGTGACAGTGTTCTTGGGGACTGTCTCGAGATCCATTAAGCAAGTCGAAGCTCCTGACTTGTTTGAATGGGATCACGGAATAGCTCTGCATGCACTGCAGGGGAATGGGGCCTCATCTCGCCTATAGGGGGAAGTCTCATGGTTTTTCTCGAGTTGCGTCGGGGACCTGGGGTATGTCCTCGACTTTCGGCGGGGATGGCCCTTCAAAACACGAGCTTCTTCAGTGACGTCAGAACTCCTGTCTAGTAACGAGGGACACCTCAGCAATCTCTTCGAGGCTTGGCAGGGCAAAAGGGACGCTTCTCGAGGTGAGCCAGGGCACCCAAGGACACTTTCCAGTAGCAATAGGGATTTTGGGATTCCTATAAGTATTCAAGAGGAGTCAGGCATCGTCACCTTTTGAAGCAATGAACTCTGCGTGCCTCTCAGGTGTCAGGGGGATGTGAGGTATTCCGTCAAAATGAGGCAGGGACCTAGGGCTTTCTCTAAGGTCTCCACAGGGGATTCAGACATCCCTTCATGTTTTCAGATCAAAGACGAGCCTGTATTCAACCCACTGCAAGGAAATCTGGCCTCCGTTCACAATAGGGCTTCTACCTGTGTATTCCCCTTTAGGCAGCAAACTCGGGGTCCCTCCCACATACCTATTGCTGAGAGAAGCCTCCTCCTGAGGTGCTTCTGGAAAGTTGGCATACGTCTTGAGCCTAAGCCAGGGAATCAGCTCTCATCTCGAGACGATTTGGGGTACACAGAGCATTCCTCGAGTTGCTGTGCTGAAGTTGGTGTTCCTCTAGACTTGGGACAGTGTTCTCCGGGCATCTCTGGAGTTGCCTGAAGGAAGTCGAGCCACCGGTCGTGTTGAATGGGGAACAAGGAATGGCTCTGGAGTCAATGCAGGGGAATCCGGCCTCATCTCGAGTTGATTTGGGGCACATGGAGCTGCTTTGCATTGCTGGGTGACCTCAGGGTCCGTCTAGACTGGTGACAGTGTTCTTGTGGACTGTCTCGAGATCCATTAAGCAAGTCGAAGCTCCTGACTTGTTTGAATGGGATCACGGAATAGCTCTGCATGCGCTGCAGGGGAATGGGGCCTCATCTCGCCTCTAGGGGGAAGTCTCATGGTTTTCCTCGAGTTGCGGTGGGGACCTGGGGTATGTTCTCGACTTACGGCGGGGATGGCCCTTCAAAACACGAGTTTCTTCAGTGACGTAAGGACTCCTGTCTAGTAACGAGGGACACCTCAGCAATCTCTTCGAGGCTTGGCAGGGCAAAAGGGACGCTTCTCGAGGTGAGCCAGGGCACCCAAGGACCCTTTCCAGTAGCCACAGGGATTTTGGGATTCCTATAAGTAATCAAGAGGAGTCAGGCATCGTCACCTTTTGAAGCAATGAACTCCGCGTGCCTCTCGAGGTGTCACCGGGATGTGAGGATTCCGTCAAAATGAGTCAGGGACCTAGGGCTTTCTCTAAGGTCTCCACAGGGGATTCAGACATCCCTTCATGTTGTGAGATGAAAGACGAGCCTGTATTCAAGCCACTGCAAGGAAATCCGGCCTCCTTTCAAGTTAGGGCTTCTCGCTGTATATTCCCCTTGAGGCAGCAAACTTGGGGTCCCTCCCACATACCTATTACTGAGAGAAGCCTCCTCCTGAGGTGCTTCTGGAAAGTTGGCATACGTCTTGAGCCTAAGCCAGGGAATCAGCTCTCATCTCGAGACGATTTGGGGTACACAGAGCATTCCTCGAGTTGCTGTGCTGAAGTTGGTGGTCCTCTAGACTTGGGACAGTGTTCTCGGGGCATCTCTGGAGTTGCCTGAAGGAAGTCGAGCCACCGGTCGTGTTGAATGGGGAACAAGGAATGGCTCTGGAGTCAATGCAGGGGAATCCGGCCTCATCTCGAGTTGATTTGGGGCACATGGAGCTGCTTTGCATTGCTGGGTGACTTCAGGGTCCGTCTAGACTGGTGACAGTGTTCTTGGGGACTGTCTCGAGATCCATTAAGCAAGTCGAAGCTCCTGACTTGTTTGAATGGGATCACGGAATAGCTCTGCATGCACTGCAGGGGAATGGGGCCTCATCTCGCCTCTAGGGGGAAGTCTCATGGTTTTTCTCGAGTTGCGGCGGAGACCTGGGGTATGTTCTCGACTTACATCGGGGATGGCCCTTCAAAACACGAGTTTCTTCAGTGACGTCAGGACTCCTGTCTAGTAACGAGGGACACATCAGCAATCACTTCGAGGCTTGGCAGGGCAAAAGGGACGCTTCTCGAGGTGAGCCAGGGCACCCAAGGACCCTTTCCAGTAGCCACAGGGATTTTGGGATTCCTATCAGTATTCAAGAGGAGTCAGGCATCGTCACCTTTTGAAGCAATGTACTCCGCGTGCCAATCGAGTTGTCAGCGGGATGTGAGGCATTCCGTCAAAATGAGGCAGGGACCTAGGGCTTTCTCTAAGGTCTTCACAGGGGATTCAGACATCCCTTCATGTTGTGAGATGAAAGACGAGCCTGTATTCAAGCCACTGCAAGGAAATCCGGCCTCCTTTCAAGTTAGGGCTTCTCGCTGTATATTCCCCTTGAGGCAGCAAACTCGGGGTCCCTCCCACATACCTATTGCTGAGAGAAGCCTCCTCCTGAGGTGCTTCTGGAAAGGTGGCATACGTCTTGAGCCTAAGCCAGGGAATCAGCTCTCATCTCGAGATGATTTGGGGTACACAGAGCATTCCTCGAGTTGCTGTGCTGAAGTTGGTGGTCCTCTAGACTTGGGACAGTGTTCTCGGGGCATCTCTGGAGTTGCCTGAAGGAAGTCGAGCCACCGGTCGTGTTGAATGGGGAACAAGGAATGGCTCTGGAGTCAATGCAGGGGAATCCGGCCTCATCTCGAGTTGATTTGGGGCATATGGAGCTGCTTTGCATTGCTGGGTGACCTCAGGGTCCGTCTAGACTGGTGACAGTGTTCTTGGGGACTGTCTCGAGATCAATTAAGCAAGTCGAAGCTCCTGACTTGTTTGAATGGGATCACGGAATAGCTCTGCATGCGCTGCAGGGGAATGGGGCCTCATCTCGCCTCTAGGGGGAAGTCTCATGGTTTTTCTCGAGTTGCGGTGGGGACCTGGGGTATGTTCTCGACTTACGGCGGGGATGGCCCTTCAAAACACGAGTTTCTTCAGTGACGTCAGGACTCCTGTCTAGTAACGAGGGACACCTCAGCAATCTCTTCGAGGCTTGGCAGGGCAAAAGGGACGCTTCTCGAGGTGAGCCAGGGCACCCAAGGACCCTTTCCAGTAGCCACAGGGATTTTGGGCTTCCTATAAGTAATCAAGAGGAGTCAGGCATCGTCACCTTTTGAAGCAATGAACTCCGCGTGCCTCTCGAGGTGTCAGCGGGATGTGAGGATTCCGTCAAAATGAGGCAGGGACCTAGGGCTTTCTCTAAGGTCTCCACAGGGGATTCAGACATCCCTTCATGTTGTGAGATGAAAGACGAGCCTGTATTCAAGCCACTGCAAGGAAATCCGGCCTCCTTTCAAGTTAGGGCTTCTCGCTGTATATTCCCCTTGAGGCAGCAAACTCGGGGTCCCTCCCACATACCTATTGCTGAGAGAAGCCTCCTCCTGAGGTGCTTCTGGAAAGGTGGCATACGTCTTGAGCCTAAGCCAGGGAATCAGCTCTCATCTCGAGATGATTTGGGGTACACAGAGCATTCCTCGAGTTGCTGTGCTGAAGTTGGTGGTCCTCTAGACTTGGGACAGTGTTCTCGGGGCATCTCTGGAGTTGCCTGAAGGAAGTCGAGCCACCGGTCGTGTTGAATGGGGAACAAGGAATGGCTCTGGAGTCAATGCAGGGGAATCCGGCCTCATCTCGAGTTGATTTGGGGCACATGGAGCTGCTTTGCATTGCTGGGTGACCTCAGGGTCCGTCTAGACTGGTGATAGTGTTCTTGGGGACTGTCTCGAGATCCATTAAGCAAGTCGAAGCTCCTGACTTGTTTGAATGGGATCATGGAATAGCTCTGCATGCACTGCAGGGGAATGGGGCCTCATCTCGCCTCTAGGGGGAAGTCTCATGGTTTTTCTCGAGTTGCGGCGGGGACCTGGGGTATGTTCTCGACTTACGGCGGGGATGGCCCTTCAAAACACGAGTTTCTTCAGTGACGTCAGGACTCCTGTCTAGTAACGAGGGACACCTCAGCAATCTCTTCGAGGCTTGGCAGGGCAAAAGGGACGCTTCTCGAGGTGAGCCAGGGCACCCAAGGACCCTTTCCAGTAGCCACAGGGATTTTGGGATTCCTATAAGTAATCAAGAGGAGTCAGGCATCGTCACCTTTTGAAGCAATGAACTCCGCGTGCCTCTCGACGTGTCAGCGGGATGTGAGGATTCCGTCAAAATGAGGCAGGGACCTAGGGCTTTCTCTAAGGTCTCCACAGGGGATTCAGACATCCCTTCATGTTGTGAGATGAAAGACGAGCCTGTATTCAAGCCACTGCAAGGAAATCCGGCCTCCTTTCAAGTTAGGGCTTCTCGCTGTATATTCCCCTTGAGGCAGCAAACTCGGGGTCCCTCCCACATACCTATTGCTGAGAGAAGCCTCCTCCTGAGGTGCTTCTGGAAAGGTGGCATACGTCTTGAGCCTAAGCCAGGGAATCAGCTCTCATCTCGAGACGATTTGGGGTACACAGAGCATTCCTCGAGTTGCTGTGCTGAAGTTGGTGGTCCTCTAGACTTGGGACAGTGTTCTCGGGGCATCTCTGGAGTTGCCTGAAGGAAGTCGAGCCACCGGTCGTGTTGAATGGGGAACAAGGAATGGCTCTGGAGTCAATGCAGGGGAATCCGGCCTCATCTCGAGTTGATTTGGGGCATATGGAGCTGCTTTGCATTGCTGGGTGACCTCAGGGTCCGTCTAGACTGGTGACAGTGTTCTTGGGGACTGTCTCGAGATCCATTAAGCAAGTCGAAGCTCCTGACTTGTTTGAATGGGATCACGGAATAGCTCTGCATGCGCTGCAGGGGAATGGGGCCTCATCTCGCCTCTAGGGGGAAGTCTCATGGTTTTTCTCGAGTTGCGGTGGGGACCTGGGGTATGTTCTCGACTTACGGCGGGGATGGCCCTTCAAAACACGAGTTTCTTCAGTGACGTCAGGACTCCTGTCTAGTAACGAGGGACACCTCAGCAATCTCTTCGAGGCTTGGCAGGGCAAAAGGGACGCTTCTCGAGGTGAGCCAGGGCACCCAAGGACCCTTTCCAGTAGCCACAGGGATTTTGGGCTTCCTATAAGTAATCAAGAGGAGTCAGGCATCGTCACCTTTTGAAGCAATGAACTCCGCGTGCCTCTCGAGGTGTCAGCGGGATGTGAGGATTCCGTCAAAATGAGGCAGGGACCTAGGGCTTTCTCTAAGGTCTCCACAGGGGATTCAGACATCCCTTCATGTTGTGAGATGAAAGACGAGCCTGTATTCAAGCCACTGCAAGGAAATCCGGCCTCCTTTCAAGTTAGGGCTTCTCGCTGTATATTCCCCTTGAGGCAGCAAACTCGGGGTCCCTCCCACATACCTATTGCTGAGAGAAGCCTCCTCCTGAGGTGCTTCTGGAAAGGTGGCATACGGCTTGAGCCTAAGCCAGGGAATCAGCTCTCATCTCGAGACGATTTGGGGTACACAGAGCATTCCTCGAGTTGCTGTGCTGAAGTTGGTGGTCCTCTAGACTTGGGACAGTGTTCTCGGGGCATCTCTGGAGTTGCCTGAAGGAAGTCGAGCCACCGGTCGTGTTGAATGGGGAACAAGGAATGGCTCTGGAGTCAATGCAGGGGAATCCGGCCTCATCTCGAGTTGATTTGGGGCACATGGAGCTGCTTTGCATTGCTGGGTGACCTCAGGGTCCGTCTAGACTGGTGATAGTGTTCTTGGGGACTGTCTCGAGATCCATTAAGCAAGTCGAAGCTCCTGACTTGTTTGAATGGGATCACGGAATAGCTCTGCATGCACTGCAGGGGAATGGGGCCTCATCTCGCCTCTAGGGGGAAGTCTCATGGTTTTTCTCGAGTTGCGGCGGGGACCTGGGGTATGTTCTCGACTTACGGCAGGGATGGCCCTTCAAAACACGAGTTTCTTCAGTGACGTCAGGACTCCTGTCTAGTAACGAGGGACACCTCAGCAATCTCTTCGAGGCTTGGCAGGGCAAAAGGGACGCTTCTCGAGGTGAGCCAGGGCACCCAAGGACCCTTTCCAGTAGCCACAGGGATTTTGGGATTCCTATAAGTAATCAAGAGGAGTCAGGCATCGTCACCTTTTGAAGCAATGAACTCCGCGTGCCTCTCGACGTGTCAGCGGGATGTGAGGATTCCGTCAAAATGAGGCAGGGACCTAGGGCTTTCTCTAAGGTCTCCACAGGGGATTCAGACATCCCTTCATGTTGTGAGATGAAAGACGAGCCTGTATTCAAGCCACTGCAAGGAAATCCGGCCTCCTTTCAAGTTAGGGCTTCTCGCTGTATATTCCCCTTGAGGCAGCAAACTCGGGGTCCCTCCCACATACCTATTACTGAGAGAAGCCTCCTCCTGAGGTGCTTCTGGAAAGGTGGCATACGTCTTGAGCCTAAGCCAGGGAATCAGCTCTCATCTCGAGACGATTTGGGGTACACAGAGCATTCCTCGAGTTGCTGTGCTGAAGTTGGTGGTCCTCTAGACTTGGGACAGTGTTCTCGGGGCATCTCTGGAGTTGCCTGAAGGAAGTCGAGCCACCGGTCGTGTTGAATGGGGAACAAGGAATGGCTCTGGAGTCAATGCAGGGGAATCCGGCCTCATCTCGAGTTGATTTGGGGCACATGGAGGTGCTTTGCATTGCTGGTTGACCTCAGGGTCCGTCTAGACTGGTGACAGTGTTCTTGGGGACTGTCTCGAGATCCATTAAGCAAGTCGAAGCTCCTGACTTGTTTGAATGGGATCACGGAATAGCTCTGCATGCACTGCAGGGGAATGGGGCCTCATCTCGCCTCTAGGGGGAAGTCTCATGGTTTTTCTCGAGTTGCGGCGGGGACCTGGGGTATGTTCTCGACTTACGGCGGGGATGGCCCTTCAAAATACGAGTTTCTTCAGTGACGTCAGGACTCCTGCCTAGTAACGAGGGACACCTCAGGAATCTCTTCGAGGCTTGGCAGGGCAAAAGGGACGCTTCTCGAGGTGAGCCAGGGCACCCAAGGACCCTTTCCAGTAGCCACAGGGATTTTGGGATTCCTATAAGTAATCAAGAGGAGTCATTCATCGTCACCTTTTGAAGCAATGAACTCCGCGTGCCTCTCGAGGTGTCAGCGGGATGGGAGGCATTCCGTCAAAATGAGGCAGGGACCTAGGGCTTTCTCTAAGGTCTCCACAGGGGATTCAGACATCCCTTCATGTTGTGAGATGAAAGACAAGCCTGTATTCAAGCTACTGCAAGGAAATCCGGCCTCCTTTCAAGTTAGGGCTTCTCGCTGTATATTGCCCTTGAGGCAGCAAACTCGGAGTCCCTCCCACATACCTATTGCTGAGAAGCCTCCTCCTGAGGTGCTTCTGGAAAGTTGGCATACGTCTTGAGCCTAAGCCAGGGAATCAGCTCTCATCTCGAGACGATTTGGGGTACACAGATCATTCCTCGAGTTGCTGTGCTGAAGTTGGTGTTCCTCTAGACTTGGGACAGTGTTCTCGGGGCATCTCTGGAGTTGCCTGAAGGAAGGCGAGCCACCGGTCGTGTTGAATGGGGAACGGGGAATGGCTCTGGAGTCAATGCAGGGGAATCGGGCCTCATCTCGAGTTGATTTGTGGCACCTGGAGCTGCTTTGCGTTGCTGGGGTGACCTCAGGTTCCGTCTAGACTGGTGACAGTGTTCTTGGGGACTGCCTCGAGATCCATTAAGCAAGTCAAAGCTCCTGACTTGTTTGAATGGGATCACGGAATAGCTCTGCATGCACTGCAGGGGAATGGGGCCTCATCTCGCCTCTAGGGAGAAGTCTCATGGTTTTTCTCGAGTTGCGGCGGGGACCTGGGGTATGTTCTCGACTTACGGCGGGGATGGCCCTTCAAAACACGAGTTTCTTCAGTGACGTCAGGACTCCTGTCTAGTAACGAGGGACACATCAGCAATTTCTTCGAGGCTTGGCAGGGCAAAAGGGAGGCTTCTCGAGGTGAGCCAGGGTACCGAAGGACCCTTTCCAGTAGCCACAGGGATTTTGGGATTCCTATCAGTATTCAAGAGGAGTCAGGCATCGTCACCTTTTGAAGCAATGTACTCCGCGTGCCTCTCGAGTTGTCAGCGGGATGTGAGGCATTCCGTCAAAATGAGGCAGGGACCTAGGGCTTTCTCTAAGGTCTTCACAGGGGATTCTGACATCCCTTCATGTTGTGAGATGAAAGACGAGCCTGTATTCAAGCCACTGCAAGGAAATCCGGCCTCCTTTCAAGTTAGGGCTTCTCGCTGTATATTCCCCTTGAGGCAGCAAACTCGGGGTCCCTCCCACATACCTATTGCTGAGAGAAGCCTCCTCCTGAGGTGCTTCTGGAAAGGTGGCATACGTCTTGAGCCTAAGCCAGGGAATCAGCTCTCATCTCGAGACGATTTGGGGTACACAGTGCATTCCTCGAGTTGCTGTGCTGAAGTAGGTGGTCCTCTAGACTTGGGACAGTGTTCTCGGGGCATCTCTGGAGTTGCCTGAAGGAAGTCGAGCCACCGGTCTTGTTGAATGGGGAACAAGGAATGGCTCTGGAGTCAATGCAGGGGAATCCGGCCTCATCTCGAGTTGATTTGGGGCACATGGAGCTGCTTTGCATTGCTGGGTGACCTCAGGGTCCGACTAGACTGGTGACAGTGTTCTTGGGGACTGTCTCGATATCCATTAAGCAAGTCGAAGCTCCTGACTTGTTTGAATGGGATCACGGAATAGCTCTGCATGCACTGCAGGGGAATGGGGCCTCATCTCGCCTCTAGGGGGAAGTCTCATGGTTTTTCTCGAGTTGCGGCGGGGACCTGGGGTATGTTCTCGACTTACGGCTGGGATGGCCCTTCATAACACGAGTTTCTTCCGTGACGTCAGGACTCCTGTCTAGTAACGAGGGACACCTCAGCAATCTCTTCGAGGCTTGGCAGGGCAAAAGGGACGCTTCTCGAGGTGAGCCAGGGCACCCAAGGACCCTTTCCAGTAGCAACAGGGATTTTGGGATTCCTATCAGTATTCAAGAGGAGTCAGGCATCGTCACCTTTTGAAGCAATGAACTCCGCGTGCCTCTCGACGTGTCAGCGGGATGTGAGGATTCCGTCAAAATGAGGCAGGGACCTAGGGCTTTCTCTAAGGTCTCCACAGGGGATTCAGACATCCCTTCATGTTGTGAGATGAAAGACGAGCCTGTATTCAAGCCACTGCAAGGAAATCCGGCCTCCTTTCAAGTTAGGGCTTCTCGCTGTATATTCCCCTTGAGGCAGCAAACTCGGAGTCCCTCCCACATACCTATTGTTGAGAGAAGCCTCCTCCTGAGGTGCTTCTGGAAAGTTGGCATACGTCTTGAGCCTAAGCCAGGGAATCAGCTCTCATCTCGAGACGATTTGGGGTACACAGAGCATTCCTCGAGTTGCTGTGCTGAAGTTGGTGGTCCTCTAGACTTGGGACAGTGTTCTCGGGGCATCTCTGGAGTTGCCTGAAGGAAGTCGAGCCACCGGTCGTGTTGAATGGGGAACAAGGAATGGCTCTGGAGTCAATGCAGGGGAATCCGGCCTCATCTCGAGTTGATTTGGGGCACATGGAGCTGCTTTGCATTGCTGGGTGACCTCAGGGTCCGACTAGACTGGTGACAGTGTTCTTGGGGACTGTCTCGATATCCATTAAGCAAGTCGAAGCTCCTGACTTGTTTGAATGGGATCACGGAATAGCTCTGCATGCACTGCAGGGGAATGGGGCCTCATCTCGCCTCTAGGGGGAAGTCTCATGGTTTTTCTCGAGTTGCGGCGGGGACCTGGGGTATGTTCTCGACTTACGGCGGGGATGGCCCTTCAAAACACGAGTTTCTTCCGTGACGTCAGGACTCCTGTCTAGTAACGAGGGACACCTCAGCAATCTCTTCGAGGCTTGGCAGGGCAAAAGGGACGCTTCTCGAGGTGAGCCAGGGCACCCAAGGACCCTTTCCAGTAGCCACAGGGATTTTGGGATTCCTATCAGTATTCAAGAGGAGTCAGGCATCGTCACCTTTTGAAGCAATGAACTCCGCGTGCCTCTCGAGGTGTCAGCGGGATGTGAGGATTCCGTCAAAATGAGGCAGGGACCTAGGGCTTTCTCTAAGGTCTCCACAGGGGATTCAGACATCCCTTCATGTTGTGAGATGAAAGACGAGCCTGTATTCAAGCCACTGCAAGGAAATCCGGCCTCCTTTCAAGTTAGGGCTTCTCGCTGTATATTCCCCTTGAGGCAGCAAACTCGGGGTCCCTCCCACATACCTATTGCTGAGAGAAGCCTCCTCCTGAGGTGCTTCTGGAAAGGTGGCATACGTCTTGAGCCTAAGCCAGGCAATCAGCTCTCATCTCGAGACGATTTGGGGTACACAGAGCATTCCTCGAGTTGCTGTGCTGAAGTTGGTGGTCCTCTAGACTTGGGACAGTGTTCTCGGGGCATCTCTGGAGTTGCCTGAAGGAAGTCGAGCCACCGGTCGTGTTGAATGGGGAACAAGGAATGGCTCTGGAGTCAATGCAGGGGAATCCGGCCTCATCTCGAGTTGATTTGGGGCACATGGAGCTGCTTTGCATTGCTGGGTGACCTCAGCGTCCGTCTAGACTGGTGACAGTGTTCTTGGGGACTGTCTCGAGATCCATTAAGCAAGTCGAAGCTCCTGACTTGTTTGAATGGGATCACGGAATAGCTCTGCATGCGCTGCAGGGGAATGGGGCCTCATCTCGCCTCTAGGGGGAAGTCTCATGGTTTTTCTCGACTTACGGGGGGGATGGCCCTTCAAAACACGAGTTTCTTCAGTGACGTCAGGACTCCTGTCTAGTAACGAGGGACACCTCAGCAATCTCTTCGAGGCTTGGCAGGGCAAAAGGGACGCTTCTCGAGGTGAGCCAGGGCACCCAAGGACCCTTTCCAGTAGCCACAGGGATTTTGGGCTTCCTATAAGTAATCAAGAGGAGTCAGGCATCGTCACCTTTTGAAGCAATGAACTCCGCGTGCCTCTCGAGGTGTCAGCGGGATGTGAGGATTCCGTCAAAATGAGGCAGGGACCTAGGGCTTTCTCTAAGGTCTCCACAGGGGATTCAGACATCCCTTCATGTTGTGAGATGAAAGACGAGCCTGTATTAAAGCCACTGCAAGGACATCCGGCCTCCTTTCAAGTTAGGGCTTCTCGCTGTATATTCCCCTTGAGGCAGCAAACTCGGGGTCCCTCCCACATACCTATTGCTGAGAGAAGCCTCCTCCTGAGGTGCTTCTGGAAAGTTGGCATACGTCTTGAGCCTAAGCCAGAGAATCAGCTCTCATCTCGAGATGATTTGGGGTACACGGAGCATTCCTCGAGTTGCTGTGCTGAAGGTGGTGTTCCTCTAGACTTGGGACAGTGTTCTCGGGGAAACTCTGGAGTTGCCGGAAGGAAGTCGAGCCACCGGTCGTGTTGAATGGGGAACGGGGAATGGCTCTGGAGTCAATGCAGGGGAATCGGGCCTCATCTCGAGTTGATTTGGGGCACATGGAGCAGCTTTGCATTGCTGGGGTGACCTCAGGTTTCGTCTAGACTGGTGACAGTGTTCTTGGGGACTGTCTCGAGATCCATTGAGCAAGTCGAAGCTCCTGACTTGTTTGAATGGGATCACGGAATAGCTCTGCATGCACTGCAGGGGAATGGGGCCTCATCTCGCCTCTAGGGGGAAGTCTCATGGTTTTTCTCGAGTTGCGGCGGGGACCTGGGGTATGTTCTCGACTTACGGCGGGGATGGCCCTTCAAAACACGAGTTTCTTCAGTGACGTCAGGACTCCTGTCTAGTAACGAGGGACACCTCAGGAATTCTCTTCGAGGCTTGGCAGGGCAAAAGGGACGCTTCTCGAAGTGATCCAGGGCACCCAAGGACCCTTTCCAGTAGCCACAAGGATTTTGGGATTCCTATCAGTATTCAAGAGGAGTCAGGCATCGTCACCTTTTGAAGCAATGAACTCCGCGTGCCTCTCGAGGTGTCAGCGGGATGTGAGGATTCCGTCAAAATGAGGCAGGGACCTAGGGCTTTCTCTAAGGTCTCCACAGGGGATTCAGACATCCCTTCATGTTGTGAGATGAAAGACGAGCCTGTATTCAAGCCACTGCAAGGACATCCGGCCTCCTTTCAAGTTAGGGCTTCTCGCTGTATATTCCCCTTGAGGCAGCAAACTTGGGGTCCCTCCCACCTATCTATTGCTGAGAGAAGCCTCCTCCTGCGGTGCTTCTGAAAAGTTGGCATACGTCTTGAGCCTAAGCCAGGGAATCAACTTTTAATCTCGAGACAATTTGGGGTACACAGAGCATTCCTCGAGTTGCTGTGCTGAAGTTGGTGGTCCTCTAGACTTGGGACAGTTTTCTGGGGGCATCTCTGGAGTTGCCTGAAGGAAGTTGAGCCACCGGTCATGTTGAATGGGGAACGGGGAATGGCTCTGGAGTCAATGCAGGGGAATCCGGCCTCATCTCGAGTTGATTTGGGGCACATGGACCTGCTTTGCATTGCTGGGTGACCTCAGGGTCCGTCTAGACTGGTGACAGTGTTCTTGGGGACTCTCTCAAGATCCATTAAGCAAGTCGAAGCTCCTGACTTGTTTGAATCGGATCACGGAATAGCTCTGCATGCACTGCAGGGGAATGGGGCCTCATCTCGCCTCTAGGGGGAAGGCTCACGGTTTTTCTCGAGTTGCGGCGGGGACCTGGGGTATGTTCTCGACTTACGGCGGGGATGGCCCTTCAAAACACGAGTTTCACCAGTGACGTCATGACTCATGCCTAGTAACGAGGGACACCTCAGCAATCTCTTCGAGGCTTGGCATCGCAAAAGGGACGCTTCTCGAGGTGAGGCAGGGCACCCAAGGACCCTTTCCAGTAGCCACAGGGATTTTGGGATTCCTATCAGTATTCAAGAGGAGTCAGGCATCGTCACCTTTTGAAGCAATGAACTCCGCGTGCCTCTCAAGGTGTCAGCGGGATGTGAGGCATTCCGTCAAAATGAGGCAGGGACCTAGGGCTTTCTCTAAGGTCTCCACAGGGGATTCAGACATCCCTTCATGTTGTGAGATGAAAGACGAGCCTGTATTCAAGCTACTGCAAGGAAATCCGGCCTCCTTTCAAGTTAGGGCTTCTCGCTGTATATTCCCCTTGAGGCAGCAAAGTCGGAGTCCCTCCCACATACCTATTGCTGAGAAGCCTCCTCCTGAGGTGCTTCTGGAAAGTTGGCATACGTCTTGAGCCTAAGCCAGGGAATCAGCTCTCATCTCGAGACGATTTGGGGTACACAGAGCATTCCTCGAGTTGCTGTGCTGAAGTTGGTGTTCCTCTAGACTTGGGACAGTGTTCTCGGGGCATCTCTGGAGTTGCTGAAGGAAGGCGAGCCTCCGTACGTGTTGAACGTGGAACGGGGAATGGCTCTGGAGTCAATGCAGGGGAATGGGGCCTCATCTCGAGTTGATTTGGGGCACATGCAGCTGCTTTGCGTTGCTGGGGTGACCTCAGGGTCCGTCTAGACTGGTGACAGTGTTCTTGGGGACTGTCTCGAGATCCATTAAGCAAGTCGAAGCTCCTGACTTGTTTGAATGGGATCACGGAATAGCTCTGCATGCACTGCAGGGGAATGGGGCCTCATCTCGCCTATAGGGGGAAGTCTCATGGTTTTTCTCGAGTTGCGTCGGGGACCTGGGGTATGTCCTCAACTTTCGGCGGGGATGGCCCTTCAAAACACGAGCTTCTTCAGTGACGTCAGAACTCCTGTCTAGTAACGAGGGACACCTCAGCAATCTCTTCGAGGCTTGGCAGGGCAAAAGGGACGCTTCTCGAGGTGAGCCAGGGCACCCAAGGACACTTTCCAGTAGCAATAGGGATTTTGGGATTCCTATAAGTATTCAAGAGGAGTCAGGCATCGTCACCTTTTGAAGCAATGAACTCTGCGTGCCTCTCAGGTGTCAGGGGGATGTGAGGTATTCCGTCAAAATGAGGCAGGGACCTAGGGCTTTCTCTAAGGTCTCCACAGGGGATTCAGACATCCCTTCATGTTTTCAGATCAAAGACGAGCCTGTATTCAACCCACTGCAAGGAAATCTGGCCTCCGTTCACAATAGGGCTTCTACCTGTGTATTCCCCTTTAGGCAGCAAACTCGGGGTCCCTCCCACATACCTATTGCTGAGAGAAGCCTCCTCCTGAGGTGCTTCTGGAAAGTTGGCATACGTCTTGAGCCTAAGCCAGGGAATCAGCTCTCATCTCGAGACGATTTGGGGTACACAGAGCATTCCTCGAGTTGCTGTGCTGAAGTTGGTGGTCCTCTAGACTTGGGACAGTGTTCTCGGGGCATCTCTGGAGTTGCCTGAAGGAAGTCGAGCCACCGGTCGTGTTGAATGGGGAACAAGGAATGGCTCTGGAGTCAATGCAGGGGAATCCGGCCTCATCTCGAGTTGATTTGGGGCACATGGAGCTGCTTTGCATTGCTGGGTGACTTCAGGGTCCGTCTAGACTGGTGACAGTGTTCTTGGGGACTGTCTCGAGATCCATTAAGCAAGTCGAAGCTCCTGACTTGTTTGAATGGGATCACGGAATAGCTCTGCATGCACTGCAGGGGAATGGGGCCTCATCTCGCCTCTAGGGGGAAGTCTCATGGTTTTTCTCGAGTTGCGGCGGAGACCTGGGGTATGTTCTCGACTTACATCGGGGATGGCCCTTCAAAACACGAGTTTCTTCAGTGACGTCAGGACTCCTGTCTAGTAACGAGGGACACATCAGCAATCACTTCGAGGCTTGGCAGGGCAAAAGGGACGCTTCTCGAGGTGAGCCAGGGCACCCAAGGACCCTTTCCAGTAGCCACAGGGATTTTGGGATTCCTATCAGTATTCAAGAGGAGTCAGGCATCGTCACCTTTTGAAGCAATGTACTCCGCGTGCCAATCGAGTTGTCAGCGGGATGTGAGGCATTCCGTCAAAATGAGGCAGGGACCTAGGGCTTTCTCTAAGGTCTTCACAGGGGATTCAGACATCCCTTCATGTTGTGAGATGAAAGACGAGCCTGTATTCAAGCCACTGCAAGGAAATCCGGCCTCCTTTCAAGTTAGGGCTTCTCGCTGTATATTCCCCTTGAGGCAGCAAACTCGGGGTCCCTCCCACATACCTATTGCTGAGAGAAGCCTCCTCCTGAGGTGCTTCTGGAAAGGTGGCATACGTCTTGAGCCTAAGCCAGGGAATCAGCTCTCATCTCGAGATGATTTGGGGTACACAGAGCATTCCTCGAGTTGCTGTGCTGAAGTTGGTGGTCCTCTAGACTTGGGACAGTGTTCTCGGGGCATCTCTGGAGTTGCCTGAAGGAAGTCGAGCCACCGGTCGTGTTGAATGGGGAACAAGGAATGGCTCTGGAGTCAATGCAGGGGAATCCGGCCTCATCTCGAGTTGATTTGGGGCATATGGAGCTGCTTTGCATTGCTGGGTGACCTCAGGGTCCGTCTAGACTGGTGACAGTGTTCTTGGGGACTGTCTCGAGATCAATTAAACAAGTCGAAGCTCCTGACTTGTTTGAATGGGATCACGGAATAGCTCTGCATGCGCTGCAGGGGAATGGGGCCTCATCTCGCCTCTAGGGGGAAGTCTCATGGTTTTTCTCGAGTTGCGGTGGGGACCTGGGGTATGTTCTCGACTTACGGCGGGGATGGCCCTTCAAAACACGAGTTTCTTCAGTGACGTCAGGACTCCTGTCTAGTAACGAGGGACACCTCAGCAATCTCTTCGAGGCTTGGCAGGGCAAAAGGGACGCTTCTCGAGGTGAGCCAGGGCACCCAAGGACCCTTTCCAGTAGCCACAGGGATTTTGGGCTTCCTATAAGTAATCAAGAGGAGTCAGGCATCGTCACCTTTTGAAGCAATGAACTCCGCGTGCCTCTCGAGGTGTCAGCGGGATGTGAGGATTCCGTCAAAATGAGGCAGGGACCTAGGGCTTTCTCTAAGGTCTCCACAGGGGATTCAGACATCCCTTCATGTTGTGAGATGAAAGACGAGCCTGTATTCAAGCCACTGCAAGGAAATCCGGCCTCCTTTCAAGTTAGGGCTTCTCGCTGTATATTCCCCTTGAGGCAGCAAACTCGGGGTCCCTCCCACATACCTATTGCTGAGAGAAGCCTCCTCCTGAGGTGCTTCTGGAAAGGTGGCATACGTCTTGAGCCTAAGCCAGGGAATCAGCTCTCATCTCGAGATGATTTGGGGTACACAGAGCATTCCTCGAGTTGCTGTGCTGAAGTTGGTGGTCCTCTAGACTTGGGACAGTGTTCTCGGGGCATCTCTGGAGTTGCCTGAAGGAAGTCGAGCCACCGGTCGTGTTGAATGGGGAACAAGGAATGGCTCTGGAGTCAATGCAGGGGAATCCGGCCTCATCTCGAGTTGATTTGGGGCACATGGAGCTGCTTTGCATTGCTGGGTGACCTCAGGGTCCGTCTAGACTGGTGATAGTGTTCTTGGGGACTGTCTCGAGATCCATTAAGCAAGTCGAAGCTCCTGACTTGTTTGAATGGGATCATGGAATAGCTCTGCATGCACTGCAGGGGAATGGGGCCTCATCTCGCCTCTAGGGGGAAGTCTCATGGTTTTTCTCGAGTTGCGGCGGGGACCTGGGGTATGTTCTCGACTTACGGCGGGGATGGCCCTTCAAAACACGAGTTTCTTCAGTGACGTCAGGACTCCTGTCTAGTAACGAGGGACACCTCAGCAATCTCTTCGAGGCTTGGCAGGGCAAAAGGGACGCTTCTCGAGGTGAGCCAGGGCACCCAAGGACCCTTTCCAGTAGCCACAGGGATTTTGGGATTCCTATAAGTAATCAAGAGGAGTCAGGCATCGTCACCTTTTGAAGCAATGAACTCCGCGTGCCTCTCGACGTGTCAGCGGGATGTGAGGATTCCGTCAAAATGAGGCAGGGACCTAGGGCTTTCTCTAAGGTCTCCACAGGGGATTCAGACATCCCTTCATGTTGTGAGATGAAAGACGAGCCTGTATTCAAGCCACTGCAAGGAAATCCGGCCTCCTTTCAAGTTAGGGCTTCTCGCTGTATATTCCCCTTGAGGCAGCAAACTCGGGGTCCCTCCCACATACCTATTGCTGAGAGAAGCCTCCTCCTGAGGTGCTTCTGGAAAGGTGGCATACGTCTTGAGCCTAAGCCAGGGAATCAGCTCTCATCTCGAGACGATTTGGGGTACACAGAGCATTCCTCGAGTTGCTGTGCTGAAGTTGGTGGTCCTCTAGACTTGGGACAGTGTTCTCGGGGCATCTCTGGAGTTGCCTGAAGGAAGTCGAGCCACCGGTCGTGTTGAATGGGGAACAAGGAATGGCTCTGGAGTCAATGCAGGGGAATCCGGCCTCATCTCGAGTTGATTTGGGGCATATGGAGCTGCTTTGCATTGCTGGGTGACCTCAGGGTCCGTCTAGACTGGTGACAGTGTTCTTGGGGACTGTCTCGAGATCCATTAAGCAAGTCGAAGCTCCTGACTTGTTTGAATGGGATCACGGAATAGCTCTGCATGCGCTGCAGGGGAATGGGGCCTCATCTCGCCTCTAGGGGGAAGTCTCATGGTTTTTCTCGAGTTGCGGTGGGGACCTGGGGTATGTTCTCGACTTACGGCGGGGATGGCCCTTCAAAACACGAGTTTCTTCAGTGACGTCAGGACTCCTGTCTAGTAACGAGGGACACCTCAGCAATCTCTTCGAGGCTTGGCAGGGCAAAAGGGACGCTTCTCGAGGTGAGCCAGGGCACCCAAGGACCCTTTCCAGTAGCCACAGGGATTTTGGGCTTCCTATAAGTAATCAAGAGGAGTCAGGCATCGTCACCTTTTGAAGCAATGAACTCCGCGTGCCTCTCGAGGTGTCAGCGGGATGTGAGGATTCCGTCAAAATGAGGCAGGGACCTAGGGCTTTCTCTAAGGTCTCCACAGGGGATTCAGACATCCCTTCATGTTGTGAGATGAAAGACGAGCCTGTATTCAAGCCACTGCAAGGAAATCCGGCCTCCTTTCAAGTTAGGGCTTCTCGCTGTATATTCCCCTTGAGGCAGCAAACTCGGGGTCCCTCCCACATACCTATTGCTGAGAGAAGCCTCCTCCTGAGGTGCTTCTGGAAAGGTGGCATACGTCTTGAGCCTAAGCCAGGGAATCAGCTCTCATCTCGAGATGATTTGGGGTACACAGAGCATTCCTCGAGTTGCTGTGCTGAAGTTGGTGGTCCTCTAGACTTGGGACAGTGTTCTCGGGGCATCTCTGGAGTTGCCTGAAGGAAGTCGAGCCACCGGTCGTGTTGAATGGGGAACAAGGAATGGCTCTGGAGTCAATGCAGGGGAATCCGGCCTCATCTCGAGTTGATTTGGGGCACATGGAGCTGCTTTGCATTGCTGGGTGACCTCAGGGTCCGTCTAGACTGGTGATAGTGTTCTTGGGGACTGTCTCGAGATCCATTAAGCAAGTCGAAGCTCCTGACTTGTTTGAATGGGATCATGGAATAGCTCTGCATGCACTGCAGGGGAATGGGGCCTCATCTCGCCTCTAGGGGGAAGTCTCATGGTTTTTCTCGAGTTGCGGCGGGGACCTGGGGTATGTTCTCGACTTACGGCGGGGATGGCCGTTCAAAACACGAGTTTCTTCAGTGACGTCAGGACTCCTGTCTAGTAACGAGGGACACCTCAGCAATCTCTTCGAGGCTTGGCAGGGCAAAAGGGACGCTTCTCGAGGTGAGCCAGGGCACCCAAGGACCCTTTCCAGTAGCCACAGGGATTTTGGGATTCCTATAAGTAATCAAGAGGAGTCAGGCATCGTCACCTTTTGAAGCAATGAACTCCGCGTGCCTCTCGACGTGTCAGCGGGATGTGAGGATTCCGTCAAAATGAGGCAGGGACCTAGGGCTTTCTCTAAGGTCTCCACAGGGGATTCAGACATCCCTTCATGTTGTGAGATGAAAGACGAGCCTGTATTCAAGCCACTGCAAGGAAATCCGGCCTCCTTTCAAGTTAGGGCTTCTCGCTGTATATTCCCCTTGAGGCAGCAAACTCGGGGTCCCTCCCACATACCTATTGCTGAGAGAAGCCTCCTCCTGAGGTGCTTCTGGAAAGGTGGCATACGTCTTGAGCCTAAGCCAGGGAATCAGCTCTCATCTCGAGACGATTTGGGGTACACAGAGCATTCCTCGAGTTGCTGTGCTGAAGTTGGTGGTCCTCTAGACTTGGGACAGTGTTCTCGGGGCATCTCTGGAGTTGCCTGAAGGAAGTCGAGCCACCGGTCGTGTTGAATGGGGAACAAGGAATGGCTCTGGAGTCAATGCAGGGGAATCCGGCCTCATCTCGAGTTGATTTGGGGCATATGGAGCTGCTTTGCATTGCTGGGTGACCTCAGGGTCCGTCTAGACTGGTGACAGTGTTCTTGGGGACTGTCTCGAGATCCATTAAGCAAGTCGAAGCTCCTGACTTGTTTGAATGGGATCACGGAATAGCTCTGCATGCGCTGCAGGGGAATGGGGCCTCATCTCGCCTCTAGGGGGAAGTCTCATGGTTTTTCTCGAGTTGCGGTGGGGACCTGGGGTATGTTCTCGACTTACGGCGGGGATGGCCCTTCAAAACACGAGTTTCTTCAGTGACGTCAGGACTCCTGTCTAGTAACGAGGGACACCTCAGCAATCTCTTCGAGGCTTGGCAGGGCAAAAGGGACGCTTCTCGAGGTGAGCCAGGGCACCCAAGGACCCTTTCCAGTAGCCACAGGGATTTTGGGCTTCCTATAAGTAATCAAGAGGAGTCAGGCATCGTCACCTTTTGAAGCAATGAACTCCGCGTGCCTCTCGAGGTGTCAGCGGGATGTGAGGATTCCGTCAAAATGAGGCAGGGACCTAGGGCTTTCTCTAAGGTCTCCACAGGGGATTCAGACATCCCTTCATGTTGTGAGATGAAAGACGAGCCTGTATTCAAGCCACTGCAAGGAAATCCGGCCTCCTTTCAAGTTAGGGCTTCTCGCTGTATATTCCCCTTGAGGCAGCAAACTCGGGGTCCCTCCCACATACCTATTGCTGAGAGAAGCCTCCTCCTGAGGTGCTTCTGGAAAGGTGGCATACGGCTTGAGCCTAAGCCAGGGAATCAGCTCTCATCTCGAGACGATTTGGGGTACACAGAGCATTCCTCGAGTTGCTGTGCTGAAGTTGGTGGTCCTCTAGACTTGGGACAGTGTTCTCGGGGCATCTCTGGAGTTGCCTGAAGGAAGTCGAGCCACCGGTCGTGTTGAATGGGGAACAAGGAATGGCTCTGGAGTCAATGCAGGGGAATCCGGCCTCATCTCGAGTTGATTTGGGGCACATGGAGCTGCTTTGCATTGCTGGGTGACCTCAGGGTCCGTCTAGACTGGTGATAGTGTTCTTGGGGACTGTCTCGAGATCCATTAAGCAAGTCGAAGCTCCTGACTTGTTTGAATGGGATCACGGAATAGCTCTGCATGCACTGCAGGGGAATGGGGCCTCATCTCGCCTCTAGGGGGAAGTCTCATGGTTTTTCTCGAGTTGCGGCGGGGACCTGGGGTATGTTCTCGACTTACGGCGGGGATGGCCCTTCAAAACACGAGTTTCTTCAGTGACGTCAGGACTCCTGTCTAGTAACGAGGGACACCTCAGCAATCTCTTCGAGGCTTGGCAGGGCAAAAGGGACGCTTCTCGAGGTGAGCCAGGGCACCCAAGGACCCTTTCCAGTAGCCACAGGGATTTTGGGATTCCTATAAGTAATCAAGAGGAGTCAGGCATCGTCACCTTTTGAAGCAATGAACTCCGCGTGCCTCTCGACGTGTCAGCGGGATGTGAGGATTCCGTCAAAATGAGGCAGGGACCTAGGGCTTTCTCTAAGGTCTCCACAGGGGATTCAGACATCCCTTCATGTTGTGAGATGAAAGACGAGCCTGTATTCAAGCCACTGCAAGGAAATCCGGCCTCCTTTCAAGTTAGGGCTTCTCGCTGTATATTCCCCTTGAGGCAGCAAACTCGGGGTCCCTCCCACATACCTATTACTGAGAGAAGCCTCCTCCTGAGGTGCTTCTGGAAAGGTGGCATACGTCTTGAGCCTAAGCCAGGGAATCAGCTCTCATCTCGAGACGATTTGGGGTACACAGAGCATTCCTCGAGTTGCTGTGCTGAAGTTGGTGGTCCTCTAGACTTGGGACAGTGTTCTCGGGGCATCTCTGGAGTTGCCTGAAGGAAGTCGAGCCACCGGTCGTGTTGAATGGGGAACAAGGAATGGCTCTGGAGTCAATGCAGGGGAATCCGGCCTCATCTCGAGTTGATTTGGGGCACATGGAGGTGCTTTGCATTGCTGGTTGACCTCAGGGTCCGTCTAGACTGGTGACAGTGTTCTTGGGGACTGTCTCGAGATCCATTAAGCAAGTCGAAGCTCCTGACTTGTTTGAATGGGATCACGGAATAGCTCTGCATGCACTGCAGGGGAATGGGGCCTCATCTCGCCTCTAGGGGGAAGTCTCATGGTTTTTCTCGAGTTGCGGCGGGGACCTGGGGTATGTTCTCGACTTACGGCGGGGATGGCCCTTCAAAATACGAGTTTCTTCAGTGACGTCAGGACTCCTGCCTAGTAACGAGGGACACCTCAGGAATCTCTTCGAGGCTTGGCAGGGCAAAAGGGACGCTTCTCGAGGTGAGCCAGGGCACCCAAGGACCCTTTCCAGTAGCCACAGGGATTTTGGGATTCCTATAAGTAATCAAGAGGAGTCATGCATCGTCACCTTTTGAAGCAATGAACTCCGCGTGCCTCTCGAGGTGTCAGCGGGATGGGAGGCATTCCGTCAAAATGAGGCAGGGACCTAGGGCTTTCTCTAAGGTCTCCACAGGGGATTCAGACATCCCTTCATGTTGTGAGATGAAAGACAAGCCTGTATTCAAGCTACTGCAAGGAAATCCGGCCTCCTTTCAAGTTAGGGCTTCTCGCTGTATATTGCCCTTGAGGCAGCAAACTCGGAGTCCCTCCCACATACCTATTGCTGAGAAGCCTCCTCCTGAGGTGCTTCTGGAAAGTTGGCATACGTCTTGAGCCTAAGCCAGGGAATCAGCTCTCATCTCGAGACGATTTGGGGTACACAGATCATTCCTCGAGTTGCTGTGCTGAAGTTGGTGTTCCTCTAGACTTGGGACAGTGTTCTCGGGGCATCTCTGGAGTTGCCTGAAGGAAGGCGAGCCACCGGTCGTGTTGAATGGGGAACGGGGAATGGCTCTGGAGTCAATGCAGGGGAATCGGGCCTCATCTCGAGTTGATTTGTGGCACCTGGAGCTGCTTTGCGTTGCTGGGGTGACCTCAGGTTCCGTCTAGACTGGTGACAGTGTTCTTGGGGACTGCCTCGAGATCCATTAAGCAAGTCAAAGCTCCTGACTTGTTTGAATGGGATCACGGAATAGCTCTGCATGCACTGCAGGGGAATGGGGCCTCATCTCGCCTCTAGGGAGAAGTCTCATGGTTTTTCTCGAGTTGCGGCGGGGACCTGGGGTATGTTCTCGACTTACGGCGGGGATGGCCCTTCAAAACACGAGTTTCTTCAGTGACGTCAGGACTCCTGTCTAGTAACGAGGGACACATCAGCAATTTCTTCGAGGCTTGGCAGGGCAAAAGGGAGGCTTCTCGAGGTGAGCCAGGGTACCGAAGGACCCTTTCCAGTAGCCACAGGGATTTTGGGATTCCTATCAGTATTCAAGAGGAGTCAGGCATCGTCACCTTTTGAAGCAATGTACTCCGCGTGCCTCTCGAGTTGTCAGCGGGATGTGAGGCATTCCGTCAAAATGAGGCAGGGACCTAGGGCTTTCTCTAAGGTCTTCACAGGGGATTCTGACATCCCTTCATGTTGTGAGATGAAAGACGAGCCTGTATTCAAGCCACTGCAAGGAAATCCGGCCTCCTTTCAAGTTAGGGCTTCTCGCTGTATATTCCCCTTGAGGCAGCAAACTCGGGGTCCCTCCCACATACCTATTGCTGAGAGAAGCCTCCTCCTGAGGTGCTTCTGGAAAGGTGGCATACGTCTTGAGCCTAAGCCAGGGAATCAGCTCTCATCTCGAGACGATTTGGGGTACACAGTGCATTCCTCGAGTTGCTGTGCTGAAGTAGGTGGTCCTCTAGACTTGGGACAGTGTTCTCGGGGCATCTCTGGAGTTGCCTGAAGGAAGTCGAGCCACCGGTCTTGTTGAATGGGGAACAAGGAATGGCTCTGGAGTCAATGCAGGGGAATCCGGCCTCATCTCGAGTTGATTTGGGGCACATGGAGCTGCTTTGCATTGCTGGGTGACCTCAGGGTCCGACTAGACTGGTGACAGTGTTCTTGGGGACTGTCTCGATATCCATTAAGCAAGTCGAAGCTCCTGACTTGTTTGAATGGGATCACGGAATAGCTCTGCATGCACTGCAGGGGAATGGGGCCTCATCTCGCCTCTAGGGGGAAGTCTCATGGTTTTTCTCGAGTTGCGGCGGGGACCTGGGGTATGTTCTCGACTTACGGCTGGGATGGCCCTTCATAACACGAGTTTCTTCCGTGACGTCAGGACTCCTGTCTAGTAACGAGGGACACCTCAGCAATCTCTTCGAGGCTTGGCAGGGCAAAAGGGACGCTTCTCGAGGTGAGCCAGGGCACCCAAGGACCCTTTCCAGTAGCAACAGGGATTTTGGGATTCCTATCAGTATTCAAGAGGAGTCAGGCATCGTCACCTTTTGAAGCAATGAACTCCGCGTGCCTCTCGACGTGTCAGCGGGATGTGAGGATTCCGTCAAAATGAGGCAGGGACCTAGGGCTTTCTCTAAGGTCTCCACAGGGGATTCAGACATCCCTTCATGTTGTGAGATGAAAGACGAGCCTGTATTCAAGCCACTGCAAGGAAATCCGGCCTCCTTTCAAGTTAGGGCTTCTCGCTGTATATTCCCCTTGAGGCAGCAAACTCGGAGTCCCTCCCACATACCTATTGTTGAGAGAAGCCTCCTCCTGAGGTGCTTCTGGAAAGGTGGCATACGTCTTGAGCCTAAGCCAGGGAATCAGCTCTCATCTCGAGACGATTTGGGGTACACAGAGCATTCCTCGAGTTGCTGTGCTGAAGTTGGTGGTCCTCTAGACTTGGGACAGTGTTCTCGGGGCATCTCTGGAGTTGCCTGAAGGAAGTCGAGCCACCGGTCGTGTTGAATGGGGAACAAGGAATGGCTCTGGAGTCAATGCAGGGGAATCCGGCCTCATCTCGAGTTGATTTGGGGCACATGGAGCTGCTTTGCATTGCTGGGTGACCTCAGGGTCCGACTAGACTGGTGACAGTGTTCTTGGGGACTGTCTCGATATCCATTAAGCAAGTCGAAGCTCCTGACTTGTTTGAATGGGATCACGGAATAGCTCTGCATGCACTGCAGGGGAATGGGGCCTCATCTCGCCTCTAGGGGGAAGTCTCATGGTTTTTCTCGAGTTGCGGCGGGGACCTGGGGTATGTTCTCGACTTACGGCGGGGATGGCCCTTCAAAACACGAGTTTCTTCCGTGACGTCAGGACTCCTGTCTAGTAACGAGGGACACCTCAGCAATCTCTTCGAGGCTTGGCAGGGCAAAAGGGACGCTTCTCGAGGTGAGCCAGGGCACCCAAGGACCCTTTCCAGTAGCCACAGGGATTTTGGGATTCCTATCAGTATTCAAGAGGAGTCAGGCATCGTCACCTTTTGAAGCAATGAACTCCGCGTGCCTCTCGAGGTGTCAGCGGGATGTGAGGATTCCGTCAAAATGAGGCAGGGACCTAGGGCTTTCTCTAAGGTCTCCACAGGGGATTCAGACATCCCTTCATGTTGTGAGATGAAAGACGAGCCTGTATTCAAGCCACTGCAAGGAAATCCGGCCTCCTTTCAAGTTAGGGCTTCTCGCTGTATATTCCCCTTGAGGCAGCAAACTCGGGGTCCCTCCCACATACCTATTGCTGAGAGAAGCCTCCTCCTGAGGTGCTTCTGGAAAGGTGGCATACGTCTTGAGCCTAAGCCAGGCAATCAGCTCTCATCTCGAGACGATTTGGGGTACACAGAGCATTCCTCGAGTTGCTGTGCTGAAGTTGGTGGTCCTCTAGACTTGGGACAGTGTTCTCGGGGCATCTCTGGAGTTGCCTGAAGGAAGTCGAGCCACCGGTCGTGTTGAATGGGGAACAAGGAATGGCTCTGGAGTCAATGCAGGGGAATCCGGCCTCATCTCGAGTTGATTTGGGGCACATGGAGCTGCTTTGCATTGCTGGGTGACCTCAGGGTCCGTCTAGACTGGTGACAGTGTTCTTGGGGACTGTCTCGAGATCCATTAAGCAAGTCGAAGCTCCTGACTTGTTTGAATGGGATCACGGAATAGCTCTGCATGCGCTGCAGGGGAATGGGGCCTCATCTCGCCTCTAGGGGGAAGTCTCATGGTTTTTCTCGACTTACGGGGGGGATGGCCCTTCAAAACACGAGTTTCTTCAGTGACGTCAGGACTCCTGTCTAGTAACGAGGGACACCTCAGCAATCTCTTCGAGGCTTGGCAGGGCAAAAGGGACGCTTCTCGAGGTGAGCCAGGGCACCCAAGGACCCTTTCCAGTAGCCACAGGGATTTTGGGCTTCCTATAAGTAATCAAGAGGAGTCAGGCATCGTCACCTTTTGAAGCAATGAACTCCGCGTGCCTCTCGAGGTGTCAGCGGGATGTGAGGATTCCGTCAAAATGAGGCAGGGACCTAGGGCTTTCTCTAAGGTCTCCACAGGGGATTCAGACATCCCTTCATGTTGTGAGATGAAAGACGAGCCTGTATTCAAGCCACTGCAAGGAAATCCGGCCTCCTTTCAAGTTAGGGCTTCTCGCTGTATATTCCCCTTGAGGCAGCAAACTCGGGGTCCCTCCCACATACCTATTGCTGAGAGAAGCCTCCTCCTGAGGTGCTTCTGGAAAGGTGGCATACGTCTTGAGCCTAAGCCAGGGAATCAGCTCTCATCTCGAGACGATTTGGGGTACACAGAGCATTCCTCGAGTTGCTGTGCTGAAGTTGGTGGTCCTCTAGACTTGGGACAGTGTTCTCGGGGCATCTCTGGAGTTGCCTGAAGGAAGTCGAGCCACCGGTCGTGTTGAATGGGGAACAAGGAATGGCTCTGGAGTCAATGCAGGGGAATCCGGCCTCATCTCGAGTTGATTTGGGGCACATGGAGCTGCTTTGCATTGCTGGGTGACCTCAGGGTCCGACTAGACTGGTGACAGTGTTCTTGGGGACTGTCTCGATATCCATTAAGCAAGTCGAAGCTCCTGACTTGTTTGAATGGGATCACGGAATAGCTCTGCATGCACTGCAGGGGAATGGGGCCTCATCTCGCCTCTAGGGGGAAGTCTCATGGTTTTTCTCGAGTTGCGGCGGGGACCTGGGGTATGTTCTCGACTTACGGCGGGGATGGCCCTTCAAAACACGAGTTTCTTCCGTGACGTCAGGACTCCTGTCTAGTAACGAGGGACACCTCAGCAATCTCTTCGAGGCTTGGCAGGGCAAAAGGGACGCTTCTCGAGGTGAGCCAGGGCACCCAAGGACCCTTTCCAGTAGCAACAGGGATTTTGGGATTCCTATCAGTATTCAAGAGGAGTCAGGCATCGTCACCTGTTGAAGCAATGAACTCCGCGTGCCTCTCGACGTGTCAGCGGGATGTGAGGATTCCGTCAAAATGAGGCAGGGACCTAGGGCTTTCTCTAAGGTCTCCACAGGGGATTCAGACATCCCTTCATGTTGTGAGATGAAAGACGAGCCTGTATTCAAGCCACTGCAAGGAAATCCGGCCTCCTTTCAAGTTAGGGCTTCTCGCTGTATATTCCCCTTGAGGCAGCAAACTCGGAGTCCCTCCCACATACCTATTGTTGAGAGAAGCCTCCTCCTGAGGTGCTTCTGGAAAGTTGGCATACGTCTTGAGCCTAAGCCAGGGAATCAGCTCTCATCTCGAGACGATTTGGGGTACACAGAGCATTCCTCGAGTTGCTGTGCTGAAGTTGGTGGTCCTCTAGACTTGGGACAGTGTTCTCGGGGCATCTCTGGAGTTGCCTGAAGGAAGTCGAGCCACCGGTCGTGTTGAATGGGGAACAAGGAATGGCTCTGGAGTCAATGCAGGGGAATCCGGCCTCATCTCGAGTTGATTTGGGGCACATGGAGCTGCTTTGCATTGCTGGGTGACCTCAGGGTCCGACTAGACTGGTGACAGTGTTCTTGGGGACTGTCTCGATATCCATTAAGCAAGTCGAAGCTCCTGACTTGTTTGAATGGGATCACGGAATAGCTCTGCATGCACTGCAGGGGAATGGGGCCTCATCTCGCCTCTAGGGGGAAGTCTCATGGTTTTTCTCGAGTTGCGGCGGGGACCTGGGGTATGTTCTCGACTTACGGCGGGGATGGCCCTTCAAAACACGAGTTTCTTCCGTGACGTCAGGACTCCTGTCTAGTAACGAGGGACACCTCAGCAATCTCTTCGAGGCTTGGCAGGGCAAAAGGGACGCTTCTCGAGGTGAGCCAGGGCACCCAAGGACCCTTTCCAGTAGCCACAGGGATTTTGGGATTCCTATCAGTATTCAAGAGGAGTCAGGCATCGTCACCTTTTGAAGCAATGAACTCCGCGTGCCTCTCGAGGTGTCAGCGGGATGTGAGGATTCCGTCAAAATGAGGCAGGGACCTAGGGCTTTCTCTAAGGTCTCCACAGGGGATTCAGACATCCCTTCATGTTGTGAGATGAAAGACGAGCCTGTATTCAAGCCACTGCAAGGAAATCCGGCCTCCTTTCAAGTTAGGGCTTCTCGCTGTATATTCCCCTTGAGGCAGCAAACTCGGGGTCCCTCCCACATACCTATTGCTGAGAGAAGCCTCCTCCTGAGGTGCTTCTGGAAAGGTGGCATACGTCTTGAGCCTAAGCCAGGGAATCAGCTCTCATCTCGAGACGATTTGGGGTACACAGAGCATTCCTCGTGTTGCTGTGCTGAAGTTGGTGGTCCTCTAGACTTGGGACAGTGTTCTCGGGGCATCTCTGGAGTTGCCTGAAGGAAGTCGAGCCACCGGTCGTGTTGAATGGGGAACAAGGAATGGCTCTGGAGTCAATGCAGGGGAATCCGGCCTCATCTCGAGTTGATTTGGGGCACATGGAGCTGCTTTGCATTGCTGGGTGACCTCAGGGTCCGTCTAGACTGGTGACAGTGTTCTTGGGGACTGTCTCGAGATCCATTAAGCAAGTCGAAGCTCCTGACTTGTTTGAATGGGATCACGGAATAGCTCTGCATGCGCTGCAGGGGAATGGGGCCTCATCTCGCCTCTAGGGGGAAGTCTCATGGTTTTTCTCGACTTACGGGGGGGATGGCCCTTCAAAACACGAGTTTCTTCAGTGACGTCAGGACTCCTGTCTAGTAACGAGGGACACCTCAGCAATCTCTTCGAGGCTTGGCAGGGCAAAAGGGACGCTTCTCGAGGTGAGCCAGGGCACCCAAGGACCCTTTCCAGTAGCCACAGGGATTTTGGGCTTCCTATAAGTAATCAAGAGGAGTCAGGCATCGTCACCTTTTGAAGCAATGAACTCCGCGTGCCTCTCGAGGTGTCAGCGGGATGTGAGGATTCCGTCAAAATGAGGCAGGGACCTAGGGCTTTCTCTAAGGTCTCCACAGGGGATTCAGACATCCCTTCATGTTGTGAGATGAAAGACGAGCCTGTATTCAAGCCACTGCAAGGAAATCCGGCCTCCTTTCAAGTTAGGGCTTCTCGCTGTATATTCCCCTTGAGGCAGCAAACTCGGGGTCCCTCCCACATACCTATTGCTGAGAGAAGCCTCCTCCTGAGGTGCTTCTGGAAAGGTGGCATACGTCTTGAGCCTAAGCCAGGGAATCAGCTCTCATCTCGGGACGATTTGGGGTACACAGAGCATTCCTCGAGTTGCTGTGCTGAAGTTGGTGGTCCTCTAGACTTGGGACAGTGTTCTCGGGGCATCTCTGGAGTTGCCTGAAGGAAGTCGAGCCACCGGTCGTGTTGAATGGGGAACAAGGAATGGCTCTGGAGTCAATGCAGGGGAATCCGGCCTCATCTCGAGTTGATTTGGGGCACATGGAGCTGCTTTGCATTGCTGGGTGACCTCAGGGTCCGACTAGACTGGTGACAGTGTTCTTGGGGACTGTCTCGATATCCATTAAGCAAGTCGAAGCTCCTGACTTGTTTGAATGGGATCACGGAATAGCTCTGCATGCACTGCAGGGGAATGGGGCCTCATCTCGCCTCTAGGGGGAAGTCTCATGGTTTTTCTCGAGTTGCGGCGGGGACCTGGGGTATGTTCTCGACTTACGGCGGGGATGGCCCTTCAAAACACGAGTTTCTTCCGTGACGTCAGGACTCCTGTCTAGTAACGAGGGACACCTCAGCAATCTCTTCGAGGCTTGGCAGGGCAAAAGGGACGCTTCTCGAGGTGAGCCAGGGCACCCAAGGACCCTTTCCAGTAGCAACAGGGATTTTGGGATTCCTATCAGTATTCAAGAGGAGTCAGGCATCGTCACCTTTTGAAGCAATGAACTCCGCGTGCCTCTCGACGTGTCAGCGGGATGTGAGGATTCCGTCAAAATGAGGCAGGGACCTAGGGCTTTCTCTAAGGTCTCCACAGGGGATTCAGACATCCCTTCATGTTGTGAGATGAAAGACGAGCCTGTATTCAACCCACTGCAATTAAATCCGGCCTCCTTTCAAGTTAGGGCTTCTCGCTGTATATTCCCCTTGAGGCAGCAAACTCGGAGTCCCTCCCACATACCTATTGTTGAGAGAAGCCTCCTCCTGAGGTGCTTCTGGAAAGTTGGCATACGTCTTGAGCCTAAGCCAGGGATTCAGCTCTCATCTCGAGACGATTTGGGGTACACAGAGCATTCCTCGAGTTGCTGTGCTGAAGTTGGTGTTCCTCTAGACTTGGGACAGTGTTCTCTGGGCATCTCCAGAGTTGCATGAAGGAAGTCGAGCCACCGGTCGTGTTGAATGGGGAACGGGGAATGGCTCTGGAGTCAATGCAGGGGAATCGGGCCTCATCTCGAGTTGATTTGTGGCACCTGGAGCTGCTTTGCGTTGCTGGGGTGACCTCAGGGTCCATCTAGACTGGTGACAGTGTTCTTGGGACTGCCTCGAGATCCATTAAGCAAGTCGAAGCTCCTGACTTGTTTGAATGGGATCACGGATTAGCTCTGCATGCAATGCAGGGGAATGGGGCCTCATCTCGCCTCTAGGGGGAAGTCTCATGGTTTTTCTCGAGTTGCGGCGGGGACCTGGGGTATGTTCTCGACTTACGGCGGGGATGGCCCTTCAAAACACGAGTTTCTTCCGTGACGTCAGGACTCCTGCCTAGTAACGAGGGACACCTCAGCAATCTCTTCGAGGCTTGGCAGGGCAAAAGGGACGCTTCTCGAGGTGAGCCAGGGCACCCAAGGACCCTTTCCAGTAGCCACAGGGATTTTGGGATTCCTATAAGTATTCAAGAGGAGTCAGGCATCGTCACCTTTTGAAGCAATGAACACCGCGTGCCTCTCGAGGTGTCAGCGGGATGTGAGGATTCCGTCAAAATGAGGCAGGGACCTAGGGCTTTCTCTAAGGTATCCACAGGGGATTCAGACATCCCTTCATGTTGTGAGATGAAAGACGAGCCTGTATTCAAGCCACTGCAAGGAAATCCGGCCTCCTTTCAAGTTAGGGCTTCTCGCTGTATATTCCCCTTGAGGCAGCAAACTCGGGGTCCCTCCCACATACCTATTGCTGAGAGAAGCCTCCTCCTGAGGTGCTTCTGGAAAGGTGGCATACGTCTTGAGCCTAAGCCAGGGAATCAGCTCTCATCTCGAGACGATTTGGGGTACACTGAGCATTCCTCGAGTTGCTGTGCTGAAGTTGGTGGTCCTCTAGACTTGGGACAGTGTTCTCGGGGCATCTCTGGAGTTGCCTGAAGGAAGTCGAGCCACCGGTCGTGTTGAATGGGGAACAAGGAATGGCTCTGGAGTCAATGCAGGGGAATCCGGCCTCATCTCGAGTTGATTTGGGGCACATGGAGCTGCTTTGCATTGCTGGGTGACCTCAGGGTCCGACTAGACTGGTGACAGTGTTCTTGGGGACTGTCTCGAGATCCATTAAGCAAGTCGAAGCTCCTGACTTGTTTGAATGGGATCACGGAATAGCTCTGCATGCGCTGCAGGGGAATGGGGCCTCATCTCGCCTCTAGGGGGAAGTCTCATGGTTTTTCTCGAGTTGCGGTGGGGACCTGGGGTATGTTCTCGACTTACGGCGGGGATGGCCCTTCAAAACACGAGTTTCTTCAGTGACGTCAGGACTCCTGTCTAGTAACGAGGGACACCTCAGCAATCTCTTCGAGGCTTGGCAGGGCAAAATGGACGCTTCTCGAGGTGAGCCAGGGCACCCAAGGACCCTTTCCAGTAGCCACAGGGATTTTGGGCTTCCTATAAGTAATCAAGAGGAGTCAGGCATCGTCACCTTTTGAAGCAATGAACTCCGCGTGCCTCTCGAGGTGTCAGCGGGATGTGAGGATTCCGTCAAAATGAGGCAGGGACCTAGGGCTTTCTCTAAGGTCTCCACAGGGGATTCAGACATCCCTTCATGTTGTGAGATGAAAGACGAGCCTGTATTCAAGCCACTGCAAGGAAATCCGGCCTCCTTTCAAGTTAGGGCTTCTCGCTGTATATTCCCCTTGAGGCAGCAAACTCGGGGTCCCTCCCACATACCTATTGCTGAGAGAAGCCTCCTCCTGAGATGCTTCTGGAAAGGTGGCATACGTCTTGAGCCTAAGCCAGGGAATCAGCTCTCATCTCGAGACGATTTGGGGTACACAGAGCATTCCTCGAGTTGCTGTGCTGAAGTTGGTGGTCCTCTAGACTTGGGACAGTGTTCTCGGGGCATCTCTGGAGTTGCCTGAAGGAAGTCGAGCCACCGGTCGTGTTGAATGGGGAACAAGGAATGGCTCTGGAGTCAATGCAGGGGAATCCGGCCTCATCTCGAGTTGATTTGGGGCACATGGAGCTGCTTTGCATTGCTGGGTGACCTCAGGGTCCGACTAGACTGGTGACAGTGTTCTTGGGGACTGTCTCGATATCCATTAAGCAAGTCGAAGCTCCTGACTTGTTTGAATGGGATCACGGAATAGCTCTGCATGCACTGCAGGGGAATGGGGCCTCATCTCGCCTCTAGGGGGAAGTCTCATGGTTTTTCTCGAGTTGCGGCGGGGACCTGGGGTATGTTCTCGACTTACGGCGGGGATGGCCCTTCAAAACACGAGTTTCTTCAGTGACGTCAGGACTCCTGTCTAGTAACGAGGGACACCTCAGCAATCTCTTCGAGGCTTGGCAGGGCAAAAGGGACGCTTCTCGAGGTGAGCCAGGGCACCCAAGGACCCTTTCCAGTAGCCACAGGGATTTTGGGCTTCCTATAAGTAATCAAGAGGAGTCAGGCATCGTCACCTTTTGAAGCAATGAACTCCGCGTGCCTCTCGAGGTGTCAGCGGGATGTGAGGATTCCGTCAAAATGAGGCAGGGACCTAGGGCTTTCTCTAAGGTCTCCACAGGGGATTCAGACATCCCTTCATGTTGTGAGATGAAAGACGAGCCTGTATTCAAGCCACTGCAAGGAAATCCGGCCTCCTTTCAAGTTAGGGCTTCTCGCTGTATATTCCCCTTGAGGCAGCAAACTCGGGGTCCCTCCCACATACCTATTGCTGAGAGAAGCCTCCTCCTGAGGTGCTTCTGGAAAGGTGGCATACGTCTTGAGCCTAAGCCAGGGAATCAGCTCTCATCTCGAGACGATTTGGGGTACACAGAGCATTCCTCGAGTTGCTGTGCTGAAGTTGGTGGTCCTCTAGACTTGGGACAGTGTTCTCGGGGCATCTCTGGAGTTGCCTGAAGGAAGTCGAGCCACCGGTCGTGTTGAATGGGGAACAAGGAATGGCTCTGGAGTCAATGCAGGGGAATCCGGCCTCATCTCGAGTTGATTTGGGGCACATGGAGCTGCTTTGCATTGCTGGGTGACCTCAGGGTCCGACTAGACTGGTGACAGTGTTCTTGGGGACTGTCTCGAGATCCATTAAGCAAGTCGAAGCTCCTGACTTGTTTGAATGGGATCACGGAATAGCTCTGCATGCGCTGCAGGGGAATGGGGCCTCATCTCGCCTCTAGGGGGAAGTCTCATGGTTTTTCTCGAGTTGCGGTGGGGACCTGGGGTATGTTCTCGACTTACGGCGGGGATGGCCCTTCAAAACACGAGTTTCTTCAGTGACGTCAGGACTCCTGTCTAGTAACGAGGGACACCTCAGCAATCTCTTCGAGGCTTGGCAGGGCAAAATGGACGCTTCTCGAGGTGAGCCAGGGCACCCAAGGACCCTTTCCAGTAGCCACAGGGATTTTGGGCTTCCTATAAGTAATCAAGAGGAGTCAGGCATCGTCACCTTTTGAAGCAATGAACTCCGCGTGCCTCTCGAGGTGTCAGCGGGATGTGAGGATTCCGTCAAAATGAGGCAGGGACCTAGGGCTTTCTCTAAGGTCTCCACAGGGGATTCAGACATCCCTTCATGTTGTGAGATGAAAGACGAGCCTGTATTCAAGCCACTGCAAGGAAATCCGGCCTCCTTTCAAGTTAGGGCTTCTCGCTGTATATTCCCCTTGAGGCAGCAAACTCGGGGTCCCTCCCACATACCTATTGCTGAGAGAAGCCTCCTCCTGAGATGCTTCTGGAAAGGTGGCATACGTCTTGAGCCTAAGCCAGGGAATCAGCTCTCATCTCGAGACGATTTGGGGTACACAGAGCATTCCTCGAGTTGCTGTGCTGAAGTTGGTGGTCCTCTAGACTTGGGACAGTGTTCTCGGGGCATCTCTGGAGTTGCCTGAAGGAAGTCGAGCCACCGGTCGTGTTGAATGGGGAACAAGGAATGGCTCTGGAGTCAATGCAGGGGAATCCGGCCTCATCTCGAGTTGATTTGGGGCACATGGAGCTGCTTTGCATTGCTGGGTGACCTCAGGGTCCGACTAGACTGGTGACAGTGTTCTTGGGGACTGTCTCGATATCCATTAAGCAAGTCGAAGCTCCTGACTTGTTTGAATGGGATCACGGAATAGCTCTGCATGCACTGCAGGGGAATGGGGCCTCATCTCGCCTCTAGGGGGAAGTCTCATGGTTTTTCTCGAGTTGCGGCGGGGACCTGGGGTATGTTCTCGACTTACGGCGGGGATGGCCCTTCAAAACACGAGTTTCTTCAGTGACGTCAGGACTCCTGTCTAGTAACGAGGGACACCTCAGCAATCTCTTCGAGGCTTGGCAGGGCAAAAGGGACGCTTCTCGAGGTGAGCCAGGGCACCCAAGGACCCTTTCCAGTAGCCACAGGGATTTTGGGCTTCCTATAAGTAATCAAGAGGAGTCAGGCATCGTCACCTTTTGAAGCAATGAACTCCGCGTGCCTCTCGAGGTGTCAGCGGGATGTGAGGATTCCGTCAAAATGAGGCAGGGACCTAGGGCTTTCTCTAAGGTCTCCACAGGGGATTCAGACATCCCTTCATGTTGTGAGATGAAAGACGAGCCTGTATTCAAGCCACTGCAAGGAAATCCGGCCTCCTTTCAAGTTAGGGCTTCTCGCTGTATATTCCCCTTGAGGCAGCAAACTCGGGGTCCCTCCCACATACCTATTGCTGAGAGAAGCCTCCTCCTGAGGTGCTTCTGGAAAGGTGGCATACGTCTTGAGCCTAAGCCAGGGAATCAGCTCTCATCTCGAGACGATTTGGGGTACACAGAGCATTCCTCGAGTTGCTGTGCTGAAGTTGGTGGTCCTCTAGACTTGGGACAGTGTTCTCGGGGCATCTCTGGAGTTGCCTGAAGGAAGTCGAGCCACCGGTCGTGTTGAATGGGGAACAAGGAATGGCTCTGGAGTCAATGCAGGGGAATCCGGCCTCATCTCGAGTTGATTTGGGGCACATGGAGCTGCTTTGCATTGCTGGGTGACCTCAGGGTCCGACTAGACTGGTGACAGTGTTCTTGGGGACTGTCTCGAGATCCATTAAGCAAGTCGAAGCTCCTGACTTGTTTGAATGGGATCACGGAATAGCTCTGCATGCGCTGCAGGGGAATGGGGCCTCATCTCGCCTCTAGGGGGAAGTCTCATGGTTTTTCTCGAGTTGCGGTGGGGACCTGGGGTATGTTCTCGACTTACGGCGGGGATGGCCCTTCAAAACACGAGTTTCTTCAGTGACGTCAGGACTCCTGTCTAGTAACGAGGGACACCTCAGCAATCTCTTCGAGGCTTGGCAGGGCAAAATGGACGCTTCTCGAGGTGAGCCAGGGCACCCAAGGACCCTTTCCAGTAGCCACAGGGATTTTGGGCTTCCTATAAGTAATCAAGAGGAGTCAGGCATCGTCACCTTTTGAAGCAATGAACTCCGCGTGCCTCTCGAGGTGTCAGCGGGATGTGAGGATTCCGTCAAAATGAGGCAGGGACCTAGGGCTTTCTCTAAGGTCTCCACAGGGGATTCAGACATCCCTTCATGTTGTGAGATGAAAGACGAGCCTGTATTCAAGCCACTGCAAGGAAATCCGGCCTCCTTTCAAGTTAGGGCTTCTCGCTGTATATTCCCCTTGAGGCAGCAAACTCGGGGTCCCTCCCACATACCTATTGCTGAGAGAAGCCTCCTCCTGAGATGCTTCTGGAAAGGTGGCATACGTCTTGAGCCTAAGCCAGGGAATCAGCTCTCATCTCGAGACGATTTGGGGTACACAGAGCATTCCTCGAGTTGCTGTGCTGAAGTTGGTGGTCCTCTAGACTTGGGACAGTGTTCTCGGGGCATCTCTGGAGTTGCCTGAAGGAAGTCGAGCCACCGGTCGTGTTGAATGGGGAACAAGGAATGGCTCTGGAGTCAATGCAGGGGAATCCGGCCTCATCTCGAGTTGATTTGGGGCACATGGAGCTGCTTTGCATTGCTGGGTGACCTCAGGGTCCGACTAGACTGGTGACAGTGTTCTTGGGGACTGTCTCGATATCCATTAAGCAAGTCGAAGCTCCTGACTTGTTTGAATGGGATCACGGAATAGCTCTGCATGCACTGCAGGGGAATGGGGCCTCATCTCGCCTCTAGGGGGAAGTCTCATGGTTTTTCTCGAGTTGCGGCGGGGACCTGGGGTATGTTCTCGACTTACGGCGGGGATGGCCCTTCAAAACACGAGTTTCTTCAGTGACGTCAGGACTCCTGTCTAGTAACGAGGGACACCTCAGCAATCTCTTCGAGGCTTGGCAGGGCAAAAGGGACGCTTCTCGAGGTGAGCCAGGGCACCCAAGGACCCTTTCCAGTAGCCACAGGGATTTTGGGCTTCCTATAAGTAATCAAGAGGAGTCAGGCATCGTCACCTTTTGAAGCAATGAACTCCGCGTGCCTCTCGAGGTGTCAGCGGGATGTGAGGATTCCGTCAAAATGAGGCAGGGACCTAGGGCTTTCTCTAAGGTCTCCACAGGGGATTCAGACATCCCTTCATGTTGTGAGATGAAAGACGAGCCTGTATTCAAGCCACTGCAAGGAAATCCGGCCTCCTTTCAAGTTAGGGCTTCTCGCTGTATATTCCCCTTGAGGCAGCAAACTCGGGGTCCCTCCCACATACCTATTGCTGAGAGAAGCCTCCTCCTGAGGTGCTTCTGGAAAGGTGGCATACGTCTTGAGCCTAAGCCAGGGAATCAGCTCTCATCTCGAGACGATTTGGGGTACACAGAGCATTCCTCGAGTTGCTGTGCTGAAGTTGGTGGTCCTCTAGACTTGGGACAGTGTTCTCGGGGCATCTCTGGAGTTGCCTGAAGGAAGTCGAGCCACCGGTCGTGTTGAATGGGGAACAAGGAATGGCTCTGGAGTCAATGCAGGGGAATCCGGCCTCATCTCGAGTTGATTTGGGGCACATGGAGCTGCTTTGCATTGCTGGGTGACCTCAGGGTCCGACTAGACTGGTGACAGTGTTCTTGGGGACTGTCTCGAGATCCATTAAGCAAGTCGAAGCTCCTGACTTGTTTGAATGGGATCACGGAATAGCTCTGCATGCGCTGCAGGGGAATGGGGCCTCATCTCGCCTCTAGGGGGAAGTCTCATGGTTTTTCTCGAGTTGCGGTGGGGACCTGGGGTATGTTCTCGACTTACGGCGGGGATGGCCCTTCAAAACACGAGTTTCTTCAGTGACGTCAGGACTCCTGTCTAGTAACGAGGGACACCTCAGCAATCTCTTCGAGGCTTGGCAGGGCAAAATGGACGCTTCTCGAGGTGAGCCAGGGCACCCAAGGACCCTTTCCAGTAGCCACAGGGATTTTGGGCTTCCTATAAGTAATCAAGAGGAGTCAGGCATCGTCACCTTTTGAAGCAATGAACTCCGCGTGCCTCTCGAGGTGTCAGCGGGATGTGAGGATTCCGTCAAAATGAGGCAGGGACCTAGGGCTTTCTCTAAGGTCTCCACAGGGGATTCAGACATCCCTTCATGTTGTGAGATGAAAGACGAGCCTGTATTCAAGCCACTGCAAGGAAATCCGGCCTCCTTTCAAGTTAGGGCTTCTCGCTGTATATTCCCCTTGAGGCAGCAAACTCGGGGTCCCTCCCACATACCTATTGCTGAGAGAAGCCTCCTCCTGAGATGCTTCTGGAAAGGTGGCATACGTCTTGAGCCTAAGCCAGGGAATCAGCTCTCATCTCGAGACGATTTGGGGTACACAGAGCATTCCTCGAGTTGCTGTGCTGAAGTTGGTGGTCCTCTAGACTTGGGACAGTGTTCTCGGGGCATCTCTGGAGTTGCCTGAAGGAAGTCGAGCCACCGGTCGTGTTGAATGGGGAACAAGGAATGGCTCTGGAGTCAATGCAGGGGAATCCGGCCTCATCTCGAGTTGATTTGGGGCACATGGAGCTGCTTTGCATTGCTGGGTGACCTCAGGGTCCGACTAGACTGGTGACAGTGTTCTTGGGGACTGTCTCGATATCCATTAAGCAAGTCGAAGCTCCTGACTTGTTTGAATGGGATCACGGAATAGCTCTGCATGCACTGCAGGGGAATGGGGCCTCATCTCGCCTCTAGGGGGAAGTCTCATGGTTTTTCTCGAGTTGCGGCGGGGACCTGGGGTATGTTCTCGACTTACGGCGGGGATGGCCCTTCAAAACACGAGTTTCTTCAGTGACGTCAGGACTCCTGTCTAGTAACGAGGGACACCTCAGCAATCTCTTCGAGGCTTGGCAGGGCAAAAGGGACGCTTCTCGAGGTGAGCCAGGGCACCCAAGGACCCTTTCCAGTAGCCACAGGGATTTTGGGCTTCCTATAAGTAATCAAGAGGAGTCAGGCATCGTCACCTTTTGAAGCAATGAACTCCGCGTGCCTCTCGAGGTGTCAGCGGGATGTGAGGATTCCGTCAAAATGAGGCAGGGACCTAGGGCTTTCTCTAAGGTCTCCACAGGGGATTCAGACATCCCTTCATGTTGTGAGATGAAAGACGAGCCTGTATTCAAGCCACTGCAAGGAAATCCGGCCTCCTTTCAAGTTAGGGCTTCTCGCTGTATATTCCCCTTGAGGCAGCAAACTCGGGGTCCCTCCCACATACCTATTGCTGAGAGAAGCCTCCTCCTGAGGTGCTTCTGGAAAGGTGGCATACGTCTTGAGCCTAAGCCAGGGAATCAGCTCTCATCTCGAGACGATTTGGGGTACACAGAGCATTCCTCGAGTTGCTGTGCTGAAGTTGGTGGTCCTCTAGACTTGGGACAGTGTTCTCGGGGCATCTCTGGAGTTGCCTGAAGGAAGTCGAGCCACCGGTCGTGTTGAATGGGGAACAAGGAATGGCTCTGGAGTCAATGCAGGGGAATCCGGCCTCATCTCGAGTTGATTTGGGGCACATGGAGCTGCTTTGCATTGCTGGGTGACCTCAGGGTCCGACTAGACTGGTGACAGTGTTCTTGGGGACTGTCTCGATATCCATTAAGCAAGTCGAAGCTCCTGACTTGTTTGAATGGGATCACGGAATAGCTCTGCATGCGCTGCAGGGGAATGGGGCCTCATCTCGCCTCTAGGGGGAAGTCTCATGGTTTTTCTCGAGTTGCGGCGGGGACCTGGGGTATGTTCTCGACTTACGGCGGGGATGGCCCTTCAAAACACGAGTTTCTTCAGTGACGTCAGGACTCCTGTCTAGTAACGAGGGACACCTCAGCAATCTCTTCGAGGCTTGGCAGGGCAAAAGGGACGCTTCTCGAGGTGAGCCAGGGCACCCAAGGACCCTTTCCAGTAGCCACAGGGATTTTGGGCTTCCTATAAGTAATCAAGAGGAGTCAGGCATCGTCACCTTTTGAAGCAATGAACTCCGCGTGCCTCTCGAGGTGTCAGCGGGATGTGAGGATTCCGTCAAAATGAGGCAGGGACCTAGGGCTTTCTCTAAGGTCTCCACAGGGGATTCAGACATCCCTTCATGTTGTGAGATGAAAGACGAGCCTGTATTCAAGCCACTGCAAGGAAATCCGGCCTCCTTTCAAGTTAGGGCTTCTCGCTGTATATTCCCCTTGAGGCAGCAAACTCGGGGTCCCTCCCACATACCTATTGCTGAGAGAAGCCTCCTCCTGAGGTGCTTCTGGAAAGGTGGCATACGTCTTGAGCCTAAGCCAGGGAATCAGCTCTCATCTCGAGACGATTTGGGGTACACAGAGCATTCCTCGAGTTGCTGTGCTGAAGTTGGTGGTCCTCTAGACTTGGGACAGTGTTCTCGGGGCATCTCTGGAGTTGCCTGAAGGAAGTCGAGCCACCGGTCGTGTTGAATGGGGAACAAGGAATGGCTCTGGAGTCAATGCAGGGGAATCCGGCCTCATCTCGAGTTGATTTGGGGCACATGGAGCTGCTTTGCATTGCTGGGTGACCTCAGGGTCCGACTAGACTGGTGACAGTGTTCTTGGGGACTGTCTCGATATCCATTAAGCAAGTCGAAGCTCCTGACTTGTTTGAATGGGATCACGGAATAGCTCTGCATGCACTGCAGGGGAATGGGGCCTCATCTCGCCTCTAGGGGGAAGTCTCATGGTTTTTCTCGAGTTGCGGCGGGGACCTGGGGTATGTTCTCGACTTACGGCGGGGATGGCCCTTCAAAACACGAGTTTCTTCAGTGACGTCAGGACTCCTGTCTAGTAACGAGGGACACCTCAGCAATCTCTTCGAGGCTTGGCAGGGCAAAAGGGACGCTTCTCGAGGTGAGCCAGGGCACCCAAGGACCCTTTCCAGTAGCCACAGGGATTTTGGGCTTCCTATAAGTAATCAAGAGGAGTCAGGCATCGTCACCTTTTGAAGCAATGAACTCCGCGTGCCTCTCGAGGTGTCAGCGGGATGTGAGGATTCCGTCAAAATGAGGCAGGGACCTAGGGCTTTCTCTAAGGTCTCCACAGGGGATTCAGACATCCCTTCATGTTGTGAGATGAAAGACGAGCCTGTATTCAAGCCACTGCAAGGAAATCCGGCCTCCTTTCAAGTTAGGGCTTCTCGCTGTATATTCCCCTTGAGGCAGCAAACTCGGGGTCCCTCCCACATACCTATTGCTGAGAGAAGCCTCCTCCTGAGGTGCTTCTGGAAAGGTGGCATACGTCTTGAGCCTAAGCCAGGGAATCAGCTCTCATCTCGAGACGATTTGGGGTACACAGAGCATTCCTCGAGTTGCTGTGCTGAAGTTGGTGGTCCTCTAGACTTGGGACAGTGTTCTCGGGGCATCTCTGGAGTTGCCTGAAGGAAGTCGAGCCACCGGTCGTGTTGAATGGGGAACAAGGAATGGCTCTGGAGTCAATGCAGGGGAATCCGGCCTCATCTCGAGTTGATTTGGGGCACATGGAGCTGCTTTGCATTGCTGGGTGACCTCAGGGTCCGACTAGACTGGTGACAGTGTTCTTGGGGACTGTCTCGATATCCATTAAGCAAGTCGAAGCTCCTGACTTGTTTGAATGGGATCACGGAATAGCTCTGCATGCACTGCAAGGGAATGGGGCCTCATCTCGCCTCTAGGGGGAAGTCTCATGGTTTTTCTCGAGTTGCGGCGGGGACCTGGGGTATGTTCTCGACTTACGGCGGGGATGGCCCTTCAAAACTCGAGTTTCTTCCGTGACGTCAGGACTCCTGTCTAGTAACGAGGGACACCTCAGCAATCTCTTCGAGGCTTGGCAGGGCAAAAGGGACGCTTCTCGAGGTGAGCCAGGGCACCCAAGGACCCTTTCCAGTAGCCACAGGGATTTTGGGATTCCTATCAGTATTCAAGAGGAGTCAGGCATCGTCACCTTTTGAAGCAATGAACTCCGCGTGCCTCTCGAGGTGTCAGCGGGATGTGAGGATTCCGTCAAAATGAGGCAGGGACCTAGGGCTTTCTCTAAGGTCTCCACAGGGGATTCAGACATCCCTTCATGTTGTGAGATGAAAGACGAGCCTGTATTCAAGCCACTGCAAGGAAATCCGGCCTCCTTTCAAGTTAGGGCTTCTCGCTGTATATTCTCCTTGAGGCAGCAAACTCGGGGTCCCTCCCACATACCTATTGCTGAGAGAAGCCTCCTCCTGAGGTGCTTTTGGAAAGGTGGCATACGTCTTGAGCCTAAGCCAGGGAATCAGCTCTCATCTCGAGACGATTTGGGGTACACAGAGCATTCCTCGAGTTGCTGTGCTGAAGTTGGTGGTCCTCTAGACTTGGGACAGTGTTCTCGGGGCATCTCTGGAGTTGCCTGAAGGAAGTCGAGCCACCGGTCGTGTTGAATGGGGAACAAGGAATGGCTCTGGAGTCAATGCAGGGGAATCCGGCCTCATCTCGAGTTGATTTGGGGCACATGGAGCTGCTTTGCATTGCTGGGTGACCTCAGGGTCCGTCTAGACTGGTGACAGTGTTCTTGGGGACTGTCTCGAGATCCATTAAGCAAGTCGAAGCTCCTGACTTGTTTGAATGGGATCACGGAATAGCTCTGCATGCGCTGCAGGGGAATGGGGCCTCATCTCGCCTCTAGGGGGAAGTCTCATGGTTTTTCTCGAGTTGCGGTGGGGACCTGGGGTATGTTCTCGACTTACGGCGGGGATGGCCCTTCAAAACACGAGTTTCTTCAGTGACGTCAGGACTCCTGTCTAGTAACGAGGGACACCTCAGCAATCTCTTCGAGGCTTGGCAGGGCAAAAGGGACGCTTCTCGAGGTGAGCCAGGGCACCCAAGGACCCTTTCCAGTAGCCACAGGGATTTTGGGCTTCCTATAAGTAATCAAGAGGAGTCAGGCATCGTCACCTTTTGAAGCAATGAACTCCGCGTGCCTCTCGAGGTGTCAGCGGGATGTGAGGATTCCGTCAAAATGAGGCAGGGACCTAGGGCTTTCTCTAAGGTCTCCACAGGGGATTCAGACATCCCTTCATGTTGTGAGATGAAAGACGAGCCTGTATTCAAGCCACTGCAAGGAAATCCGGCCTCCTTTCAAGTTAGGGCTTCTCGCTGTATATTCCCCTTGAGGCAGCAAACTCGGGGTCCCTCCCACATACCTATTGCTGAGAGAAGCCTCCTCCTGAGGTGCTTCTGGAAAGGTGGCATACGTCTTGAGCCTAAGCCAGGGAATCAGCTCTCATCTCGAGACGATTTGGGGTACACAGAGCATTCCTCGAGTTGCTGTGCTGAAGTTGGTTGTCCTCTAGACTTGGGACAGTGTTCTCGGGGCATCTCTGGAGTTGCCTGAAGGAAGTCGAGCCACCGGTCGTGTTGAATGGGGAACAAGGAATGGCTCTGGAGTCAATGCAGGGGAATCCGGCCTCATCTCGAGTTGATTTGGGGCACATGGAGCTGCTTTGCATTGCTGGGTGACCTCAGGGTCCGACTAGACTGGTGACAGTGTTCTTGGGGACTGTCTCGATATCCATTAAGCAAGTCGAAGCTCCTGACTTGTTTGAATGGGATCACGGAATAGCTCTGCATGCACTGCAGGGGAATGGGGCCTCATCTCGCCTCTAGGGGGAAGTCTCATGGTTTTTCTCGAGTTGCGGCGGGGACCTGGGGTATGTTCTCGACTTACGGCGGGGATGGCCCTTCAAAACACGAGTTTCTTCCGTGACGTCAGGACTCCTGTCTAGTAACGAGGGACACCTCAGCAATCTCTTCGAGGCTTGGCAGGGCAAAAGGGACGCTTCTCGAGGTGAGCCAGGGCACCCAAGGACCCTTTCCAGTAGCCACAGGGATTTTGGGCTTCCTATAAGTAATCAAGAGGAGTCAGGCATCGTCACCTTTTGAAGCAATGAACTCCGCGTGCCTCTCGAGGTGTCAGCGGGATGTGAGGATTCCGTCAAAATGAGGCAGGGACCTAGGGCTTTCTCTAAGGTCTCCACAGGGGATTCAGACATCCCTTCATGTTGTGAGATGAAAGACGAGCCTGTATTCAAGCCACTGCAAGGAAATCCGGCCTCCTTTCAAGTTAGGGCTTCTCGCTGTATATTCCCCTTGAGGCAGCAAACTCGGGGTCCCTCCCACATACCTATTGCTGAGAGAAGCCTCCTCCTGAGGTGCTTCTGGAAAGGTGGCATACGTCTTGAGCCTAAGCCAGGGAATCAGCTCTCATCTCGAGACGATTTGGGGTACACAGAGCATTCCTCGAGTTGCTGTGCTGAAGTTGGTGGTCCTCTAGACTTGGGACAGTGTTCTCGGGGCATCTCTGGAGTTGCCTGAAGGAAGTCGAGCCACCGGTCGTGTTGAATGGGGAACAAGGAATGGCTCTGGAGTCAATGCAGGGGAATCCGGCCTCATCTCGAGTTGATTTGGGGCACATGGAGCTGCTTTGCATTGCTGGGTGACCTCAGGGTCCGACTAGACTGGTGACAGTGTTCTTGGGGACTGTCTCGATATCCATTAAGCAAGTCGAAGCTCCTGACTTGTTTGAATGGGATCACGGAATAGCTCTGCATGCACTGCAGGGGAATGGGGCCTCATCTCGCCTCTAGGGGGAAGTCTCATGGTTTTTCTCGAGTTGCGGCGGGGACCTGGGGTATGTTCTCGACTTACGGCGGGGATGGCCCTTCAAAACTCGAGTTTCTTCCGTGACGTCAGGACTCCTGTCTAGTAACGAGGGACACCTCAGCAATCTCTTCGAGGCTTGGCAGGGCAAAAGGGACGCTTCTCGAGGTGAGCCAGGGCACCCAAGGACCCTTTCCAGTAGCCACAGGGATTTTGGGATTCCTATCAGTATTCAAGAGGAGTCAGGCATCGTCACCTTTTGAAGCAATGAACTCCGCGTGCCTCTCGAGGTGTCAGCGGGATGTGAGGATTCCGTCAAAATGAGGCAGGGACCTAGGGCTTTCTCTAAGGTCTCCACAGGGGATTCAGACATCCCTTCATGTTGTGAGATGAAAGACGAGCCTGTATTCAAGCCACTGCAAGGATATCCGGCCTCCTTTCAAGTTAGGGCTTCTCGCTGTATATTCCCCTTGAGGCAGCAAACTCGGAGTCCCTCCCACATACCTATTGCTGTGAGAAGCCTCCTCCTGAGGTGCTTCTGGAAAGGTGGCATACGTCTTGAGCCTAAGCCAGGGAATCAGCTCTCATCTCGAGACGATTTGGGGTACACTGAGCATTCCTCGAGTTGCTGTGCTGAAGTTGGTGGTCCTCTAGACTTGGGACAGTGTTCTCGGGTCATCTCTGGAGTTGCCTGAAGGAAGTCGAGCCACCGGTCGTGTTGAATGGGGAACAAGGAATGGCTCTGGAGTCAATGCAGGGGAATCCGGCCTCATCTCGAGTTGATTTGGGGCACATGGAGCTGCTTTGCATTGCTGGTTGACCTCAGGGTCCGTCTAGACTGGTGACAGTGTTCTTGGGGACTGTCTCGAGATCCATTAAGCAAGTCGAAGCTCCTGACTTGTTTGAATAGGATCACGGAATAGCTCTGCATGCACTGCAGGGGAATGGGGCCTCATCTCGCCTCTAGGGGGAAGTCTCATGGTTTTTCTCGAGTTGCGGCGGGGACCTGGGGTATGTTCTCGACTTACGGCGGGGATGGCCCTTCAAAACACGAGTTTCTTCAGTGACGTCAGGACTCCTGTCTAGTAACGAGGGACACCTCAGCAATCTCTTCGAGGCTTGGCAGGGCAAAAGGGACGCTTCTCGAGGTGAGCCAGGGCACCCAAGGACCCTTTCCAGTAGCCACAGGGATTTTGGGATTCCTATAAGTAATCAAGAGGAGTCATGCATCGTCACCTTTTGAAGCAATGAACTCCGCGTGCCTCTCGACGTGTCAGCGGGATGTGAGGATTCCGTCAAAATGAGGCAGGGACCTAGGGCTTTCTCTAAGGTCTCCACAGGGGATTCAGACATCCCTTCATGTTGTGAGATGAAAGACGAGCCTGTATTCAAGCCACTGCCAGGAAATCCGGCCTCCTTTCAAGTTAGGGCTTCTCGCTGTATATTCCCCTTGAGGCAGCAAACTCAGGGTCCCTCCCACATACCTATTGCTGAGAGAAGCCTCCTCCTGAGGTGCTTCTGGGAAGTTGGCATACGTCTTGAGCCTAAGCCAGGGAATCAGCTCTCATCTCGAGACGATTTGGGGTACACGGAGCATTCCTCGAGTTGCTGTGCTGAAGTTGGTGTTCCTCTAGACTTGGGACAGTGTTCTCGGGGCATCTCTGGAGTTGCCTGAAGGAAATCGAGCCACCGGTCGTGTTGAATGGGGAACTCGGAATGGCTCTGGAGTCAATGCAGGGGAATCGGGCCTCATCTCGAGTTGATTTGGGGCACATGGAGCTGCTTTGCGTTGCTGGGGTGACCTCAGGGTCCGTCTAGACTGGTGACAGTGTTCTTGGGGACTGTCTCGAGATCCATTAAGCAAGTCGAAGCTCCTGACTTGTTTGACTGGCATCACGGAATAGCTCTGCATGCACTGCAGGGGAATGGGGCCTCATCTCTCCTCTAGGGGGAAGTCTCATGATTTTTCTCGAGTTGCGGCGGGGACCTGGGGTATGTTCTCGACTTACGGCGGGGATGGCCCTTCAAAACACGAGTTTCTTCAGTGACGTCAGGACTCCTGTCTAGTAACGAGGGACACCTCAGGAATCTCTTCGAGGCTTGGCAGGGCAAAAGGGACGCTTCTCGAGGTGAGGCAGGGCACCCAAGGACCCTTTCCAGTAGCCACAGGGATTTTGGGATTCCTATCAGTAATCAAGAGGAGTCAGGCATCGTCACCTTTTGAAGCAATGAACTCCGCGTGCCTCTCGAGGTGTCAGCGCGATGTGAGGCATTCCGTCAAAATGAGGCAGGGACCTAGGGCTTTCTCTAAGGTCTCCACAGGGGATTCAGACATCCCTTCATGTTGTGAGATGAAAGACGAGCCTGTAATCAAGCCACTGCAAGGAAATCCGGCCTCCTTTCAAGTTAGGGCTTCTCGCTATATATTCCCCTTGAGGCAGAAAACTCGGGGTCCCTCCCGCATACCTATTGCTGAGAGAAGCCTCCTCCTGAGGTGCTTCTGAGAAGTTGCATACGTCTTGAGCTTAAGCCAGGGAATCAGCTCTCATCTCGAGACGATTTGGGGTACACGGAGCATTCCTCGAGTTGCTGTGCTGAAGTTGGTGTTCCTCTAGACTTGGGACAGTGTTCTCGGGGTCTCTCTGGAGTTGCCTGAAGGAAGTCGAGCCACTGGTCGTGTTGAATGGGGAACGGGGAATGGCTCTGGAGTCAATGCAGGGGAATCGGGCCTCATCTCGAGTTGATTTGGGGCACATGGAGCTGCTTTGCGTTGCTGGGGTGACCTCAGGGTCCGTCTAGACTGGTGACAGTGTTCTTGGGGACTGTCTCGAGATCCATTAAGCAAGTCGAAGCTCCTGACTTGTTTGAATGGGATCACGGAATAGCTCTGCATGCACTGCAGGGGAATGGGGCCTCATCTCGCCTCTAGGGGGAAGTCTCATGGTTTTTCTCGAGTTGCGGCGGCGACCTGGGGTATGTTCTCGACTTACGGCGGGGATGGCCCTTCAAAACACGAGTTTCTTCAGTGACGTCAGGACTCCTGTCTAGTAACGAGGGACACCTCAGGAATCTCTTCGAGGTTTGGCAGGGCAAAAGGGACGCTTCTCGAGGTGAGGCAGGGCACCCAAGGACCCTTTCCAGTAGCCACAGGGATTTTGGGATTCCTATCAGTATTCAAGAGGAGTCAGGCATCGTCACCTTTTGAAGCAATGAACTCCGCGTGCCTCTCGAGGTGTCAGCGGGATGTGAGGCATTCCGTCAAAATGAGGCAGGGACCTAGGGCTTTCTCTAAGGTCTCCACAGGGGATTCAGACATCCCTTCATGTTGTGAGATGAAAGACGAGCCTGTAATCAAGCCACTGCAAGGAAATCCGGCCTCCTTTCAAGTTAGGGCTTCTCGCTGTATATTCCCCTTGAGGCAGAAAACTCGGGGTCCCTCCCACATACCTATTGCTGAGAGAAGCCTCCTCCTGAGGTGCTTCTGGGAAGTTGGCATACGTCTTGAGCTTAAGCCAGGGAATCAGCTCGCATCTCGAGACGATTTGGGGTACACGGAGCATTCCTCGAGTTGCTGTGCTGAAGTTGGTGTTCCTCTAGACTTGGGACAGTGTTCTCGGGGCATCTCTGGAGTTGCCTGAAGGAAGTCGAGCCACCGGTCGTGTTGAATGGGAAACGGGGAATGGCTCTGGAGTCAATGCAGGGGAATCCGGCCTCATCTCGAGTTGATTTGGGGCACATGGAGCTGCTTTGCGTTGCTGGGGTGACCTCAGGGTCCGTCTGGTCTGGTGACAGTGTTCTTGGGGACTGTCTCGAGACCCATTAAGCAAGTCGAAGCTCCTGACTTGTTTGAATGGGATCACGGAATAGCTCTGCATGCACTGCAGGGGAATGGGGCCTCATCTCGCCTCTAGGGGGAAGTCTCATGGTTTTTCTCGAGTTGCGGTGGGGACCTGGGGTATGTTCTCGACTTACTGCGGGGATGGCCCTTCAAAACACGAGTTTCTTCAGTGACGTCAGGACTCCTGTCTAGTAACGAGGGACACCTCAGGAAACTCTTCGAGGCTTGACAGGGCAAAAGGGACGCTTCTCGAGGTGAGGCAGGGCACCCAAGGACCCTTTCCAGTAGCCACAGGGATTTTGGGATTGCTATCAGTATTCAAGAGGAGTCAGGCATCGTCACCTTTTGAAGCAATGAACTCCACGTGCCTCTCGAGGTGTCAGCGCGATGTGAGGCATTCCGTCAAAATGAGGCAGGGACCTAGGGCTTTCTCTAAGGTCTCCACAGGGGATTCAGACATCCCTTCATGTTGTGAGATGAAAGACGAGCCTGTATTCAAGCCACTGCAAGGAAATCCGGCCTCCTTTCAAGTTAGGGCTTCTCGCTGTATATTCCCCTTGAGGCAGCAAACTCGGGGTCCCTCCCGCATACCTATTGCTGAGAGAAGCCTCCTCCTGAGGGGCTTCTGGGAAGTTGGCATACGTCTTGAGCCTAAGCCAGGGAATCAGCTCGCATCTCGAGACGATTTGGGGTACACGGAGCATTCCTCGAGTTGCTGTGCTGAAGTTGGTGTTCCTCTAGACTTGGGACAGTGTTCTCGGGGCCTCTCTGGAGTTGCCTGAAGGAAGTCGAGCCACCGGTCGTGTTGAATGGGGAACGGGGAATGGCTCTGGAGTCAATGCAGGGGAATCGGGCCTCATCTCGAGTTGATTTGGGGCACATGGAGCTGCTTTGCGTTGCTGGGGTGACCTCAGGGTCCGTCTGGTCTGGTGACAGTGTTCTTGGGGACTGTCTCGAGATCCATTAAGCAAGTCGAAGCTCCTGACTTGTTTGAATGGGATCACGGAATAGCTCTGCATGCACTGCAGGGGAATGGGGCCTCATCTCGCCTCTAGGGGGAAGTCTCATGGTTTTTCTCGAGTTGCGGTGGGGACCTGGGGTATGTTCTCGACTTACGGCGGGGATGGCCCTTCAAAACACGAGTTTCTTCAGTGACGTCAGGACTCCTGTCTAGTAACGAGGGACACCTCAGGAAACTCTTCGAGGCTTGGCAGGGCAAAAGGGACGCTTCTCGAGGTGAGGCAGGGCACCCAAGGACCCTTTCCAGTAGCCACAGGGATTTTGGGATTCCTATCAGTATTCAAGAGGAGTCAGGCATCGTCACCTTTTGAAGCAATGAACTCCGCGTGCCTCTCGAGGTGTCAGCGGGATGTGAGGCATTCCGTCAAAATGAGGCAGGGACCTAGGGCTTTCTCTAAGGTCTTCACAGGGGATTCAGACATCCCTTCATGTTGTGAGATGAAAGACGAGCCTGTATTCAAGCCACTGCAAGGAAATCCGGCCTCCTTTCAAGTTAGGGCTTCTCGCTGTATATTCCCCTTGAGGCAGCAAACTCGGGGTCCCTCCCACATACCTATTGCTGAGAGAAGCCTCCTCCTGAGGTGCTTCTGGGAAGTTGGCATACGTCTTGAGCCTAAGCCAGGGAATCAGCTCTCATCTCGAGACGATTTGGGGAACACGGAGCATTCCTCGAGTTGCTGTGCTGAAGTTGGTGTTCCTCTAGACTTGGGACAGTGTTCTCGGGGCATCTCTGGAGTTGCCTGAAGGAAGTCGAGCCACCGGTCGTGTTGAATGGGGAACGGGGAATGGCTCTGGAGTCAATGCAGGGGAAACGGGCCTCATCTCGAGTTGATTTGGGGCACATGGAGCTGCTTTGCGTTGCTGGGGTGACCTCAGGGTCCGTCTAGACTGGTGACAGTGATCTTTGGGACTATCTCGAGATCCATTAAGCAAGTCGAACCTCCTGACTTGTTTGAATGGGATCACGGAATAGCTCTGCATGCACTGCAGGGGAATGGGGCCTCATCTCGCCTCTAGGGGGAAGTCTCATGGTTTTTCTCGAATTGCGACGGGGACCTGGGGTATGTTCTCGACTTACGGCGGGGATGGCCCTTCAAAACACGAGTTTCTTCAGTGACGTCAGGACTCCTGTCTAGTAACGAGGGACACCTCAGGAATCTCTTCGAGGCTTGGCAGGGCAAAGGGACGCTTCTCGAGGTGAGGCAGGGCACCCAAGGACCCTTTCCAGTAGCCACAGGGATTTTGGGATTCCTATCAGTATTCAAGAGGGGTCAGGCATCGTCACCTTTTGAAGCAATGAACTCCGCGTGCCTCTCGAGGTGTCAGCGGGATGTGAGGCATTCCGTCAAAATGAGGCAGGGACCTAGGGCTTTCTCTAAGGTCTCCACAGGGGATTCAGACATCCCTTCATGTTGTGAGATGAAAGACGAGCCTGTAATCAAGCCACTGCCAGGAAATCCGGCCTCCTTTCAAGTTAGGGCTTCTCGCTGTATATTCCCCTTGAGGCAGCAAACTCGGGTTCCCTCCCACATACCTATTGCTGAGAGAAGCCTCCTCCTGAGGTGCTTCTGGGAAGTTGGCATACGTCTTGAGCCTAAGCCAGGGAATCAGCTCTCATCTCGAGACGATTTGGGGTACAGGGAGCATTCCTCGAGTTGCTGTGCTGAAGTTGGTGTTCCTCTAGACTTGGGACAGTGTTCTCGGGGCATCTCTGGAGTTGCCTGAAGGAAGTCGAGCCACCGGTCGTGTTGAATGGGGAACGGGGAATGGCTCTGGAGTCAATGCAGGGGAATCGGGCCTCATCTCGAGTTGATTTGGGGCACATGGAGCTGCTTTGCGTTGCTGGGGTGACCTCAGGGTCCGTCTAGACTGGTGACAGTGTTCTTGGGGACTGTCTCGAGATCCATTAAGCAAGTCGAAGCTCCTGACTTGTTTGAATGGGATCACGGAATAGCTCTGCATGCACTGCAGGGGAATGGGGCCTCAGCTCTCCTCTAGGGGGAAGTCTCATGATTTTTCTCGAGTTGCAGCGGGGACCTGGGGTATGTTCTCAACTTACGGCGGGGATGGCCCTTCAAAACACGAGTTTCTTCAGTGACGTCAGGACTCCTGTCTAGTAACGAGGGACACCTCAGGAATCTCTTCGAGGCTTGGCAGGGCAAAAGGGACGCTTCTCGAGGTGAGGCAGGGCACCCAAGGACCCTTTCCAGTAGCCACAGGGATTTTGGGATTCCTATCAGTAATCAAGAGGAGTCAGGCATCGTCACCTTTTGAAGCAATGAACTCCGCGTGCCTCTCGAGGTGTCAGCGCGATGTGAGGCATTCCGTCAAAATGAGGCAGGGACCTAGGGCTTTCTCTAAGGTCTCCACAGGGGATTCAGACATCCCTTCATGTTGTGAGATGAAAGACGAGCCTGTAATCAAGCCACTGCAAGGAAATCCGGCCTCCTTTCAAGTTAGGGCTTCTCGCTGTATATTCCCCTTGAGGCAGCAAACTCGGGGTCCCTCCCACATACCTATTGCTGAGAGAAGCCTCCTCCTGAGGTGCTTCTGGGAAGTTGGCATACGTCTTGAGCTTAAGCCAGGGAATCAGCTCTCATCTCGAGACGATTTGGGGTACACGGAGCATTCCTCGAGTTGCTGTGCTGAAGTTGGTGTTCCTCTAGACTTGGGACAGTGTTCTCGGGGCCTCTCTGGAGTTGCCTGAAGGAAGTCGAGCCACAGGTCGTGTTGAATGGGGAACGGGGAATGGCTCTGGAGTCAATGCAGGGGAATCGGGCCTCATCTCGAGTTGATTTGGGGCACATGGAGCTGCTTTGCGTTGCTGGGGTGATCTCAGGGTCCGTCTAGACTGGTGACAGTGTTCTTGGGGACTGTCTCGAGATCCATTAAGCAAGTCGAAGCTCCTGACTTGTTTGAATGGGATCACAGAATAGCTCTGCATGCACTGCAGGGGAGTGGGGCCTCATCTCGCCTCTAGGGGGAAGTCTCATGGTTTTTCTCGAGTTGCGGCGGCGACCTGGGGTATGTTCTCGACTTACGGCGGGGATGGCCCTTCAAAACACGAGTTTCTTCAGTGACGTCAGGACTCCTGTCTAGTAACGAGGGACACCTCAGGAATCTCTTCGAGGCTTGGCAGGGCAAAAGGGACGCTTCTCGAGGTGAGGCAGGGCACCCAAGGACCCTTTCCAGTAGCCACAGGGATTTTGGGATTCCTATCAGTATTCAAGAGGAGTCAGGCATCGTCACCTTTTGAAGCAATGTACTCCGCGTGCCTCTCGAGTTGTCAGCGGGATGTGAGGCATTCCGTCAAAATGAGGCAGGGACCTAGGGCTTTCTCTAAGGTCTTCACAGGGGATTCAGACATCCCTTCATGTTGTGAGATGAAAGACGAGCCTGTATTCAAGCCACTGCAAGGAAATCCGGCCTCCTTTCAAGTTAGGGCTTCTCGCTGTATATTCCCCTTGAGGCAGCAAACTCGGGGTCCCTCCCACATACCTATTGCTGAGAGAAGCCTCCTCCTGAGGTGCTTCTGGAAAGGTGGCATACGTCTTGAGCCTAAGCCAGGGAATCAGCTCTCATCTCGAGACGATTTGGGGTACACAGAGCATTCCTCTAGTTGCTGTGCTGAAGTTGGTGGTCCTCTAGACTTGGGACAGTGTTCTCGGGCATCTCTGGAGTTGCCTGAAGGAAGTCGAGCCACCGGTCGTGTTGAATGGGGAACAAGGAATGGCTCTGGAGTCAATGCAGGGGAATCCGGCCTCATCTCGAGTTGATTTGGGGCACATGGAGCTGCTTTGCATTGCTGGGTGACCTCAGGGTCCGACTAGACTGGTGACAGTGTTCTTGGGGACTGTCTCGATATCCATTAAGCAAGTCGAAGCTCCTGACTTGTTTGAATGGGATCACGGAATAGCTCTGCATGCACTGCAGGGGAATGGGGCCTCATCTCGCCTCTAGGGGGAAGTCTCATGGTTTTTCTCGAGTTGCGGCGGGGACCTAGGGTATGTTCTCGACTTACGGCGGGGATGGCCCTTCAAAACACGAGTTTCTTCCGTGACGTCAGGACTCCTGTCTAGTAACGAGGGACACCTCAGCAATCTCTTCGAGGCTTGGCAGGGCAAAAGGGACGCTTCTCGAGGTGAGCCAGGGCACCCAAGGACCCTTTCCAGTAGCCACAGGGATTTTGGGATTCCTATCAGTATTCAAGAGGAGTCAGGCATCGTCAACTTTTGAAGCAATGAACTCCGCGTGCCTCTCGAGGTGTCAGCGGGATGTGAGGATTCCGTCAAAATGAGGCAGGGACCTAGGGCTTTCTCTAAGGTCTCCACAGGGGATTCAGACATCCCTTCATGTTGTGAGATGAAAGACGAGCCTGTATTCAAGCCACTGCAAGGAAATCCGGCCTCCTTTCAAGTTAGGGCTTCTCGCTGTATATTCCCCTTGAGGCAGCAAACTCGGAGTCCCTCCCACATACCTATTGCTGAGAGAAGCCTCCTCCTGAGGTGCTTCTGGAAAGGTGGCATACGTCTTGAGCCTAAGCCAGGGAATCAGCTCTCATCTCGAGACGTTTTGGGGTACACGGAGCATTCCTCGAGTTGCTGTGCCGAAGTTGGTGGTCCTCTAGACTTGGGACAGTGTTCTCGGGTCATCTCTGGAGTTGCCTGAAGGAAGTCGAGCCACCGGTCGTGTTGAATGGGGAACAAGGAATGGCTCTGGAGTCAATGCAGGGGAATCCGGCCTCATCTCGAGTTGATTTGGGGCACATGGAGCTGCTTTGCATTGCTGGTTGACCTCAGGGTCCGTCTAGACTGGTGACAGTGTTCTTGGGGACTGTCTCGAGATCCATTAAGCAAGTCGAAGCTCCTGACTTGTTTGAATGGGATCAGGGAATAGCTCTGCATGCACTGCAGGGGAATGGGGCCTCATCTCGCCTCTAGGGGGAAGTCTCATGGTTTTTCTCGAGTTGCGGCGGGGACCTAGGGTATGTTCTCGACTTACGGCGGGGATGGCCCTTCAAAACACGAGTTTCTTCCGTGACGTCAGGACTCCTGTCTAGTAACGAGGGACACCTCAGCAATCTCTTCGAGGCTTGGCAGGGCAAAAGGGACGCTTCTCGAGGTGAGCCAGGGCACCCAAGGACCCTTTCCAGTAGCCACAGGGATTTTGGGATTCCTATCAGTATTCAAGAGGAGTCAGGCATCGTCACCTTTTGAAGCAATGAACTCCGCGTGCCTCTCGAGGTGTCAGCGGGATGTGAGGATTCCGTCAAAATGAGGCAGGGACCTAGGGCTTTCTCTAAGGTCTCCACAGGGGATTCAGACATCCCTTCATGTTGTGAGATGAAAGACGAGCCTGTATTCAAGCCACTGCAAGGAAATCCGGCCTCCTTTCAAGTTAGGGCTTCTCGCTGTATATTCCCCTTGAGGCAGCAAACTCGGAGTCCCTCCCACATACCTATTGCTGAGAGAAGCCTCCTCCTGAGGTGCTTCTGGAAAGGTGGCATACGTCTTGAGCCTAAGCCAGGGAATCAGCTCTCATCTCGAGACGATTTGGGGTACACGGAGCATTCCTCGAGTTGCTGTGCCGAAGTTGGTGGTCCTCTAGACTTGGGACAGTGTTCTCGGGTCATCTCTGGAGTTGCCTGAAGGAAGTCGAGCCACCGGTCGTGTTGAATGGGGAACAAGGAATGGCTCTGGAGTCAATGCAGGGGAATCCGGCCTCATCTCGAGTTGATTTGGGGCACATGGAGCTGCTTTGCATTGCTGGTTGACCTCAGGGTCCGTCTAGACTGGTGACAGTGTTCTTGGGGACTGTCTCGAGATCCATTAAGCAAGTCGAAGCTCCTGACTTGTTTGAATGGGATCAGGGAATAGCTCTGCATGCACTGCAGGGGAATGGGGCCTCATCTCGCCTCTAGGGGGAAGTCTCATGGTTTTTCTCGAGTTGCGGCGGGGACCTGGGGTATGTTCTCGACTTACGGCGGGGATGGCCCTTCAAAACACGAGTTTCTTCAGTGACGTCAGGACTCCTGTCTAGTAACGAGGGACACCTCAGCAATCTCTTTGAGGCTTGGCAGGGCAAAAGGGACGCTTCTCGAGGTGAGCCAGGGCACCCAAGGACCCTTTCCAGTAGCCACAGGGATTTTGGGATTCCTATAAGTAATCAAGAGGAGTCATGCATCTTCACCTTTTGAAGCAATGAACTCCGCGTGCCTCTCGACGTGTCAGCGGGATGTGAGGATTCCATCAAAATGAGGCAGGGACCTAGGGCTTTCTCTAAGGTCTCCACAGGGGAATCAGACATCCCTTCATGTTGTGAGATGAAAGACGAGCCTGTATTCAAGCCACTGCATGGAAATCCGGCCTCCTTTCAAGTTAGGGCTTCTCGCTGTATATTCCCCTTGAGGCAGCAAACTCGGGATCCCTCCCACATACCTATTACTGAGAGAAGCCTCCTCCTGAGGTGCTTCTGGAAAGGTGGCATACGTCTTGAGCCTAAGCCAGGGAATCAGCTCTCATCTCGAGACGATTTGGGGTACACAGAGCATTCCTCGAGTTGCTGTGCTGAAGTTGGTGGTCCTCTAGACTTGGGACAGTGTTCTCGGGGCATCTCTGGAGTTGCCTGAAGGAAGTCGAGCCACCGGTCGTGTTGAATGGGGAACAAGGAATGGCTCTGGAGTCAATGCAGGGGAATCCGGCCTCATCTCGAGTTGATTTGGGGCACATGGAGCTGCTTTGCATTGCTGGGTGACCTCAGGGTCCGTCTAGACTGGTGACAGTGTTCTTGGGGACTGTCTCGAGATCCATTAAGCAAGTCGAAGCTCCTGACTTGTTTGAATGGGATCACGGAATAGCTCTGCATGCACTGCAGGGGAATGGGGCCTCATCTCGCCTCTAGGGGGAAGTCTCATGGTTTTTCTCGAGTTGCGGCGGGGACCTGGGGTATGTTCTCGACTTACGGCGGGGATGGCCCTTCAAAACACGAGTTTCTTCAGTGACGTCAGGACTCCTGTCTAGTAACGAGGGACACATCAGCAATCTCTTCGAGGCTTGGCAGGGCAAAAGGGACGCTTCTCGAGGTGAGCCAGGGCACCCAAGGACCCTTTCCAGTAGCCACAGGGATTTTGGGATTCCTATAAGTAATCAAGAGGAGTCATGCATCGTCACCTTTTGAAGCAATGAACTCCGCGTGCCTCTCGAGGTGTCAGCGGGATGTGAGGCATTCCGTCAAAATGAGGCAGGGACCTAGGGCTTTCTCTAAGGTCTCCACAGGGGATTCAGACATCCCTTCATGTTGTGAGATGAAAGACAAGCCTGTATTCAAGCTACTGCAAGGAAATCCGGCCTCCTTTCAAGTTAGGGCTTCTCGCTGTATATTGCCCTTGAGGCAGAAAACTCGGAGTCCCTCCCACATACCTATTGCTGAGAAGCCTCCTCCTGAGGTGCTTCTGGAAAGGTGGCATACGTCTTGAGCCTAAGCCAGGGAATCAGCTCTCATCTCGAGACGATTTGGGGTACACAGATCATTCCTCGAGTTGCTGTGCTGAAGTTGGTGTTCCTCTAGACTTGGGACAGTGTTCTCGGGGCATCTCTGGAGTTGCCTGAAGGAAGTCGAGCCACCGGTCGTGTTGAATGGGGAACGGGGAATGGCTCTGGAGTCAATGCAGGGGAATCGGGCCTCATCTCGAGTTGATTTGTGGCACCTGGAGCTGCTTTGCGTTGCTGGGGTGACCTCAGGTTCCGTCTAGACTGGTGACAGTGTTCTTGGGGACTGCCTCGAGATCCATTAAGCAAGTCGAAGCTCCTGACTTGTTTGAATGGGATCACGGAATAGCTCTGCATGCACTGCAGGGGAATGGGGACTCATCTCGCCTCTAGGGGGAAGTCTCATGGTTTTTCTCGAGTTGCGGCGGGGACCTGGGGTATGTTCTCGACTTACGGCGGGGATGGCCCTTCAAAACACGAGTTTCTTCAGTGACGTCAGGACTCCTGTCTAGTAACGAGGGACACATCAGCAATCTCTTCGAGGCTTGGCAGGGCAAAAGGGACGCTTCTCGAGGTGAGCCAGGGCACCCAAGGACCCTTTCCAGTAGCCACAGGGATTTTGGGATTCCTATCAGTGTTCAAGAGGAGTCAGGCATCGTCACCTTTTGAAGCAATGTACTCCGCGTGCCTCTCGAGTTGTCAGCGGGATGTGAGGCATTCCGTCAAAATGAGGCAGGGACCTAGGGCTTTCTCTAAGGTCTTCACATGGGATTCTGACATCCCTTCATGTTGTGAGATGAAAGACGAGCCTGTATTCAAGCCACTGCAAGGAAATCCGGCCTCCTTTCAAGTTAGGGCTTCTCGCTGTATATTCCCCTTGAGGCAGCAAACTCGGGGTCCCTCCCACATACCTATTGCTGAGAGAAGCCTCCTCCTGAGGTGCTTCTGGAAAGGTGGCATACGTCTTGAGCCTAAGCCAGGGAATCAGCTCTCATCTCGAGACGATTTGGGGTACACAGAGCATTCCTCGAGTTTCTGTGCTGAAGTTGGTGTTCCTCTAGACTTGGGACAGTGTTCTCGGGGCATCTCTGGAGTTGCCTGAAGGAAGTCGAGCCACCGGTCGTGTTGACTGGGGAACAAGGAATGGCTCTGGAGTCAATGCAGGGGAATCCGGCCTCATCTCGAGTTGATTTGGGGCACATGGAGCTGCTTTGCATTGCTGGGTGACCTCAGGGTCCGACTAGACTGGTGACAGTGTTCTTGGGGACTGTCTCGATATCCATTAAGCAAGTCGAAGCTCCTGACTTGTTTGAATGGGATCACGGAATAGCTCTGCATGCACTGCAGGGGAATGGGGCCTCATCTCGCCTCTAGGGGGAAGTCTCATGGTTTTTCTCGAGTTGCGGCGGGGACCTGGGGTATGTTCTCGACTTACGGCGGGGATGGCCCTTCAAAACACGAGTTTCTTCAGTGACGTCAGGACTCCTGTCTAGTAACGAGGGACACCTCAGCAATCTCTTCGAGGCTTGGCAGGGCAAAAGGGACGCTTCTCGAGGTGAGCCAGGGCACCCAAGGACCCTTTCCAGTAGCAACAGGGATTTTGGGATTCCTATCAGTATTCAAGAGGAGTCAGGCATCGTCACCTTTTGAAGCAATGAACTCCGCGTGCCTCTCGAGGTGTCAGCGGGATGTGAGGATTCCGTCAAAATGAGGCAGGGACCTAGGGCTTTCTCTAAGGTCTCCACAGGGGATTCAGACATCCCTTCATGTTGTGAGATGAAAGACGAGCCTGTATTCAAGCCACTGCATGGAAATCCGGCCTCCTTTCAAGTTAGGGCTTCTCGCTGTATATTCCCCTTGAGGCAGCAAACTCGGGGTCCCTCCCACATACCTATTACTGAGAGAAGCCTCCTCCTGAGGTGCTTCTGGAAAGGTGGCATACGTCTTGAGCCTAAGCCAGGGAATCAGCTCTCATCTCGAGACGATTTGGGGTACACAGAGCATTCCTCGAGTTGCTGTGCTGAAGTTGGTGGTCCTCTAGACTTGGGACAGTGTTCTCGGGGCATCTCTGGAGTTGCCTGAAGGAAGTCGAGCCACCGGTCGTGTTGAATGGGGAACAAGGAATGGCTCTGGAGTCAATGCAGGGGAATCCGGCCTCATCTCGAGTTGATTTGGGGCACATGGAGCTGCTTTGCATTGCTGGGTGACCTCAGGGTCCGTCTAGACTGGTGACAGTGTTCTTGGGGACTGTCTCGAGATCCATTTAGCAAGTCGAAGCTCCTGACTTGTTTGAATGGGATCACGGAATAGCTCTGCATGCACTGCAGGGGAATGGGGCCTCATCTCGCCTCTAGGGGGAAGTCTCATGGATTTTCTCGAGTTGCGGCGGGGACCTGGGGTATGTTCTCGACTTACGGCGGGGATGGCCCTTCAAAATACGAGCTTCTTCAGTGACGTCAGGACTCCTGCCTAGTAACGAGGGACACCTCAGGAATCTCTTCGAGGCTTGGCAGGGCAAAAGGGACGCTTCTCGAGGTGAGCCAGGGCACCCAAGGACCCTTGCCAGTAGCCACAGGGATTTTGGGATTCCTATAAGTAATCAAGAGGAGTCATGCATCGTCACCTTTTGAAGCAATGTACTCCGCGTGCCTCTCGAGGTGTCAGCGGGATGTGAGGCATTCCGTCAAAATGAGGCAGGGACCTAGGGCTTTCTCTAAGGTCTCCACAGGGGATTCAGACACCCCTTCATGTTGTGAGATAAAAGACAAGCCTGTATTCAAGCTACTGCAAGGAAATCCGGCCTCCTTTCAAGTTAGGGCTTCTCGCTGTATATTGCCCTTGAGGCAGCAAACTCGGAGTCCCTCCCACATACCTATTGCTGAGAAGCCTCCTCCTGAGGTGCTTCTGGAAAGTTGGCATACGTCTTGAGCCTAAGCCAGGGAATCAGCTCTCATCTCGAGACAGATCATTCCTCGAGTTGCTGTGCTGAAGTTGGTGTTCCTCTAGACTTGGGACAGTGTTCTCTGGGCATCTCTGGAGTTGCCTGAAGGAAGGCGAGCCACCGGTCGTGTTAAATGGGGAACGGGGAATGGCTCTGGAGTCAATGCAGGGGAATCGGGCCTCATCTCGAGTTGATTTGTGGCACCTGGAGCTGCTTTGCGTTGCTGGGGTGACCTCAGGTTCCGTCTAGACTGGTGACAGTGTTCTTGGGGACTGCCTCGAGATCCATTAAGCAAGTCGAAGCTCCTGACTTGTTTGAATGGGATCACGGAATAGCTCTGCATGCACTGCAGGGGAATGGGGCCTCATCTCGCCTCTAGGGGGAAGTCTCATGGTTTTTCTCGAGTTGCGGCGGGGACCTGGGGTATGTTCTCGACTTACGGCGGGGATGGCCCTTCAAAACACGAGTTTCTTCAGTGACGTCAGGACTCCGGCATAGTAACGAGGGACACCTCAGGAATCTCTTCGAGGCTTGGCAGGGCAAAAGGGACGCTTCTCGAGGTGAGGCAGGGCACCCAAGGACCCTTTCCAGTAGCCACAGGGATTTTGGGATTCCTATCAGTATTCAAGAGGAGTCAGGCATCCTCACCTTTTGAAGCAATGAACTCCGCGTGCCTCTCGAGGTGTCAGCGGGATGTGAGGCATTCCGTCAAAATGAGGCAGGGACCTAGGGCTTTCTCTAAGGTCTCCACAGGGGATTCAGACACCCCTTCATGTTGTGAGATGAAAGACAAGCCTGTATTCAAGCTACTGCAAGGAAATCCGGCCTCCTTTCAAGTTAGGGCTTCTCGCTGTATATTGCCCTTGAGGCAGCAAACTCGGAGTCCCTCCCACATACCTATTGCTGAGAAGCCTCCTCCTGAGGTGCTTCTGGAAAGTTGGCATACGTCTTGAGCCTAAGCCAGGGAATCAGCTCTCATCTCGAGACGATTTGGGGTACACAGATCATTCCTCGAGTTGCTGTGCTGAAGTTGGTGTTCCTCTAGACTTGGGACAGTGTTCTCGGGGCATCTCTGGAGTTGCCTGAAGGAAGGCGAGCCACCGGTCGTGTTAAATGGGGAACGGGGAATGGCTCTGGAGTCAATGCAGGGGAATCGGGCCTCATCTCGAGTTGATTTGTGGCACCTGGAGCTGCTTTGCGTTGCTGGGGTGACCTCAGGTTCCGTCTAGACTGGTGACAGTGTTCTTGGGGACTGCCTCGAGATCCATTAAGCAAGTCGAAGCTCCTGACTTGTTTGAATGGGATCACGGAATAGCTCTGCATGCACTGCAGGGGAATGGGGCCTCATCTCGCCTCTAGGGGGAAGTCTCATGGTTTTTCTCGAGTTGCGGCGGGGACCTGGGGTATGTTCTCGACTTACGGCGGGGATGGCCCTTCAAAACACGAGTTTCTTCAGTGACGTCAGGACTCCGGCATAGTAACGAGGGACACCTCAGGAATCTCTTCGAGGCTTGGCAGGGCAAAAGGGACGCTTCTCGAGGTGAGGCAGGGCACCCAAGGACCCTTTCCAGTAGCCACAGGGATTTTGGGATTCCTATCAGTATTCAAGAGGAGTCAGGCATCCTCACCTTTTGAAGCAATGAACTCCGCGTGCCTCTCGAGGTGTCAGCGGGATGTGAGGCATTCCGTCAAAATGAGGCAGGGACCTAGGGCTTTCTCTAAGGTCTCCACAGGGGATTCAGACATCCCTTCATGTTGTGAGATGAAAGACAAGCCTGTATTCAAGCTACTGCAAGGAATTCCGGCCTCCTTTCAAGTTAGGGCTTCTCGCTGTATATTGCCCTTGAGGCAGCAAACTCGGAGTCCCTCCCACATACCTATTGCTGAGAAGCCTCCTCCTGAGGTGCTTCTGGAAAGTTGGCATACGTCTTGAGCCTAAGCCAGGGAATCAGCTCTCATCTCGAGACGATTTGGGGTACACAGAGCATTCCTCGAGTTGCTGTGCTGAAGTTGGTGGTCCTCTAGACTTGGGACAGTGTTCTCGGGGCATCTCTGGAGTTGCCTGAAGGAAGTCGAGCCACCGGTCGTGTTGAATGGGGAACAAGGAATGGCTCTGGAGTCAATGCAGGGGAATCCGGCCTCATCTCGAGTTGATTTGGGGCACATGGAGCTGCTTTGCATTGCTGGGTGACCTCAGGGTCCGTCTAGACTGGTGACAGTGTTCTTGGGGACTGTCTCGAGATCCATTAAGCAAGTCGAAGCTCCTGACTTGTTTGAATGGGATCACGGAATAGCTCTGCATGCACTGCAAGGGAATGGGGCCTCATCTCGCCTCAAGGGGGAAGTCTCATGGTTTTTCTCGAGTTGCGGCGGAGACCTGGGGTATGTTCTCGACTTACGGCGGGGATGGCCCTTCAAAACACGAGTTTCTTCAGTGACGTCAGGACTCCTGTCTAGTAACGAGGGACACATCAGCAATCTCTTCGAGGCTTGGCAGGGCAAAAGGGACGCTTCTCGAGGTGAGCCAGGGCACCCAAGGACCCTTTCCAGTAGCCACAGGGATTTTGGGATTCCTATAAGTAATCAAGAGGAGTCATGCATCGTCACCTTTTGAAGCAATGTACTCCGCGTGCCTCTCGAGGTGTCAGCGGGATGTGAGGCATTCCGTCAAAATGAGGCAGGGACCTAGGGCTTTCTCTAAGGTCTTCAAAGGGGATTCAGACATCCCTTCATGTTGTGAGATGAAAGACAAGCCTGTATTCAAGCTACTGCAAGGAAATCCGGCCTCCTTTCAAGTTAGGGCTTCTCGCTGTATATTGCCCTTGAGGCAGCAAACTCGGAGTCCCTCCCACATACCTATTGCTGAGAAGCCTCCTCCTGAGGTGCTTCTGGAAAGTTGGCATACGTCTTGAGCCTAAGCCAGGGAATCAGCTCTCATCTCGAGACGATTTGGGGTACACAGATCATTCCTCGAGTTGCTGTGCTGAAGTTGGTGTTCCTCTAGACTTGGGACAGTTTTCTCGGGGCATCTCTGGAGTTGCCTGAAGGAAGGCGAGCCACCGGTCGTGTTAAATGGGGAACGGGGAATGGCTCTGGAGTCAATGCAGGGGAATCGGGCCTCATCTCGAGTTGATTTGTGGCACCTGGAGCTGCTTTGCGTTGCTGGGGTGACCTCAGGTTCCGTCTAGACTGGTGACAGTGTTCTTGGGGACTGCCTCGAGATCCATTAAGCAAGTCGAAGCTCCTGACTTGTTTGAATGGGATCACGGAATAGCTCTGCATGCACTGCAGGGGAATGGGGCCTCATCTCGCCTCTAGGGGGAAGTCTCATGGTTTTTCTCGAGTTGCGGCGGGGACCTGGGGTATGTTCTCGACTTACGGCGGGGATGGCCCTTCAAAACACGAGTTTCTTCAGTGACGTCAGGACTCCGGCATAGTAACGAGGGACACCTCAGGAATCTCTTCGAGGCTTGGCAGGGCAAAAGGGACGCTTCTCGAGGTGAGGCAGGGCACCCAAGGACCCTTTCCAGTAGCCACAGGGATTTTGGGATTCCTATCAGTATTCAAGAGGAGTCAGGCATCCTCACCTTTTGAAGCAATGAACTCCGCGTGCCTCTCGAGGTGTCAGCGGGATGTGAGGCATTCCGTCAAAATGAGGCAGGGACCTAGGGCTTTCTCTAAGGTCTCCACAGGGGATTCAGACATCCCTTCATGTTGTGAGATGAAAGACAAGCCTGTATTCAAGCTACTGCAAGGAATTCCGGCCTCCTTTCAAGTTAGGGCTTCTCGCTGTATATTGCCCTTGAGGCAGCAAACTCGGAGTCCCTCCCACATACCTATTGCTGAGAAGCCTCCTCCTGAGGTGCTTCTGGAAAGTTGGCATACGTCTTGAGCCTAAGCCAGGGAATCAGCTCTCATCTCGAGACGATTTGGGGTACACAGAGCATTCCTCGAGTTGCTGTGCTGAAGTTGGTGGTCCTCTAGACTTGGGACAGTGTTCTCGGGGCATCTGTGGAGTTGCCTGAAGGAAGTCGAGCCACCGGTCGTGTTGAATGGGGAACAAGGAATGGCTCTGGAGTCAATGCAGGGGAATCCGGCCTCATCTCGAGTTGATTTGGGGCACATGGAGCTGCTTTGCATTGCTGGGTGACCTCAGGGTCCGTCTAGACTGGTGACAGTGTTCTTGGGGACTGTCTCGAGATCCATTAAGCAAGTCGAAGCTCCTGACTTGTTTGAATGGGATCACGGAATAGCTCTGCATGCACTGCAAGGGAATGGGGCCTCATCTCGCCTCAAGGGGGAAGTCTCATGGTTTTTCTCGAGTTGCGGCGGAGACCTGGGGTATGTTCTCGACTTACGGCGGGGATGGCCCTTCAAAACACGAGTTTCTTCAGTGACGTCAGGACTCCTGTCTAGTAACGAGGGACACATCAGCAATCTCTTCGAGGCTTGGCAGGGCAAAAGGGACGCTTCTCGAGGTGAGCCAGGGCACCCAAGGACCCTTTCCAGTAGCCACAGGGATTTTGGGATTCCTATCAGTATTCAAGAGGAGTCAGGCATCGTCACCTTTTGAAGCAATGTACTCCGCGTGCCAATCGAGTTGTCAGCGGAATGTGAGGCATTCCGTCAAAATGAGGCAGGGACCTAGGGCTTTCTCTAAGGTCTTCAAAGGGGATTCAGACATCCCTTCATGTTGTGAGATGAAAGACGAGCCTGTATTCAAGCCACTGCAAGGAAATCCGGCCTCCTTTCAAGTTAGGGCTTCTCGCTGTATATTCCCCTTGAGGCAGCAAACTCGGGGTCCCTCCCACATACCTATTGCTGAGAGAAGCCTCCTCCTGAGGTGCTTCTGGAAAGGTGGCATACGTCTTGAGCCTAAGCCAGGGAATCAGCTCTCATCTCGAGACGATTTGGGGTACACAGAGCATTCCTCGAGTTGCTGTGCTGAAGTTGGTGGTCCTCTAGACTTGGGACAGTGTTCTCGGGGCATCTCTGGAGTTGCCTGAAGGAAGTCGAGCCACCGGTCGTGTTGAATGGGGAACAAGGAATGGCTCTGGAGTCAATGCAGGGGAATCCGGCCTCATCTCGAGTTGATTTGGGGCACATGGAGCTGCTTTGCATTGCTGGGTGACCTCAGGGTCCGTCTAGACTGGTGACAGTGTTCTTGGGGACTGTCTCGAGATCCATTAAGCAAGTCGAAGCTCCTGACTTGTTTGAATGGGATCACGGAATAGCTCTGCATGCACTGCAGGGGAATGGGGCCTCATCTCGCCTCTAGGGGGAAGTCTCATGGTTTTTCTCGAGTTGCGGCGGGGACCTGGGGTATGTTCTCGACTTACGGCGGGGATGGCCCTTCAAAACATGAGTTTCTTCCGTGACGTCAGGACTCCTGTCTAGTAACGAGGGACACATCAGCAATCTCTTCGAGGCTTGGCAGGGCAAAAGGGACGCTTCTCGAGGTGAGCCAGGGCACCCAAGGACCCTTTCCAGTAGCCACAGGGATTTTGGGATTCCTATCAGTATTCAAGAGGAGTCAGGCATCGTCACCTTTTGAAGCAATGTACTCCGCGTGCCAATCGAGTTGTCAGCGGAATGTGAGGCATTCCGTCAAAATGAGGCAGGGACCTAGGGCTTTCTCTAAGGTCTTCAAAGGGGATTCAGACATCCCTTCATGTTGTGAGATGAAAGACGAGCCTGTATTCAAGCCACTGCAAGGAAATCCGGCCTCCTTTCAAGTTAGGGCTTCTCGCTGTATATTCCCCTTGAGGCAGCAAACTCGGGGTCCCTCCCACATACCTATTGCTGAGAGAAGCCTCCTCCTGAGGTGCTTCTGGAAAGGTGGCATACGTCTTGAGCCTAAGCCAGGGAATCAGCTCTCATCTCGAGACGATTTGGGGTACACAGAGCATTCCTCGAGTTGCTGTGCTGAAGTTGGTGGTCCTCTAGACGTGGGACAGTGTTCTCGGGGCATCTCTGGAGTTTCCTGAAGGAAGTCGAGCCACCGGTCGTGTTTAATGGGGAACAAGGAATGACTCTGGAGTCAATGCAGGGGAATCCGGCCTCATCTCGAGTTGATTTGGGGCACATGGAGCTGCTTTGCATTGCTGGGTGACCTCAGGGTCCGTCTAGACTGGTGACAGTGTTCTTGGGGACTGTCTCGAGATCCATTAAGCAAGTCGAAGCTCCTGACTTGTTTGAATGGGATCACGGAATAGCTCTGCATGCACTGCAGGGGAATGGGGCCTCATCTCGCCTCTAGGGGGAAGTCTCATGGTTTTTCTCGAGTTGCGGCGGGGACCTGGGGTATGGTCTCGACTTACGGCGGGGATGGCCGTTCAAAACACGAGTTTCTTCAGTGACGTCAGGACTCCTGTCTAGTAACGAGGGACACCTCAGCAATCTCTTCGAGGCTTGGCAGGGCAAAAGGGACGCTTCTCGAGGTGAGCCAGGGCACCCAAGGACCCTTTCCAGTAGCCACAGGGATTTTGGGATTCCTATCAGTATTCCAGAGGAGTCAGGCATCGTCACCTTTTGAAGCAATGAACTCCGCGTGCCTCTCGAGGTGTCAGCGGGATGTGAGGATTCCGTCAAAATGAGGCAGGGACCTAGGGCTTTCTCTAAGGTCTCCACAGGGGATTCAGACATCCCTTCATGTTGTGAGATGAAAGACGAGCCTGTATTCAAGCCACTGCAAGGAAATCCGGCCTCCTTTCAAGTTAGGGCTTCTCGCTGTATATTCCCCTTGAGGCAGCAAACTCGGAGTCCCTCCCACATACCTATTGCTGAGAGAAGCCTCCTCCTGAGGTGCTTCTGGAAAGTTGGCATACGTCTTGAGCCTAAGCCAGGGATTCAGCTCTCATCTCGAGACGATTTGGGGTACACAGAGCTTTCCTCGATTTGCTGTGCTGAAGTTGGTGTTCCTCTAGACTTGGGACAGTGTTCTCTGGGCATCTCTGGAGTTGCCTGAAGGAAGTCGAGCCACCGGTCGTGTTGAATGGGGAACGGGGAATGGCTCTGGAGTCAATGCAGGGGAATCGGGCCTCATCTCGAGTTGATTTGTGGCACCTGGAGCTGCTTTGCGTTGCTGGGGTGACCTCAGGGTCCGTCTAGACTGGTGACAGTGTTCTTGGGGACTGCCTCGAGATCCATTAAGCAAGTCGAAGCTCCTGACTTGCTTGAATGGGATCACGGAATAGCTCTGCATGCAGTGCAGGGGAATGGGGCCTCATCTCGCCTCTAGGGGGAAGTCTCATGGTTTTTCTCGAGTTGCGGCGGGGACCTGGGGTATGTTCTCGACTTACGGCGGGGATGGCCCTTCAAAATACGAGTTTCTTCAGTGATGTCAGGACTCCTGCCTAGTAACGAGGGACACCTCAGGAATCTCTTCGAGGCTTGGCAGGGCAAAAGGGACGCTTCTCGAGGTGAGCCTGGGCACCCAAGGACCCTTTCCAGTAGCCACAGGGATTTTGGGATTCCTATAAGTAATCAAGAGGAGTCATGCATCGTCATCTTTTGAAGCAATGAACTCCGCGTGCCTCTCGAGGTGTCAGCGGGATGTGAGGATTCCGTCAAAATGAGGCAGGGACCTAGGGCTTTCTCTAAGGTCTCCACAGGGGATTCAGACATCCCTTCATGTTGTGAGATGAAAGACGAGCCTGTATTCAAGCCACTGCAAGGAAATCCGGCCTCTTTTCAAGTTAGGGCTTCTCGCTGTATATTCCCCTTGAGGCAGCAAACTCGGAGTCCCTCCCACATACCTATTGCTGAGAGAAGCCTCCTCCTGAGGTGCTTCTGGAAAGGTGGCATACGTCTTGAGCCTAAGCCAGGGAATCAGCTCTCATCTCGAGACGATTTGGGGTAAACAGAGCATTCCTCGAGTTGCTGTGCTGAAGTTGGTGGTCCTCTAGACTTGGGACAGTGTTCTCGGGGCATCTCTGGAGTTGCCTGAAGGAAGTCGAGCCACCGGTCGTGTTTAATGGGGAACAAGGAATGGCTCTGGAGTCAATGCAGGGGAATCCGGCCTCATCTCGAGTTGATTTGGGGCACATGGAGCTGCTTTGCATTGCTGGGTGACCTCAGGGTCCGTCTAGACTGGTGACAGTGTTCTTGGGGACTGTCTCGAGATCCATTAAGCAAGTCGAAGCTCCTGACTTGTTTGAATGGGATCACGGAATAGCTCTGCATGCACTGCAGGGGAATGGGGCCTCATCTCGCCTCTAGGGGGAAGTCTCATGGTTTTTCTCGAGTTGCGGCGGGGACCTGGGGTATGTTCTCGACTTACGGCGGGGATGGCCCTTCAAAACACGAGTTTCTTCCGTGACGTCAGGACTCCTATCTAGTAACGAGGGACACCTCAGCAATCTCTTCGAGGCTTGGCAGGGCAAAAGGGACGCTTCTCGAGGTGAGCCAGGGCACCCAAGGACCCTTTCCAGTAGCCACAGGGATTTTGGGATTCCTATCAGTATTCAAGAGGAGTCAGGCATCGTCACCTTTTGAAGCAATGAACTCCGCGTGCATCTCGAGGTGTCAGCGGGATGTGAGGATTCCGTCAAAATGAGGCAGGGACCTAGGGCTTTCTCTAAGGTCTCCACAGGGGATTCAGACATCCCTTCATGTTGTGAGATGAAAGACGAGCCTGTATTAAAGCCACTGCAAGGACATCCGGCCTCCTTTCAAGTTAGGGCTTCTCGCTGTATATTCCCCTTGAGGCAGCAAACTCGGGGTCCCTCCCACATACCTATTGCTGAGAGAAGCCTCCTCCTGAGGTGCTTCTGGAAAGTTGGCATACGTCTTGAGCCTAAGCCAGAGAATCAGCTCTCATCTCGAGATGATTTGGGGTACACGGAGCATTCCTCGAGTTGCTGTGCTGAAGGTGGTGTTCCTCTAGACTTGGGACAGTGTTCTCGGGGAAACTCTGGAGTTGCCGGAAGGAAGTCGAGCCACCGGTCGTGTTGAATGGGGAACGGGGAATGGCTCTGGAGTCAATGCAGGGGAATCGGGCCTCATCTCGAGTTGATTTGGGGCACATGGAGCAGCTTTGCATTGCTGGGGTGACCTCAGGTTTCGTCTAGACTGGTGACAGTGTTCTTGGGGACTGTCTCGAGATCCATTAAGCAAGTCGAAGCTCCTGACTTGTTTGAATGGGATCACGGAATAGCTCTGCATGCACTGCAGGGGAATGGGGCCTCATCTCGCCTCTAGGGGGAAGTCTCATGGTTTTTCTCGAGTTGCGGCGGGGACCTGGGGTATGTTCTCGACTTACGGCGGGGATGGCCCTTCAAAACACGAGTTTCTTCAGTGACGTCAGGACTCCTGTCTAGTAACGAGGGACACCTCAGGAATTCTCTTCGAGGCTTGGCAGGGCAAAAGGGACGCTTCTCGAAGTGAGCCAGGGCACCCAAGGACCCTTTCCAGTAGCCACAAGGATTTTGGGATTCCTATCAGTATTCAAGAGGAGTCAGGCATCGTCACCTTTTGAAGCAATGAACTCCGCGTGCCTCTCGAGGTGTCAGCGGGATGTGAGGATTCCGTCAAAATGAGGCAGGGACCTAGGGCTTTCTCTAAGGTCTCCACAGGGGATTCAGACATCCCTTCATGTTGTGAGATGAAAGACGAGCCTGTATTCAAGCCACTGCAAGGAAATCCGGCCTCTTTTCAAGTTAGGGCTTCTCGCTGTATATTCCCCTTGAGGCAGCAAACTCGGGGTCCCTCCCACATACCTATTGCTGAGAGAAGCCTCCTCCTGAGGTGCTTCTGGAAAGGTGGCATACGTCTTGAGCCTAAGCCAGGGAATCAGCTCTCATCTCGAGACGATTTGGGGTACACAGAGCATTCCTCGAGTTGCTGTGCTGAAGTTGGTGGTCCTCTAGACTTGGGACAGTGTTCTCGGGGCAACTCTGGAGTTGCCTGAAGGAAGTCGAGCCACCGGTCGTGTTGAATGGGGAACAAGGAATGGCTCTGGAGTCAATGCAGGGGAATCCGGCCTCATCTCGAGTTGATTTGGGGCACATGGAGCTGCTTTGCATTGCTGGGTGACCTCAGGGTCCGTCTAGACTGGTGACAGTGTTCTTGGGGACTGTCTCGAGATCCATTAAGCAAGTCGAAGCTCCTGACTTGTTTGAATGGGATCACGGAATAGCTCTGCGTGCACTGCAGGGGAATGGGGCCTCATCTCGCCTCTAGGGGGAAGTCTCATGGTTTTTCTCGAGTTGCGGCGGGGACCTGGGGTATGTTCTCGACTTACGGCGGGGATGGCCCTTCAAAATACGAGTTTCTTCAGTGACGTCAGGACTCCTGCCTAGTAACGAGGGACACCTCAGGAATCTCTTCGAGGCTTGGCAGGGCAAAAGGGACGCTTCTCGAGGTGAGCCAGGGCACCCAAGGACCCTTGCCAGTAGCCACAGGGATTTTGGGATTCCTATAAGTAATCAAGAGGAGTCATGCATCGTCACCTTTTGAAGCAATGTACTCCGCGTGCCTCTCGAGGTGTCAGCGGGATGTGAGGCATTCCGTCAAAATGAGGCAGGGACCTAGGGCTTTCTCTAAGGTCTCCACAGGGGATTCAGACACCCCTTCATGTTGTGAGATGAAAGACAAGCCTGTATTCAAGCTACTGCAAGGAAATCCGGCCTCCTTTCAAGTTAGGGCTTCTCGCTGTATATTGCCCTTGAGGCAGCAAACTCGGAGTCCCTCCCACATACCTATTGCTGAGAAGCCTCCTCCTGAGGTGCTTCTTGAAAGTTGGCATACGTCTTGAGCCTAAGCTAGGGAATCAGCTCTCATCTCGAGACGATTTGGGGTACACAGATCATTCCTCGAGTTGCTGTGCTGAAGTTGGTGTTCCTCTAGACTTGGTACAGTGTTCTCGGGGCATCTCTGGAGTTGCCTGAAGGAAGGCGAGCCACCGGTCGTGTTAAATGGGGAACGGGGAATGGCTCTGGAGTCAATGCAGGGGAATCGGGCCTCATCTCGAGTTGATTTGTGGCACCTGGAGCTGCTTTGCGTTGCTGGGGTGACCTCAGGTTCCGTCTAGACTGGTGACAGTGTTCTTGGGGACTGCCTCGAGATCCATTAAGCAAGTCGAAGCTCCTGACTTGTTTGAATGGGATCACGGAATAGCTCTGCATGCACTGCAGGGGAATGGGGCCTCATCTCGCCTCTAGGGGGAAGTCTCATGGTTTTTCTCGAGTTGCGGCGGGGACCTGGGGTATGTTCTCGACTTACGGCGGGGATGGCCCTTCAAAACACGAGTTTCTTCAGTGACGTCAGGACTCCGGCATAGTAACGAGGGACACCTCAGGAATCTCTTCGAGGCTTGGCAGGGCAAAAGGGACGCTTCTCGAGGTGAGGCAGGGCACCCAAGGACCCTTTCCAGTAGCCACAGGGATTTTGGGATTCCTATCAGTATTCAAGAGGAGTCAGGCATCCTCACCTTTTGAAGCAATGAACTCCGCGTGCCTCTCGAGGTGTCAGCGGGATGTGAGGCATTCCGTCAAAATGAGGCAGGGACCTAGGGCTTTCTCTAAGGTCTCCACAGGGGATTCAGACATCCCTTCATGTTGTGAGATGAAAGACAAGCCTGTATTCAAGCTACTGCAAGGAATTCCGGCCTCCTTTCAAGTTAGGGCTTCTCGCTGTATATTGCCCTTGAGGCAGCAAACTCGGAGTCCCTCCCACATACCTATTGCTGAGAAGCCTCCTCCTGAGGTGCTTCTGGAAAGTTGGCATACGTCTTGAGCCTAAACCAGGGAATCAGCTCTCATCTCGAGACGATTTGGGGTACACAGAGCATTCCTCGAGTTGCTGTGCTGAAGTTGGTGGTCCTCTAGACTTGGGACAGTGTTCTCGGGGCATCTCTGGAGTTGCCTGAAGGAAGTCGAGCCACCGGTCGTGTTGAATGGGGAACAAGGAATGGCTCTGGAGTCAATGCAGGGGAATCCGGCCTCATCTCGAGTTGATTTGGGGCACATGGAGCTGCTTTGCATTGCTGGGTGACCTCAGGGTCCGTCTAGACTGGTGACAGTGTTCTTGGGGACTGTCTCGAGATCCATTAAGCAAGTCGAAGCTCCTGACTTGTTTGAATGGGATCACGGAATAGCTCTGCATGCACTGCAAGGGAATGGGGCCTCATCTCGCCTCAAGGGGGAAGTCTCATGGTTTTTCTCGAGTTGCGGCGGAGACCTGGGGTATGGTCTCGACTTACGGCGGGGATGGCCGTTCAAAACACGAGTTTCTTCAGTGACGTCAGGACTCCTGTCTAGTAACGAGGGACACCTCAGCAATCTCTTCGAGGCTTGGCAGGGCAAAAGGGACGCTTCTCGAGGTGAGCCAGGGCACCCAAGGACCCTTTCCAGTAGCCAGAGGGATTTTGGGATTCCTATCAGTATTCCAGAGGAGTCAGGCATCGTCACCTTTTGAAGCAATGAACTCCGCGTGCCTCTCGAGGTGTCAGCGGGATGTGAGGATTCCGTCAAAATGAGGCAGGGACCTAGGGCTTTCTCTAAGGTCTCCACAGGGGATTCAGACATCCCTTCATGTTGTGAGATGAAAGACGAGCCTGTATTCAAGCCACTGCAAGGAAATCCGGCCTCCTTTCAAGTTAGGGCTTCTCGCTGTATATTCCCCTTGAGGCAGCAAACTCGGAGTCCCTCCCACATACCTATTGCTGAGAGAAGCCTCCTCCTGAGGTGCTTCTGGAAAGTTGGCATACGTCTTGAGCCTAAGCCAGGGATTCAGCTCTCATCTCGAGACGATTTGGGGTACACAGAGCATTCCTCGATTTGCTGTGCTGAAGTTGGTGTTCCTCTAGACTTGGGACAGTGTTCTCTGGGCATCTCTGGAGTTGCCTGAAGGAAGTCGAGCCACCGGTCGTGTTGAATGGGGAACGGGGAATGGCTCTGGAGTCAATGCAGGGGAATCGGGCCTCATCTCGAGTTGATTTGTGGCACCTGGAGCTGCTTTGCGTTGCTGGGGTGACCTCAGGGTCCGTCTAGACTGGTGACAGTGTTCTTGGGGACTGCCTCGAGATCCATTAAGCAAGTCGAAGCTCCTGACTTGCTTGAATGGGATCACGGAATAGCTCTGCATGCAGTGCAGGGGAATGGGGCCTCATCTCGCCTCTAGGGGGAAGTCTCATGGTTTTTCTCGAGTTGCGGCGGGGACCTGGGGTATGTTCTCGACTTACGGCGGGGATGGCCCTTCAAAATACGAGTTTCTTCAGTGATGTCAGGACTCCTGCCTAGTAACGAGGGACACCTCAGGAATCTCTTCGAGGCTTGGCAGGGCAAAAGGGACGCTTCTCGAGGTGAGCCTGGGCACCCAAGGACCCTTTCAAGTAGCCACAGGGATTTTGGGATTCCTATAAGTAATCAAGAGGAGTCATGCATCGTCATCTTTTGAAGCAATGAACTCCGCGTGCCTCTCGAGGTGTCAGCGGGATGTGAGGATTCCGTCAAAATGAGGCAGGGACCTAGGGCTTTCTCTAAGGTCTCCACAGGGGATTCAGACATCCCTTCATGTTGTGAGATGAAAGACGAGCCTGTATTCAAGCCACTGCAAGGAAATCCGGCCTCTTTTCAAGTTAGGGCTTCTCGCTGTATATTCCCCTTGAGGCAGCAAACTCGGAGTCCCTCCCACATACCTATTGCTGAGAGAAGCCTCCTCCTGAGGTGCTTCTGGAAAGGTGGCATACGTCTTGAGCCTAAGCCAGGGAATCAGCTCTCATCTCGAGACGATTTGGGGTACACAGAGCATTCCTCGAGTTGCTGTGCTGAAGTTGGTGGTCCTCTAGACTTGGGACAGTGTTCTCGGGGCATCTCTGGAGTTGCCTGAAGGAAGTCGAGCCACCGGTCGTGTTTAATGGGGAACAAGGAATGGCTCTGGAGTCAATGCAGGGGAATCCGGCCTCATCTCGAGTTGATTTGGGGCACATGGAGCTGCTTTGCATTGCTGGGTGACCTCAGGGTCCGTCTAGACTGGTGACAGTGTTCTTGGGGACTGTCTCGAGATCCATTAAGCAAGTCGAAGCTCCTGACTTGTTTGAATGGGATCACGGAATAGCTCTGCATGCACTGCAGGGGAATGGGGCCTCATCTCGCCTCTAGGGGGAAGTCTCATGGTTTTTCTCGAGTTGCGGCGGGGACCTGGGGTATGTTCTCGACTTACGGCGGGGATGGCCCTTCAAAACCCGAGTTTCTTCCGTGACGTCAGGACTCCTATCTAGTAACGAGGGACACCTCAGCAATCTCTTCGAGGCTTGGCAGGGCAAAAGGGACGCTTCTCGAGGTGAGCCAGGGCACCCAAGGACCCTTTCCAGTAGCCACAGGGATTTTGGGATTCCTATCAGTATTCAAGAGGAGTCAGGCATCGTCACCTTTTGAAGCAATGAACTCCGCGTGCATCTCGAGGTGTCAGCGGGATGTGAGGATTCCGTCAAAATGAGGCAGGGACCTAGGGCTTTCTCTAAGGTCTCCACAGGGGATTCAGACATCCCTTCATGTTGTGAGATGAAAGACGAGCCTGTATTAAAGCCACTGCAAGGACATCCGGCCTCCTTTCAAGTTAGGGCTTCTCGCTGTATATTCCCCTTGAGGCAGCAAACTCGGGGTCCCTCCCACATACCTATTGCTGAGAGAAGCCTCCTCCTGAGGTGCTTCTGGAAAGTTGGCATACGTCTTGAGCCTAAGCCAGAGAATCAGCTCTCATCTCGAGATGATTTGGGGTACACGGAGCATTCCTCGAGTTGCTGTGCTGAAGGTGGTGTTCCTCTAGACTTGGGACAGTGTTCTCGGGGAAACTCTGGAGTTGCCGGAAGGAAGTCGAGCCACCGGTCGTGTTGAATGGGGAACGGGGAATGGCTCTGGAGTCAATGCAGGGGAATCGGGCCTCATCTCGAGTTGATTTGGGGCACATGGAGCAGCTTTGCATTGCTGGGGTGACCTCAGGTTTCGTCTAGACTGGTGACAGTGTTCTTGGGGACTGTCTCGAGATCCATTAAGCAAGTCGAAGCTCCTGACTTGTTTGAATGGGATCACGGAATAGCTCTGCATGCACTGCAGGGGAATGGGGCCTCATCTCGCCTCTAGGGGGAAGTCTCATGGTTTTTCTCGAGTTGCGGCGGGGACCTGGGGTATGTTCTCGACTTACGGCGGGGATGGCCCTTCAAAACACGAGTTTCTTCAGTGACGTCAGGACTCCTGTCTAGTAACGAGGGACACCTCAGGAATTCTCTTCGAGGCTTGGCAGGGCAAAAGGGACGCTTCTCGAAGTGAGCCAGGGCACCCAAGGACCCTTTCCAGTAGCCACAAGGATTTTGGGATTCCTATCAGTATTCAAGAGGAGTCAGGCATCGTCACCTTTTGAAGCAATGAACTCCGCGTGCCTCTCGAGGTGTCAGCGGGATGTGAGGATTCCGTCAAAATGAGGCAGGGACCTAGGGCTTTCTCTAAGGTCTCCACAGGGGATTCAGACATCCCTTCATGTTGTGAGATGAAAGACGAGCCTGTATTC